ACCTATTTCTGACCAAAATGTCCCGCACCTTGATTACATTTGACCTTCTGATTCGCTTTTTTCCTCTGTGTGTGTGTGTGTGTGTGTTTGTGCAACGAATGTTAATGGTTAGGACACATTGAGGCATAAATGCTCCTGTTTTCTCCAACAACACTTTCAGCATAATTTATCCCTTGTTCTGGAAGCAATTCACTAATTTTCCAGTGTATTGTTTACGGAAGCTTCCCCTATTTCAATTGCCGTGCACGTTTCACGATCCGAAACCATTGTAATGCCAAAATGCAGTTTCCTACAGTGACTCCAAATCAAATAGGGCCACATGAAGCCATGAACTTCACACCAAGAGAATCAGAACGCTCATGAGATTACTCTATTCTCGTGAAATTTGTTTCTCACGGTTTTATTAGAGATTGGAGAGAACTTAGGAAAGAATCCTTAATGGATCTGAGAAGCAGTCATGGCGAAAGACGGTTTTTCCACGGAGAAAAGATCTTTTCACGCGGTCAATCTTCTCGTAATTTCCCTGATTAAATGTCCTTTCTTGTGCAACTGATTAATCTCTGTTCGATCCTCGTAGTTACGCGTATAAAACTTAATCAAATTTTGATATTGAACACTGATAAAGGTTCAGGTAAATGATGAAAATCGACAGGATATTTATCCTGAAGACACTCTGGATATATTTAAACCTAATTGAGAATAAAAAAAACACGTTTGGACGTTTTATTACTGCTTTGGTTCTGTTTTTATATCAAAAAGAGATTAAGGATTACGCCAATTTTCTTCAAGCTTTGCACAGTGAATCCTTATTAATGAGGGAAGATTGGTGGAGAAATTCAGATCTCAAGCTTTACGTGGAAATTCACGGCACATCGATATCTCTGAAAGCGTCAAGTGGTCCTATTTAATTTGAAGTCACTGTATATAGCCTCGCAACCACCTTCTGAATGGGTTTATTTTGCCACAAGGGTCGATGGCACATCGCGAGAAACAAATACATGATCCATGGGTTTGCATATCAATACACTCGCTATCGGTTAAATGCGTTAAATGTGAAGGGGTTTGACAACAGAATTGAGAGCAAGAGAGAGAGAGAGAGAGGGAATTTAGCATTTTTATTGATGTTTTGTATGCGCAAATTTCAAGTCAATTTTATTCAATGGAATTCCCCACCCACAACAGGGAGGGTTACGGTGTGCGAGGGCACACGCAGAGAGGAAAAAGGGTCCTATCAATATTTATGCTGTGTTCCACATGCGAAAGCTCTTTCGCTGGATTTTGAGTGTGTGTGTGTGTGGATATTTGTTGGGATCAGCAAATATTGAAAGTTTCCATTAATTTTCCCTGTTCACAAGGATCACACGTGTGCATAACCATCCTTGCAACTAAAATATTCCACTACACGTGACGCTGTGGGATGAAAGTAATCTAGTTTAGGAAGGTAGAATTTTATTTATCCAAGAGAGAGAGAGAGTCTGTCGTGTTCTGAACGAGGCGCAACTTGGACAGGTGGTGAGAGTTCTAATTTGGGCATTCTTCAGTTGCATGTCGTGCAATTGGAGCACACATGACTTGATATCAAGCACACGGTGCAATATACAATTGGATGAAAGCAATTTGAGTGACCTCTTGCTTCACGATTAAAGAGAGAGAGAGAGAGTGAAAAGGGGAAGAAAAAGCACGACACGAATGCTCCAATGAGTCAAACATGGAAAGTGTGGAAAAGAATGATTTCTCAGAGACTTGATGGTGACATCTGGTGCGAACGATTCTTTCATACTATCGCCAAATGCTGAATTTTCCACCATACATTGCATTCCCAGCAATGTAGAATTTGGTGAAAAGAGTCACGTTTGAGATATGGTAATAAGTCACATTTTGCTTTTTTCTACGCCCTTTTTTCTCTTCTCCTTTCCCATCACTTTGCCTTTCTTATCTCGAAAATATAACACAGAAGAGTCGCAAGCGTGGTAATATTTCTCTGGGTGGAAAATAATAAATTTCATTTTATCTTGCAATTTCTATTAGGGTTTCACTTTTGTGTTAGTATTTGCAATTATCCGGGGATTAATTGGAATTTTTGAATTATACTCGTTAGAATCATGAATGATTTTCAAACACGACGGGATTTCCTTTATTGATTGAGCCTTATCCTGTGGCAATATCAGCAATAAACAAATCAATTATTAGCTTTTATATAATTGGCAATCATTCATGATTTTTAATAACGATGATTTTATATGAAAATTAATATTTTCGATGAAATAAAATATATGACGGTGTAATTAAATTGTGAATGTCGAATGATGTGAATTTGCAATTTAATCGAAAACTCTTTACAGCCTAACTTTATGGCGTCAGCCAGAAATTATCATAGGAAATTGGGTTTGGTGCCCGAAAAGCGTTCCCAAAAGGAAGAACATTGAGGGATAAAGTCCCAAAAGCTTAAGGAGGGAAAAGTTCATAAAATGGGGAAAAAGTGCTCCAAGCAATGCAGGCGGGGGGAAAGGAGAGCTTTTTTTTGCTGAGAGAAATAATAAATAGCCAATGGGGCAAGGCGGAAGGATGTTGAACAAAGTTTCTTTAAAATTTTATCATCAAACCAGCAATATTTCTATATATTTTATGAGTAAATTTTCCCAACATAAATGGAGTTTCCTCTCGCTCTCTGAGCGCTTTATGTTTTTATTGTACCGCCATTCCACCCCTTAATTGAGGGGTGGATTCTTGCTCTTCACCAAACATATGAGTCTTCCTCTTCCTTCACTTCACTTCTCTGCACACATTACACTCGGTATTGTGTTACCGTGTTACTGTTCTTCAATGCGAGAAAGTGGGAAGTAAGAAAAAAAAGTGGATGAAAGAGTTGGCAAAGATGGCGAAGAAGAGAAGAGAATACAAAGGGAAGGAAGAAAAAAGTTTATTGTGTGTGTTTGACTGTGAGGAATCTTCGTTGGAACATGAGAAATTCTTAGAAAATATATAGCTCTGATTTCTTTACTATGTATGTAGTGTTACATATGTACATAATATGCGAAGGAGAATGCTGCACGGTGAAGTTTGCCGTTGTGACATTCATTGAAGACTTTTAAAAGTCAGGAAAGTTAAGACAGGAACCCCACCTCTGACACCAATGTAGCAACAGAGCAAACCGATTTATTCACATATAGAGTAGAAGAAAAAACTTTGTGTGATTTCAAGGATGTCCACAAATCATTTCCCCAAAAGCGCAAATATATAATTATAAAATATGGATGTGAATAATTGACATTCACAATTAAAACTATTTAATGATAGGAAATCAAGTTGAAAGCTCGACAAACATATTTAAATTAACCCTTATGTTTGAACGCAATTTGAGACCATTAATTTTGTGATTATTCAATAATTTCTTGATTTTTCGTGATTTTTATGTAAATTTCGATTTATATTATTTATTTTGCCAATATTTTTGACCTATCAACTTTTGCAAAAAAGAGAAAAGGTACAAATCTCCTTCTTTTCTGGCCAGGATCACGCCAGGAAGAGAGAGAAGATTGTGCGAGAAATGCGATATTATTAGCGTCCCTCACTCCAACTTTGCTGCCCTCTGGTGGCGATATGTGGAGAAAATAATCAAATATTTAAATTTTAATTAAATATCTAGAAAATACTTAAATATAATTAAATATTTTGTCCGAAAATACTCAAATTTTATTTGATTTGCAATTTTACTTGAAAAATAAATTTATTTTAATTCAAATTTTGATTATTCTCACAATTTGTCTATTGATTTTCTCTTTTAGATTAGTCCTCAAAATATAGGTTAATGCAATATTACAGAGTGTTCTGCCATACAAATTTCCCTAAAAGCACGATGTTTCCGTAGAATCTGAAATATAATGCCGCGCTTGTAACGGGAAAAAGGCTGGAGGGTGTTGGAAATTTGAAAAGTAGGTTAAAAGATGAAATAAATGTATAGGGCAAGGATGTGGAGGGAAATACATAAAGAAAATTTCGAAGCTTGACATCTCTGTTGGAGAGGCGCGCGTCGTACAAAGGCGAAAAATCGAGGAAAGTCATTAATATTAATGTGGGTGTGTGTGTGTCGTACACATTGCGAGAGAAGATATGGTATTAAGGGATCAAGGAAGAGGAGACACACACAGTGTTTCGAAGAAGGAAAGTTTCTGCCTTCGAACATTCACTTTATTAATGTCCTCTGCAATTTTGTCTACAAAATGCTGAGTCAAGTTTTGAGATTCTCCCCAATTTTCCCCACTTCTGGGGGGTGTTTTTGAACAGCTAAGAGAGAGAGGGTGGGTGTCATTTGTAAGGGGATGTATTCATAGGTGACCCAATAACCCTGTTTTACTCTCAATCGACATTTTGGTCCATTTCAATTGAACACTGAGTTACAAGCGAGTGACGAGGCTTGGGTGAATATGTCCTCGCCCAAGCCCAGAGGGGGAGAATTCATTGGAAATTTGCCACAAGGTTGGGAAAACTGTGTGGCTGGATATTGTGTGCTTTGGGCATGACGTGGGAAATAGATCCATTAATAAAATTATTTAGATCATCTGGCCAGGATCAGATGCAGAGTTTGTCCGTGGGAATCATTGAATTTCATCACATCATGGACACAGCGTGTATTTTGTCACTCGCAGAGGGAAAAGTGAAAACTTGAGGACTCTCTCTTGTTTGTGTATGACGTCAAATGAAGTTAACATTCGTTGGAGAGTAGGTGGAGATGCCTGGTGGCTTTCAGGCTTATTGAAATTTCTTTGTTTAAATTTCTTTCTCATGTTGCGAAAGCATTGCGAGTGTTTCGCGCGCGCAGAGCCCGCAAATGTCAACGCGATGTTTGAAATGGCGAGATGCTTTCCGGCGACATCGTGCCTATTATCTAAATTAATTAATTTAAATGCGAGCAGCAGAAATGAATAAATTAATTTGTCCGACATCATATTAACTAGAGCTTTTCTCTCTCTCTCTTTCTTTCTCACACCAACAAAACACAGATTGGACAGGAGTCAACGATCATGAGCGTGTTCAGCGACAATTGTCCGTGTCGTCCGACAGCAAGTTGCTCGATGACGATATTAGGGAAGAGACGCGGGTTATAATGCGACCGAAGAAGCCGCCCAGACCCAAATCCGAAGTGTTCCTCAACAAACAGGACCCGCATCCGAGGCGGAAACGCTTCAGTGCATTTGGGGTGAGTCACAATTTGTTTTTTATTGTCTCTTTTAAAACACAAAATCCTCTTGTTCTCCGCACACAAGTTTTTAGCTTAGAAAAAACACTATTTTCATGACAATTTATTTGATGCAATGCAAATGGCATTGTCGAGTGCGAAAAATTGGTGCATTGTGTTGAAAAGCGATGGATAAAAGGAAGAACCACAGAATTTCACCGAGAGCTTTTTTGTCCCAACAGTTGGAGATTGTTTGGCGCTGTTTCTGTTGAAGATTCATGAGAAATGAAGCTACAATTCTTCACATATACGATGTGCTGCTGAAAAGCACTTCATGCTGAACAATATAGTGTATTTAAGGGAGACAAAAATCTCTCTTGAGTACTTTTGTGGAAGCCCTAAAATGTCTACACACAGTTGAAATTAAATTCAAAATGTAATTCTTAATAGTGATATAATGATAAATTCTTAGTTGTATTTCCGCCGTGCGCCAATGTTCACAATTTTGCAAGAACCCCGGAAGAATATTCATTTTACTAACAATACTTTGTGCTCAATGTGCACCAAATTCACAATGCACTGTCCTTTGTTTGGAGGACTTAAAGCACTCTCTGGATGGCACTCACATCCAGATATGCACTTGTGAAATGCATATTCGCCCACACCATCGTTGTGTCGCACGAATGTCCAAAGGGACATCCAATTTAATTTGTGGTGGATATCAATGAGATTTTCGCATGTTAATCAGTCATTTGATGTATGTGAAAGGTGGAAATCTCCCATTGATTTAATTATCAATGTCATCTTGAACCATTTGGATGCTTTGATGAATGTTGCGTTATGTTGCCTTTGACAATGTTATGTGTATCATCCAACAGAAACTCATCATTCATCATGGGTTGATGGACAAATTCTGGCGGTTTTTGCTGTGATTTTAGTTGCCAATATTTCAATTCAATTCATTTCAAAAAAATTTAATAGAAAAAAAGAAAAACACCGGAATGACTCTGGTTCTATTATTTCCATTGGGAGTTTTGACCTGTTTTTAGACACGTTCTGATCTGGACTACAACATATTAAAATGTTATTCGAATGCATTGTCTAATTGCCGAGATACAGGCGTTCAAAGCTAAATCAATATGACTGTATTACTGATGATGTCACAGACTAATGGTGGATGTGGCCTACTAAAGGGCTTCGAGACACGTCTTTTAGTGAAGAGATGATCGAAATCGGCCGGTAAACAGCGGAGATATAGGCCGGTAAAAGTGAAAATTTGGCCCTCAATATTTCTGGTCCTATAATTTCAATCCTCATAAGTAATGATCCTTTGGAAAGGTCATGACCTCAGCTACAATATATTACAATTCAGAGATATTGCATCGTTTGGATCGCGAGTTATACAATTTTAAAGTTTAGAAATTCGTTTTAGCGACTTTAGCGCCCCTAGCGGTAGTTGTATCAAGTTACTATGTCTGAGTTAAAGATTGAATTTTAAGAGGCCTATCCAATGAATCTAAACTTATTCCGATCGGGTAATTAGAAGCGGACTTATGGTGATTTTATTTTCAAATTTTGATCCTTAAATTTTGCCATTGAAGATGGTTCTCAACGCTAAGACGGCGATGGCCGCACAGGGGGTGGATCAAAATCGCATAACATGCGTGAAATTGTGAAATAATTTCAAGATTTAGTTTTCAATGTGTAGAGAATACTTGAAATTGTGATGTTGAGAACATTTCCAGCAACCCATTGTATTCAAATGTGTAATAGCCCTAATTCCACTCGCATTACGATGGCCAAAAGGTCCTTTTGACTGCTTTGTGTGCACTAAAGATTAGAATCAATGCATTGGAAGGGTCAATTGGACTTCTAACGGCAAATTACACTTGCAATTATTATTTTCTTTGATTCTCTGCCGGAGAGAGTTGCATTGGCAAAATCCAGATATTGAAATTGCACAAATGTCAAAGTGCAAATATGATGGACATTTGAGTCCATCTTTGATTGCATTTGACTTAATCCAGCATGCAAATTGCGATCTCCCGCTATTCTCTTAACCGGGGAGAGAATCATGAATAATTTGCATTGAAGAGCGAATATAGAGTAGGAGAAGCAACACTCATAGACGCATCGCTCTTAATTATCGCTGACATAGTTAATGTAATTATCGAACTTTATTGGCAATTACCCAGAGGGTGGCTTTCCACCTTTTCAGATGCCATCCAGTCCAACACCCCCGAAAGCCCAGAGAGCTTCGCTGTATCTGAAATATGACTACGTGAGAGCACCACTTGAGCACAATTTTAATTATTTAACAAACTTTTGCACTTGGGGCTTCACTTTAACGAGAGAGAGGGAGAGAAGCTGAGGGGGAGATTCATTAGAAGAGCAATAAAAGGCTTCGTTAATTATTCTTGAAAAGGTGTGGCGCTCGGTTGAACGGATGCTCATCGAACTTGAGTAATGATTCGTGATTATGCAGGTGAATGACAATTGTGACGGGATGTTATTTTATTAAATTATACAGCTAACGAACAGAATCGTGCACTTTCGCGACTGTTCGTTGCATTCTATTATCCTGTCGCCACTTTGCAAACTCTTATTTACACTTGTATTTATGTTACGCTCATCATGTTAATGATATTTATTTCTCCACAGTCGTAGTTTATTTACGTTCCCGTGAAATAATATTATGCACACAGTGTAAATGGTGTCTTTGCAAATGTTGTTGCTTTCTTCTAAGTTAACTGACTCGCTGGAGAGGTTATTTTTCCTGCGATGCACTTCCTTATTTACTCTATAACTTCCACAACACTCGCGCTCTGTCCAAGGGGGAGATAATGTAGTGAGAAATGGTGAAAAGCTCAGCAGCAGTTCTTAAGAAGTGGAAGTGTTAAAAAACCTACAATATTCCTACAATAATTGCCCCTTTTTACACAGAAACAATCGTAATAATAATTTTTCTAGGTTATGTAACGAATCAAGGACAGATTAAGTGAATAATTCGTATTTAAGCACATCAATTCTTATGTTAAAGTCGACAAGATTGCTAATCATTGACAGAAGTAAGCATTTGCATGGAAAGTTACACGGTTTTACTGAATATTTGATACCAAGAAATACTAGAAATTATGTTGAGGGCGAACATAACCTCAAAAAGAGTAATGCGAAATTGGAAAATGTTTATTTAGAAAACTTTCTAGATGATTTTGACTCTGATTGTGTAATTTTGAGATCATTGGAGAAAGATAAGAGTTCATTTGGTGATTTTTAAGGCTTCCAAATAGAGATTTTAAAGCTCTCTTGGTGATATTTTGAGGTTATGGAGGGAAAATATTAATTGGAAACTCAAGAAATTTCAAATGGTGTGCAGATTTGAGGCATATTATCTCCTCCTTGACTCTGTCTGTTCTGGAATTAGTGTAGTGTGTCTCGCTGTAAATGAGCGCGTGATGCTGAGGAAAACTTCATAATCATTACCAGAAGATATAAATCTTGGCATACAATTCAAGCATGGTTGGGAGGGTTTTTTGCCTCCGTGCGCGGAGTTCTTTTGTTGCATATTTGCAAAACTGAAATAAAAGTCCCTTAATTGTGTTGAAACTTTTCCTGGGCGCCAGAGAACATTCGCCGAATGCGAAGGGGGATAAATTATAAATTTTTCACCCAATTCAATGGGAAAACACACAAGTTTAAATTTTATTTTCCCTCCAATTTGTTGTGTCTCTTTTTGTCCATTTTGCCTCCACTTTTGCATCATTGTTTCTTGGAGTTGAAAAACGAGAGGAATTAATTTGCTGAATTATGAGTTGTCAGAACTTTTGTCGTTCCCAATTCGTGCAATTAAATGCAGAGGGTGATTCGCTAAAAAAACAGTTACGCAGGGAGGAAATTAAAGTGGAGAGAGAAAAATGTTGGATGAATTTTTGTCGTTGGATTCAAAACACCTCAGAAGACTTCCTGTAAATTGGAAAAAAAATCCATCTGGAAAGTGTCTTTTCCTGTCGCCACACAATATTATTGGTGTTATTTCAAGCGAAAGGACGTCCTGGAATAAATTTAGGTATTCCTAGAAATGCTAATTGAATGTGAACTTCTCCATCTGGTGGAAATAACTTCCAATTTCACTTGAGAAGCAATCACATTTTGACCGTCAAACTATCGTAAAGTATTTTTTATATCCCAACCAAATAGTGGGTGAAAATAATCCCCTGTTGGGAAAAAAGCTCTCAGAGTGGTGAGAAGTTCGTATAAGAAAAAAAAACTGGGCATAAGAGTAAAGTTTCTTTTACGGCCAAAAGGACGAAAAGGTGTGTCAGTGTGTGAAAATACGCGCTCGTAAATTATCATATTTTCCCTCGAAGAAAGTCTTCAGACGCGCTGGTCCCAAAATTAAACCCTCTCGAAAAACTTTTACCCTGATTCATTTTATAATACTCTTCCTTTTATTCCACCCCGCAGAAAAGTGGGAAATTTTTACATTTTCCTCTTAAGTGTTTTTCCTTCTCGAACTCCTCGCTCTCTCAATGTTTTCACGCCAAGAGAATTGAAGTGGAAAAGTCGAAAGTTGACGTTTGAGATAGTGAAGAGAGAAAGAGGGATTCATTAGCATATTATCATCGTACTGCGGAATTTATGTCGAGACAGTGGAAATAATCAATTTTATTTATTACCTTTTTTCAGGGTGATTCTCCATTTGGCAAATCGGACGCCTACATCAAACTGGAACAACTTGGTGAAGGTTCCTATGCGACAGTCTACAAGGGATTTAGCAAGTAAGTTCATTTTCACACTCAATTTCTCCTTTTCATGTCCTTGTTTTATGAATTCAAGGGTTGTTCTAAGAATTCTTCAAGGGTCAAGTCACAAGGCGATTTTTGAGGACTCTTAATGGTTTCAATCAATATTTAATCATTCATTTTCACTATCAAATAATCAAAAAATGGTTATTTTCCAGGTGAAATAGCAAAATAATCAGAAATTGAATAGTTTCGGTCAAATATTTAATGAAATCAAAGATTTTTAAAATATATTCTGGGTTTTTGTATTGAAATTGAAATATTTGATCATTTTCTGCACTTATCGCCGCCAGAGGGCAACAAAGTTAGCGTGGGGGACGCTAAAAATATACCATTTTTCGCAAGAGTTTTTCTGCTCTCTCATGCATTTTAACACTTTATGACTTCCTGGCGTGATTAAAAGTAAAAATCTCAAAGCTTTTATCTGCTAAAATTCTTTCCTTGCCTTTCATCAACTCTTCTATCATTTACTTGATGAAATTTTAACTTCTTTTTTACACTGGTAAATGGCAAAATGTGCTTTTAAGAGACACTCTAATGGAAGTGCAATGAGTATCGAGGACAGAGAAGAGCTTTCTGATTGTAGAAAAGCGCAGGCAAAAGATGAAAAAGAGGCTATAAAAGCCATTTCAATAGAGAATTGATTTTTCTCCGTTCTGCATCTTTGCACAACAACACAGCTTAATTGTATTGAGATGGATGAACATAAAAGTTCTGCTCAATAATTTGCCAATGGGGGAAAATGGAGGCAAAAGCACTGTTTCTCTTCTTATTTTCGCAATTAAATCGGATGAGAAACACTCACTGATAGCACAATTCGAGGCTGTTTTTTTCCCTCTCATTCTGCAATCTTGATTAAGTTCCGTCTCTTGTCTTTCCTATCGCATTATCTCTTGTTCGATGGGACTTAGACAGAGTTGAGAGTGAGTGGAGGGAAAAAGCACAGTGTGTGAATGGAGGAAAATGGCCAAGAAGGACGAATGGGGAGGAGTTGGAGGTGATCGGATTCAGGAACGCCCTTGATCGCATCCTGAATGGATGGCCCGAAGAAGCGAGTGTTGAGGAAGAATTGAATAAAGGCAATGTGGGTCACTTTAAGGTTCAGGGCTTCCTTTTTTCACCCACACACAATGACAGGGCGTCGTTGAAAAGGGGAATGAAGTGATACAAATTTCCAACGATGCTAAATGGGAGTTCAATGATATACAGAGTGTAGGTTTTTTGTTGTGTGTCGCCTTTTTTCTCTCTCTCTCTCTCTCCTCCTTCGCTGGGGGATTCAATAACCGAAGGGCGAAATGGGAATGATGAGTTGATGGGAGGAAAAACATGGAAATTCGTCGACGTGAATCTTCTCGATTTTTACCCAGTGAACAAAGGCATCCAAGAGGGACATCCTTTGGATTTATCTGTGAGTCGCGCGGCGATGGCACAAAAGATGTGGAATTCAATTTTTGTCGAAGAGGCGCAAAGGCTCACGATTTGATTGGAATTGAGATCCCTCGAGTCTCCAAGTCTAATCTCAGAACCTGAATTGATTGACTTAAGTTTGAAGGATGTTTCCATACACAACTAAATCAGACCTTTCGTTGCTTCTTTTGCAGTTTAACCAACCAAGTGGTGGCACTGAAAGAAATTAGACTGCAAGAGGAGGAAGGTGCTCCGTTCACGGCCATAAGGGAGGCATCACTGCTGAAAGAACTGAAACACTCCAACATTGTGACACTCCACGATATTGTTCACACTCGTGAAACTCTGACCTTTGTGTTTGAATATGTGGTAAGGATCACAGCCTCCCCGCAAAGCCACTTGACAGTGCATTCAAAAGCCCTTCTTTCTCTCCCTCTCCTTTCACACAGAATACAGATTTATCGCAGTACATGGAGAGACACCCCGGAGGACTGGACCATCGGAATGTGAGACTCTTCCTCTTCCAGTTGCTCCGCGGCCTGTCCTATTGTCACAAGAGGCGTGTCCTGCACCGAGACGTGAAGCCGCAGAATCTGCTGATCAGCGGATTGGGCGAGCTCAAATTGGCGGACTTCGGTTTGGCCAGAGCCAAGAGCGTCCCCAGCCATACTTACTCTAACGAAGTGGTCACACTGTGGTATCGTCCACCCGGTAAGGAAATCCCCCCCCCCCCCTTCCCACTCAATTGCATCTCGTGATGCAAATCATCCAGAGTTGATTGAAACCAGATGCAAGGGGAAGATAATATGGCTAAAATCTATACATAATTTCCTGACACTTCTATAGTTTGTATGAAAAATCCTTATTACTTCCACACGACTAAAAACTAACTGAAATCTAACTGCCAACTGCACTTAATTGAATTTTAATAGATTATTTAATGATTTTCTGCTTTGCACTTTTAATAGCGTAATCTTAATTAGTATCTATCTTCTAAATAGGTCACAGAAAATATATGTCAAAATGATAACTTTGATAAGAATTGATTCAGAATTACATAAGAAATCCTCAGAATTAAACCAGAAACTAACTAAACTTTAGCAGAGAACTATAAAACTGACGTTTTCATACAATATTTCATGATTTTCTTCAATTAGTAAAACAAAATTGAGGTTATGTTTGATTTTAGCATCCTTTTTTAATATTCAGCTTCCAAAATCACAATTTTTTAAACACACTTTCAGTTCAGGCACAAGAATTTCAATTTTAAACAGTTTTTAGTCTTAAATCAGTCACATAACCTAGAAAAATATGTCAAAATGCGTATTTGGATAAAAATTAATTTCTGAGAGTAAAATAATCAATAGGAAATCAAAGTTGTGAGCCAAATATTACATCCAATGATCTGTACACCACTTCTGACCATATTATCTCCCCCTTGACCAGACGAAGCTCTTTTGGGGAGAAATAGATTCTTTGTTATCTGGAAAATCTCTCAACTCTAGCAATTGAGATGCTTTGAAGTGCGAAACCGCAGAGATTTCCTCAATAATTAATCCCCACTGATTGCTCTTCCTGGCCCACAGACGTCCTCCTGGGCAGCACTGAGTACTCCACGTCGCTGGACATGTGGGGCGTCGGCTGCATATTCGTGGAGATGATAACCGGAATGCCGACGTTTCCGGGCATCAGAGACACGTACGATCAACTAGATAAGATATTCAAATTGCTGGGAACGCCCACCGAGGAGAATTGGCACGGAGTGACTCACCTGCCGGGATACAAGCCCAAGCTCCTAGGTGAGTGTGCGGAGCTTTTGAAGGGAGTCACAGGCGACGACTGACGGGATTCTTTGGGCTTTTTTCGCAGGATTCTACAGGGCGAGAAAGTTGGGGCACAGCTTTCCACGTCTGTACGACATTGTGGAGGGCGAGGCAATGGCTAGTGCATTTTTACAATTGAACCCCGAAGGCAGAATAGGCGCGGAAGACGCCCTGTCTCATCCCTATTTTGCGCCACTTCCTCGGAAACTCTACGAACTACCAGATGGTTGAGTATCAAATTTGCTCAAACGTGGCCAAGAAGGGCTATCAAACTAATTGAATTTCTTCCTCTTCTCCTCCGACAGAGGCATCAATATTTACCGTGGAAGGTGTTTACCTCTATCCGGAGCCCAATCGCCAATACAAATGAAAGTTAAGGCAAGTGATATCCTTGGATGGGATACGCTCTTACTGTTGACCAGAGTCACCAACAAACACACACACGCGATAGCCTAATTGTGGCCGTCGCACATCGATCTTTATTGGGGGGGCGGATAATCTTATGCTTTTCCCACAAATGTCTCCCGAAACTTTCCCCCGTCTTTTTCCCAAAAGCCACGCCATGAAGAGATGTAAAAGGAGTAATCAAAATATTATGCAGAGACAGAGAAAGAGTCCATATTTTACGAGAAATAACAATTTATAGCCACCCATTTAATGGTGAAAGAAGAAGAAAATAGCAAATATGAGAAGGAATTTCACTGTGACAAGAGTTTGTTCTCCTTTTTTGTCACAAAGATCTCTCCAAGCTCTAATTGAAAGATGCTCAAGGGAATCAAATATTGATGCCAATTTAAATGTGAAGAAAGAAAGGAAAAAAAAACTCATGAAGAGAAGAAGAAATCTTTAAGCAAACTATTTTTCATTTAACAACAGAGTTTATCTAGTAAATAAAATAACACAAAGAAAAGATGATGAAATAAAAAAAAGTAAGAAAGAGGAATAAAAAACATTGTAGAAGTGCCATGATCGAGTGTGAGAGATGAACAAATCACACAAGAAAAGAACTGAAGTCAAATTTGTAATGAAGGATTGATAAATTATTATCGTAATTTTTAGTAGTTCCTTTTATTTCTCTTTTTTCGCAATTTTTCCCTCCCCGACAAAGCAAAGACAGAAAGAAAAGAAGAAAAAAGCAATCAATAGTTCAATATTTTTGCTTCTTTAATCACCGAAATGGCAAAATGAAATGCTTGCAATAGTCCAAAAACATACTGTAGAGATTTTCAGAGTGAGAAGAATAGGAAAAAAACAAACATTTAAACACGAAAACATCGACAAACGGAGGCTGGTAAATTTTCATATAAAAGTGAACATAGAAATGAGAAGAGGAAAATGTGGGAAATGGAGATTATTGCATAGAAGCTTGTATTTTTTAATCTCTAGCGGTAATTTTTTTTTCATATAAAAAGAAATCAAAGGCGAGGAATTTGTAGTGTCCAAATATATATATAGATATGAGATTTTTTTCTGTGTGCAGTTGTGAAAATCCATTAAGAAAAAAGAAACAAACAAGTTTTCCTTTGAAGCTTTCACAAAACCTCTTTTGCCAAATAAAAACAAACACATGAATTGACGAGGATTTGACTAAACATGGAAATTTAAGGCTTAAATATTTTTCGGATAGCGTTTAAGTCTTCTCGATTTATTTCATGGTAATATTAAAAAAAAGGAAAAAAGAAAAGAAAGAGTAATTGTATAACAAATTGTGATATTCATACATTTTAAAATATTGTAATAGACAAAATGGAAGAATGAAGAGACAAAAAGAGGAAAAAAAACAAATAATGATTGCATTAAATTGAAGACAGAGAAAAAAATGTTTAATAAAAGAATATTCGTAAAGGAAGAAAATTTTAATGAAAAAAATATCCTTGAAAAGCCTAAGAAATAGAGGAATTATTGCGATGATGAGAAAGAGAATTTGATGGTGAGAAATTGTTAGAAAAATAGCAAATTTTTCTCATATTAGAACTTATAAATTATCATTTTTTTCTATAAAACTAAACATTATTTGCAAAGAAAATAAAAGTGGTAATGAAGGAATTTTTCTATAGGAATTTATAATAATAAATAAAGCGTAGAAAAGCGTGTAGAATTTGCTGGAAAAAAAAACCATTTTAAATCAAAATTTTACACACAAAATCTCTTAACATTTCTTTGAAGAAAAAACACGCCTTCAGTTTATCTAACATAAATGTATTTTTAAACCCCTTTTAAAATCTCCCTAAATCAGTGGCAAGTGTGAAAGCTTAAAGCTTCGTCACTGACGAGCAGCGCACGTCCAGAAGCTTTTTATTCATGAAACAGTGCTCAATTTTCTGTCTTATTTCTTTGCCAAAAGAATGATTTCTCAAGATATAATTTTTGTTTAGATGTCTAATCGTAATATTTCGCTACATAAAAACCGTATTTCTATCAACGCATGATTGTCACACTTTTTCTTTAAATTACTGTGTAAAAAGAAAAAGAAAAACTTACTGAGAAAGATTGAGAAACACAAGGAATGTGAAGGAATTCGTAGCGAAAGAGAGAGAGAGAGTCAAATAGTGTGAATAAGGAAAAAAAGAAAAAGTAGTGAAAATTTAACGAATAATCAAAAAAAAGAATTGATAAGAAAAAAATTTCACTCTACGTAGAAGAAATCTTAAAAGGCTATCAAATGAGAAAGGAAAATTTATCGTAATTGTTGTAATAAACATTAGTAATAATAGATGGAAAGACAAGCGTACCGATTTTTCCCCCTTTTTTCTCCTCCTTTCAATTCGACAAGAAAAGACAAATGAATAAAAAAAAATAGTTCGAAAGTAAAAATTAGAGAAAATAAAAAGAAAGCAACGCGTAGAAAAGCTTACAAGAGTCGAACAGTAGTTGTTGATTTACTGCTTGACGGAAAAAAAGATTAAAGTTTTCATGGATTCTCGAGAAGGAAAAGAAAACAAATTATTGCACAAATTGCACGCAAAGTTAACAAAAAGATTTCTAATAACTTCTTAAATGTGGCGGAAAGACTTTGAAAAATAAGAGAAACTCTCATTATCGAAATTGTGAGATTCATTTTCGTGCAATCTTTATAATTTTCTCTTTCGCAATATTTTTCTTACGTGCTTTTCTTCGTGGTTTTGATTTCAACGATCTCACAATTTCTCGCAAAATGAATTATAGTTTAAAAAAAATTGAGTTAATCAATGATTTTTTTCTTCTTACACTAAAATGGATAAATGAAGTCATCTTCAGAGGTAAATCTTGTGAGAAAAATAAACTTGCTAATAGTGAATTCTTAATTAATCGCATAAAAAACTACACACAATTAACGATTCACTCACACGACAATTTGCACGTCCCATCCCGAAAATTTCGTCCATAAGAATTTTTGAAACAAGAAAAAAAACGTAGATTTAAGCGGAAAGTGATTGATCGTGATCTTTCGCAGCCAAAAGATCGCGACACGGTTTTGTCGATGGCGGCAAACCTTCGATCCAGTGGATTTTATAATGAGAAAGAAGGAAGATTAAACTAATATAGTTCCTCAGAGAGAGAGAGAGAGTGAGAAAACACGCAATTAAGCAACATTTTCTTAGTTTTCTCCCTTCATTTCTCTTTGATCTTCACCCTAAAAAAAAGCGATCGTCTTTATTGTTCTCTTGGAAAAAAATGCATATTTTCAAGTTTATAGAGTTTTGTAAAGAGATTCGCTGAATGCCATTTTTTGTGTTGATAAATGCAACATTTTATTTTAAATAGTGAACTCGATAAAATATCCTGGAAAGAGGATTTTATTTTAGGTAAAATAATAAAACAATAAGTCAAGAAAAAAAATTGATACATAGAAACTTCTTCGATTTTATAAATAGAGTTTGAGAGAAAAGAACATCAAATGAGAAGAAAACAATGTAATAAAAAAAAACACTTTCTCTAGTTAATAATTATAAAAAAAAGAAATGATAACAAGGATAAAAGAGATCAAACTTTTAACTTGAGACATTTTGAGCCAGAATTTGTGGTGAATTTTAGAGGTATAAAAAGAAAAAAAAGAAGATATGCGATAAAAATACCACATCCACGTAATTATTTTGAAAGCTCTGTAAATAGTTTATTATTGTTTATATATTAAAAGAAATAAAATATCAAAATTATAAAGTACATCAGAGAATTTCCTTTTTAGTACTCCAAACAGTCATTAATTTCAAACGTGTGCGATTTTAGCGCTCTCGGTGGTGTGGCAACTCGCCACTAGAGGCTCTGGCACATCTCTCCATCTCACTCGTGCGTCCGGTCAAATTGTGAACTTGTTGGAGTGTTTTTGTGATGTTAAGCTCACATTTCCTGCGATTCTCCCTCACTGCCTCTCGCCAGATTCACCTCACTCGCCAACTACAGTCCTTGCCAGGTGAATCAGTCCCAAATCACCACATTCTCTGCCCAAGAGACCAGCAAATCGGTGTCTTTTATCCGCAGTTTTGCCGGCCCGAGTGTCGCCGTCTCTCTCACTCTCTGGCAGCCGACGGTCGAGTCGACTTCCGGACGTCGTCAGTGTTCCGTCAGCGAGCGTAGCGTGTGGAGGTTTCGTTTGCAGTGTCCGGCAAAGTGTCTCCAGAGCTCCATTTTCACGACAATTCGCCAGCACTTCCATTGCCATGTCGAGGAGCAAGGAATTCCAGCGGCTGCCCGGCCACGTGGTGCCCGTGCACTACGACCTGGAGCTGCGTCCTGACTTGGAGAAGCTCGTCTTCACGGGCAAGACAAACGTCAAAATCCAGGTGAGGAAAATCCCCCGATTCTTTCTCCCTTATCTCTCTGGCCACTCTGCATTGGCGCGAGCGTGTGTGCGTGTGTGTGTCGGTCCCGTTACTCTGCCTGCCCACTCCAGCTGCGCTCCCGCCTTCGGGCCGAGAGTCCTCGAGCGAGGAACCACTAAAAGTCCCGGTGCGGCAGTCAATGAGGCCGCTTTGTGCCTGCTTTTGTGTCCCGTCCCGAAGCCCACTGACACACTCTCGCCCGCTTGGGCGACTCGCGACAGCAGCTGGAAGGCGCGCACGCCGTGCAACAGTGCTGTAGTTGCAGTTGATAAGATTTCTCAAGCAATTTCCTTTATCAACTGCAAGGATACTCGGGAAATTGCATGAGAACAATTCCACATTTTGAATGAAAAATCCTCAACGCTTCCCAGTACTACAGACTTCATGAATTGTTTTACTAAAATCAACTAATAACTGGAATCTAACTGACAATATTTTACCTCTGATTTTTAGACTCTTCTAACTGCCTTGGCAGACATACAGATAGTTCTTTTTACGAGTTTTTGATTCTAATTGCACTTTTCCATATCAATTCTTTATTGGAATCTTTCTGGATCAAAATTTGGTGTTGCGAAGTGAAACGTTGAGGTTATGTTTGACAGTATAGCATTTGTTTCTTAACACTCCAGCTTTTAAAATCACGACTTTCATTGAGTTACTAAAAAAATTGAAATATTTTGAATTTAGGCGTAAGAATTTCAAATTTCAGATGTAATTCAGTCTTCAGTCAGTAACATAACCTAGAAAAATATGTCAGAATTGAGACTTGGATAAAAATTAATTTGTGATAGTAAAATAATCAACAGAAAATCAAAGCTGTGATCTGTACACCACTTACGAACTGTGCGCTTCTAGGGAAACTCCACCCACTTGTAAATACCGCCCATTTGCCTTTGCATTCTTGCTGAAATGTTGAGCAAAGTTTTTAATTGTGTCTTTAGAAATTCTCTTTGGAATATAATCACTGAAGCAAGCATTTTAATGCAAAAGTGAATGCAATAGAAATTATCTGAAAGTTATTAATAAAATTCTCTCTTTTGCACCGCATATTTCAATGACTTGATTGTCTTTTAGAAAGTTCTTTGCTTAACACATTTGCAGTAATAATAATAAAATGTGTACGTAAGTTTTGCAATGCCCAGAGTCTAGTGGTTCTTATCTGGAGAGACAGAGAGAGAGAGAGAGAGAGCAATGAAATGCACACACCACATGTGGCAAAATAGCTGGATTCTGTCAGTGAGATCGTGAAAGTTGATTGAGGGAATGTAATTTCCACACCCACAAACAGCTCAATTGTAACTGTGACTCCTAAGCGGCAAATGTCGATGAAAGTGTTTTTATTCATTCGCTTTGCATGCTATTTCATCGGAAGAATGCCTTGCAAGCTTAAAAAAACCCGTACAAACACACAAACAGGAGCGTGCAAATTTTTCGTATTCATCAAAGCATATGTTTTGTGGGGGGAAAAAATGAAAGACTCTGGCTTTATTTTCTGTATCTTATCAGAAAATCCAGCATTTATATGGAGTCTGAGATACGCGTGATTGTGGCGTCAAATTGCGATCCAATTGCTCCTCATGAGCAGCATTCCACCGTCGTTTCTGGAGTGTTGTTTTGGGCGAAAGAGTTCAGAAGACACCAAGGCGGAAAGCTTGGCAATCTCAAACGGGACTGCGAACTGAACGCCGACACTGAGTCACTGGGTTACTCTTGTGGCCCATTCACGCCACGCACTTCAGCCGTTAACTCGCGGCGCTCCTCCGCGAAAAATGGTGAAGAGCAAAATTGTATTATCGCAGCGCCCAGTGAATTATATGCGCAGACCTTTTCAACGGTTGTTGAACTCTTCTTTATATGCACGATATGTTGAGAGAGAGAGAGAGAGAGAAGCTGCTGGACGCTCTCTCAACTCATTGATATTCTGCATGGCGAAGAGACATTGGTTTCACTGAAAAATTGTGGGATTTGGGCTGATGTTAAATTTGGAGTAAAGAAATTGGCCAATGGAAGACTCATAATATTCTAATGGTAGAAAATGTCTGAACGTTTGAAGCATTTTCTAGCCTTAAATCGATAAATAAATGACTGATATTCTGAATAATTACAGTAAGAATTTGACTTTTATCATTACGTTGTAAAGAGCAAAGTGCTGTAATTCACAACAACTACACAATTCTCCTTGAATGATCAACTTAACCTCCTATTCTACACTTTATATATAATCTATGAACAGGATTTGGGCCGTGGATGTGCGAAAGAAATGAAGAAATGCAAGAAAATGTTAAACAGAGGCTAAAAAACACACAAAAAGCAAGTTGACAACACCAAATCTCTTCTAGACATTCAAAACTAATGATTTAGAGCAAAATAGTTAGTGTTTTGACGTAATTTTCACTGTAATATCACGCTTATCTCTGTATTTTGTGATATTTTGGCTAAAAAGAGAGATTTGTCTTAATTTTTGAGGTTTTCTAACCTATTTTTCACTACAATAGCTTGCTTTTGAGGCGGAGCAAATTCGTGGGCGGGGCTTAAAGGGACTTTCTTTACTACTATTGCCTTGATAAATGAGGTAAATCGGGTAAATCGAGTGTTAAACGGAAAATTCTAAGCATTGTCGCGAGATGTTGTGCTAAATTGCGCGCACAAGAGACTTGAATCATGTAAATAAACATTTTTTTCTCTCACGTGTGCGCGCCTTTGAGTGAGAACCACACTTTTAATTGCCTCTTTAGAATTCGCTGAATATCAAGGTTGCTCTCAAGGTAACATTCTTCATCAAAAATAAAGGAAAAAGAAAAGATGAAGAAGTATAGCAAAATAGTAAGGAGAAAAATTCTCACCTAAGAATTTTGTCTGTTGGGACTTTTTTGGTATGGAGAAATTTCCATTTGATGTGCGCGCATCTTTGAGAAAACCAGTAGCTAATATTTCAGGCGAGTTTTTAAGGGGGAGATATTAAAGAAGATTACTTTTTGGGAAGGAATTAATTTGGATGGATACTTTTTTTTCCTCCCATTTGTGATTTATCATCAACAAGCACACACAAACACACAGAGAGAAGTAAAAATTAAGTAGTAAATTCCGGGAAGATTGCGTGATCAAATGGATGTTTTTGAAGACGGGGAAGAGGAAAAAGAGGATTTCTTAGCTCTTGTGGTGATTCTTGGGTTGTTGCCTTCTCTTCATTTCTCACATCCACCGTCAATTTGGACCTTTTTTTATCTCTCTATTCCCGAAATGCTTTTTTCTTTCCTGCTTTGAGCGCTATTTCTCTGTGTACATTTCTGTTGATTCTGTTGATTAATTGAGGATGTTTTTCCTTTTGGATTTTTGCAGGTGAAACAGGCGACGGACAAAATAGTCCTCAATGCGCTGGATGTGGCGATAAAGAAGGCCACTGTGCAAGTGATGGGCGGCGAGGTGAAAACAGCCAAAGATGTGACTTTCTCGGTGGATCAGGAGACGGCGACGCTGCTCTTCGACGCGCCACTGCCGCTGGGCGATGGTTGTCTGTACATGGAATTCTCCGGGGAGTTGAATGACAAGATGAAGGGCTTCTATCGCAGCAAGTACTTCACGCCGAGCGGCAAGGAGCGCTTCGCCGGCGTCACGCAGTTTGAGGCCACGGACGCGCGGCGCTGCTGGCCGTGCTGGGATGAGCCTGCCATCAAGGCCACCTTCGATATCACCCTGAACGTGCCGGCGGATCGCGTGGCGCTGTCCAACATGCCCGTGATCAGTGAGGAGATGCAGGAGGATGGCTGGAAGGTGGTGAAGTACCAGACGTCGCCCATCATGTCCACGTACTTGGTGGCCGTTGTGGTGGGTGAGTATGATTTTGTGGAGGCGACCAGTGAGGATGGTGTGCTGGTGCGTGTGTACACGCCGGTGGGGAAGAAGGAGCAGGGCCAGTTTGCCCTCGAGGTGGCCACCAAAGTGCTGCCGTACTACAAAGACTACTTCCAAATTGCTTATCCGCTGCCGAAGATGGATCTCATTGCCATCTCGGACTTCTCAGCTGGCGCCATGGAGAACTTTGGGCTGGTCACGTATCGTGAGACTTTCGTCCTCGTGGATCCGGAGAATACTTCTCTGATTCGCAAGCAATCCATCGCACTCACGGTGGGTCATGAGATTGCTCATCAGTGGTTTGGGAATCTTGTGACGATGGATTGGTGGACGTATTTGTGGCTGAACGAAGGCTATGCGTCCTTCGTGGAGTTTCTCTGTGTCAATCACATCTTCCCGAAGTACGATATTTGGACGCAATTCGTCACGGACATGTACACGCGCGCCTTGGAGCTGGATTGCCTGAAGAACTCCCATCCGATTGAGGTGACTGTTGGACATCCGTCGGAGATTGATGAGATCTTTGACGAGATCAGCTACAACAAGGGCGCCAGTGTCATCCGGATGCTGCATCACTATATTGGGGATGATGACTTCAGGCGTGGCATGAACATTTATCTCACGCGCCATCAGTACAAGAACACCCGGTCGGAGGATTTGTGGGCGGCCCTGGAAGAGGTGAGAATTCTACGAAATTCCTCAAGCTTCTAACTCATCCTGATGTCTTCGTCTTCTTCCTTTCAGGCTAGCAAGAAGCCCGTGGGCGCCGTGATGTCGACTTGGGTGAAGCAAATGGGCTTTCCTGTTGTGAGTGTGAAGTCGCGACAAGAGGGATCGAAGCGCATTCTCACGCTGCGTCAGGAGAAGTTCACGGCGGACGGGAAGAGTGCCAGTGGAGACATTCTCTGGATGATCCCAATTATGGTGTCCACGGCCAAGAGGCCGCAGCACGTGGCGGAGAGTTTCGTGTTGGACAAGGCGGAGACGGAGATCACGGTGGAGGACGTGGACGCCAAAGAGTGGGTGAAGATCAATCCTGGCACGATTGGCTACTATCGCACCAAGTATCCGTCAGAGATGCTAGATGCTTTCATCCCATCGATCAGGAGCATGACGTTGCCGCCTCTGGATCGTCTCGGACTGCTGGATGATCTGTTCGCTCTGGTCCAGGCGGGTCACACGCCCACGGCTGAGGCGCTGCGGCTGATGGACGCGTACAGGAATGAGAGCAACTACACTGTGTGGTCGTGCATCTCCAATTGTCTGGCCAAACTGCAGATTCTGCTGTCGCACACGGACTTGGATCAGGCCTTCAATGAGTACGGCGTGAGGCTCTATCGTCCGGTGGCGGAGAAGTTGGGCTGGGACGCAAAGCCGGGCGAGAGTCACTTGGACACGCTGCTCAGGAGTCTCGTGCTGAATCGTCTGGTGGCGTTCAATTGTCCGGATGTGGCGGAGGAGGCGCGGAAGCGCTTCCGGCTGCACACGAGCGGTGAATGTGTCCTGCCGGCCGATCTGAGGAGTGCCTGCTATCGAGCTGTGCTCCAGGACGGCGATCTCACCACGTACGAGGAGATGCTGAAGCTGTATCGCGCCACGGATCTGCATGAGGAGAAGGATCGCATCTCGCGCGCTCTGGGCGTGGTGAAGGACATGGACATCCTCAAGCGCGTCGTGCAGTTCGCCATGTCGGACGAGGTGAGGGCGCAGGACTCGATCTTCGTGATTGTGGCCGTGGCGATGAATCCCAAGGGGCGCGAGATGACGTGGAGTTTCTTCCGGGAGAACTGGCGAGTGCTGTTGGATCAGTACGAGGGTGGTTTTCTGCTGTCGCGCCTCGTCAAATATCTCACGGAGAACTTCGCCACGGAGGAGAAGGCCAAAGAGGTGGAGGCGTTCTTCAAGGAGCACCAATTCCCGGGCACCGAAAGAACTGTCTCGCAATCCGTGGAGACCATTCGGCTGAATGCCGCGTGGCTGCAGCGTGATCTCGCCAGCACCACGGACTTCCTCAGCAATCACTAGAAGAAGTATTCTTGAGAAAATCTACCGCATTTGCAATACCAACACCACTAGATTAATGTCGATTGTCCTCCCCAATTAATCAGTTCACAACAAACACCACCAGTTTTGCTAGGAGAGTACAAAGTATAGAAGTTGCCATAATTGTTGCGTTTTTTATTTGTGAAGAGTTTTCTTTAGGAGTGTTTTTTTTTCTTCTTTCTTTTTGAAGATATTTCAGCTCATTTTGTGTATTCAATTCGTAAATAAAGTGTATTTTCTCAGATTATCTCAATTGAAATTACCGAAATTGCTGTCAAAGAAGTTCTTGTGCTTCATGTTAAGATTGATTTCCCCAAAAAGCTTTTCCAACATTTCATATCGACGGGTGAATTGAAAACAGTGAAAAGTCAATTTTTCATACCAAAAACTCTCAAATTGCATTATTTTGCGAAAATGCTTCTTTAATAAACATCTCAATTTAAGATTTCTAGGATTTTCCTCAAATGTTTGTTTCTAAATTCCAAAAAAATCAACCGAAATATTCACAAAATAATAAATTTGGGGTGTTTGAGTTAAAATTCGGCAAATTGTCCAGTGAATTTCTCCATATTGAAAAATCCTTTTAAATCGACATTTAGTGTTTTATTATTTTCACTTTGTACACGTTAAAATGTGACACATGACAAACAAAAAAATGGGGGGGGGGGGAGAAATTGCTGTTTGTTAGAGAAATAGTCTCAATAAATCAAACAAAAGTTCTCCGAAAAAATAGGGAAAATCTTGGCCTCCGTAAAAGATTAAGAAGTTGTATAATGAACGATTTGCATTTCTCTTTCATGACATGAAAAAAATGAGAAAAATATCAATTATGAGATGATAAAATCTACTCAATACTACTGCATTCTTGCTCTCGCATTGCCATTTCGTTGGATTCTGTGAAGAGAAAAGTACAAAATTTAGATTCTAGAGTCATTGGAAATCCTTTTTTGTGTTACCCAAAATTTGCCCAGCCGTAATGAGAGTGTCGATGGAGATTTTGGGAATTCCACTGCTGTTCATGTCTTCCTCAGGTGTCTCCTCGTCGTGGAAATCCTCCTCCACAATAGCATCGTCCACCAGATCGGCAGAATTGCTCCCCAGCGTCACTTCGTCCTCCTCAATCTGCTCCTCTGGCCCCTCGGACAGATATGTGTATTCCAGGGAATTCTCCTCGTCGTCGCCACTCTTGCGCCGCGTCCGGATGTGATTCGTCTGCGTGTCCAGCTCCTCCTCCCAATCCGTCGTCACCACCTTCGCCCGCTTTGGCACGCGAATGGTCCGCAAATTGGCCCTGGCCGAGTCCAGGACATCGTCATTGGCTGGGAGAATGTCCACGGGCGTGTCTTCGGTGATCTGACTGGCAAATGGCACGTCCTCCTGCTGCACACTCTGCTCCTGCTGCACATCCAGCACCACCACATTGTTCTCCATCGGCTCCACTGTGATCACTTTGGGATCCTTGATGATCTTGAACACACTGTTGGCCGCATTCGCCGGCGGCGTGATGGCTTTGGCCGGTGGCGGAAGCACAAATGTCTGAATGGTCTTGGCTGGCGCCACTTTGGCCTTCACCGGATCATTCACCGCCTTCAGCACCATCTTCCCCGACGGCCCCGTGACGATCTTGATGTTATCCGGCCGCCCCTGAAGCGTCTTCAGGTTCAATCCCGCCGGAATCTTCACCTGCGTGCCCGGCGTCAGAGGCGCCGGTGTGATTTGCTGACTGATGATCTTCACTTTGGGACGCACAGGCTGACCAGCAGTCACTGTTGTTGTCACCACACTGGAGTTGAGTGTTTTCGCAATGCCACTCTGCAGGGCGCTCGTGACACTCGACGGGATCTTCTTGATAATATTCCCACCATTGGCCGCAATCAATGTGGCCAGAGAGTTGCTCGTCAAGTTCACTCTCTTCACGGCGCCCTGAACAGCCACAGAAACTCTCGATTGTCGCTCCTCTTCTGGCCAATTCTCGGCATTCATCACATCACCCGGAGGAGTGTCAATCTTCTTCACCACCGCCTTCCCGGCAGACGTTCCCAGTTGACTGAGTTTCGTCAGATTCGTCGTGATGTCCTTCTTCGATGTGGCAATTTGGGGCAACAATTGGATTGGCGTCCTTCCGCTCTCCTCCAGCGGAGACTTTATCTCACTCACAGTGCGCTTCAGCGTGGCAGGAAGTGGAGCAGGACTCGCGTAGGAGTGCATAATTCTGCTGGCCAGATTGCTCTTCTCACTGTCCGACAGCGGAGACTTCTTCGGCGATGTCCACTTGAGATTCTTCACTCGCTTGGCGCTTGTCTTCTTCTCCGGCGACTCTCGGCGCATCTCCAGCATTTCCTTGCCCTTCCCACTGGGTGAGGCTTGAACAAATCGCTTCTTGGCCAGTGGAAAACTCTCTTGCGACGCCACTGAACGTTTTCCATCCTTCCGCGGCGTCATTCTCGGCACAAACTGCAAAGAAAGTGGATGAAATTACAGGAAATCCATTAAGAATCTCGGATTCTCTCACACCCACCTCACCCTCCATGACCACTGGCGCTGAGGACGTGTGCAGGAGTGGCTTGAACAGTCTCTCCGTGTCTGAGGGATGTGGCAGCATTGAATTCTGTCGCGATCCTTCCGCCACGGCCGCGTCCGCGATTGGCGTCAGCGCGGTGTGAATTGTGTCCCGCGGGAAGAACGGGAACGTCCGTCGTCCCTCGCGGCTCCACTCGTGTGACGTGTTGGGGCCACACATCTTCGTGGCCACCGTGTTCAGCTCCTCATCGTGCGCCACCCTGCGAGCCTCGCAGCGATGCCTGTCCACTGAGATGTGGAGGATCACCTGCAGATCCTTCAGTATGCCCATCTTCCTCTCCGTCAGATGACCCTGAGCCCGGAAGGTGCTCACCACACTCGAGTAGGCGTCCAATTCTGCAGAAGAGAGAGTCGAGAGAGAGTGAACATTTGTTTTGAAAACAAACAAGAATTGCCTCCAAAATTTCTTGCTGCTTGTTTTGCCTGCCAGTCAACCGAGCAAAACTCACCCAAACGCCTCAAAACACTGCGACACTCGTCTCTCGTCATATCCACAGTTGTTGGCCACATCGTTTGCCACGGTTTATGTACAATGTAGTGCAAAAGAACGCGAGAAAATAGTTAGAAAACAAATTTTGTCACTCAACGTCAATCCGCCATGATTTTGCGCTGTCTTGCGCGGCGAGTTTTCAGCTTGACCCAGTGGAAAGTTCCGAGGAAGTCGTCAGGACACATCTTTGCATCTCAGTTTTCTTCAAGAAACACAGGGCAAATCAATGCGATCGACATAGCGTAGTTAATATACATGCAGAAAAAGCCACAAATTTACATTTACAATTCCCTAATTATCTCCTTGTATTTTATTTATGCCTGAATCATAATTAGACAAAACATAGGACACTTCCACAGAACCCGCGAGCGGGTTCGGATGAAATTTTGAAGTTTTGACGTTTTGACGCGCGGGATACAGCACAGCAGAGTGTGTGTTTTCCAATTCGCGGTGTGAATTAGAAAATGATCTCGTGAGTGTTTTTAGCGTGAAAAAGTGTGATGAAATTCAAAGTTGACACCGCCGATTTCGTGCGTCGCGTGCGCCGTTTGCACGACACCAACTACAGCTTGACGTATCGACGCCTGTTCTTCCTGCTGCTCGCGGTGGCGGTGGTGCTGCTGTACTTGGGCCCCTCGATTTTCCGATGGCTCTTTGGGGCGCCAGAAGTGCCCAAGGATCCCCTGCTCCACTGCATGGATGACCGCTTGACACCCTTCTACGTGCCCTCGATGGAGTTCAACGCCAACATCCGCCACAGTCCGCCTTTCCCGCACGAGAGGAACATCATTCCATACGTGGGCAATGGATACTTCGGGCTGGAGATCCAGGAAGACGCCCATCTGAGCATCAAGAGTGGCAGGACGCTGATGCTGCCCGTGTACTTTCACCCCATCGTGTCGCTGTCGTCGAAGAATGCCGGGAATCAGGAGGCCACAGCCGTGGATTACGCCTCTGGGATGGTGCACAGGTTCCAGTGCTTCGAGGATGGGTACTTTGTCATCTACAAGTACTACGCCCACCGCACCATGCCCAATGTGCTCGTGCAGGAGATCCAGGTGACCAACACGAAGAATCAGCTGATCGACGTGGAACTCGTGCTGCCCAGAATATCCGACTGGCCAACGGCAGTGTCGCAGATCAAGCATCTCCAGCACGGCTCCAACATTATCGAGTACCAAGTGGTCACGGGCTTGGTGGAGCTGAACGACAACAAGGGCCACGCCGTGACAGTGTCAGTGGTGTCCAGACACATTCCCAGGACGCTGACGCTGAAGAAGCGCGGCATCACGAAGCTGGAGCTGCTCTCCACCATCGTGTATTCCGATCCCATTTCCATGGACATGTATCTGAAGGCGCAGGTGAAGGACAGGACGGAGAAGGCGGCGATTGAGGCGATGGAGAAGGCGCTTCAAGAAGCAGTGCACGATGATTCAGGTGAATTCTTATCAATTCCCACTTGCACAATCACCGCTGACGCTCTAAACTATTCCAGGTGCTGGATATTATGGCTTCCAGCGACGTCATGCGCGCGTGTGGAACAGTCTGTGGGCGACTGGCTTTGAGATCAGCACCAGCAAGGCTGAAAACTCCCTCAACGGCGACCGCATAAACGCCACAATGTACGCCGTCTTGTCGCAGGCGCGCTCTTATGAGTTCGAGGAGAGCGTGAGTCCGCAGCGCAAGACGGAGATCTCCAATCTGCTAGCCACCGAGGCCGAGGGATGCTTCGACAGTCACCACACCCTCCAGGCGGAGACGCTGTGGAGCGACATGTCCACGCTGGAGGAGTTCAACAGCGTCACGAGCTCGTGGATGTTGACGCTGGAGAAGCAGGGATGCCACAATCTCCTCCATGCCGGCGCCAGTGGTCTCATCCAAGCCATGGTGTTGAGCTTCGGCGGCTTCCGCTTCAGCAATCAACACCTGGAGATGAACATCCATCCGAAATACCTTCATCGCGAGTACAACTTCCGGCGTCTGAACTACGGCAACATGACGCACGTGAATGTGTCTGTGTCCGTGAAGGACGACAACAAGGCTGTTCTCTACGTCGCCCTGGACAGATTGGATCGCAATTACTATGCCTGCGATGCGGGCTGTCTGGACGATCCTGTGCCTCTCAGTCAGACTCGACGGCGCTTCCCAGTGAAGCTCACGGAACCCTTGACGGCCATTCTCTACATCACGGCCGATCGCCAGCACATCGAGGAGCTCCACCACGCGATTCACGTGAAGGAGGTTGTGGAGGCGCCAGCGCACGAACACCACGTGATTGCGCTGCACAAGCACGGCCACCACTTGGCCGGACTGCCCAAGATCTTCTGGATCAGCGTGTGCAGCCTCATTGTCGTCTTCCACATCTTCCTGTGCAAGCTGATCGTGAAGGAATACTGCGAACCGCCGGACAAAATGCGCTACCGCTACAGCAAACCATAATCCGTGGCACAGCGAGTGATACTTTCTTTTCTGTTTTCTTAAGACTTTTATCAAGAGGGAGATTAACAAGCGCGCAAATCGATGTGAATTAATTCTTTTTGGCATAAATTGTTGATTTTTTCCGAGTACTTCTGAGCTGAGCTAAAGCACGGTCTTCGGTTTGTCAGTGAGTCTAGAAGTAAATGGCACGATTTGGGTCCAAATTTGATGTTAAAGCTGCACTAATTACCCGTCCAATGACACCTCAAGCTTAAGATTTCAAGTGTCTTTGAACCCTAATTCAACCGAGCTCTCGAAAACTTCCACTCGTCAGAACATTAGAAGTCTTTTTTTCTCAGTGACGCTTTAACAATACTAATTATAATAAAAGTCTCCCTCTTGACTTTACAACACTTTTGCGTTCACGCCCTTAAGGAAAAATGGGGCTCAACGATCGTCAAAGCTGCAATAATAATAAATTATATGTAATCTAAACACGCGTTGTTTGTAATTTTTGTATTTCAACTACTCTAAAATTCAATTCTTTTTCTTCTTCCGCTCATCCACTGTGATACCCTGTGATCTCTGGTACTCCTGGATGAGCTTCTCCTGCACCTCCGGCAAGCAGGGCGAGTACCGTGAGTACTCCATCGTGAACTCACCCTTGCCCTGCGTCGACGAGCGCAATTCTCCGGCGTAGCCAAACATGTCGTTCAGCGGCACTTCGGCGTACGTCGTGAACCAGCCCTCATTCCCGTCCGTGCCGGTGATGATGCCGTGTCGCTTGCTCAGCTGTCCCAGGATTGCGCCCTGGAACTCCTCTGGCGCCGTCACTTCCACCGACATGATGGGCTCCAAGATCTGCCACGCGCCATTCTCGAACACATCCCGAATGGCACCCTGGGCGGCCAGGAAGAAAGAGTACTCACTGGAGTCCACCATGTGATGAGCGCCGTCCTGCAGACGGAATTTCAGCCCCGCCAGTCGATGGCCCGTGAGCAGTCCCTTCTCCGCCATGGCGCGGAATCCCTTCTCAATGCCTGGGATGAAGGGCTTGGGCACGTTCGTGCCTATCGTCTCGTCCGCGAATTCCAGCAGTGTGTTCTGCGTGGGCGGCAGAGGCTCCAGAATCCCCGTCACGCGTCCATACTGTCCCTGTCCGCCGGACTGCTTCTTGTGCAGATAGTCAAAGGCGCAGGGCGCCACCAGAGTCTCCCTGAACGCCACCTTGGGCTTCCCCAGCACCACCGGACATCCGTACTCCCTCTCCATTCGCTGCGCATAGATCTCCAGATGCAGCTCGCCCATGCCCGAGACGAGAGTCTCCTTCACATCGGTATCGTAGTGGAAATGGAATGTGGGATCTTCTTTGGTGAACCGCGCGATGGCCTTTGAGAAGTTGTCGCGATCCTTATTGTTAGCCGGCACAATTGACATCGACACCACCGGATCGGGCACATAGATGGACTCCATCGAGAGCGGTGACTTGGGATTCAGCACAAAAGTGTCACCACTGGCGCAATCCACGCCGAACAGGGCGAAAATGTCCCCGGCAAACACTTCATTTACATCCTCCATTTGATTCGAGTGCAGCCGCACCAGTCGCGAGATCCTCACCTTCTTATCCGTGCGTGTGTTGTAGATGTTGTCACCCTTCCTGAGACATCCCTGGTAGCATCTCAGATACGTGAGTTGCCCAAAACGTCCAGCTTCGAGCTTAAATGCCAGTCCAACGAAGGGATGCGAATCATCTCGTGCCGAATTGAGCACGATTGTCTCAGTGGGCTGTCCCTCCTTCTCCACCAGCGCTGTATTCTCCACCTCACCGGGATTGGGCAGATAATCCAGCACGGCGTCCAGAAGAGGCTGCACACCTTTATTCTTCAGCGCTGTGCCGAGTAAAACCGGCGTGAATTTCCTCTTCAGACACGCTCGTCGAATGGCAGCCGCAATGTCCTTCTCAGTCACTCCCTTGTCCTCCAGAAACAGCTCACCAAGTGTGTCATCCACATTCGAGAGATGCTCAATCAATTCCTGTCGCTTCTCCTCCGTCTCGGTTCTCATGTTCTGTGGCACTTCGTCGCGACGGATCTTCATGCCGAAATCACCTTCGAAGAAGATTGCCTCGTTCTTCACAATGTCCACCACGCCCTGACACTCGGACTCCAGACCAATGGGCAGTTGGAGGAAGGCGGCATTGTGATTCAACTTGGAGCGCATCTGATGCAGAACTCGATAGGGATTCGCGCCCATTCGATCGAGTTTGTTGATGAAGGCCAAGCAGGGAACATTGTACCGCTTCATCTGCCTATTGACCGTCAAAGTCTGGCTCTGGACACCGCCGACAGCGCACAGGACCAGAATGGCTCCGTCCAGGACGCGAAGGGCTCTCTCCACCTCCACAGTGAAGTCCACATGCCCAGGAGTGTCGATTATGTTGATATTGTGGTCATTCCAGATGGTGTACGTAGCCGCGGATTGAATGGTGATCCCGCGCTGTCTCTCCAGCTCCATCGAGTCCATCGTAGCGCCCACATTGTCCTTGCCCTTCACCTCATGCATCGTGTTTATCCGACCGGTGTAGAACAGAATCCGCTCCGTGAGTGTCGTTTTGCCGCTGTCGATGTGAGCGGATATTCCAATATTCCGGATCTTCTGCAGAGGCTTGTGCTCTGCAAATTGGGCATGCGAGGAGAAGTACCGAGGATTCTGTCCGGGAAAAGGGATCTTTAATTAGTAGTGAGGTTATGGGATGTTGCATCACACTCTTCACGCTTACAAACGCCACTGATCTGCCCACGTGACCACTCCTCAGGGTGACTGGGAGTCTCAGAACACTAAAGATAGCCATATCCGGATTCAACACAGACAGATCAAGGAAATATCACATAAAATCCTGGAGCAGGAAAAAACACTCGCGTTTTTCACTGGATGGTGGCGCTCAAGTCGACAAAGAGATTATCCCAAAAGACAATTCATTTTATCCAAGATGTCATAACCTCAATTAAAGTTGAAAATAACTTTTAGAAAATAGCATAAAATTCAGCAAAAATATGAATTATCGTGCTTGGAGGAGTTGTAAATTGATTCACATACTTTCTCTGCATTCTCCTGCACGTAATTTATCGAGTGTCAGTGGAAGCGTCTCGAGTTACTGCCTGAATTCTGTGAAGTACGTTCCTCTTGAGGAGTGTTTTGATTTGCTAACAAGTTTACTTTTTCCCAGAAATCACGACTATGAGAACTTCCTGGCACTTCTGCTGCTAGACAATTCGCTGATGCAGAAAGCCTTCTGCATCAGGGCGTTCAATGTGGAAGTGGCACGAGTGAATGATCAGGTTTCTGAGGCAAAAATAGGTGAAATGAGACTGAAATTCTGGGAGGACACAATTGATAAGATCTTCAGTCCTGAGGATGTCCCTATTCCGGAACATCCCATAGCCAAGGCGCTGAAAAACACCACAATGGAGTGCAAATTATCAAAAATGTACTTCCAACGCCTGGTCAAGTCCAGACGAAGACTGGGAAATGTGTCCTTTCTCACGGTGAAAGAAATGGAGGATTACGCTGAGCAGACAAACTCCAGCATTTACTACCTAATCCTGGAGGCTGCTGGTGTGAAGAATCTCCACGCGGATCACGCGGCATCTCACTTGGGCAAGGCGCAGGGAATCAGCAATATAATTCGCTCTTTGCCACATCAGCGACGCAATGCCATCATCCCAATTCCTCAGGAGACTCTGCTGAAGCACGGCGTGAGTCAGGAGAGGATCTATCGCGACCAGGAGAGTGATAAGGGTGTGGAAAACTGTGTCTTCGAGATTGCAACAGTGGCTCATCAGCATCTTGAGAAAGCTCGTTCGATGAAAGATCAAATTCCTCGGGATTGTCTGCCAATTCTTCTTCCGGGAATTGCAATTGATCGATACTTGGAGCGCTTGAGGAGAGCACATTTTCACCCCTCGGTAGAAATGCTGCGGAAGAGGGACAATCTTCTGCCTATTTCACTCAAGTGGAATCGAATGCGCTCTAAATTCTAAGAGCGTTTGTGGCAAAATATCTAATTGTGAACATAAAGTGAATAAAATAGTCTGTCAGTGACATAATTGGAAAATTGTATTAAGGATTAATAAGTTGACTGATGGAGTTGAGGATGAAATCGTCTTAACTAACGCTCTTTATCACAGAATGCTTACGAATATGATTGCGAAATCTCTTATTGTAAGAGAGAACTTTCAACTTATCCATGTAAAAATTTTCTTTTAGCAGCGATAAGAGGAAAAGGATGCAATTATAAAGATTTTTTGGTATTGCTTGCAAAGTAGTTTACTTCAAAATAGGGTCATCGAATGTTAAGTGGAAGGATTGGAAGGTTATTTCCCGCCAGCTGCATTCGCTGCAGCTAAGAGCGTAGAAAGCACGTCTGTAAAAGAGAAATGGCACATTAGTTACACGTTAAAATTTCTAAAATCGTTAAGAATCCAAAGAAACAAATATTGGTAACACGAAAATTACCTTTTACTTGGTTTAGTACGTCATTTACAGCATCCGTTGCAATAACTGATCGATCTGGATTTACTGGAACAGTTACAGTTCCTGGATTATTTCCATTGTTTCCGCCATTGTTTCCGCCATTATTTCCTCCATTGTTTCCTCCGTTTCCTCCATTGTTTCCGCCATTGTTTCCTCCGTTGTTTCCTCCATTGCTTTCAGAATTGTCCCAATGATCCCAATCATGTGGTTTTGGCATCGCCAAGGAAACAACTGTACAAATCAGTTACAAGACACACCATTATATTCACTAAAAAGAATTATCACAGTAAGTGAAGAAATTACCAATCAACTGAAGGATCAAAAGAAGAATTACAGACGAGCGATTGCTCAGAAACAGTCGTTTCCACTCCATTTTCAAAGAAGAACTGATCTTTGAAATATATTTCCTCGATTTTATATTATATGAAATAAAAAGCCCTGGTGAATCGTGAGGTTTCTGCAATTAGAAAAATCGTGATTACTTTTCTTCAATATTGTTTATGAGTAACAAAAATTGTTACTCACCGAAACTCAAGGCGAAACCAGAAGAAAGGACACAACAACAAGTTTTCTGGAGTTTATAAATTATAAATGTTTGAAAGAATTAGCAACATTTGCAAAAAAGTTAAGTGTGGAATCGTGACTGAATATTGAATACAAATAAAACTCCTCAACAACCAACCCAGTGACAAATTAAAGTAATCTTTCTTATCTTACCCATTACCATTCTTTATTCTTTTTCAATTCGCTAATTATGCAATGTTAAAGACGAATGATAAAAATTCAATAGTTTCCTGCTGTGGATATTGCTGATCTTCGTGTTGCAATGAAAACAGAACAAATTAGTAGTGCGAAGATTCAGTCGTAGAACATTCTGTCGATGATTCAGTGGTTGAAGAAGATTCCGTTGTTGATGAACATTCCGTTGTTGAAGATTCCGTTGTTGAAGATTCCGTTGTTGATGAAGATTCCGTTGTTGAAGATTCCGTTGTTGAAGATTCCGTTGTTGATGAACATTCCGTTGTTGAAGATTCCGTTGTTGAAGATTCCGTTGTTGAAGATTCCGTTGTTGATGAACAGTCTGTTGTAGACTCAGTGGAGGATTCCGTTGAGAATTCCGTTGTTGTTGTCCATGATTTCCACCATTTCCACGGTTTTTCATTTTTTGGTGGTGCCCAGTGATGATTAAATGTATCATGAACTGCAAAGAATGTTTAATTCAACATTGATTTAGTACTCGGTTTGGTGTTTATTAACATCAAATGGAATTTTGAAAAATAGAGACAATAATTCTGATAAGATTTTTTTCGTTTTTTCTCAGTGTATTCCATCTGGCAACTCGCGTGAGACGAAACATCGCATGCGATGTCACAGTGACAGTGGGTCGATGTTCTGAGAAAATGCCGAAATGAAGGTTTGTGTATGAATTTTCTCAATTTTCAAGTGAAAAGCCCCAACTTTACGCTCAAATTTCCATTGAATATCAGAGAAAGAGTGCTTTTTCTCGTTTTGGTTATGTTTTCCCGTGACAATTGTGTGCAAATAATTGGTTTTTCACAAATGAAAGACATCGTTTGACATGTCAACAGGAATTGCTAATTTGTTGTTTTTCTCTGGCGGATTTGCAGAAAATCAATCAGCACAAATTGCAGGCCTTCGCCGTGGGGGCGATGGGCCAGAGGGGGTTGTCGCGGAAGGAGCAGGAGGAGCAGAAGAAGCGCGAGGAGGAGCAGGCAGCGGCTCACGTAAATAAGAATGTTTTGATTTGAGTTCAGGGAAAGATTTTCAATGTTGGTTTTCGCTGCTTTCAGGCATTCCAGGAGTTTGTCGAGACGTTCCAAGAGGCTCCGAGTACGCTGTCGAAGGTCTGGGTGAAGGCAGGAACTTACGATGCCGGCTCCCGAAGTGAGTATCCTCGGCCCAGACAATCATGGGCGTCTTGGTTTTATCGTTACTCTTGTTCTTTTGTGCAGAGGAAGATCATCGCGAGCGCGGGAAGCTGTACAAGCCCATGTCTAAGCTGGCGGAAGAGAAGAGTTCCACGGAGAAAGCATCAGAATATGCCATGCATTTAGCCGGAGAGTCGAAGAATCAGGAGAATCGGCTGAAGAAGAAGAGTCAGGAGAAGAAGAAGAGCAATCTTGAGCTGTTCAAGGAAGAATTGAGAATGTAAACTGAATGAGAATTGCTGCTGGGGCCTCTTGACGAACTGTTTTGTCTTTTCAGGATCCAGGAAGAGCGAGAGGAGCGCCACAAGTACAAGAATGTGGCCAGATCGATGCTCACGCACTTGGATTCGGAGCCTGGCGTGAAGGAGAACGACGTGGGCTCCTTTGACAATGGCGATCCCAACACAACCAATCTCTATCTGGGCAATCTATCGCCCAAAATCACCGAGCAGCAGCTGATGGAGTTGTTTGGCAAGTACGGACCGCTGGCCAGCATCAAGATTATGTGGCCGCGGAGTGAGGAGGAGAAGAATCGTGGCAGGAATTGCGGCTTCGTGGCCTACATGAGTCGCCGTGACGCCGAGAGAGCGCTGAAATGCCTCAATGGATGCGATGTGATGGGATATGAGATGAAGCTGGGCTGGGGCAAGTCAGTGCCCATTCTCAATCATCCCATCTACATCCCACCGGCTCTCGTGGAGTACTCAATGCCACCACCGCCCTCGGGTCTGCCCTTCAATGCCCAGACAGCCGGAGATCCGGTGCCGGAACGCGTTCCCTCGGCCGAATACATGAACAGTGCCGATGCCAAGGCAGAACTTGACTCTGTTCTCCGGGAATCTGTAGTGAAGGTGGTCATTCCGACGGACAGGACACTGCTGGCGCTCATCCATCGCATGATTGAGTTTGTGGTGCGCGAAGGTCCACTTTTTGAGGCGATGATCATGAACAGGGAGATTGAGAATCCCATGTTTCGCTTCCTCTTCGAGAACGACAGTCCGGCTCACATTTACTATCGCTGGAAGCTCTTCTCACTCCTCCAGGGTGACACGCCGAGTGAGTGGCGCGAGCGTGAGTTTCGGATGTTCGTCGGTGGCTCAGTGTGGAAGCCGCCGCCGCTGAATTTCTACACTCAAGGCATGCCAGACGAACTGGTGCCCGAAGATGCCAATTCGGAGAGCAACAAGGGCGCCTTGTCGACAGCTCAGCGTGATCGTCTTGAGGATCTAATCAGACATTTAACACCGGAAAGAACAAAGATTGGCGATGCGATGATTTTCTGCATTGAACATGCCGATGCGGCGGATGAAATTTGCGAGTGTATCGCCGAATCGATGGCCAATAGCGAAACATTGGTGCACAAGAAGATCGCCCGATTGTATCTCATCTCTGACATCCTGCACAATTGTTCCGTTAAAGTACAAAATGCCAGCTTCTTCCGAAAAGCGTGAGTAGAAGAGATTTTTCAACATATTTTATGATCAACTGATCAAAAACTTCAATCTAAATCCCTTTTGGAATACACTTACCGCGCTTATTTCCAAATTGCGGTCCCCAAATGTGCATAACTGACTGAATTGTGTGACCTATAAGAAAGAAGGAAAGCAGAAGAACTCTTAGTCACAGCTTAAATATCTTTGTTGCTATCTGCAATATATATTAAGTGTGAATCATGAAAATGTAGGAAAATCACCACAAAACAAATCGTGATATTGAAAAATAAGTTTGACATACCAATTTTTTTAAAAAACGGTTCAGCCTGAGTTGAATCTGTATAAAATCACATAAAAATGTAGGTTTTAAAGCAGTTTTGTCACAATAATGATTGCAAGATTCTTACTTATCCATAGAGAAAGCATCATCAAGAGGAATATTGGGTAGATTTTGAATGAATTCTTAGTCACAGTCATATTTGCACTGAAAATTCACTTTAACTCTGCGTGTCCTAATGCTGAACTGACGAAAGAATTGCTGTGAATTTCCTTGACATCACTTTTTTAAAGAGAATTGTGAAACTTGTGCTTTGGAGAATAGTTTAAATTATCCACACTTGTCACGATTTCGTGCTGATAAATCGTGTGTTTGTGTCTTTGTTTCTTTGCAGAATGGAGAGAAACCTCTTGGACATCTTCAAGGAGCTCAACACAGCGTACATGGGCGTGGAGAGTCGCCTGAAGGCGGAGGGCTTCAAGGTGCGCGTGCTGCAAGTGTGTCGAACGTGGGAAGAGTGGGTTGTGTATCCGCGGGATTTCCTGCTGAAGCTGCGCAACACTTTCCTGGGGCAGATCGAAGAAGTGGTGGAAGAGCTCGACGGGGCGCCGCTGTCTGGGGATGAGAAGGACGATGAGGATCTCGATGGTGTGCCTCTGGATGGCGCGGCGCTGCTCAAGAGCGCCATGCTGAGGGGTTTGCCGGACATTGTGGCGTCCGAGAGTGGCTCCAGGTCGGCCATGGACAGGAACAGTCATGACAGCGATATGGATGATGATATTGATGGTGTGCCACTGGATGAGGACATCGATGGGATTCCGCTGGGCAGTGCGTTCGGCAAGGGTGCTGCTGGTGGAGCATTTGTGCCATCAAAGTGGGAAACTGTCGATCCGGAGCAGATTGAGGCGCAAGCGATCACGACCAGCAAGTGGGACAAGTTGAATCCCGTCACGCCTGATCCACCGCGAATTGGCGGCGATTCGGATGACAGTAATGATGATGCATTGAGTCTGGGAACGTCAGAATCCGCCAGGGATTACGATGAGGAGCGCAGGACACGATTGCGTGAGATTGAGCTGAAAATCCTGCAATATCAGGACGAATTGGAGTCGGGAAAGAGGACATTGAAGACAGGTTGGACGCTGTCGCAGCAATTGGAGCACTTCCGGCGAAAACTCATGAAGAAAGTGAGTAGAAAATGTTGAGATGATGAGAAAATATGCTAAAATTCGAGATTTTCCAGTCCCTGCGTGATCCTCGAGGGCAGGACAACTCAGACTCCGCTTCAGAGAAGTATTCATCCAGTTCGAGGGAGAAGAAATCCGACAGACGCAGTTTAAGTCCTCCAGAGTAAGAGAAATTATTATATTATTGCCTTTGCGAAGGACTTTTTTGCTAATTGATCTTTCTTGAAGATCATCTAAAAGAGCATCACATCGATCACGATCGCCGTATGTTAAGAAATCTGCCAGAGACTCAATTTCACCGCCCAGCAGTAGGAATTTAAAGTAAGTGGTTTATCCTGGTTTAATTGGCAGATGATCAGTATTTTCTTCCCCGAAAAGGTTGAAACGCGGTCGATCGCGCAGTGCTTCGGACTCGCCAAAGAGATACAGAGACAGGCGATATGAGCAGAGTCCGCCGAGGAAGCATCGCAGCCCGTCGCCGAGGAGCTCGAGATCGAGCAGGGACTTCGGGAGGGAAGTGTCGCCTGTCTCCTCGTCCTCGGCGCGCTACAGCAGCAGCAGCACTTCCACAAAATCCCCACCGAGTCGCCATCGATCGGACAAGCACAAGCACAGACACAAATACTAGGCGATCGCCTGAATTGTGCAGATCGCGTGAGTTTCCTTCCCCTTTTTCATGATGATTCAGTTCAGTCGTTGTCAATTGTGTGGAAAATTGTATAATGTAGGGAGAAATAGAGAGAGACAAAAAGGTCACAAGATGGGCGAAAAGGCGAATGAAAATAAAAGGAAGAGTGAAAATTGGACACTTTTGTCATGCTTTCTTCGGGAGTTTCTGCAAATAATATTCTGATTCTTTTCTCTCACAAGATTTATTTCATTACATTCATCATTATTACATTATATCATTGACTGAACTTTAATTTGACTTGCAAAGTTAAATTAAAATACACGCAAATTGCAGATTAATTGTAATCCATGTAAGATTTCTCACGCATCTCATATTATAGGGTGGATGTGATTAATCAGCACCAATATCCAGGTCCAAATTCGCGCCCCAATCCGTCAAACCTAGTAACAGAAATATTGATTCTCTATTGATAGTTTTTTTTCTCACACGACTTGAATTCACTCTCATAGAATTGATTTGAAATTGAATTCAAGAAAGTATTCAACACATCTGCAGATTTTTCCATACTCTGTAAGTGATAAATGTACATACTTGAGCCATCTGCATCACTTAGTGAAACACTGGCATACGGACTTCCCGAGTCAAAATCTACATCTACTGCCGTGCCTAGAAGCCGACCTGCAAAAATTATTGATATAGACACCTTTGAAGGTGGGAAATCCTTCACAGTAATATATATAAATGAAAATACACACTTCGCCATGATAAATTGGGCTCATTAGGCATCAGATTGCTGCTCATGCTCCCTGAGAAAGGTAAAATGTATTTTATTTCATTTGCAACCCTTTCTAGTAATCAATAAAATATACTTACAATCGATCGCATTACCTATAAAAGAGAGAGGAAAAAAATTGATAATTTGTTCAGTTCCATGATAAGAAAAAAGAGATTTCTTACCAATAGATCCACTTTGACTAAACCCATCTCCAATCAGAGCGACTCGCTCTAAAGTTAATGTTCAGCAAACGTTATTAAAATGGATGCATGCTGAGTTATGTATGTTGTATTCTATGACCTTACCATTAATTCTTAGTGCTCGTATGTCAAAATTTGTCCCATCAGTTAACGCTCTCAATGCATCCGTTGGAGATCTTACAAACTGGTTCAGTAACGGCAGAGTCACCAATGAATCTTGAGGTTAAATAAAGAAAAAAAGGCCTCGACAATTAGTACAAAAGCAAAATTTTCATAATTACCAATTAAATCTAGAATAGAATTAATTGAATGGTACATACCTGAGCCATCTGCATCATTTACTGATAAAATAGCATACGAACGTCCAGAGTCTAACCCTAAGTCTACTGCCTTGCCCAGTAACTGACCTGCAAAAATTATTGATTTACTGTCGAGGCTCTAAAAACCACTTACACAATGCAAGCAATGAGTTCTAATGGGAAAATATATGTGAAATCACGATTTCTATTGCGACGTGACTAAAGACTCTTTGGGGTCTTCTAATTTTACAGCGAACTGAATTAGTGCTAATTTAAAGAAAAATTCAAAGACACTGGACGTCTTTATACCATCAACGTGTTGTTTCGTGCGTGACACGTGAATTAAGCCTCGTTCGCAGTGTGTACGGAAAAATCTGTGGCTATAAACTGCCTAAATATCCTCTCGGTTTAGCATATGTGTGTAAAGCGCCTAGTAACATATGAAAATACTCACCTCTCCATGTGAATTTGGGCTGATTAGGCTCAGGATTGGTCACCAAACGCCCTGAGAAAGGTAAAAAGTTTTTTTTTTTTCATTTTATTTGGAACCTTATGCAATAGGTAATAAAATATACTTACATTCGATTATATCACCTATAAAAGGGAAAAGAAAAGATTTGAATAGTTTATTCATTTCCATGATAAGAAAAAAAAAAGATTTCTTACCAAAAGATCCACTTTGTCTAAATCCATCTTCAGTCCAATTGATTTGCTCTGAAGAAAGAAATTTGTACAAATAGTCGCGAGCATGGTGCGTTATATTCACGGACTTACCATTAAGCACTGGGGTTCGTATGCCTACGTCTACATCAATATCTCTCCCAGTCAATTCTCTCCAGACATCTGCTGCGGTGGTTGCAACCACGTTTAGTAACGGCAGAGTCACCGATAAATCTTGAGAAAATAATCTTGGGTGAAATAAAGAAAAGAATCCTCGATTAATGAAAGTTACCAAGTTTTTGTAAAACCAGAAAACAAATCAGTATTGCACGGAATCTCACTACAGATCCTGACGATGCCATTTCAACAGTGAACAGTGAAGCCAAGACTGAATTGAAAGTTTCACAATTTTCCATAGAATGTTTCTAAATTACTGGTTTTTCCAAGGTTTTTCGTGATGTTTGTTCCTGAGTTAAAAAAACATTACTTCTTCACGAAGTCTAGCTTAAATGTGTGCAATAAAAGTAAAATTTCACATGTTATTGAGCAAATTTATTATCTTTGGTCTTGTGGCCGAAAAGACTGGGACCGTACAGCATTAAAAGGAAAAAAAATTATTATCTACAAATTAACTAGTAATTTTTTCTATCAAACATATTAACCAAGGAGCTGCAAATCCTTCTGTAAATCTTACAAAAGGACCCAAAATCGGGAATTCCCCGGTTTACCAAATTCCGAAACACTGCGAAAAATCATCCGAATTTGACAGTCGTCAAAAGTCAGGTTATCTCGGTGATCTGGTGTGGGATTGTTTTGCTATTTTCCTGTTGAAAAATCACAAGGAAAAACTTAATAGAAGATGCTGAAGAGTTTGTCACTGGCTTCTAGAGTTTTTGGAGTGTCAGGACAGCGACTGGCATCGCAAAGTGCAGCGGTGCAAAAGGAGAAATGGGATCTTCTTGCCGGTGTACTCGTTGAGAGACTCCCGGTGCTTGGGAAGACTCTCAAGCCCATTGAAGTCAAGTATCAGGTACTCCAGATCCTTTCTCTGTAAAATCACCACTTAATTTGTGAAAATCTCTCCCAGAAAATGCTGAATGACATAGAATTTGAGCAAAGCATGCTGAGCGACCACGAGAGGCGACACCAAAGGGATCAGGTGGCGGCTGAGCGCTTCAAGAAGGGTCTGGATGTGGACTTGGATGAGGTGGCGAGCAAGCAGACAGCACAGGACTATGAGGATGCCTGTGACGCGGAGTTGGCCAGCTTCAAATTGGCTGAGAGGATCACCGAAGCCGATAAGAAGAACGATGTCACGTCAACACAGAGGAAACTCGAGGATACTCTAATCTTGCTAGTTGAACAGACAGTGGGGAGCAAGAAGATTCTCCTGCTGCCTCAGGGAGTGCGTCAGGAGGGTGAGACAATGCGCCAGACAGCGGATAGAGTGATCCGAGAAGTTTGTGGTGACAAACTCAGAGTTCAGGTGTACGGAAACGCTCCTGTGGGCTTCTACAAATACAAATACCCAGTAAATCAGCGAAAAGATACCGTGGGCGCCAAAGTGTTCTTCTTCCGAGCGGCTCACGTCGATGGAAAGGCTTCCGGAAAGATTTTATGGCAGTCTAAAGAGGAAATTGAAGGGAAACTCCCGGAGGAATACTTGAAAAGTGTCCGACAATTCATTCTGTAGCACTTATGATTCATATTAGAAAAGTTTAGAGCGTCTGTAATGAGAAAAAGCCTGTTTTTGGGGAGTCTGGGGAATTCTTCCGGAGACATTTGCTTGGATTCCTCGCATTGGCGTTGCACTGACAATTGTTAAGTTTCGTTCAACTGTCAGTTTTGAGCAGAGTCATCGTTTTATTTGTTATCGCTTTCTGGTGTTTTTGGGGCGCTCTAGAAGAAATAATGGCAGTCCGGGTGATAAATGATGAGACCCACTTCCAGGCGGAACTTTCGGCAGCTGGAATAAAGCTCGTTGTGGTTGATTTCACGGCCACCTGGTAAGTCTTAACCTCACACTTGTCTTTCCGGGGGAGTTAACATGAGTGTGGGGGCTCTTTTCAGGTGTGGCCCATGCCAGAGAGTCGCTCCGCTGTTCGAGCAACTGCCCGGCAAGTATCCCAAAGCTGTCTTCCTCAAGGTGGACGTGGATAAGTGTGCTGAAACGGCGGCCGCTCAGGGAGTCTCAGCGATGCCAACGTTTATCCTGTACCGGAATCGCCAGAAGATCGACCGGCTGCAGGGCGCAGACATGCAGGGGCTGGAGAACAAGATTCGCCAGCACATCGGCTCAACGGAAGACGATAGCGGTGAGGACTATGGTCAGGGCTTGATGGAGCTCAACTCTTTCATCTCGAAGAACGAGTGCGAGTGCCTGAATGAGTCTGATGATCATCCCTTGGCGCACTGCCTCACGCCCGCCGGTGGCTTCCTGCAGTCCGACGTGGACGAGCAACTGATCATCTCCATCGCCTTCAATCAGCCCGTGAAGCTACATTCGCTGAAGCTGAAGGCGCCCGTGGCGCTGGGCCCCAAAACGGTGAAGCTGTTCATCAATCAGCCGCGCACGATGGACTTCGACATGGCCGAGAGTTGCTCTTCCATTCAGGATCTGCAGCTCACTGAGAAGGATCTCGACGGCACGCCTGTGGCGCTAAGATTTGTCAAGTTCCAGAACGTTCAGAACATCCAATTGTTCGTGAGGGACAATCAGACTGGCGATGATAAGACACAAATCGACCATCTGGGCTTCATTGGCGTGCCAATCTCCACCACGAAGATGGAGGACTTCAAGCGCGTGATTGGGAAGAAGGGCGAAAGTCACTGAAATATCTGGGAATAAAGAATTAAAGCTTGCGAAATTGTTCCACAAAGAAAAGTCACTTTGATCAAATTGTTTCTTTATATCACGTCCCATTTGTCGGTTGTATTTTCCGTATTTTCAATCCTAAATGGCCTCAAGTCTGAAATCCTATTATAAATCCCATACATCCTTAAAGATGTTTAATGCAATTCAAATATATTCCCTTTGAAATTACACTTGTCGTGTGTGTTTCATGCAACTAAATCAAACTTAAGTTCATCGCAACTAGTTGCACGTTTCAATTATGTTTCGCGCGAATCACAGTGGAAATATCGAAATCGCATGAAATTTCATTTCTACAAGATAAAATTAATTAATTTTTCAAAAACTTTTGTGTTGATTTTGTGGCGCGCCACTGTGTGATTTTAAATTCCACTGGGCTCCCCCGCCCCTGAGTTGAGGGAGAAAGCAATTAAGTGAGCACAGAGAGTCGTTCTCTCTCTCTCTCTCTTTCTCATGTTTCTCTCTCGGGAGGAAAATCGATTGATCGGGACTCTGAGAGACAGATAAAAAGCGCCTCTAGCTGATCTCTTCTTCCCCACAGCTTTTCCGCCTTCGTCGCGCTCGCCAGTGAAGGCAGAGAACAGCGTGTTATCTCGCTCAAGCATGAGAATGTTGGGAGGAAAATTTTCAGCAGAGAAAATTCGTCTCAGTTGTGTTCGGAAAACTTCACAGACGATATCCATTCCATCGGACGAGAATTTACACTGTGTTTCTTTTCCGTGTCCACCATTTATTGTTTGGTCAAAATTAATAATTCTGGCTGGCTGTTTTTCCGGTGCTCGATATTTTGCCTGTTTTTCCCGCGGCGCGACTTTTGCGGAAAAGCAATACCGTGTGTGTGAGTTGGAGAAAGGGGGAGAAAAAAGTCTCAATTGGGGTGCAGAAAGATGCTCAAATGAGGTGAAGTGGAGAAATGTGTGAAGAGTGTTGAGGAAAAATTTCTGCTGGAAGCGCTTGGAAGGAAAAACTCTGAGAGTCCCTGGCGAGAAGGAAAAGCCAAGTGTAAGTGGGAAAAGGCCGCAGTTCTTGGATGTGGTGGAAATGTGATGAGAATATTCGGCCATTTTCTCTCAAATGTATTTCCACACTTTGCATCTCTCTTTTCGGCTCTGCCGAAATTTTCCTCCCTTTTCCTCTCTGTCTCTCTTTTGCCTACATAGTTATGCGGCAATTGATGATATAGTTTTTTTTTCTGGTGTCGCACAAACTGACAAAATGTAGTGGATGAAATCGTAAATTTTCATTAAGTTTCGCGCCATTTGAATTGGATTTTTCACGGTGTGAAAACACACGCCTGCAGTTTTCACGGGTTTCCCAGCTTTCACGCATTCCGTCGTCAACCCAATCGATAATCTAGGAGGCTTTGCGATGCGGAGACGGGAGGCTTAGGCGCTAAACTTACGCTACTACGTCGCTTTGGTTGCTTGTTGATGGAAATGGATTTTTTGGGAGGATTTTCCATGCTTTGTGGAATTAGATTTATTGATTTCTGACACACAAATATGTATTTTCAGCTTTGAATTCCTTGTAATGAGGTTTTGTTTCTGAATCTGATTTACACCAAAATATTCTAACATGGGGTTTCAGCAGAGACACATTGAGAATTTTTTAAAAATGCATTTTTGCAAAACAACACTAATCTTGATAATTCAGGATTATGAAAAATCTTTACGGGATTTATTCCTAAACCTCCAACTGAATTCCATATTCAAAATGATTCGATGAATTTGGCGATGTTTTCCGATGATTCGCTGTCAGAATTGTTTGTAAACAAGAGTGTGCAGTTCAGATCCGCTTTGCAGAGCCGAGGAAGAAGAGCGCTCAAGATCCTCAATTTGCGTGGCCAGCGAGGTGATCCTGAACCTGATCAAAGTCCAAAGTGTTGAGAGTGTGCTGAGCAGAATGTCTGACTCGAAGGTGAACAAGATCAAGAAGGAAATGCTGGGGAAGAATAGTAAGTTTCGTAGGTTATATGCCAAGAACACAGAGTAATTGGGGATGTTTTGTGTTGTCAAGAGAGCCTCCAAAAGCGCTCCCAGCGCATCGTACGATCTCAGCAATATGTGTACGTGACGTATATGGAGGAACATCCGGACTTTGTCACCAACGAGACGAAGGAACACTGGAAAGAGCTCGCGAGGCGCCTCAATGACTCGAATGGGCCGAAGAAGTCCCCGGAAGATTGGAAGACAGTGAGTTGGAAGCATTGCTGGGCGTCCGGAAGGGGTGGATGACCTGTTTCTCTTCTCTCTTGACAGACCTTTATGCGTTGGAAGCATCAGGTGGCGTACAGAGCTCGCCAGGCGGCCACAGGGCAGAGCAAACTATACAAAACCCTCACGCAAATCGACGTGAGAGCGTTAATCGCCCTGGGCAAGGAGATCCCCATGAATTGCCACATTATCGGCGAGACAGATCCCAGCGAACTGATAGAGATGCACGCCAAGAAGCGCGAGAGCCTCAAGTCCGAGCCAAACAAATCGGAAGCAAGCTATGAAGCGCCGGAAGATGAAAATGAGGAGCAAATCAAAATCCTACAGGTGGAGGAGGAAGAGGAGGAGGATGAGGAGGAAGATGACGAAGATGAGGAGGAGGATGAGTATGTGCAGGAGCCGAAGCGCTTCCGGCAGCCCGTGAAGACCTATCAAGTGCACAAGCGCAAAGCTCCTATTGCTGAGTCCACGAGGATCATCAATCAAGCTGCCCCATCCAATATGCCTGAGCAGAGCCGAGCCACGTCTCCGGATTCGCCTGAGTACGTGTCCCAGGTGCGCCCCCTTGACGACAGGCAGTTTCAGCTGAAGAAGCGCGAAGTGCTGGCGTTGGAGAGACGCGCCATGGCCCAGGAGAGAATAGCGGACGCCTTCGAGAGAATCGTGAATGTGCTGGAGAGTCGATTCGAGAGAGATCTCCCGGACCTCCTGTAGGCGTGCTGTGTAGTCCTTTGTGAGCATTAAATAGTATTCCTGGCAAATGTCGTCTTTTCTTCGCTTTCCGGACGGGCAAATCGATGCCTGAAGGCCACCAACCACTTGTCGGAGGGCATTTTCTCCGTGTGTGTCTATTCTCGGTCGTCTTGACTTTGAAGGGCGTTTTTAAAATAGCCTCCACTGGCTGGGAAATGCTTGGGAAATGTTGGGGTAGTGGTGGCGATTACGATTGTGGCTCATTTGCAGAGAGTTCAACTGGGATTTAGAGCACAAGGGGGTGCGATCGAGATGTCTAGAAGGCAAGTCTGCAAATTACAATTTGAGATGAAAATTATTCAATAAATTTACTTTGGGTGAAAAGGAAATATTTTGCTATGATGAAAAGTTTAATTAGTTCGACTTGTTTTCACTCATTTCTTGGTTGAATTCTGCAATTGTGATATAAATTTAAAGTCATTCTGATGTTCTTTCATTCACAAATAGTTCTTTTCTTTCATAGCGACGCAAAAGTTTCTAAAAAGACTTAGACGCCTAATCTCACGGTCAAATCTCTTGTTATCAGTTAAATGTTTGACGAAAAACCCTTCCTTTGATATGGCAATAACTATATAGATAAGTTTAATCTTTTCCTTCCGGCACTCAACACAAATCCGTCCCTTGAATCTGTCTTTGACCCGAATAAAGATTTATGGAAATTGTCCAAATTGAAAATACCAGCAAAACTTTTTCATTTTCTCAGTCTGTGAGCAATAAACACCTAGATCAGTTCACTATCTGACTGTCTGTGAGAAGGACAATTTCTCCCCACTGTAATTACTTCTGTGCGACAATAATCTTGGAGCTTCTGTAACTGCAAAGTTGCCACAATGCAGAAGACTATTTAGCAGATTTTTCGTCCAATTTCCCCCGGGCACATTGGCCCCTTAATGTTGTCGAATTATTTATGTTTGGAACACTGGCGGAGGATTGAGACTGGCCAAAAGTCCTTAAAAGCCCATTTTTGTGCCATTTCCATAAATTGTCCTCTTCAATCTTCTCCCATTCTAAATCGCTTTGTTTTCAACAGTCGTCATGTTTTCCATATAAACCGTAGTTTTCCCTTCTCTTCGGCGCGCGATGTTCAATTAGCTCATGGGTTTCTGTTTGTGTGTATGGATAATCGGAAAAAAGAGGAGAGAAAACGACAAAGAGACGTTGATTTCTGTTTGCCAATGAACTGATTAACCCTCGCCGAATTGTTGATTCACACTCGAGTGGGTGGCGCGCGCGATGGGAGTTAATTGTGCGAATAGGAGTCTCGTCTGCTCATTTTCCAGGCCTTTCCCGCCACTTTTCTTTCCACTCTCCGTGTCGCGTGGGCAATTGCCGCCGAAACGACCCATGGATTTCAAATGACGGTCGTGCAGAGAGAAAAAGAGAGTCACACGGAATGAAGAGGGGCTATTTTTGATATAAGTCGCGCTAAAAATAAACCCAACCGTGTTTAAATTGAAAGCGTAGTCACTCATTCGATAGTGTGGCGCGTATATTTTTTTCTTTCACGAACTGCTGCGTGTTGTGTGTGGGAAAAAGTGGTGGAAAAGAGAGAGAGGAAAATATTGTGAGTGGCGCGCAGACAAATAAATATTCCAACAGACCAAAAAGCAAATGAATTTGGGTTTGGGGAGCGCTTTCAAGGGGCTGAAGAGAGAGAGAGAGAGAGATGGAATTGGATGGGCAAGTTCGGTGCTTTATGTAATCATGGTGTATTTCTCTGTCATTGCAGGCCGCGAGCTGTGACGGGGTGCACTCGAATGATGCCTCTGGGCGGCTCAAGGACCTCGCCGTGGCGCCCGCGGCATCCGCAGACGCCCGCGATGGCCCCATGCTGGTGAGGGCGGCGCACGCTGCCGGAGTGTTGAGTGTGACATTGGGGAATGATGTAAAACGGGTGATTCAGTGAAGAATGGGCTGTGGACAGAGCAAGATTCATCTCTACCCAAGAAAGTCCAAGAGCAAGACAAATGGCAAGAAGAGCGGACATGGTGAGTGCAAACTATCCATCAACAGACTTGTTGCACAGCAAATTTGCCTTCCTCGAGAAGTTACAAGGGGTTTCGAGGCTGGTGAATAGCGGATAAATATTGAGAATCTCCGCTTCGAACTCTCTTAAAGAACACGGAAAGTTCTACTCGTGAGAATTGTAAAATTTGCATTGATGAAGGCTGGTTTTTGTTCAATAAATAGTTCAAATTAACAATTTGCATAAATTAAACTCAAAAAAACAGAGTGAATACTTAAAAAAAATGACAAAAGAAACCAAGGGGGATATAATATAGTCAGAAAGTAGTGTACAGCTCAGAAGAAGTACTTAAGAAGTGTTCAAAAGCATTAAATATTCATTTCTTGCGTACTTCTTTTATTGCCAAAATATTCCGATTCTTTGGATTTCTTTTTATTTTTTGCATAGAAAGAATAACAATAATCTTTTTCTAGTTTATGTAGCGAAGATGTTTAAAAACACCGGTTTGATTCTTGCACAAAAATTGGATGGAAACTTAAGAGATTTAATTTAATTTCGGAAGTGCTGCACAGATTTGAGGCATATTTTCTCCCCCTTGAAAAAAGCAGTTGATTTAAAAACATTTGAGCGCTCATAAAAGTATGATAGTACAAGCGATAATACAAGAGATTACTGAATGTTCGCCACAAATTTTCACATTATCGATAAACAGTGCAATGAATAAATTAACAAATGGTCAATTTCCATTGTTAATTAACAGTTAAATGTCCTTTTGTGCTCTAATTTTGGGTGGCCTGATGGCTTTTCCCCATAATGATTCTCTCGGAATCTCAATAAATTCACCCGCAATATGACACGAACTGATATGTTGTGCTAAAATGTTTGTGAAATGCAACGAAAGAAGCACAAATGTTTAGCCTGAAGCATTAATCAATATTTACAAATATTTTCTGAAGGCTCGCGATTAGCAAACAATTCTTCCCCTCCTCATGATTTGCATGCATAGAATGGAGAATTTTCTTCACGCATAACAACTTTCTCTGGAAATTGAGAAGATAAATAGAGAAATCTATTTTATGTCCTAAAACTCTCCATCCAATTAAAAGTTTTCCTGCGCGGTTTTTTTTTCGTGGGCAAAAACCCCATTTGAGCCGCAAATTTTCTCCTATTTCCTTTGTGTGTTTATGTTTTGTTGACAAGAGGAGAAACTGCGCGAGGGTTTTTGTAGATTGTTGTTCGAGAGTCCCTTCGGTGGATTATTCAATTTCATTCGCTGCTGTAGTAAAATGGAAAAGCGATAGGCTGAATTTGATGGCGGGGAAATGGTGTTAATTGCTTCTGATAAAGAGCCTTCAAAGTTGTCTCTCTGGTGCTTTTATCGGTGAAATCCCATTTAATGAAACCTCCACTAAAACACAGAGAAAGACAAAAGAATATCATCTCCTGTTCTCCTTTTTTTGTGTGATGCAAAACACACCATCAGAATCTTGACTTTATATATAATCGCCAAAAGCTTTTCCCCACACATTGATTAAGTGCACAATTCAATTTGCTCTCGATGGACGACCGTCCAAGAGAAGACGAGGAAAACTTGCGGCGAGGATTGAAAACTCATTAAAATTGATCGATTCTGGCCTTTCAGTTTAACGAGCTTTTGCCGCCTACGAGCTTTTATAGTTGGGGAAGATTCTTCTTTCCATGAATTTATGCATCGCAATTCATGAGACTCTCCATTTCGCCTTTTCATTAAACTTTCATTCAATTTTCCACACAATTTCCACCTAATTTTTATGCCTTATTTTCTCGCACAAATGGGAAAATCGATAAACTACCAAAAGCACAAGCATTCCTTCAACTTATCTCTTTTAATACCCAGAGAGAAAAAGCTGTGGAAGACTGTAGAGCGCCTTTTCTGGCTTAAAGAGTGAAAAGTCTTAATCGATTTTTGATTTTATCCAATTCTCTGTCCATCCCACGCACGTCTTAAAGTCCTCCCCGTCTTAAAGCCATTGAAGAGGAGCACCTGAAATCACAGCTTTCGCGGAGTGAAAAGCTCCACCCCAAAAGTGACTTTAAGCGGTGGGGAAATGGGAGGAAATTCACCGTTAAAAATTCAATTACAGTGCCACAAAGCTCGATAGAGACTCGTGTGTAATTAATTATTTGGAAATGGTGTGCGCCAGGAAGTGTTGCCGGGCTTAAAGTCTGTTTGCAATTAAGGTTAATCCACCCCCATGAAGTGTGTGGGGGAGGCTTTCGAGGGGACGGCAATAAATCAAAATAGATAATATTCCAGCGAAAGCTCAGGAGTTTTGTGTTTACTCAGATGGAAAGGACAATGATATACAAATATTAGTGTTTTTGGGGGTGAATCACATTTGAATATTACAGTTTGAGACATATTTTGGCATGCGAAGCTTTTGTGGCTTATAAGGTCATAGGTTGAATATTGACGAGGAATATTCATTTGGGGAAAAAAAGTTAAATGAAAGGATTAGAATAGAAGTGAATGTGAAGAGCCAGGAATTTTGATGCGATAAATCCTTCAAATGAAAATTGACATTTGATTGTCACTTGAGGTTATGTGAAGTCATAACCTCAAACAATAACCTCTTAAATGGAAATTAAAATACCACAAATCTTGTTTATTGAGGTTTATTACCGACCACAATTCACGATGCCGCATAATTTGCTATTTAAAGTGACTTCTATTTAATAATAAAGTCACTCTTGTGCAGTTGTAATTACGTTAAAAGTTGCGATGGAATAAAGAGAATATCGCCAAATGGAAGGCGAGGAAAAGTTGGAAATCGAAAAGGGAAGGAATTGTGATGAATTGAAAGGAAGGATTTGTAATCAAAAGGGATATATTTAGAACAGAATGTCGTGTGATAGAAGAGGAAAATAAAAGAAGGATGTTCTACGGGTTTTTGGGGAGGTTGGGAAAAGAATGAGAGAAAACGTTCAGCAAGGATGCGGATTTTGTATTTAAAATATCATCCAATTTGTGTGATGATGAATGGGTATTTTTAAGGGAAATACATCATTTATTATTCCCCAGGCTTTATTTATGCATAAAAGAGGAAGTATTATCTTGAGAAATATATTGTCGTGATTTATGTCCACAAAATTGCATTTAAATAATTTCCTTGGCGCGCGAGCGTGAGAAAGGGAAGAAATGGGGAATAAAGAGCGCGTTTCTCTTGTCCTTTGCAGTCGACATAGACGCAGATGCTGATGAGGACGAAGGACACGTCGGCGACCGCGACAAAGAAATCAATAAAGAGCGTATCGACGAAGAGAGTACGTTGTCCGATGGGAAGGGCTCGCCGGAGCCAAATGGAGAGATTAATGTACCTATTCTGAGGCCAAAAAATGTGTCACTGCTGCAGAGCCAGTAAGTTTTTTTTTCTTTTCTTTTCTGCTGTCCTCAGAGGGACTTTTCAAATTGATTTTCATCCATCTTTGACGCTTTCCAGGGACATTTCTTCTAGTCAACAGAACTTTTTCCGTATGCTCGACCAGAAGATTGAGGATGTGAGTATTTTTTGTGCATATTTTGGGAAAATCAAGATTTATGCTTGAATTGTCTATCGGAATTTATGGGCACTTTAGAGTGCTCTTCAATGGCCTCTTTTTCACCTATTCATTCATGATTGACTGTCTGCCAGGGTCCCGACTATGATTCATCGAGTGAGACTGAAGTGGCGCTAGAACAGGCGAGGCTCACGAGTCTGTTCCACCACTGGGAGTCGGCGAGTCTCTCGGCGTCCATTTGTTCATCAACGAGCCCTCTGCAGAACACGCCAGTGAGGCAGCCAATGCGGTATGAGAACCTTTAGAACAGACAATTAGAGTTTGGCCTGGGAAGGTGGCAAAAAGAGTGCGCGTTTAGTTGCCTATCATCGCGTATATCGTATTATGAGTTTAAGAGAAGAAGAGACACACGCACTCTCTATAGTTTAATCCCAACGGTGAGTTAGTGTTGCAACATTTGAAGACTTTATCCCATGTGTTTCCGAAACCCCCTTTGTTCTTTTGCGTCAGAATCTTCCCCGCATTTTCGTGACTTTGCGTGTGTGTGTGTTTGTGTGAAAATTCCCGCCAGTCACCTATTTTGGCGCTGTTACTCCTTTATTTGCTGCTTCCCTCTTTACCAATTTCTTTTTTACATATTCACGCTTCTTCCGAACCCCTCCGCATTTCTCACTGTGGCGCCCCCAAAAAGGGGTTTGGGATGTGATGCAAAACACGCACACATAAATCAATTCCCAAGGATGGAAAATCTATGTGCTCTTGTAACTTGTTGTGCGCCTCAGAGACACTCCCTTAAATGACTCTGGGTTGTCTTATCGTGATTATCAGACTTGTTCTCGGGGGTGATTTCATTTTGACACAACTTTAATGGGAAATTTCAAAAAACATTCAGTGATATTCAACGCCACTGTTTGAGTGTATATAGCGTAAATCGCATGGGAGTAACTTTTCTTTCGGTTACAACTGTCGAGGGATTTTCCACCGTTGAATTCTCAAGCATAGAAGTGAAGAGAAGCAAGTTATTCCTTTAAAGATTGAGGATTTTTCAATAAATGTTTAAAGTATTATGAGTATGTGTGTAATTGGGCGTGGCGTTCCTGTAGGTGGAGCTTATCTTTTGTCCAAACCATCCTATCGATCCTACCAGATTCCTTGTTTCTGTCTTTGTCTAAATTCCTCAATGAAACAATTCATAGAAACTGGATCTGAAGAGCTTTTAGGGCAGATTTCAGTGTCAATATGAGAAATAAATCAGAATAACATTAATTACCATAATCTTCCCATGTCTCGCCAATTACATTTCAAACAAAATGGTTAAATACACGGTCTATGTTAAATATTCTGTCGCAGTTCGATAAATTGTTGCTAGAGAATCTAATAGAAATTTTATCATACCTTTTGATTGTTGTCTAAAAATAAAAATCCTCATTAAACTCATGACTGGAGAGAATTGGGAGATTTCAACAAGTTTCTAATGAATTTCCAGTGTATACTTGAGAAAGTTTTTAGCATTCTCTCAACCTGTTTTTCTCGCCTCTTGTGTTTCCCCGATTACAATCGAGGGACATAAAAGTTGACCAAGAGGCCTCTTGTCAATTTTCTTGGGAAATCAATCAAGACACTCCGCCCCCAAAACTCAGGGAAATTGTTCTTTTCCAACCTCTTAAAGGCGTTCTTCCAGCACTTCGACACTTTCGAGGAGGGGAGGAAAAGTTTTAAAGTCCTTCACCCATCAAGTGATGATTTGGGAGATGCCAGAAGATACCCGAGAAACTAATTGTGGTAATTAGAAAAATCGAAAACCCTCTGGGGGGTGAAACAAAGTGGGGATGGAGCGTATTAAATTGGTGTTCTCCTGGGAGGACATCAAGGGTTGGAAAGCGGAGACAAAAGTCAGGCGCTTGCGAAGGAAGAAAGTTGGGTGAATTAAAGTGTAAAGTTACCTGAGCTTTTGGACTAAACTTGCACGTTGGCAATGGTCAAATGGGTGGAGCTGAAGAAGACCCTTTTCTGGGTATTATGAACCCCGGAGTTTTCTTGCAAACACCCTCCTCCTCCTCCTGCCCAAGGATTTCCTTCGGGAAAAGACAAGGTGTTGAGGCAATTAGGAAAATCCGAGTTATAGCTAAAAGCTATGCGCGAGAATGATTGTATTTTGCCGACAGAAAATTGCATTTGAAATCTTGCAAACTCAAATATGGGGAAAATGTGGGCAAAAGATGGGAAAAATACGACGATATACGATGAATGCGGCAAAAAATGTGGCCGCAGGGCGATAAAAGGGGAGAGGAAATCCTTGGAAAATTACTATTTGCCTTCATGTGTATTTATTTAGCGTCTTATCTCTGTGCCTCTCCTTTCGGTTCCACGCCTCTTGTGTCTCGCATGTCCCGCAATTATCGTGAAAAGTTTCATGTTTAGGATGACAAGGAGAGAGAGAGAAAAAACTATGACAGATATTTTATCTGAAAATATGGAAATGTTTGTGAAAAACACAGAGAGTCTGAAGGGGTAAGAAAATAGTGGGTTTATTGCGATAAAGAGGCACTTTTTTATACTGTGTGTTATTTCAAAGTTATAAGCAAATTTCCTTGGCCACAAAACTTTGTGCGGATGATTTACATTTGGAAGCTTTGTTTGGTTTTCACTATAAGACATATATATATAGCCTTGTACCAATTTTATTAATATTTGAAGAGTCAGAGTGGCGTGGATTCCGTTCGCACAGCAATTCTGTGTGGCCAATTCGATGTCGAAAGAGTCGCGAAAGCTCTCGATGGCGTTTTTGAAGGGTTGACAAGTGGCCATGTGCTGTAGCATGAAATTTAATTAAAAATCAATTACCACGAATGATATTTTAGTAATTGATCCCACAACCTCTGCATAAGCCAATTAAAAATTGATCGAGTGCCCAATTACGGGCGTCGCTCTATTGATTTTCCCGATGCAATTGTCGAAACTCTGCCACGCCGATCCGCGATGGCGTCCGTGCAGAACTAACGCATTGTCTCTCATGTGCACTCTTGCAGACAAGCACCGCACCAGCTTCGCCCTCAACAGCCCTTGAGTGTGGAAATGTTGTCTCAGCAGCAATTAAAGCAGCCCAACATGAGTCCCAAGCGTGACGCCCGGACGCCGCTGTCGCAGACGATCATCCACCAGGGATACGGGGTGACGCAGGGCAACTCGCGGCTGCCGAGGGTGGGCGGCCAGGGCATCCTCATGGGGAGCCTGCCACTCTCCTATTACCCACAGCAGCAGTCCGCAGTGACAACTCAGGCGTACTACAGCGAGATGGTTCATCATCCTCTTCAGGTACTCGAGCCGCCTGCGGGCGCTCGCCCGACATTTTCACCATTTTCACCATTTCCACCCTTTCTCGGCGCGCCCTCGTTGAGACTCAAGTCTGCAAAAAGGGTTTTCCTTTCCCTGAAATTTATGCAATTCTATCCCAGAACAAAAGGGATCGCATTGCATATTCAGACGAAATTCTAAGAAACCAAGCTAGAATCTCTAATTTGACTAACGTTGAATCTCATGAGAATTCATCAGAAATTCGCCGGAAATGATTACACATAAACTGACACGATCTCTGCATTTTAAATCGGTTGAAATTCCTTAGGAAGCATTGAATTTCATGCCAAGAGGGAGATAATATGGCTTATCTGCACACGACTTCCTGACACTTCCACAGTTTCTCTGCAGAATTACTTCTGGATGTCTTGACAAATGCTCAATTTTGCCAAGGAAAAGAGAAATATTCCTAGTTTTAGCAAAAATTTGATGATTTTGAGGGTTATTTAACCGTCAAAATATGTCTTAAATTAAACACATAACCTATAAAAAGAATTTGATTTTTTTTAAGAAAAAACCTCAGAAAACGCCTAAATTTGTTGAAAGAAGAAGTTTTAGTAATGCAAAATTCTTCCTAACACTTCCGTAAAGTTGTACACCACTTCAGACCACATTATCTGCCCCTTGTTTCATGCTTTAATATAGAGATTCTTGATTGTCGGCAATGAAGAATTTAATACTATTTTTACCCATTTTCATATGTTTTCCATATTAAATTTGGAATCTAAAACTTCCGACGCGGATTGAAAGGAATTTTGCAAAAGTTAACTCATGCATAAAGTTTCACGCACACTAAAAATATGTTTTTAATCCCGTGATATGTTGAACTGAATGCAATTTTGCTAAAATTGCGAGTTTTATGTGCGGAAGTGGATGTTAAGTGTGCTTCCGAAAAAAATGTTGCATTGAAATAATGATGTGAAGTGACTTTTAAAAATGCTCGCACACTTTAAAATATGATAAAGAGCTAAAAAAGGGGGGAATGCTTTGCAATTTTCCATAGTGGCGCCATAAAAGTTTTAATCAATTCCCTTTAATATGCGACACAGTTCGTGTGTGTATATGAAATTGTGTCGTTACACCTGGAAAATATGTAGCAAATTAGCACATTGAATGGTAGAAAGGGTGGAGAGGAAAAAAGAGACTTAATTGGTTGCATGAGATTAAATTTGAGAGAAACAGAGGGCAAATTTTAGTAGTGCTTCTGAGGATAAAAATTGCTCCACTTCATGTTCAGCCAACATTAGTTAATTCGCAATTTCATATGTAATAAAAGTTCTTCCTCGGGCGAGAGTGAAACAAACTTACTAACATGTCAACTAAAACAGAGAAAATGCTCATTATTTTTCCACATGACAAAATCATAATAATGGAACACAAAAACATTTGCAATGTATGCGAATAATCTCTCCAGTGCTTATCACTTGTGTTGTAATTACGGTGAATTAAGTATGAGGCTGGGAAAAATGAGTCGCACAATGTGATGAATCGATTTGCATTCCCGCGAGGGTAAAATTGCAAAATGACCACCATTAAATATTTATCAAGTGTCTTTTTGTGCAGAGCTCAGCATTTTGATATGTTGCACGCCAACTGGCACCAAACATTTCCCACCACCCCTTAGAATGAGGCATTGTCTGGACAGCGTGAATTTTCCGCTGAATTATTGACGGAAGTGCGCTCTTGAGTGTTTTCCACGTCGCCGAGCGTGTGAAAAGTTGCGCGACTTCCTGGGCCAACTTCTGGCGAAATTCCACACTTTCACACCTGAACATTTCGCCGGTGGAATTTTGTGTGTAATTAAAATTGATTTTCACGCTCAAGAATTTCCCTGTTCCCCAACAGTGAGACAGAGAGAGGATTTTTCAAGTGATCCAAAGCGTCACGGCTTCGGGTTTGGGCTCATTAAAGTATGTTGAAACATGTAGGGAATGATGATGATGTTGAAGGGCAAACAGACGCGCGCGGCGTGGAAGGAAAATGTGGAGGATTTGCCCACGAGGGAAAACACACATCGCACACAGTGACTCTCACTGAACTTGGGTTCGCACTGTGAATGTCCTCCTGAATGAGATAAACGCTGATTGAAGCTTTCAGCGAAAAGTGGGAAACATTTCAAGCAATATTCAGAGCCAGTAATGAGAATATAAGCTTCACTGAATTTATTCAATAAGTATTAAGCAAAAAATACAGAGGAATTGTAACTTATATTTAAAAGTTTTGTGCCACAAGTCGTTCCATCTCTTAAATTTGAGTGTTATTTTATGATAAGAATCTGTCTTAAATCAATCACATAACCAATACAAGCAATAAAATCGATTTTTTCTAAGCGAAATAACTTGAAAAATGCCTAAATTTGCTGAGAGAGAAACTTTGACAGTGCAAATATTCGAAATATTTTAACACTTCCACAAAAGCTGTACACCATTTCCTAGCATAATGTCTTCCCCTTGCAAAATAACCGAATCGATTAGAATTTGTAGTTTATGAGAATTATATCCACTGATTCACATGCTTGTTTTCTTGGAAAAACCACACAATTTCTGCTGAAGTCTGAAGGCTTAAGGAGATATATGGCTAATCCTCCTTCGTCTCAGCAGGTGCAGTCGTCGCCGGAGCCGCGCTTCCCGCCGGCCATCAGTGTGCAGAGGTTGGCGCCGCAGGTGCAGCGGCAGCTGCGAGAGACGCAGGAGCTCATCAAGGACTCTTGTCCGCAGATGTACGCCGCCGGCTACGGCAGCCCCGGGCCGCCCATGCGAGCCGCTGGCCAGAGTCAGCGCGTGAGGCGAACACCCACCTTGGAGACGCAGTTCTCGCAGGAGTTGTCGTGATATAGAGACGTAATTGAATTGGGCGTGTAGGAGGATTCTCAACGTCGCCAATGATTCCCAAATCTCCTGGGCAGAGCGCGATCCGCGATGCGGAGGAGCAAACAATTGTAGCCACGTAAGTTTCTCTGCTGTGTTCAATGCGGCGATGGCCGAAAGGCGCGCCCCGCGCGATGCCAAGATGAGGAGCTTGTGCTGTGTGACTGGCCAGGAGACTTTCTCCCCGAAATTCAATTAGCCCCAGCATTTGCCACTTTTAATTGAATCACGCTCCCCGGTTTTTTGCCTCCTCGGCAAAATCGATTTCATCACCGCTCGCGCTGAGACGCTTCATGAGCCAAAAAGGGAATTCTGGGGAGGTGAAATTTAGTGATTGGTTGAAGGCTTTTGCAATGATGCATTGCAAAATTAATGAATTTACCATCTTAGGAGGGAGAATAGCATCGTTTTCAAAGGACTTTCGCAATGTGTATACTGAGGAAATTGTGGCAAAGCATGCACCAATCCAGGTGTTTATTGGTTTTCCCACCGAAATCTCAACAGTTTGGAATCACTTCACTGCCAAATCAATGAATTTTCCCACTTCAATTTAAGAAAAATATCTCGACATCTTCCTTAGAATAAATTGCCTTTCAGGAAAGTCACACAGCTCAACTGCTCATCCTGGAGAGCTTCATGATTATATATTTACCTTTAAATGAAAAAAAAAACTGCTGCAGATGAAAGAAAAAACTAGTAGAGAAAATTCATAAAGATTCTCAAATTTGTAAATATAGGAAATATTTTAGGTGAGAAAAAGTGTGTGGAAGAGAAAAAAATCTTAGAAATCTCATTTGTTCTCTCTTGCATAAGTGTCGTTCGATTTTTTTTCTATAGATTTTCTTTCCATCCTTTTTGTAGGAGGCAAAAGAAGAACCATATGAAGAATTCTTTTTTGGAGAAAAAGTGCGCGCGTTTTTATAGTTGATAAATTTTTCCGTTTGCGAGCAATATTCAATTGAAGCAAATTTTGCAATGTGTGTGAGGATGATTTATAATTTTGATTTATCGGTTTTTGAGTCACTTTGACAGGTGATTGAATTGTAACTTCAATGAAAAATCAACAGTGAAACAGTTAACCTACCTATAGGCCGCGGAAGAAGGGGCAAAAGGGCAGAAGGACAGTGAGGAAAGTAGTGTGGAAGTGGCGAAGAGCGGGGAAAAGTCGTGTATTTATCAATTTGACTAATTGAGAGGCTTGAAGAATTATGAGATTTTACAGTAGAGTTAAAAAGGAGATGCAAAAAAATAGTCTTATTCGAGATTGCGGCGAAAGTCATTTCAGAGAAAAACAAAATCTTTTTGTCGATTCTTTTCGTTCTGATGGCGTTGAAACACCAAGAATTACAAGATGAAGAAGAGAATAGAATGAAAGCACCGTCCGTTGTAAAAAAAAATACCCACGACTTTGCGTTCAGTCAGAAGAATAAGAGAAATGAATATTGATGAATATATAGTATGATATAAAGTTACAAAAAAATGAGAAAAATTGCAATATTATAAAATAATATATGAAATAATAAATATTCCAATTAATATTAACTATAAATGTATAAAAAAAATTATATAATTTTTAATAAGATGATAAAGAAAGAAAACTATTTAAAGTTAAATATAAAAAATGAGAGGAAAAGGTGAGATAGATGAATAAATTGATAAAGAAAAAAACACACAATTGTAAGAAAAGAAGAAATACAAATCTATGATAGATGATAAATCAAAAAAATACTTTATGAATGAAATGAAAAAAAAAACATTTTTTTTTAATATTTTGAGAAATATTCATTTCGAAATTCCTCTCTTTTTATGCATCGCAAAAAGAACCCAAAAAGTGGCCAAAGCAGCAGAAAAAATAGCAAACAAACCTTAGAAGAAGAATAAAAAAAAACTATTACAGAAAAAGACTTGAAAATGAAATCTGTCTCTCTGAATCTTCTTTAGTTGAGCGTTGAAGCGAGAGAATTTTGAAGCAGAAAAAGGCACTTAAGTAAATATTCTAGAAAAGAGAAAAAATGCATAACATGTAGTCAATTAGGAGAATTTTCTGTTTCTGAGAAAAATAAGAAAAAAAAGAGAGATTGAAATCTGGTTTGATGTCAACTTGGCTGGAAGGAAAGATGAAAAACCCATTCATATCCCAAGAACCAAATATAATAGCGAAAGAGGCCCAGAACAGAGCAGAGAGAGCAATTTTGCGGTTTAGCAGAGGCGGATGAACTCATCCTTTGATGGACTTTAGTAAGGATTTAGTGTCATGAGTAGGAATTAGTTTTCTCAAATTTGAAGACATGCGATAAGGGAGAAGAATGAGGAGGAAAAACACATACAAAATACTGTGAAAAATGTCTCGTAGAATAATTTTTATACGTTTTCAGACTTAATACTTTTGTACTTTTTCACAAAAGCACTCTCTCGATAGGACAAAAAGACTTTAACTTGGCAAGAGAACCATCAATAGTGAAAAAAACCAAAGAAAAGCAAAAAGATACCTATACTGATATATAGAATGAACAAACATATTTAGAGAAAAAGAAAACAAGTGTGAAAAATGTAGAAGTACCACAGAGCAAACTTTAACTGAAAACTGAACCAAGAATTTCTTTTAAAAAAACCAAAATTTGTAGACAATTTTATTCTTAATAAGACTCTTTGTTCAATTTTTCCCATACAGAGAAAAATTGCGAGAGAGAAAGTCTCTTGACTTCCCACTGTTTATTTCCAAAGTAAGAAGAAAAAGAACTCTAATACAATAGTAGAGATTTGTAAAAAAAAAGCGGAGAAAGTGGGCAGCGTGAAAATTTTCGACAGATTTTCTAATTGTTACGTGTAATAAAAAGTCAAAGTTGAATAAAAAGAAATTTAAATCCTTTCATCATCGCAATTTGGAGACATTTTTTTAGCATAGACGCAGCATTTCCCGCTTTTCCAGGACACTAAACCCACTGAATCTGCTTTATCTGGAGATTTTACCGATTTTCCAATAGAAATTGAAAGCAAAAACGACACTTTTTCTGTTTAGAAATGCTCACAAAGTTGTAGAAAAAATTTATATCATCTTACAAATACTAAAATCAAGAAAATTTACCTCTGTTAATCGGATGAATCAGTTTGAGACGCCAGAAGTTTCGTCAGACACTCTTGAGAATGATTTTTAAAGGGGAAAACGGCAAGAGTAAAAGAAAATGTTTATCTGTATCATCAAAGATCACGCGATCATCAAATTTTATAACCAATCGTTTTGATAACACAGAATTATAATTGTTGCCGACATTCGGTTTTGTCTTCACAATCAAATTCGACGCGGTGTGACACAGTTTATCTCCGCAAGGGCGTGTGATTTGTGTGGCTTTTCTCAACTTCAGGTAATAAGAAAAATAATTTGGTCGTAGTAAAACTTTATTCACTCGGATGCACTATCGTGAAACACATCGACGCCCGTTTGCAGTTGAGCACTCAAATCGTCCGCTTTCTCAGCCGACGTTGCGTTGTATCCGATCTCGTGGTAGCGAATGGGATAGGTCAGTTGGTTGCCCTTGTCCCACGTGTACAACTCGCGCGATCTGTGATTGTAGCCAACAGTTGTGGTCTTCCGGAAGGGGTTCGTGAAGGCCAAGTTGACGTCCAGCAGTTTCCCATGATAGAGATCCAGTGCCAGCCTTATCTTGGTGTTGCGCTCCGTGACGGAATCGATTGCGTACAGAACGCCACAGACGATAAACATCTCGCCCACGCGTCTGTGATTCACGCTGATGTTCCAGCTGTAGAGGATGTCCAGATTGTGGGCGTCGAGCTTTGCCACGAGGGTGTTATTGGAGCCGGGAGTGGCGTAAATGAGCCACAGGCCGTTGTCGTCAACGCTGAAGTCAACACTGTTGTACTCAGTGGTATAGAGATGACCCGTGGCGTTGGCCACAAGATCAGGGATGTCACGGAAAGCCACCTGGCGTTCCACTGATAAATCGTAGCGAATAATCCTCGGCTGGTTCTTCTCATTGTAGTAGAAAGAGCCATTCAGGACGACATGAGTGTTTCCCTATAAGAATTGCAAGATCAAGAAATCAAGATTAAAGCCGTACAATTTCTAGCAAACATACTTGAAAGGGTCTCTCAAGACGGTAACTCTTAGTCGGCACGTTATTTCTGTACACCGCTTTATTTGCATATTCATACAACCGGAAGCTGTCGTTCTCTTTCGTTGCCCAAATCTTCTCACCAACGGCGTCATTCTTAGGTGTGGGATCCTTAAGCCACGCTCCATAATTCTGCTCAGTGAACTTGTGGTAAACTGGCTTTCCCACGGCATAAAGCACGCAATCTGGGAGGAGAGAAAAATATCTCCATTGCAATTTCAAAGACAATTTTGTACACTTTATCCCCCCATTTGCCCTCTCTTTCGCTTTCTGCCTCTCCAGTTCCGAAATTGGACAGTTTATTGCACTAAGAGTCAATATATCGTTGGAAGAAATACGAGATGCTTTTAATTGGATTTTTAAGAGATGCTTTGGTATGAGAGCAAATTGCTTTCTTTTGCAGCAGCAGCAAAAAATGTAATCATTTTCGTTATTGCAGATGTTTTGGCCATGATGAAAGTTGTTTTCCTCTTACCCATTGTCCTATTTGGGAGACCTGGATAGCTCCTGTTTCCTGTCGGCATTATGCTCAGATGTCCTCCTATTAAGTCGAAAAGAGACACTATCGTGTCTTTACACTTGAAATCCCTGCAAAATGTATAATTAATACACAATTGATACTCTTTGAGATGCTCAGAAAACTCTCACTTGGGATCCGGGCAATCTGGGCAAGGCGGCGGTGGTGGCGGACAAAGATCATCCAAGGATTCTTTCTTGGGCGGCATCGTTCCGAACACTGCCACTTCCGTATGTTCTGGCAGCGGACGGATTATGTAGGGATTCCGGTCTGAAAGTCACAAAATACACAATAGAAAAGAATTCTCTAATTAATAAGATATTTGATGGATTCCTTGCCTTGAAGATGAAAAACTGCCCTCGTGATTCCCATCTCATTCTTGCTAATGCAGTGATACTCTCCATAGTCCGTTGAGTGCATCACAGTCAGATTGAGTCTCATTGTGGATTTATACCTAGAAATCCAGGCGAGATTAGAAGCATTTTTCTTTAATTAGAGGCTCATAAACTGAACCTACCCATCGATATGAGACTCAATTCGATATCGTCTGCCATGTTCCAGTAGTTTTCCCTCTGGGAACTTTTCCCAGTATTTAATGGCTTCCGGAAATGCTTCAATCTGCAAAAAACACACACAACACATTGAAAAGTTTCAATTGCAATTGCCAGAGAGACATTTTCTCCGCTCTTTTGAACAGCAATTTTCCCCGGGAAAAACACCTGCGAGTCAGCTCAAAATTGAGCAAACACCTGTTCCAACAACCCTTCCCAAATTGCAATAAAGCACGTGTCATTTATCATATTTAGCGAAATGGATGAAAAGCACCACATCTTGCGCGACGGGGAAAAAGCCCAAAAAATCCCACAAGATTCATGGTTGTGGCGCACCAGGATGGATGGCTCCTTGTCACTGTCGGGGATGCAGTGCTCGAGTGATTGAATATTGTCCTCAATTCTGAGGTCTTGCGACTCACCTCGCACTCGAGGATGGCATGCGAGCCATTTGAAGCGTAAACCACTTGGTTCCGGACGCGGATCAATGGAGCGACTGCAAAAAAGGGAAGAAGAAGAGCAGTAAGACGATATTCAGGAGAGCTCAAATTGAAATGGCGAAAGATTTACATAAATTAGAAACTAATGTAAAAAATTTCTATGAACATAAAGAGAGAAATCATGTTATAATAGTGACTGAGTTACGGCAACAAGAGACTTCTATTGGAACACATCATATATTAATGGGCGGGGCTCTCGAGTGGGCGTTGCCTAAACTCATGTTGAAACAAACTGTAAATCTCCGCTTTGTTTTCTTTCCGACGAATAAAACTGTGGAGAGTGAATTAAAAATCCGAGGGTGCATCATTTGTCGAAGCCTCTCAGTCAGTGGATTGCCGGGTGTGCGAGTGACGTGGAGGATAAATCGATTGTACTCACAGTGAACTTCAATGAAGAAGGTTGCATTGGCGGGTGGAGGAACGCCATTGTCGGCCAGGCACTGATAGGCGCCCATGTGCACCCGATTGACTTTCGTGATGTTCAGCGCGTGTCCCGCCATTGAGGACGCTTGCCACGATCCCACGGAAATCGGAAGTCTGTCCTCCCGGCGCCACTCGACGTGAGGCTTTGGATTTCCCGTGGCGGCGCATCGCAGCCTCAAATGATCCCCCTCGTGGACAATCACCGGCTTGGCGGATTCCATGGTTTCTGAGCCAGCTATTGACGGTGGAATGAGGAGTTCACTGGAAAATGTGCCGTTCACCTTCACTTTCCACGCATTAATGCCAGGAATTCCTGGAGTGCCATTCGTGCCGGACTTTCCAGGACGCCCTCGAGGTCCTGAGAGACCTGAAGAGAAAAAAATGTCATGATGGCAGGCATATCAGAAAAATTAATACGGCGTGTATTTTTAAAATCCTCTTATTTCTCATTGCGTGGCAGTGCTTAAAAAGTTCAAAACTTGCGCGGAAAGTGCAGTAAAAAGCGCTCTCAGGCAGCAGGAAAAAGAAGTCAAAGAGGGTCGTCAACATTTTTATGCTTCCGGCATAAAAGTTTCATTATGAATATTGTGTCAAAGCGAGCACGTGCTTTTGCATGGAATCTGGAACATGGCACAGACTGTCGCCTTTAAAATCGCTCACCGGGCTTCAAAAAGCTCCGCACAGTTTGCTATAGCATATTAAATCGATGAAAAATGGCATTTAAAGCTATTGAACTGGCATTTCTTCGATCAAACAGGGTGAAATTTAATATTGCCACGAAATGGAAAATGTTGCCTTTGCGCCACGTCAGTTGCATTGATTCCATGGGAAAATGGTGTGTGTTTATCAAGCATTCATGAAATCAACAGTGCGAGGACAATGGCTTCACTTTGCCACTTGCATTTCTGTGAAGAATGTCTTTTGTTGCTTGAGAGTTAAAAGAATTCTTCAGCACTGCATCGATGCAAGTGCATGAAGAATGCACAGAATTTCCTCCTTTGAAGCTTGGAGAATTTGTTGTCTTGATGCAATTCTGAGAATGGCAGCAATTGACTTGTTCTTACCTTGAGATCCTGACATTCCAGTCGGTCCGGGTGGTCCCATTGGGCCGGCGAGTCCTGCACAGGGAGAGACAAAAGGATCAATTCGAAATTTCTCCCAAGGCGCGAGAGAAGGTCAATAAGATTGAAATGCGGAATCGAAATTCCACCCCAGATTTGAGCCCAGGGATGCAGTCAAGATTCGGAGGATGAATGCTAACGACCCCATTGAGGGTACGTGACCAATGTTGAGGAGTTGCCTCACTGAATCTCATTGGGATTCTCGCAGTGCTGCAGATTTACACACACACACACACTTTCCGATCTCACGAGGCGACACTGACACTCCTCAGGAGCAGGAAATGAAGCAATTAAAGAGATTAAAATGGTAAATTGCTTGATCATGCTTGCACTGCCTTAATTAACTTACAAACTGTTTTTATTTAATGCCTAATCGATAGAAGAGATTCTCAATTACATTTACACTTGGCATTCATGCAAATAGAATATAGAAATAAATGGTTGTAAAAACCTCTACCGGATCATGAAGACACAAAACATTTGCAGACTGTAAAGCAAATATTGACCCTCTAAGAGGCCGTTGCAATTTCCATTTCATAACATTTTAGAACACTATGAAAGGTTTGAATTTCTTTACAATTCATAACAATTACGACAGCCAATTACAATACTTCGGAGAGCCGAAAAGTTCACGTGCAAACCAAGCGAAAAGGCGTTATTGATATTTTCTGGTTAATAAATACAAATTGATTGAATTTATCTGTCCTATTGTACACAACTTAATGTATCAGATTGAGGTTATATGTGTCCGAACATCTTTAGACATTCTCCAAGGAAACTAATTGATTTTCTAAAACATTTGGAACTCTTGGGCGTTGAAAATATCCCTCGATAGTTGCTGAAAACTCCAAAAGTTACTTCAGATTATGTTGAGAAGAACATTTCCTTACGTCAACGTGAAGGAAAATGGACAGAAACAGGGCAGAAGTTGGAATAATCTGCCCTAAAAAAAACACCAATATAAGCTATGAAAAGTGTAAAGTTGCAACGCAAATTTGGGAATTTTACGAAGCAAAATACAAAAATCTTTAAAGTTGCAACGACTTAATTAATTAAACTTTACATACTTCTTTTTCTATGTATCGCAGAAAACCGCTTTTCTCTAGTCTATTAGAAAGCCCTTAAGAGAACAATTAAACCCAGATGTTCTGTCGTAAGTTGTTCTTGAATATAAACTTCCTCTCGAGATTCGTAGGGAAATTCATTGTGTGAAGGAGTCTAAATGAACTTTCTGGCACTGTATTGTTGGTGTGAGTTTAGAGAAGCTTCTTCAAAAGGCACCTTATTTGGTTAAACAACTGGCAACACTAAGTTCCCACAGGACTTACAGTCTGGAAGAGTTGTTGTGTGTGTGTGTCTCTGTTTTTTCCGGAATGGACAATGCATATTCACCTCAACATGCATGAAAACTAATTAAATTAAGGTGAAACTTGGATATCTCATTTGATTTTCCACTCGAGATACTCCAAAATTGGCAGAGAATCCAATTAATTTTGTGTTATGTGGCATTTTGGGGGAAATGGATATGTCATGAAATATGCACATGAACAAGAGCGTGCAGTAAATTGAGGACAATACATGTTTTGGTACGTATTTTAACGGGGCGTTTAAAAGAGCATGAATCAAAGTATCATACTTCATATCCCAATTAAAACACACACGTTTCAACATTTCCGGGAGGAAAAAAAACAATCTGGTAAACTTTATTTTTATGAGAGTGTCAAGCTCTGGATTAAGTTGAAGTAATTAGGACATTAAACCAGAGACTCGCTGAGAGCATCAATTTCTCCTTCTTAAATTGGAAACTCCTAAGAGGATTTTCGAGTCTTCGGGAACAAGTTTCTCACAACACTTGTCTCACAATGTGTCTCATCGTGTTTGTGTGGCAAAGTGCAATTGCATTACGTGAATTCAACACAACATGCAATTAAGATAATGCCACAATTTATACAATGTCCTCTTCATCCTTCATCCCGCAAAGCATCCAATTGCAAGGCGCCAAGGATGGTCAATCTCTCGCCTCACAATAAACTTTCCATTATCCATTGTCCAGGATTGTCCGTGATTGTGAAGTGAAGGTTGAAAAATGATGGCAAAAATCTGCTGTGCTGCATATCAAAGGGTCACACTATGTTGGGGTGAAAATGCTAAGTGTTTTCTTCGCGCGGGAGAATCCATAAATTCCCACAATAGTTTTGGGCAAAACATTCTCTCACCATCCATAAATTTCCACCTCGAAATGAAAAGCATTCGGAATAATTTCGGGAATGCTTTTCCCACCGAAACCATATAATAAACGACGCCTGGCATGTTAATTGTATTAGCCAACGAAAATATTCCCGATGGCTCGGCATTTTTAATAAAGACTGATTAGAGGAGATATTTTTCTCGTCAAATTGATCGTTACAATTTGAATTATATACACACATTTCCAGATGTCGCCCCAGTGAATACAATTCTTCAGCGAGGGCTTTTTAATTGGACCGGCCAAACTTGGCGATTACCCCCAAAATCCCCACAATAAAAGCATCCTTTCACTCCTCGAGATGAGATGGAAAAAAATTGACGCCCGTCACGTTAAATAATTTATCTGGTCTGAGCCGTAAAAAATGTATTAGGCCAGGCGGGTGGCCGCAAAGCCATAAAAAATTTACTATCCCGTCAATAAAATTCACTCACCGTCTTTGCCATTGTCACCATTGCGCCCATCGAGGCCTGGAATGCCGTCCTTGCCATCCTTTCCGGGGATCCCGTCCGCCCCGGCGCGTCCTGGTACGCCATCCAAGCCAGGCTCACCGGGAACTCCATCTCTGCCGTCCAAACCAGGGTTTCCCGGGAAGCCGGGTTCGCCCTTCGGTCCTCTCGCTCCTGGCTTTCCCTCGCGACCGTCCAGTCCGGGTGGTCCGGGAATACCGACATCCCCGCGATTGCCTTTCGGCCCAGGAACACCAGGAAATCCAGGCGGACCAGGTGGACAGTATTCCTTAGTGGCACGACAGAAACCTGTGATGGCTTCGTACTGGAAAAAGAAGGGCAAAGAGTTGGACAAACATTGCAACTCATTGTTTTCCCAAGAAAAATACTTCTAGACACTTCTGAACGCATTTAAAAGCACTTTCCATCGCTTTTTCGACTCCTTCAACAATTTCTATTTTTATTTTCCAGTTTAGTCTTCAGAAAATTGTGCTGTTTTTCTCATAGGAAAAATCAAAATGCTGACGATAGATTTGCAATTTTTTTCCTTTTATCCAAACACACTGCAATCTCTGAAGATGTCACTCAGTTTTTGTGCATTTTAAAGGATAAAAGAACAACACTAAGACGACAGACAAGCATTGAGATCAGCAATAAAATATTAATAAATCCGTAGCGGAAGCAGAAGCTCTGCAATGAGTTTGGAAGGACATCCTGGCTTATCTGCTGGACCATTGATAGCGCCATGAGTGAATTTGGCAATGAAAAGTGTTCGAGGAGCTCCTCATTCTCCGCCAAATCGATGAAACGAGTAAAGAGTGTTCTGCCAAACGATGTGGAAATGGTTATTTAAGCTGGGAAATCGCCTCCTGGAGGTGCTCGTATGTGAGCCATGAAAGGGAAACTCTTTAATTGACACTCTCGAGTGTCAATTAATCGCAGATGGAGTGCGATTGAGGAGGAAAATTGGGACTTTCGCAGAGTCTAAACGGCACCATTTTCAGCACCTCCACACGAAGTTATCATTAATAGAATCCCCTTCTCATGAGCCGACGAAATTGCCCTTTTTCCCATAAAGTCTCATGTTGGAATTTTCACGATCTCTCGGAAATGCATTTACTCGATTTCGCCTTTTTGTCTTTCTCTCTTTCGCTCTCTTTCTTTTGATGAAAATGATATGCTTTGTACAACTGGCGAAATGTCAGCTAAAATGGCACGGACGTTTTTCTAATTTCCTGCCCATCGAAAAGCAACTTCCGTTGCCTCAAGAAGGCCAAGAAAAAAAAGTGTCGAAGAACTTCTTTTGACTTCCCCAAATGATTCTCTCGAGTGTCTCCAATGAGGAGGAAAACTTCCATCCCTAAATACTGTCGCTCTGTATTTATTTAGGGGCGGATTGTGGGAAAAAGTTTGCAGATAAATAAAATGTTGACTCTCAATGGGAGACGAGCATAATGGAAAATTGAAAATTTATCAATGGCAGCTTCGTGGAAATCCCTTCGACAAAACGTGCGACACTCACAAAGGTCGACAAGTGATTTCATTTGGCTAATCTCTGGGAACGGACGAGAAAAATCCCGCTCGAAAATAAATTAAAGTCCATTTGGATTTAAATGAGATTTTGGAGGATATTGGCGAATCCTTTACTTCACACCATTTGAGAATCAATGTGAATTTAAGGGTTTTCATCAGCCCAAAATCGGCTCTCTGATGTGAACAATGTGTAATTACCAACACAATTTAATTAACCTTTTTTCAATTCAATTATGCCACACACAAAAATTATAGCTAATTATTGACACATTGAGAGCTGTTGAAATTTAATTTCTCATTGAAAGGCTTCACAATATTAATAATAATTATAATGAAACCAATTTTAATGAACATGTTGATTTAATCTTACGGATATTTCTGTTTTTGAGTGGCACAAAACTGTTCAAAATCTGGCGCTAATTTGATGCATAAAATTGAATTTTGTGAAAATTTCATTCTCCATTTCCTGAAGCATTTTCGCGCGTGTTCCCGGGAAATCCTCGCTGCGGAGCACGACACCACCATTAAGAGGGTGCATTTTGTCTGCACAGCGACGCAGATTGAGGAAAAGTGAAGTGAATAAATTTGCTCATCGCCATGTGTTTCTTTTATTAAATCTTCCATGTTGAGATTGATGCTGGCGCAAGATGGGACAATGGGGAGGTTATTAAGCAGCCTAATTAATGATTGAAATACTCTGTGGAATTAATATCTCTTCAATTTTCCGAATAAATGGCATCATCTCGTGCTGTGGGAGAGGCGGGAAACTTTTCCTCTGCAACCATCATAAATCATTTGTCACGCGTCCAAAGTTGAGAGCCTGAGATTCATTTGCCGGGGCAAATAAAGATTTCGAATGGCCAGAAGCGATATGCGGAGATAAGGCAGTTGGGGAAATTAACTGCGACGAAACCCACTTCTGACGCTTGTCACTCAACTTTTGCGGGGGGGGATGAAGAGCGCAGCTCCCCACGAGAGCTTCTCTAAAAGCTCGGGAGTGTGATTATTTTTTTGCCGGGGCGGGAGAGATAAAGTGCACAAAAGTCTGGCAATTAGTCAGTGGAGCATGAATGCGAGGATATCATGAGTATTCTGCGTCGTCCCTTCAAAGAGTTCATTATCGTGTTCATCATCGGCATTTCTGGGCTTGTCTATGATGATGAATGGGGTGAAATACCAAGTCATCCACACGGAGAGTCACTTAAAGTCACTCTCGTCTCCCAACCAATTTCTGCTGTGCTTTCATGACAACGGCGAGCTTTAGCTCGGAGTCCAACAGTTAGTGTCATATGCATTAAAATGATCTCATGTTTGAAGTGTAAAGACAAAAAGTAGCAGTGTTGAAAGCTTGATAACAAAACAAGAGGAAAATCACTAGTCGATTTTTAAGGAATCTCTATGTTCTCAATTAAATATTAAAATATTGATTATTATCAAGTAAAATTGCAAAATAATCAAATATTGAATATTTTCGGACAAAATATTGGACTAAATTAATTTGTATTTAAAAATTTTCTGAATATTTAATCAGAATTTAAATATTTGTAAAATTTTTCCTCATTTGGTCGACAGAGGGCGGTAAAATTTGCGTGAAGGACGCTAATAATATCGGTTTTCCTCATAATTTTCTCTGTCCTCTCACCCATTCTCACACTCTAAGACTTCTTGGCATGATTCTGGCCAGGAGAGAACGAAATTTGAGCTTGAGAATGAAGCTTTTAGTGCAGAAAAAGCTCCCAATCATAATCAGCTGATCAAGTTTGAGAGGCATGTAGAAATTCTGATGGTAGTTCTCAAGAAATCAAAATATGATTGAAAGTTAGTGCTCTGACTTTCTCCTAGTAAAGACATGAATTCACACAATCTCTGTAACATAATATTAATCCAGATTGTCTTAGCATAGAAATATTCGATGTTTCAACAGCGGTTTCTCAGCGAAATCTGGGAAAAAGCTGTGTTTCGAACGAGCTCTAATAAACAATGTCTAATCCTAAGTTCAGTGCCTTCTGCGAGAACCAGTTGACACATCCTTAATCCCTTTGCTCGCTGCTGACAGCTCCGATCAAGGAGCTCCCCTTTGGCAGACGTCAAGAAGCCCCCGCACCTGATAATGCTGGCAAACAACACCACCCTCGCAAGAGGGTGGGGAATCGTGTTTGGCCAATTCATACCTGAAGCCACCCATTAGGCGAATATGTGAGGGTGGAAAAACACGGGTTGGGTATCGTTGATGGTGTCTTAAGTGGATCCACACGGGGCGCATTAAGGGAGCACCAGCTGGCTCACTCTTATCCGATAATATCAGCTTTCACGTTTTAATGAGCCCACCCCATTTGGCGACACTTCGGGGGTGGTTCGCCGGACTGTCTTGAATAATTAATTCGCATTAAATGGTCAACCATGCTGTCTCGGCACATTCTATTGTGATCCCCCTCTTGGATGCTAACTGTGACTTTCACTTACTCTCCGAGACACATTTTCACAACACTTTACAGGACTGTCAGCCAACGGTGCAACTTCCCTAAAAGCATCCTCACTCTGCATTTTGTGGGGAGGCGGAAACATTAAAGTTTTCCCTTTTAGGGCAACTTTGTAATTGTCCGTCAGTTGTAATTTAAAAGATATTCCGCAAATTGACGATCATTCGAAATCGAAAAATCTCATTTCAATTTTGTGTGTGTGTAAAAAGCATGGTGGAAATTGAATTTCTAAAATCTTCGCCTTGTGCTTCGCCGATAATCGAGTGTGTTTGCAGAAATCAATTTTCCATCATCCACTTGGCGCTCAAAATAAACTCATTTGGTCTTGAGGAGCTTCTCAGACTTACACAATAGTTGAGCATATTTTGAATTTCAATTTTCACGCTTTCCCAATATATATGTGGAGAGTTTGAGAAACTCTCAAGTGGATCTCAATGGGTGTATTTTTAGGATTTTTCAAACTATTCTCTCTTCTTCCTTTTTTTCAATTAAATTCTTTCCACTTTGTCGCGCGATTCTCTCCACTTTTTCTCCATTGGGGAAAAGAAAGCCACGTAATCCAGAGATATTTATCTTCTGCACGCAGTACTCAATTCAAGATGCACTTCCACGGTGTTTGTGATTTTCCTCACCCATGCAAAGGAGCTGGGAAAAGGAGCCGCGTGAGGGTAATGGAATAATGTTGGCATCCATAAATGGCATCATCGTTTCATTTCTGCACTTTACCAATAGCAGATTGAATTGCAAAGGAGCCGCACTGAATGCCTCACACCCCCTCGAACCCCATAAATATTGAGTGCTTTTAGTGAAATTAGGAAAAACCGAGAGAGTGTCACCACATTTTCTGCCATCCAACCCTCAGCGATAAGAGTGTGCTTTAAGATAATGGACTTGATTGGGATTTGCGGCCACGCCTACTCTTGCTGACGAGCACGTTAATCTTCCAAAGGGAATCTTCCAATGCAAATTGGCACTTTGTGTGTCGAAGAATATGGAAAATCACCCTTTGAAATACAATTCAATGCAGAATCTCAGTTTTATCTTACTTCAAAGGAGTGTATGCGCTTTCTTGACAATTTTTCATACAAAAAAGTGAACAAAGCCAATTCAAATCATCTACATTATCAATTAACACAATAGCTGGTGAGCAAAGTGTTAAAATGAAGAGTAAAAAGGGGTGAGAAAATCGCAATTGAAGCCCTTCGGAAAACGAGCAAAGCGAACAGAGAGAGGATTTTAACGTAATTTCCTCAATCTGTCGCATTGAAGGAGTAAATAATTGACTCTCTCCAATTGGATCCTCTCTTCAGCATCAATTTCCTACCCAGGAGTGAACAAAGTCAATGTTATCCGGAAGTTTAAATCTCATTGTTTAACATCCACACAACATTGGGAGGCGGCGAGGGGTTGAGAAAGAGAGGCGAATTAACGAAGCAAGAGGATAAGATTACAACAGAGAGTTTCCTTCCGAGAAAGTAGAAGAAAAATTCTGCAAATTCTGTTATAAATTGCCCACACTTTTATCCACTTGCAGGAGAACTTCGTGAGAGTCTCTTTTTCGGGGGTGGGTTGGGATAAAAATGGCTTAGCAATTGAGAAGAAATGGATGATTGACAGAGTGTCGTTTACACTAGGCAACAAAAATGACACTTTTTTCTGCCCTTTTTTTGAGGTGTGGATTTTCTGATTCCTTGAGTCATCAGCTTTTCAACGGTACCTTCCTTTTTTCTCTAGACCCTCAAGTTTTCCTTTTAGAGCCTATTTTCCATTTTCCCCTATTTTCACCCACTTTGCCGCACTTATGTGCTCATATCTCGCCCAATTTTTCACGGATTTTCCTCAAATTAGGCTCAAACGATAGCTATTGAAATTACCTACTACTTTGTAAAACATTGTGAGTGTTTTAGATCACTCCTTGTTGGTCAAAAATGATCTTTTGTGAACCACTAGGTAAAAAATTCACCGGGTTTTTTACCACTTTTTTCTAAATATCTCCGAAACGAAGAAACTTTTATGTTGGATTATTTTTCCTATGTGTAGAGCACTTCAGGGGATGCATTTCCTCCATACATGCCGAAGTGATATTTCTTTTCTATCTGCCGGAAAAACGAGGTTTTTCCTCGACAAATTTTGCTTTTTTATGCTACGCGCACCCTCTAAAAAACTAAAAGAAGGTACATTTTGCTGTCTGCGCATTCATTTAGATGATGATAATGCTTAGATGTTAAAATAAAAGAGAAAAAAGGCCAATATCTCGACTTTTTAGCTATTTTACGTGAATTTTTTGTGTTTTTTATGGAATTGTTGTCATTAAGACCAAAAAAATACCTAAAATAGCTAAAAAGTCGAGATATTGGCCTGTTTTCTCTTTTGTTTTAACATCTAAGCATTATCATTATCTAAATGAGTGCGTAGACAGCAAAATGTACCTTCTTTCAATTTTTTAGCGGGTGCGCGTAGCATAAAAAAGCAAAATTTGTCGAGGGAAAACCTCGTTTTTCCGGCAGATAGAAAAGAAATATCACTTCGGCATGTATGGAGGAAATGCATCCCCTGAAGTGCTCTACACATAGGAAAAATAATCCAACATAAAAGTTTCTTCGTTTCGGAGATATTTAGAAAAAAGTGGTAAAAAACCCGGTGAATTTTTTACCTAGTGGTTCACAAAAGATCATTTTTGACCAACAAGGAGTGATCTAAAACACTCACAATGTTTTACAAAGTAGTAGGTAATTTCAATAGCTATCGTTTGAGCCTAATTTGAGGAAAATCCGTGGAAAATTGGGCGAGATATGAGCACATAAGTGCGGCAAAGTGGGTGAAAATAGGGGAAAATGGAAAATAGGCTCTAAAAGGAAAACTTGAGGGTCTAGAGAAAAAAGGAAGGTACCGTTGAAAAGCTGATGACTCAAGGAATCAGAAAATCCACACCTCAAAAAAAGGGCAAAAAAGTGTTGCACAGTGTTATCAGGGAATTATTTCATCTGCAGTAAAGTGAAAAACATCCCCTCATATTTAAATATATATTCCCACACGCCCACAATATTCAATTTATTCACTGTCGCCGCGATGCTGACAAAGTGGCAATTTTTTGCACACCTTCGCAACGGCGTTATTAAATGAGGCGCCCAATTAATTGTCGACAATTAATTTGATCAGCATCGCATATTTGAAGGGAAGAATCTCGCGAGTTTGCTTATTAATTTCCGGGGTTGTTTCGCCAAAGTCACAATATATATATTTTATGCAAATTTCCCTTCCTGGGGCTGGGAAAGAAATCCTATTAAATTCATGAATTAGGCAATTTAGGCGAATGTTCACGGAAAAATTCATGCGACATTTTCTCTTCAGAGTGTAAAAAGATTTTCCGAGGGGGCGCGAAAAGCCCATTCTTTTGTAATTCAAATTGTGAAGATTGGAAATTGAGAGAGAGAAAGAGAGTCTTTTTGGCAGAAAGTGAAAAGTCTGATTCACTGACATCTCGTGTGTGAAATCGATTAATACATTCTGGAAAATGTAAATATTCCTCAGCGGAAGGATACATCGTTTGAGATATACGAGTAATCCGTTATTTATTCAGCTTTTCATATCCTGGGCAAAAGAAGTTGGTGTTTAAGGGTGAAAATTCCTCCTGAGATTTTGCCGAGACAGACAAAAACACGGGAAATTCATCAGAAATGGATATGGAGCCACAACATTTAAGCTGTGTTGCTGCTTTTCAAGCCTTCCTTGCCGGGGATTTGTCTTTCTTTTTTGTTGGCAAAAATCCCCTCAGACGCGCAACATTTCGTGAAATTCAATTTCCACCGTGAGAGTCAGTCGTAAAAAAGGCAAATTTCCGGACTCCATTCCGATAGATCATAAAAACAATCCCCCAAGAAAGGAGCATCTCTGGAGAGCTTCTCAGCATTGGGAGATGAGATAAGGCGGAAGAAAGCCTTCTCCTCGAGTGGCCCCTAAAGACTCATCAAACCGTATTCGAATTGGCAGGTGAATCGTAAGAAGCTGAGCGGCTCTCCAGGGACTCCCTGGCCGCCAGGCACAACCGAGTGTCCTTTCACTTTCCGCCCTATTCGGTCTTCTCTTGGCTATGTAGACTTTATGGCCAAACGCACGGAAGGAGGACAGAAAGCCTTATTGACGTGTTAGTAAAGGCTAATTAATCAAAATTCTCGGACAACAGCAAATAGTTGGTGTGTGAATTTAGTGGTGTGCAAGTTCAACATCGCATAATTTAATGTGTACACATGGCCAAGGAGAGTTGCGAAGGTGTAGCTTTGAGATAAGTTAGCCTAGCTTCTCAGCTGTTCAATGCTTCAACTGAGCTTGAGTTTTGAATTCCACATTCCAAATTAGCTGCAAGACATCGATTACTTGCTTATCTACGAATTCTTTGGGGGATTTTCACATTCAACTCTGTTTAGTGCGGCAGAGCGTGTTGTTCTACCGCCAAAACCACCCCTTGGAATTTCATGTGCACAAGCGCTGAGTAAATCCATTGGCCACTGACTTCTGGCCGAGTTCTGGGCAGTAAACTGACCATAAATAGCCAACTGAAGTGTATTTGAGTCTCGCAACGCAGCCACCCACTGAAGAACCTCCTGCCGAACCACAACTATATCCTAGAATCTGTGCTTCGTGGAAAATTACAGGTGCATTAATGAGAGTGAGAGAGAGAATCAAGGACAGAGAAGTGATCACAAATGAGAGTTATTTGGGACCACAAATATTCAACAGGCATTTTGGGCAATGTTTCAACTGGGAAGCCTTTAAGCTCATTTGCGTGTTGCACATTTCGACGGCAATTCTAATGCGGAAAGTGTTTCTGGTTCACTACATCTTGCTGGGTTGTAGTTTGGAGTGAAAAATTGGCAAGGCAGAGGTTGTCTCGGTGGGTGGCACACATATCTCGCCTCCAGGAATGGGCCATTGAGAAAATTGTGCAGATAATATGCACTCCAGCGAGTGTCCTACATTCTCTCAAGAGCTTTCACCGCAAGAATGCCACCCACTTGAGCCCCCAAAAGCACTCGCCCAGCAAAAAGTGGAGCACAGATGACAAAATAGAGTGATGCCACCGCTGAATTGCCAGGTTCCAACTAATTGTGTCGCGTCAGGTTTGACGGCACTGAAGAGGAGCTTTCGCTTCAATGGAGCTTTTAACTTTTTTAATCACATTATCGACATTTTTTGCCATGCTCTTCATTCTCACGCCTTGGTGAAGAACTCTCTGAGCCTTGGCTGAATGGATGGGGAAAAAAAAGTGTGCAGAAATGGAGCAGAACTGCAGCAACTCTTCTGCACCAAAAGTTGTCGTGTTTTCTGCCATTTACTCTTATATTATATATAGCAAACTGGAGAAGTCGCACGCTCTTCAGTGCAAACTTCATAACTAGATTCTCAGCTCTCCTTCCAGCCCTTCGCGTCGGGCAGAAAGTTTAATTGTCGCAATTGTAGCTGTGGACAAACTCACCGGAATGCGAGAGTAGCTCGTGAGCCAAACCCACGAATCGCCACCCGGAGCGGCGCCCTTCAGTCCAGTCTTCTTCATGATCTCCACGTCCTTCTTCTCCAGCTCGTGCTTGAGTTTTGGGTTGAAGAACTCCACTTCGGGTCCAGATGGTTCACCAGGATTGCCGAATACCACGTTTTCCGCCATCAAATTTGTGCTGCGACGCTCTCGAACCACCTTTCGCTCATTCCTCACCGATCCACCCTCGAAGTTGTTGCTGGAAAGGGCGGAAAGTTTATTAAGAAAGCACAGAAGAAATCTCTGCACAGTTGCAATTAGTTAATTTGCTGCAGTTCAGCGGAAATCCTCACTATTTAATAGGAATTTATGTGAAGTATTTTTTACTGTTGAGTTTCAAAAGGTGGAAACTTGATTCTCATTCAGGATTAAGACTTAAATAATTACTGGCACAACGTTTTGATACACACTGAGAAAAGGTTTTCATTGGAAAAATCCAATAATCAAGATCAAAATCAAGAGAACTTGAGGAATATTTTGAAAAACTCTGACCCGAAACTCTCCGGAATGTTGAAAATCCGTAATACTAACTCTTAAACTATTCTTTTACGATTTATCCTTGATTTTTACCAGTGCATTTCACACTTCACTGCTCACTTAATTACATCTGCATGACTTGTCGGGAGATGGAATTAAATTTTAATTAACATTGGGGTTTCTTATCTACTTATTATTCACCTCTCGCGGTCGTTCAGCTCATCCCAGAACTTCTGCTGCTGGAACTCCCTTCTGAAGATCTCTCTGGCTATTTCCTGAATCTCCGCCACCGCCACATCGCTTCTCAGGTTGTCCCGGAAGACGGAAATGTCCGACAACTGATTCACGTGAACGTACAAGAGCAGCGCGAACACCGTGAAGAGGCAAAAGACGAGAATTACGAGGATGAGATAAACGCTGCCGAGGTTCTCGGATTTTGCTTCCTGGCCATTTTGGGTGCCCTTCTCACTGACGACTGGCTTCCGGGTGCCGGAATCGGATCCTAAGATCGCGAGGGAGGGCATTTCCGCGCGATGGCATTCACTTTTGGGTGGGAAAATTCAGGGGAAAATCTCCCACTTGCTCTCTCCACTCCTGTGACGCTGACAGGTCCTTTTGTGTGCACTTGATGCAATTTATAGTCAAGCAGTGGCGCGCCTTTTATCACACCATTTTGCACACTTCCAATTACACTTGATGTGGAGTGTATTTATTGTGGTCTCGCGTTTTTCTCTCCTGCAACTGACACGTAAAGTCGCGTCAAACTTTGTCTCCCCTGTGCACCTTCAACAGGATTAAGTCCAATGCAATTACTTCCGCGTTGTCGAGCGAGAGTAACTTTTAACCCATTTCCGACTGCGATAACCCGAGCGCAAGAGGGCAGAAAGCACAGATAAACAAGCACTGACTGCAAATCCGTGGTGCACAAGAGGAGTGCGAATCCCTGTCGTGATGCGGGAAAAACTCATCAAATCCCCTTTTGGGGCCAGAGCAACAAAAGAGGAGAACATAAAGTGGCGGGAAAAACACCACAATCCAATGTCATCCACCGCTGAATATCAATTAGAACTTTTTTTCTCTGGCTCACAAACGCCTGGAGATGGAAAATCGCGCAGGGTTGAAGAATGGCAAGGAATTCACAACATAAATTTCGCCACAACTTAACACACCCAGTTTGCATTTAATTCACTTTTCTGGCCACATTTTTCACCAGATTTATTTACCAACTGGAATTTACGAGCTTTTGTGTGTGAGTTTTCCAAAATTTACAGCCTCGGAAAATATAACCGTCGAATAAGGTGAACAAAAGGGGATTTTTGGCATCGATATGGCCAGTAAATCAGGGATTAAAGTTGGCCAAATCGAGCTTATCGCGCTTGCAAATGATTAGAAGTATAGAATTGCAATAGAAGTTATGTGGCATTTACGCATTCTGCAAACACTATAATTAAATTTCCACTCTGAAATTGCTTCCAAATAGTTTGAAAACTCCCAAGTTCACAGACGACATTATATGGTGGAATTGGTATTCTATTGAGAAGCTTTTTCGTCCGCCCACAATCAATTTGTGGGTGGAAAAACCGCAATGAAGCACCTTCAAAAGTTCCCAGAGGGATTTTCCTGATGATCCCAACAGGTGTACTTATTCCACTTCCCAATAATTATCCCATTATGTGCCGCAACATCACTCTTGCCATCCTTTCGCGCGCTTTTCTTTCCCACCCCCCAAAAAAAGCGAAAGAACCACAAAGCAGCGGCGAAAGGAAGGAAAAAATCATAAAATTAATGACTATTTGGGAAAAGCAGGAGAAACTCTCACTCGACTCACAACAATTGGAGGAAGTTTTCCCGGTCTTCCGGGAAAAGACCGCGCGCGCTGTTCAGTGGCGAAAACTCGACTGACGAGAGGAAATCAGAGTTCACGTTTTTGAATGAAATCTGACCGGCTGCCGCGCCTGCGCTCCGCAGATGTTCAGGGAGTACGTTTCCATCCGGAGGGAGTGTTGTGGCTTCCTCCGTGAGAATGTGCAACATCTGTCCAGAGCCTCCCAAACCGCCCCCGATCGAAACCTCAAGAAAAGCGCCATGGTGCATAATTAAAGTGCGTACTTTAATTCAGATCCTGGCGTGATTATTCACTGACAAGGGGGAGATGATACCATCTGAAGGTGTGTACAGCTCATAAGAAGTACTTAAGAAGTGTTCAAAAGCTTACAATATTCCTGTCATGAGTGTTTCATTAGCAGAATTAAGCAGTTACATGCAATAAACAGTGTTTTTCTGAACATTTCATGCCAAGAACCATTGCAAATTGTATTGAATTCAGACATAACCTCAAAAATAGTTATTTAGACTTGGAAAATGTTCATTAGGAAAACTTTTTGGAAAATTATAACTCTTAATCAGCAGTTTTGAGTTCATTAGCAAATCATAACCAGATCATTTTGTGATCTAGAAAGCTTCGAAACGGAGATACTGAAATTCTTTTGGTGATATTTTGAGGTTCATTAGAATTTGGGAATTGATGTGGAAATCGTGTAAAAACTTCAATTTCTAGAAGTGTCAGGAAAATTGGAAATGTTTGGTAGTAGTGTACAGATTTAAGACATATTATCTTCCCCTTGTCCGCTGAACTATTTCTAAGGAATATGAGGATCAGAAGAATTATTACCAATTTATGATTAATTGCTGGAAAAACGGATGCAAAAAGAGAAGGGAAAAATCATAGCATTTATTTTTCCAGTTAGCCATACGCATGAAAGTTAAGGGAAATTATAGGAGAGACTTTTCCCTTATCTGGAACGCCTGTAGTAAATTCCCAATTATCTACGCGCGACGTCGCGAGGCGCGGTGTATTAATAGGCGTGTAGAAAATCGGCACTTGCGCATGCTGTCAGTGTCCGGACGTAGAGGAAAACGTCTCGCGAGTGGAGTGTGGAGATGGTGGGGACTGGTCAGTGTTTTCTTTTCTCTCCGAGAAAGTCTTTTTGATGTCAGTCTCAGATCCTCCGCGCTCAAGTCGAGTCGATCCGCGATCCGGTCAAGCTCACGTCTGCAGTGTGACATAACCTCTTCCCTACAGGGCTGTTCTGGGGCGCGCAACTGCCCACCTGAATCCTCCGCCAGCGAGTCGCGTCCGGGTGTGCCAGGAGTGCCTTTCGGGGACAGTGACGAGGAGAGAAAGTTCGTGGTGTTTCACGGCGGAGAAAGAGAAAGTGTCTCGCGCGCGCTGAGGCCACTTCCATGCCCATTTGCTGACCAGCCCCACGAGACAACAGAGTCCAGCAGCTGAGCTAACCAGCCCACAGACATGGCGTGGCCGCAAAACGTGGGAATTCTGGGCATTGAGCTCTTCTTCCCCTCGCTGTACGTTGACCAGACGGAGCTGGAGGCCTTCGACGGCGTCTCGGCTGGCAAATACACGGTGAGTGCGCCCAGATTTCTCCCCCCGAAAGGCTTTCACTGCCACATTCCGGGAAAGAGTGTCCAAGTGCAGACTGTGACTCATCCCACGTGTCGTGAACAGTGACACAGTGGCGATCATGGGAATGGGAACACGCGATATCGTCACATAATCAGTGAATTCCAGACATTCAGAATCTCAGAGATTGCTTAGATTTCCCCAGATTATCACGAAGAAAAAACTTGCTCAGCTGTGAATACAAATTTTGCGACGTGGAAAAATGCAAATATGGAAAAATTTAAGTTGTTGAATAATTGATACGCACAACCTTCGCAACTAAATTAACTGCTTTTAAAGAAAATTAGAATATTCTGGAATAATTGTGACCAATTCCCGAAAATCGGCAACTAAAAGACGGAATTTATTCTGAGATTACACGACTTAGTGATCTTTTCCACCAGTTAAAACGCATAAAACGCCTCTTTGAGATATAATTTGAGATTTTCAGAATTATCCTTTAATGTTCTTAGATTTTGACTGAATATTTCTTATATCTTTTGATTTTTCACTTGAAAATTTTAAAGAAAATTTCATAAAGTATGAAAAGTAACATTTTCAGTTTTTTTTTAAATTAATTTTGCCTTATTTCAGTAAAAATTGAAATAAATGCCAATAAAAACAACTGAAATATTCACAAAATAATTATTATAGAGCAATTTGAATGTGTTTTGAGAGTTTTAAAGTAAATTTGGCAACTTTCGCCCCGAAATTTACGCTAAATTTTCAACTCGCTCTCTTGAAAAAAAAAATGAAGATTTTGACTTTTCATCGTTTTCTATTCACCCGTCGATTTATTCTAGACATTCTTGTCGAATCTTAAGTAATCATTATCGTAAGTGGATAAGATTTGAAAATCGCCTGAAACGAAAAACGACCTTCGCTGGAAGAGAGCCAAACAAGTGATTTTTTTCTAGAATCAAAGTGGACAAATATCAACACTTGAATTCATTCAGCATTTTCTACACACTATTGAGAATTTCACAAAATCTTAATCTATTTGTTCAGTCATTGTTTTCCTCGAATCTCTTATTTGCACTTGGAATTATTTATTTAAATATAAATACGGAGAGGTGTTCCAATTCCTTTGGTTTGCACTGTTAATGTTCTCTCCGTGCAGATTGGGCTTGGGCAGAAGCGGATGGGCTTCTGCACTGATCGCGAGGACATCAACTCCCTGTGCCTGACGGTGGTCAGCAATCTTCTGGAACGCCACGGGATTCCGCCGGCGCGCATTGGGCGCCTCGAAGTGGGCACGGAGACGATCATCGACAAGTCCAAGAGTGTCAAGTCGGTGCTGATGCAACTCTTCACGCCGCACGGCGTCACGGATCTCGAGGGCATCGACACGACCAATGCGTGCTACGGCGGCACCGCGGCGCTCTTCAACGCCGTGAACTGGGTGGAGTCGAGCAGCTGGAACGGCCGGCTGGCGCTCGTGGTGTGCGGCGACATTGCGGTGTATGCCAAAGGCTCGGCGCGGCCGACGGGCGGAGCGGGCGCTGTGGCGATGCTGGTGGGCCCCAATGCGCCGCTGGTGCTCGATCGGGGGCTCAGGGCGATCTACATGAAGCACGCGTATGACTTCTACAAGCCCGACTTGTCGTCTGAGTATCCCACCGTGGACGGGAAGCTCTCCATCCAGTGCTATCTCAATGCGCTGGACAATTGCTACCAGCTGTACTGCGAGAAGGCCAGAGCGCTGCAGCCCAACTCGCCCGCCGTGGGCCTGGACGCCTTCGATGCCGTGCTGTTCCACACGCCCTTCTGCAAGTTGGTGCAGAAGAGTCTGGCCAGGATTGGCGTGAATGACTACTTCATGACGCCGCCGTCGCGGCGACTTGTTCGCTTTCCCGGCTTCGAGAAGTTCGAGCAACTGGCGCTGGAGGACACGTACTTCGACAAGGACGTGGAGAAGGCATTCATGAGCTACTACGATGACGTGTTCAAAGCCAAGACGGCCAAATCGCTCCTCATCGCCAGTCAGGTGAGCTGATGCAATAGGCAATTTGTGTTGGGAAAACTCTTTTGAGAATTCTCGGGAAGAGACAAAACGCGGGGGAAATTAACTGATAATATGAATACGTGGAACTTTGATATAATTTCACACGGGGAGAGTTTAAAGTGAATTGATAGATAAATTACTACTGTATTCAAATTATATTGAAATTTAATCAAATTGATTTTCATTTAACATGTTTTTTTTTGCTTCTCATCTCGAATCTCCGCAGGTGGGAAACATGTACACTCCGTCGCTGTACTCTGGACTCATTTCTTACCTCATCACCGGCACCGCGGAGAGTCTGAAGGGGCGGAAAGTGGCGCTATTCTCATATGGATCCGGTCTGGCGTCCACACTGTACTCAATCTCGGTGACTAATGATGTGGAGCTCCTGCAGCCGATGCTGGACAAACTGTCGGACGTTCTGCCGAAGCTGGAGAAGCGTCAGAAGGTGTCACCGAAGGAGTTCAGTGATATCCTCGAGATACGCGAGCAGAACAATCACAAGGCGCCACTGGAGCCTTCGGGAGCCGTGGATCGACTGTTTCCCGGCACTTTCTTCCTCAAGAGCATCGATCAGATGCACCGAAGGCAGTACGATCGCGTGCCCAAGTAGCAAAAAGAAACACAGACAAGAAATCGCTCGCTCCATCACATACAAAGACAATCCGGGCAGGAGAAAAGGGAAGTCGAATCGCTAGATTGGCATAAGAAGCAAAGTATCGTCAGTATTTGATTGAGTGCAATTGATTTTTCTCATATCCTCAAGCGCAGTGCTTCTCAAAAATGTATTTTTCCTTCTTTTACAATTGTTCAATACTTGTGTTTTTACAAATTTTCCAAAGTTCAGGGCTTAAGCTGTAAAAGTCTGCATGTTGTTAATATATAGATTACTTGGTCTGCAAAGTGGCACAATTGCATAAGATGCACGTCTGTTTTGGATTTTCCAACGAGGAAATACCAAATGTCTTGCCGCGTGAGCCTTTTTCTCTCTGCTCTTCTTCAAACTTGGACGCAATGATGCAATAAATGCGCGCGCTGAGATGTGAAAAAAAGCATTCAACTCTCAATGAGAAGCACTGCGCAAAGAAATTTCTTCTCAAATGGTCAAATTGTGCGCACGCTGAGAAGGAAAGAAAGAAGATTGGCAATGAAAAAGAAAAGAGTCGCGCGCTCGAGAGTGTCACACGTCATAAAAAGTGAAATTTTTACTTTCAACCTCTTTCTTCAATGGACATCTCTTGTTTAGCCGTTTTTCCTCGACAGAAGACGAAGATGTTTTTGGTGGTTTTTTTCATTTTCTTTTTGGTGGCTGAGGCGCAAATTGTGGGTGATTTGTGGAGGTTTTTTTTGCACATGTTTTCTCTTTGTTTTCGTGCTCTGGTGTAACAGAGGCTCTTATTCACACTTTGGCGCTCTTCTGGGAAAGTGTTATGCCGCGCGCGCGCGAAGAGGAAATAAAATCACTCCACTTTTGATTTTATAATAAACATTCTTCAACTTCATTTCTCCACCAATTCGCGAGACGCATTGACACAGTTTGAGGGAAGATGGAATATCATAAAGAAGAAATTTAATGCCGTTTTATCAGTGGCTAATCAATCAGAAACAACTCAAAAAAATCGTGACAATAACTAGCGAATAGAATTTCTTTTTTTATATATAAAGAGAACCAGAAAATGATGCGAAGCGATGTATTAAAAATATTTTCACTTTCATTCGGCAAATGGGACCTAAATATTTCCTTTTATAAATTCGGTTGTTAACATCCTTTTCTTTGTTTTAGTGTCTTAAGTTCAATTTGCAAATCCTTTTCTTAGAGAATTTTTTTTTTATTTATTTTCCTTAGTCGGAACGCCTAGCGAATTGTCTTTCTTAATATTTTTGTAGGTTTATGATTTTTTTCCAACATCTCTAGAGAATAAATTAAATATAGAATATTTGTATAGAATGGTTGAAAGAGTCAATAAAAGAGTTACGTAAAAATTATGCGATTTTTTAATTGCTCTCTGCGTAAACCTGGAGACAATCGGCGCGCAATTAGCTCAATTGGACTTTCCCAAGGGGTTAATCAGCTGAGAATTCAACATTATTTCAAGGTTTGTAATTTATTTCGATGGAAATATTGGAATGAAGTTCAATTCAGTGCTTTCACGTGCTTTTATTCACCGGAAATATAATGTTCTTGCTTCAAATTAGCGCTGAATTCATTTAAAATCAGAGAATGAAATACAATTGAAATTTTCAAAAAAAACAAGTTAATCAGCTGATTTTGAATTAGACAATTTAGATTTTTTCTCTTTCTAAAGCAGCTCGTTTCGTTCGTTTTTCCAACTGATAAACCCCATTTTGCGTTATCCACTTTTGTCTGTGACGTAATTAACAATTAAAGATCCATTCTGAGATCTTTGCGTGGTGTAAATATTTAGTGAACTTGAAATTATTGGCGCTTTGTTTACATCTACTTTGGCACCTTTTCTTGTATCTCTTCTCCTCTCAAACAAACCATTTTTCATCCGCTGTATAATGATTGTTTCTGCCAAAATAAACTCGCCCTCGATCTCTCAACTCTCTGTTCTTTCTGAGAGATTTTGAGGCTATCCAACAATAAGAACGAGCAATTCTTATGGAAATAAACAGTGTTTTGTTCTGCAAATAGCATTGACGATCTTTTTGGAGGTGAAATTTTTGTTCTCTGCCATCGTGTGTATTTCGGGAATAATAGCGACATCACCTTTATTATCATGCGTTACGACTTCTTAAAGTATTCTTATTACGTAGAATATGAACATAAAAAGGAGGAAAAAATTATACTTGATAAACTTGATAACAAATTGAGCGGGAGAATTTTGTGCCGCGCTACTGCAGCGCCACTGTTCCCAAATGTTCCCAATTGGGCGATTCGGTTGAATTCCGCGAGAGGGCCTTTTGACAGTGCAAAAAGTCACGGGATTTTACAGTGAAAATTTGTGAATTTTCGACTCGACTTTTCGCCCCCAAAACAGGACCTTTCCACCCACTTTTTGGAGTAACAGGGTAAAGTATCATCTGAGGAGACTCTTCTGACTACTATTGAGGGCCATCGTGGCGAGGAAGTGTGCCGAATAGGGTGGAAAAGTGGGCCCTTGACAAGGGATGGCGCAGAAGAGATCCTTGTCGCGGTCACAATCAATTTTCCCCGCTGGGAGAGCGCATAAAATCATGCCTGGACAGCTTTTCCAGTCAGTCGCGAGCCGAGTGAGACAGTGCGAGGGTGGAAAATCCGGAGGACATGGCCAAAGAGCCACGGGAGTGTCGCGGAAAGTGAAGTCCTTCGGGCGCCTTTCCGGACGTCCTGCTCGCTTCTCCTCCCCATTTTCCAGGCAATACGGGTGATTTTCCCACTTGGAGAGTGTCTGGACAGTGGGCTGGCCCCGGTGGAGGCCGAGCGGGCTGGAATATTACAGCGAGCTGAGGTGTCATGTGACTGATACGAAGAGAACAGCTGACCTCTCGCATGTCAGAGTCTCTGAGGCTCGCCGTGCATTCTATCGATCAGGTTGTGCGAATAATTCATGGGCTGGGAAATGCTTTCCCGGCCACTTGAATTATTGAGCCTCACGCTGCCCACCCAGAGGTCCTAAAAATAAGGATATTCGCTCAAGAGCGCGCGCAGAGATCACAAAATCGGGCTGGAAGACAACGATTAATCGATCGTTGGCGATCAAAATGATTATTGTTTGAATTTAACGGGCGGGTTTGGGATCATTTTTGCAATTAATTGAATTTTCTTGGATTTTCTATTCCAAGAAACCCTTCCGCGAACATCCGTCAAAGGGAATAAATAAGTCACTTTGGGTGTGAATTTATTGGAAAAATATCGCGTGATTGGGCTGAAGATGTAAAAGAGGAAAAGCTTGTAATCAATCGGTTCGCATTGTCACATTAACAATGTGTTACACACAATGTTTAAGGACTCTCTCTCTGTTGGATCATTCATTGTCCAATTAATTGAGTTATCGTGTGATGATTGTTGGGTGTGAAGAACGTCGAAAGAGTTGAGCTTTTCAAGCCACAGAGGCAATAATGTCTAAATTGAGTGCATTTTCTTGTCCTTTGCAGGGAATTCTTGTGAGTGAAGCACGCGAAAATGTCCGAATACTGGCTAATATCCGCTCCTGGCGACAAGACCTGCCAGCAAACATGGGACACGATGAACAACGTGACCAGCAAGCAGGGGAATTTGTGCGAGAACTTCAAGATGCACATTCCCGACCTGAAAGTCGGCACGCTGGATCAACTCGTCGGTCTGTCTGATGATCTTGGCAAGCTGGACACTTACGTGGAGTCCATCACGCGCAAGGTGGCCGCCTATTTGGGTGAAGTGCTTGAGGATCAGCGTGACAAGTTGCAGGAAAACTTGCTGGCCAACAACAGTGAGTCCAACGATCTTTTCCTCCACCCTCGAAAAACAAGACTTCAGATTGATTTCTCTCTTTTTTCTGTTTAACACCCCTCGATTGGCATTGACATTGAGTTTTTATTCGTGTCTCTTCCTTCGCCTTCTCTTGTCGGTCGTCTCAATCTCTCTTGTGTGCGAACAAGGTGGAGATGAGATGCCGCCAAATATAGTTGAATTTACATTTCCAAATTTGGCCTCCCTCACCAGAAAAAGACTTCTTGCAGGACTCCTGAATTTGAATAACTCTCTTGACATGGATCTTGGCTTTTTTCCTCTTATTTTTTCCTTTCTTTGTCTGTTTTTTTTTTCTTTCTTTACTCTCTTTATTTCGGTGTCTTTTGAATCATTCACGATCCATTTACTTAATTCTCTGTTTTACACTGCGAAAAAAGTCAGTGATTTTAATGAAATTTCATTGAATAGAAAATTTGCAAAACTTTCAGCAATTTCCATCTATTGAACAGTGAAAGTTGTATTTAATTTTTCCTTTATTAGCTAAGATGATGTTTGAGGGGCATTTTTGAGGCAGTGATTTGGGAATGAGAAGACATTTTACAGTGAGATGCAAATGTGTGTTTTTGTGATCTAACTTTGAGGATTTCTTGAGTGAAATTTCTCAATATCACTGTTTGGATATGTTTTAGAATTGATGACATTTTTGCGACTCACTGTAATTTTTTTTTTATTTTACAAGACACATTGGTGAAAATCACTGAATAATTTCCCATTCCACTATTATATTTCTAACTTTCATCGGTAAAAACTTCTGATGTCGCTATTCTTGAAAAAGTTCCAAAAAGTCGAATGAATGCGCAAAAGAAGTTGTAGTTTTCTTTTGTGTGTCACAATTTTCTTAAAAAAAAAACAATTTATAAGTTGCATTTCTGTTGAATGTTGTTGTTGGTTTTTAATCTCTTGTGTCTTTTTGCTTGTCTCTTGATCACTTTCGTGTTAGTTAGATTTTCTTGAGTGTTTTTTGCTCTCTTTGTCTTGTTATTTGCACACTAATTGATAAAAAAAAGACTGGAAAAGAATTGTGGAAATTGGGTGGCAATTTTGCATTTATTGGATTTCGAAAGGGGGTTTTAGAGTGAGAGAAAAAGAGTGGAAAATTGTCCTGCTGCACGACAAAGTAGAATTTTTTTTCTTTCTTACCCCTTTTTTTGATGATTGGTGAGGAAATTCAATTTGAATTGGATAAATTTTTATTGACAGATCGCGTGCAATTGGTCATTAATTAATTTTTAATCTGGCCGATGAGGAGGCAAAAATTCCTGAAATATTGAGGATATTTATATTGCAGACCTTGTTGGAATATTCAAGCGGTCACATCCCTGAAATAATGATTGGATTTCCTCCACTTTTCCTCTCTTTCACTTTCTGGCGTGGCATTTTTCTGGTCGTTTCACTTTCGACAGAAAGAGAGAGAGAGAGAAAAGTAAATCGTGAAAAATTGGCCCGTGCGTTTAGAGGAAAGTGCTGAAAAATTAATGAAATTGCATTTTACAATTGGATGATCGTTATTTGCAATTTACATCTCACATCACAGTTTAGTTTCTCGTTGTTTTTTTTTTTATGGATTTTATTTGATTTCCACCCACGAAAAGACACACTTTTATGTTGTACAGAAATTTCTCTATATTGCTTCTTTTATTATTATTTTGTTCCTCTCTTTATAATTTGTTGTTTTGATTACTTCAATTATATTGTTTTGCGATACTTTTTTTGCCTTATTTTGCGAAGGTATGAAAATGAAGTGGGGAAAAAGAAACAGATTTTAGGGGAAAGTGAAGAGTTGTGTTTGTAGATTGAAGATGAGGAGAGTGAGAAATACTGTATATTTGGTTGTGCGTTGTTCGCCAAGGTCCGGGTCCGCCGGACGACGAGGAGGAGACGCAAGAGACCGATCCGTCCTGTCAGCGCAGTCTCACGAATTCCACGGGCTCCGAACGGTGTGAGTCCGAGTGCAACTGTGGCAACAACATTGGGAAGGAAAGCAACAACATTAGGACGCATAATCACGATGCGGATCCCTTTGATTGGTGGTTTCACAGAAGTAAAAGTTCGAAGAAGAGCAGGTACTGTGTCAAGCTGGACAACTTTTGGGTGATCCCGATCGCGAGTGGATCCATCAGGGGTTGCTGATATTGGGGATGCAGTGTCACTTGGTCTAGCTTCAAGGGGTTGAAGTTTACGACACTTATCGCTACGAATTGCGTGCAATTTCTCTATTCTAACACAACTTTTGAGGAAAATATTTAAAATCGACTAATTTTTACGATTGAAGGACTAATTAGTCCTATTTTTCTTGTTTAAATTGTGTTAAAAAGGGAAATTACCTGTGATTTTTACCGATAAGTGTCGGTAAGAGTTGAAAACTTCAATCACTGCAGAGTGATAAAAGTAAATAGAATTAGAACTACCCAAGATTTTCAGGCGGGATTTTAGGTAAAAAACGATTGACTAAAGGGATTGTAGATCGATCAGCCGGATTTGAATGAAGTTATTTAAACGGCACGGCCAATTGTTTTTCTCACTCTATTATATTTACTCTCCTACGTTTCGGAGGTCAGTTTCCTCCGTTTATTTTGGCGACATCTCTCACCCTAAAAATTTTTCATCCCTGAGGAAGGAGGAAACTGACCTCCGAAACGTAGGAGAGTAAATATAATAGAGTGAGAAAAACAATTGGCCGTGCCGTTTTAATAACTTGACTAAAGGGAGTTCAGAGTGGAAAAAAAAATATTTTAAGCGTTTAACAGAAGCTGGGAAAAATTCCTGATAAAAAAATACTGTTTTTGCTACTTTTATTCTTAAAAAGCGCTTTAAATAACTTCATATCTTTCAATTCTTCACACATTCTTCTCGTAAAACCCTAAATATTCGATTGAAGATTAAGTATTTAAGCTTTTTAGCTGGCAAATTCACCTTTCGAGCTTCAAAACTGGAGTAATTTTGATAATCGAGTTCGGAAGAGATGATAGAATGAATCGTTGATGTTGAGACACTGAAAATCCATCCTTTTAGCAACCCCTTGAGTGGATCACTCAAAGTGTGTCCCGATTGTGGGTGGGTGAAAAGAAGCACTGTAGAGAAATTCTGTTGGTGGGCTTTGGGTTGATCGCGATCGCTATTAAACGACGCTCCATTTGCCACACTCAAACACACGAAAAGGAGTCACTCGTCGAGTCAGTTGCACATGGGTGGCAGTGGCAATGGCGGCGGCGGAGGTGGCGGTGGAGCCACGCACCGATCATCGCCTGTCAGCAGTTGCTGTGGCAGCAGCAGTCAGGGTCGATCGAGTCCTGACGATGAGGACGGGCTCAGGGAGCCACCCAGTTTCCCCCTAAGTCCAGGTCAGCAACTCAAAAACAAACAAACAAACAGCTAGCAAAAGACAAGCAAATGAATGAAAGAAAAAAAGATGTGAAAAAGAGGATCAGCCACAGCATTGTCACCACATTTGAACACCCACCTTTATTTCTTTGATTTTAGCGAAAAAAAATATTATTAGATCATTAATTCATCACAAAGTGTTTGTTGAGAGACTCGTTTTTCTTTGGCAGTGTTTTATTTTTTGAAAATTTATTTTACACAATTTTTTTATCGTGAGATTCTCATTGAGAAATTGAAAATCATCTGCAAGATGTAAAATCGATGTTGATGTACATGAAATTAATGTATTGTGTTGATTGATCACATTTTGGACAGTCAATTCATTTTGAATAACAACAGAAAAGAAAAGAAAAGAATTACGCAAAATTCTGTCCTCTTGACATCTCTTATCTATGATATTTTTCAACTCTGTCTTCGGACTTCTCCTCATTGGAAATGATTGGTATGGCTTTTAAGATGAGTTGACTGTTGTTATGAAATCATTCGTCAATTTTTTAATTTTATCTTTTAGGGGTTTTTTATTACATCAAAGTGACGCTCATTCTATACATAAACATCACGTGGGAAAATGTGTCTATAAATTATTTATGACTCTTTTTCCAGTTTTGTATTTCTGTCTATATTGTATCTCTCTCTCAGACTGTGTTTCCTCTCCTGCAGAGCTCGAAAAAAAATGAAGAGAAGAAGGTGTTTTTCGTCGTTTATGAGATGCTATCCAAAAACGTGTGTGTTTGTGTGTGTGTTTTTCTCTTCCTGACCAAACTTTCTGTTCAAAAAAGAGAATTTGTGAAGCAGCACTTTTCCCGCCCTTCTCTATATTCTTCTCACACTTTCGATTATGAAATTTTATTTTTATCCACTGTTTTTGTTTTAGTTCACGGCCAACAAAAGGCCCCCCTTTTTCTATCGTCCTGGCAAGTCCTACTTTCACGCTTTTATTTGATATAGTGTGGCGATATTACTCAATTCAATTGATGGTGTTAATCAATATTTAATCATATTGCATTTGTAAATAGAATGTATCCTTGCGCCTGGTTGGCTTTCTCTGGTGGCTTCAAGGCACTTTGCATGGATTGTCGCAGTAGATATTATTCTTTATCAATTGAAATGATCGATTAACTTTGGAGAAATTGAAGTGATGAAGACTGAATTGAATGTGAATTTCTGCCCTTTTTCCAGCTGATCTTCCATCGTACATCACCCGCTTTCAGTGGGACATGGCCAAGTATCCCATTAAGCAATCGCTGAGAAATATCGCTGACATCATTTCGAAGCAAGTCGGCCAGATCGATGCTGATCTGAAGGTGAAATCCTCGGCCTATAACAGTCTCAAGGGGAACTTGCAGAACCTGGAGAAGAAGCAAACGTAAATTTCACATTCTATTTGAATATTAAAAGGATCTGCGTAATATTCTAACTTTGTCACTTCTTTCTTTTCCCTCCAGCGGAAGTTTGTTGACTCGCAACTTGGCTGATATCGTGAAGAGGGAGCACTTTATCCTGGATTCTGAGTATCTCACCACTTTGCTCGTGATTGTGCCCAAGTGAGTTTGTGCAGAGGGAAATTATCGCTCGTTGCAACTTTACATTCATAGCATTTTAAATAAGATGTCAAAAATATGAATTCGAGAAAAGGTGTTGCAAGATTACGAAACGTTTCAAACGTTGACGTCTGAAGCGCAATTCATATATATTTCGTCGCGTGAAGACAAGAAATGCCGGAAAATTCTAAATAATTATTTTTTAATGTGGATAAACACACATTTATTGGATTTTTCTGGGCATTTATGCACATTTCGTTGCACCAAATTGAGGTTATGTGTTTCCCGATATCTTGCGACCTTTTTCAAGGAAACTAAGTGGTTTTTATTCCATTTATTGCTTATTGTAAAGACATAATCCTTTAAAGATTCCATCGAAAACACGCTCAATGTCTTGAAGATGTCTGAATTATTTTTCGCGTTGAAAACATCCCTCGGTAATTCGTCGAAAACTCCTGGTAGTTTCTGAAAAGTAGCCGCAATGAAATGATTTTCTGATAGCTGAAATTCTTACTAAATAAACCCCAAACTTTGCCTTGCGACGCTTTCTCGTTCATACTTTATTCGTAGTTTACTCTAGCAGCCGCCTGGTGGCCGTCAATATTAGCTATGAAAAGCATAAAGTTGAAACATCAAATTGGTAGCTCTTACGAATTTGAAATACGAAATCTGTAATGTTGCAACGACTCGTGAGACAATGATATCTTTCTCTATCTCGTGTTTAGGGCAATGGTGCAGGATTGGAATGGTCACTATGAGAAGCTGACGGACATGATTGTGCCGCGATCCACGCAGTGCATCACGCAGGATCAGGACTTTGCGCTGTACACGGTGACGCTGTTCAAGAAGGTTGTGGATGAGTTCAAGCTGCATGCGCGCGAGAAGAAGTTCGTGGTGCGTGAGTTCACGTACAATGAGGAGGAATTGGCGGCCGGGAAGAATGAGATCACGAAGCTGGTGACGGACAAGAAGAAGCAATTTGGGCCGCTGGTGCGATGGCTGAAGGTGAACTTCAGCGAGTGCTTCTGCGCTTGGATTCACGTGAAGGCGCTGCGCGTGTTCGTGGAATCGGTGCTGCGCTACGGGCTGCCCGTCAACTTCCAGGCCATTCTCATTCATCCGCACAAGAAGAGCACCAAGAGACTCCGCGACGTGCTCAATCAGCTGTACGGCCACCTGGACGGCTCCGCCGCCTCAACTGGCGGCAGCAATGCTGACGTGAGTTGAGATTTCGCACTGAGCTTGAGAGTTGATGTTAATGCTTTCTTCCCTTCCAGACCGTTGATATTCCTGGCCTGGGCTTCGGTCAGTCCGAGTACTACCCTTACGTCTACTACAAACTGAATATCGACATGGTGGAGTCGAAGTTGTAAGGGTGAACACCGAATTGAGTATCAACACAACTACAATAATAATCATTGAGGGCCATTTTAGTAGGACAATGAAATTCTTAGTTTGATTCTAAATTCTCCGGTTTTATTCCAAATTTTCTGCTCTTCTTTGAATCCCCCGAAAAAAAAGATCGGTTTCTTTCTCCCTGGCAAATGTTTTTTTTTTGGAGAAAATCAGTATTTTGCGGAAGTAGTTTTTTAAGTAAACAGAGAGATAAAAAGCATAAAAGAATAATGTATAAAAGAAATATTTCCAAAATTATGTAAATATCATGGATTATATTCCACGCTATTCTAGTTCTTTTCCTCAATTATAGTTTAAAACCCTCGTTGCATGCGGTGGCGATTCAATTGTAGCGTCAATGTTAGTGAAAAAAAAAAGATTTTTGAAAATACAAAAATACAATTTTAAATGTATTTAAAAAATGATACAAAAATTGTTATATGTGAAGCGTTACTTACATTTTGTTTCTTTTCTCCCCACGGAATTGAAGACAAATAAGGCGCTTTTGGGGTGGAAATGCGCTCCAGGGTTGCAAAAAATCTGTTGAAGAATCATTATTGTAAATAAAAAATAGAGAAAAAAAACATTCCAATAAATCAACAATGGTTTTATTAACACATTTCCTGCAGCTTTTCTTCCACTTCTTTCTGTCGTGGTGAAAATTTTGCATGCACATTGAAGACAATTTCCAGTCCAGGATAGAATTCAACAGTCGCGCTCATGATTTTCTTCTCTCCACTGACATCTTGGCCTCAAGATAGCTCTCAAAACACTTCTAAAGGCTCAAATTTCAATTATTGAGTGAATCTTAAGTCAAAAGACGGGTAAATAGTTGTGAAACATAATAAGATAACGAGCTAATATATTCATGTTGCACTTGTGTATGCTTTTTATGCTCTACTAAGCATTTATTTCATGATTTTTAATGCTTTCTGCAGTAAATTTGAGGATTTTGTGATTTAAAAAAACCGCTCAACGGCTCGGCAATTGCCTGACTACGGCACTGTGCAGCTGTCAACCGCAATGGTTTAGTTAACGAATTAAATAAGATACTTGCACTCTGTTTACTGTCTTAAGCGGAAGTTCACAGTAAAAGGATGAAATTCCCTACATATCTATGTGCCGGACATAACTGTAAACACATCCGTTTTTTTGGGATCACCGTAGAGAGGTGATTTTTCATGTATTTGCCACATTTCGCACACCTCGCGGGCGAAAATGGCACGATTTTCCACTCAAATCGACAAATTCGGTAATTTTGCATGATAATTTGGCCTAACATGCCCAAGAATCATGCTCTGAGGCTGAAAATCGCATAAAAATGTCGAGGAGCACCAAATCATTACATGACATGCATTTGAGGGGTGAGCAATTGTGCCGCGCAACAAGTACGGCAACGTTGAGCTCTTCAAGGCGTGCGTGCTGCCCAAGAACACTGTTCATCTGCAGTTGCAGGGCATCAATAAGATCTGCAAGCGACTCAGGATTGACTGCGCTTCAGCCATTGTGGGCTGACAATGGCTGGATGGCTTCGTGATGTGCAAGAAATTCGCGAACACGGTGCTGGACGCGTGGAATCAGGAGCAGGATGAGAAGCGAGTGTACGGCAATTGGAGGAAGCTGATCAAAGGACTGCTGATTCGCGCCATGCTGCAGGCGAAGTACAATTTCAAAGATAAGGAGGAGGAGACGGCATAAGTATTTACTTAACTAATCTCTCGGGATGGTGCAGTGTGGATTTTGTCAAATTTGCACAATAAATTCAACATGAATTTATGTACAAATGTGTCTCAAAATCACTTAAAGTTTGACATCACTTCCGCTTCTGCCTTTTCCGCTTACGTTTTAGCGAAGAATGATGACTTACGAATAATAGATTTACGCAGCTTTCCTACAAAATCACCGAAAATTGCCTTGATTATGAGGAAATTCCTTTCACTTCTTATTAACCAAAGTGAATCTAAACATTTTCGAAATTGAACAATTACTCAATAAGGTTTTCCATGAAAAATTTCCCAGGTATTTATTACAAAAATTACCTTTATGAGTGTTATGAAATTATAAAATCAAGAAAAAACAGTGAAAAAGAGTAAAAATCAACTCAACTTTTTATTTCCACTTATCAAGACAAGAAATCACAGACTAAAAAGAAGTATTCATTTTGTATAAGTGAAGAGTTGTCTAATGAAATTACACACTTGATCATGTTCAGTAAGTTTTTACTAATCCTCAGTTCGATTATAAACAGCGCACAACGCGTGCTTCTCCGCTTTTTTTTTATTAAAATATTGATTGATGCCTCTCATTATGCGATCTTGCGTCTTCTGACCGTCAGCGAGGTTTCTGGGCCACAATTTCCTGTCATGCGCTCGAAATGAGTTATAAATCACATGAATTCGTCACAATTCGTTGGCCTTTCGTGCATTTCCGCTCAGGAAAACAATGTCAAAATCAAACTGACATCTCACTAAACGGCGCTTGACCTCCAGTTGTTTTTTTTCTGTGAATTAATTTATTTGGCTCGCGCCTTCTCAATTGTTGCTCGATTGTCGGGTTGATTATGACCATGACACTGACCTCAACATCTGCAAATTCTCTCTTCAATTGATCAAAGAAGAAGATGAAAAAAACAGTACTAGAAGCTCTCGTGGCTTATTTTTCGGAAATTAATCAGAACAACTGTTCTGTCCATGAATATTTCGTGTTTATTGAATAAAATATGACTTTTTCGGGGGGAAAATAATGGAGCATTGACCTGAAATTGGGTGGCGATATGACGCCCGCTATAGAACAGAAGTGCGCATAAGAATGCACGGAGCCGACAGAATTTCAATGCATGACATTTATTCCACTGGCGATAGTCACAATTTATTCACTTTTCAACGTGATAATTAATTCGTGGCAGGGAGTGAGAAAACGTGAGGAATTGTGTAATCTTGTGGGCACTGAGAGAAAAATGGGTATTGAAACAGGGTCAATAACTTCCTTGGCAGAAGCTGCAGAGTGACCCTTTTTTGCCCACAAAGTATACGGAGAAACTCAAGAAAATAGCCAACATTGCATGGAAAGTGTGTAGAGAGAGAGAGATAAGAATTTATCAGTCTATATGTAACTATCAGTCAGTAAGAGCTGTTAATCCAAATGTCTTAATGGCAAGACAATAAGAAAATTGAGAGTTGTTTTCCAGGTACAATTTTATGTGCGGATTTTTTTTCTGCTGTTACGCAAAGAAGACCGCAAACTTTTCTGTATAGAGAGAAAATGTGTATGTTATGGATTTCGCACAACTGTTTTGCTTTCCAATTGATTTGAAGACAATTTATGGATTTTCGAGGGGTCCGCAAAGGGGGAAATAGAATGGCTTCATCGCTTCCTGACAATTTTATCCTTGAATTTAACACTTGAAAGTGCTGTGAAAAAGCTTTCATTTGGTGCAAAGAGCATCAAAAATGCTTGAATAGTTCATTTTTAATTCGCAATCAACCCAAAAATTATCCTCCAAAGCACTTGTCAACTGGTCAGAGTGGCCAGCTCCTTCGAGGAAAATCTTGTTCTAGCACTGCCTAGTGTTGATTCATTTAGACAAACACAGATAAATACAAGAAACGCCTCGCTTTCGCTTACTTCCGAAGACTTGTACACGATTCCAGATCATAATATCTCCTCCTTGGGCTAAGAAAAATTGCGAATACGCTTCGAAAAGCGCAAAATTCCGCACAGATCCTCACTGGGCTGGCTGATTGACCCCTTGGCGAGGAATTTGTGCCGCGAGAACATGACCTGACTCATGCATTCTTCGACTCCCTGCACTTTCCAGCGCTGCTCCCCACGCGAGAGCTCAACCCCGGCGCTCGCTTGAGTGACCACGGCTCACCTGTAGTGGTGTATTGAAATCGAAAATGCCCGTGTTGATGGTCTGATACGGAGCTCGCTGTTTACTCGCCACGACAGAAAAACGTCGGGGCAGAACAGCTGCTGCGGCACGATTGCGCGCTCCGAGTCTCTCTAGTCACCACTCGAGCCTCCGCCACGACACTCTGTGGCTCCGTAGCGCCGCGTTTCCCCCCGTTTTTCCGTGTCTTTCCGGGTTTTCACGCCCCACGAGCGATCCTTGTGCGGAGGATATTCAAATTTCGCGCGTGTGTCTTTGAATTGTGACCAAAAATTAACGAATCTTAATTGGATTTTCGTGTGCAAATTGGCGGCTCGTTTTCCTCATTCCTCACACGGACAGTGAGGCGAGAGAGAGAGAGACTCTGTGACAATTCTCACCTAATTCTACCTCACTTTGCAAAAAACTCTCTGGGTAATTTTGTGTGTCTATCAGTTGTGTGAATTTGCTCCGAAATCTCAACCGGAATCGCAACGATAAGAGCCAACTTTCGAGACTTGAAAGCCACCGAACAGCTTCTGCATTATGTGCAACATGATCTCGCGCCAATGACGAGCCGGAAGTGTAGTGAATTGCGGTGCACGCTAGAGTAGCTCGCCAACTGATGTGCTCTCAGCCTAGACCTCTCGCTTGATTGTCTCTGTCCAAGTGCGGCGCAGAGTGACGAAAAAAGTGTCTCCGCCATGAGTGAAAATGTGGAAAACAGCGAGTACGATCGGATCTCGATCGAGGACGCGGTGGATCGACTGACCCTGGACGATTATCGGCGGATTCTGCGGGAGTTGGACCAGAATCGTGATCTTCAGAATCGGAGGCGCGAAAAATTGAGGTACAGTTGTCGATCACACGCCAATTTCACCCAAGAAAAACACTAGAACCACCGTCAGTGGAATTGAACTGCCAATGGCACAGCTCGCGATCCACACTCTGTGGTCATGCGAGTGTTAACGGTCGAACGGGCATCGCCTTGACCCACCAGCACACTCTTCGGTACATCATCGTCTGCATTTGAGCAATTAACAGACTTTTGCAATTAACGCCACGGAATTACACGAAACAGCTACGTTTATTGTACAATTAATTAGTCATATTTTATTCACTGACGAAAAAAGCACACAACTTTTTCCCATCACTGCCGTCGCTCTTCGGCAAGATCGTGCGCCAATTCAACTATCTTCAGGCGCTTTTGCTCTGCGATCATCGCATTTCCCGCTCTTTTTTGTCTCTCATCACATGAAGAAAAATTAACACATATCCAACTTAATTAATAACACTTGGCGTATTACGTGCGTTGTGGCAATTATCGGGAAAAGGTGCTTCTTGTCATCGCAAGATTGCCTAGCATTTATGCGATAACATTTGCAATTTGATTAAGGCGAGTGAAAAAGAGCTCATGAACATTTAATAAAGTCTAACAGACTGAGGAAATAGAAGCAAGGTTTCTTTCAAAATCACTGCTCTCAGGGATGAAATTCAGTGGATTTCCGAAATTTTGGATTAGAAATCATGATTAACAAATAACTCAGAAGAATTGTGTGATTTTCCTTGTTGCTCTTTGGGTTTATTGCGCTCCTTTTCAAAGTCAGAACCTTCTTGAGAGATTATCAGTTGTGAAAGTTCCAGTATTTCAAATTATTAGATTGTTTCCACAATAATTCGCAAATTACAAAAAAATATCAATATTTCTGTGAAAATCCACTGAAAACCGCTTTTCTGGGCGTCTTCTGAGCGTCGATCTGCGTTTTCAAATCATTTCCATCCAATTTTCAAGCTCTCTTATTAAATTTGAATAAAAAATGCATGTCTTTTAGTAGATTTCATCTATCATCAGTCAGAGATATCATGAGAAACACAATCATGCGCAGAATGCGTGTTTATCTTTCATTTTTCAAACTAAATTTTAATCCGTTTGTCTCAAGAATAATTCCATTCAGCTTGAAAGAGAAGAAAAAGTCACACAGTTTTCCCACTACAGTTCAGCTGAATTGCAGATCAAATATTTAATTTTTTCCATCCGGAGCGATATTATGCTCCATAAGAAACAATAAATTGTTGACTAAATATCGCTTTGGCGCACATTATCTGTGCAAAGAAATAGTGAGCACGCAATAAGGTGGCAAATAGAGACCCAATTTTGATGATATTGTGTGGCAGAGTGAATTAAAATATAAGACACATGATAAGATACACTGCAAAATGTGCGCAACTCCTGTATAATTAGCCAACGGCAGAAGAAGATCGTGGAAGAATTCTCAGGCATTCTTGCCACCAAAGTGTGCTAATTGAGCTTTTACGGCATGTGCTTGACACCTTATAAATTCACCTCTGGCGTCTCATGTTTGGCTCTTATCGTGAATTCGTCCAATGTCGTGAAAATACAAACAATTGAGCGCGCGGTAATCAAGATGATGCGACATGTTCACGTCGCACAGATTACAATCTGAGAGCGTAAAAATAAAAACTCTGAAAGAAAGAGGAGACAATTTTTCGTCCAGATGAGGTTTTTGACCGTCAACTTTTCAGGAAATGCCGGAAAGTGGTGAATTTCACTCAAAAAATCAACTCCAATTACGATCATTATGCAGATGCACAATACATGGAAGAAAAGTACATAATTATTATTTGTTGCACGATCATTAAAAAATCTGCAGATGCTATGATTTTGCAAAGCGGAAAAATATTTTTGTGTGAATACCGACAATTATTGGAGAGGTTTTAAATGTGTTTCTTTCACACATAATAAGATGGTGTGGAATTTTTCCTCATTATCTATGATTTTCTAGCTCAATGATTGAGCTGTTTATGCTGGAAAAGGATATTGAAGTTCAGGATTTGCACTTATTTAAAGAGTTTTCAAATCATAATTAACACTTTCATAAACACTCAACAAAGTGCCCAAAAATGTATAATAATTTTATGATATATTTCCTCTTTCTCTGCATCTTTGAAGCTCTGAAGCCTTAAGTGGTGATGTTTTGAATTCACTTTTAGCCAAACAATCTTTCACTCATCGAGTTGAAGAGTGTGTTGTAAAAATCTGACATAATTCAGAGATAAAGGCATTTCCTAATCATCTTCCACGGCTTATTGAACCACTTTCTGCACTCCAAGACATCTTGGAAGCATTGCAAAACAAGCCAATATTCAAATGAAGTGCGGAGAAAAGTTGCAGCTTTTCATATCACTTCATGTTCATGTTTTTCCATCGTTCTGATTTATGTAAATATGCGTCTGTTGCCGCTGAATCTGTTTCGGTGTAAGACAAGAATGTGAAAAAAGAAATGATCCGCACACAAAGCGAGAAGATATGCGCAATTCTCACGGACGGGAAAAGTAGGTGTGCTTCGCGGAGTGAAATTCCGGGCAGAATTGATGAAAGTATAGGTGAGAATTGGACAAACTCAAGGGCATTTACTTGAGAGTTTTTTCTTATGAGCAATTTCCCTGGCGAAAGATTGCATAAGTTGTGCAATATTTTGGAGAATTTCTTCCTCAAACTCGCACATAAAACCGTACACCATTCAAATTGAGCCGCGATATTTCTTTTCGCCGCACTCATTAACGCCATGGCGAAGAAACGGAGAGAAATGCGCGGTGAAAGATTTATCAATCGCCCGCTGATCGCTTCCACATCGTCAGATAACAGTTCAAACAATTACTTAATGCCATACAAACGAAATGCGAGAGTGAGAGAAGACTGGCAAAAACCAATGCAAATGATTAAAGCTGATCGAGCGGATTTTCGTGGCAGAGGTGAAAAATCTCTAAATAATCTCTCAAACAGCATCGCAAAAAGGCTTTCATTTTCGAGAGAGAGAGAACTTTGAACCACTTTTTTCTCTTGCAGCATCCGAAAATTGCCAACACAATTTTCTATTGTCAATCATTTCTCTTTCATAAAAGTGATCAAGCCGCAGAGATCAGTGGAAAAAACACAACCATGATGTTCAATTGTGATTTGGAGGAGAAATTGATTTTTTCCATCCAACTTCTTCACACCTTTTTCTCATCTTCAACATTAATATTGACTATTTGGCAGAAAATCTCTTCGATTTTTTTTCACTCCAAAGCTGTGTTGCATTGCAAAGTAGGAAAAGATTAGGAGTGAAAATATGATGTGTTTTTTGTGGATCTAATTGGATTAATTATGGTATCTGCAGAGCTTAATCATAGAGATTGCTTTGGATATCTGGTGGAGAAAAATGCCGAAGTGTTGATCTTTCCGCGGGGCAAATTGGCAGAAGCACGCCAAGATGTGCAAGAAGTGTTGCAGTGGGAAAATGCTAATATTGCCATTACTTATTCTATGATCAAGATAAATGGAATTTATGCAGAAGAAAATAAGGCAGAGGCTGACGAAAAATCACTCCCCAGTTTTCTCCCTTTTGCATGGCAAATTATGTGAAAGAGCAGACGATAAGTATACAAGTCGTCTTTATACTTCACAAATGATCACACGATGATCTTTGCATCTTATGTTTAAACAAAAAAAATCTCTTTGGCAAAGAAAACTAATTCCCGCTGAATTTTGGGTAAAGATTTCCATATCATTGCTCGCCAAGAAAGCTTTAACGTTGATAAAGCGGATAAAATAAATCGTTTGATCACTGATTTTAGGACGAAAAATCGTATAAAACAGCATTTTCGCTTTATCCAAAGCCAGATTCATCCAGATCGTGTTTTAGAGAAATATTTCTGCTGTTTTGTAAGGAAATATCGCAAAGATTTCTGCTGTGTTTGAATACAAAAATCACCATCCAACTGCTTTTTGAATGTCTCTTTTGGAAATTTATCGCGAGATCTTCATTAGAATATCTCCTCCCGTGATAACGCTGACAAACAGTTAGAGATTAGACTCTATAAATTACCACGCGCGAGATAATGCGCTAAAATTAGTGAAGTATACAATGTCAAAACTGGAAATCAAGATGGAATTCACTGCATCTCATCAATCAAAAACTAACTGAATTCGCGCGGACAATCTCATCTCTCTCTCTCTGATGGCGAATGAGAGGCATTTCTCTTCAGGTGCGCGTGATCACCTTCTCCGGAGCTTTTTCCAGTTCTCGTTGGGTCTCAAGTGGAAATGCTTTGCGTCTCACAATCAGTTGAGCGCCTTCACTCGAGCCGCGTGCCTGCTTTTTTCAACCTTCCACGGCGCCTTTGTCAATCCATTCTTGGTTGGAATTCCTTGGCAATTTGTGCTGCATTAAATCAGTGGAAGATCGCGCGGATGCAAGTGAAATTTCGTCAAGTGGTGAACCAATTTCTTGGACAGTTTTCAAGGTGTGACGATAAGGCACTTTCGCGAAACAGTGCACTTGAGGAATCCGCGTTCTGACCTTCTCTCAATGTACCTGGAGAATTATTCCAGGCAAAGAGTGTGTTGTGTATGCAATTGTGGGGATTTAGCCACATAAAACCGGATCACATCGACATCCACTTGGCAAGAATCTGTGAAATTTCTTCGCCTCGAACATTTTACCGTAGTAATCTTTCCAATGGGACTTTGCTTAGCGGACCCAGCACCATCATTTTTCGATCGATCTGATCGCGATGGTAATTTGCGTAGCTCTTTCTCCTCCTCTCTCTCTCTCTTGCACACCAACAAGGGTCACTGTCAACATATCTTAGAGGCACTTTCAGCTGCCATCCACGAAATGCGTGCCATTAATCGTGCGCCAAAGCAATTGCGAGATTTTCAAATAAGTATATGATAAAATATTTATGGTAATTGCAAGTGATCACAGCTGGCAGATGATCGAGAAATTTGCCTTTGCCGTTTTCACGCTTCACAATCACTTTTACTGGCTGTTTTTAGAAAGCACAACATGGCAATTTTTGTATCAAGAATACTTGATAAAATACTAGAGATCGCCTTTGATCACTTCCTGATCGCATGATTATGGATTTATTCGAAGATTTCTCAAAAATTTACATTGCAACTGAATTCTATTCAAATGTCTTAATTGATCATTCAGATTCAGACTGTGATCAGAGCTAAAAAAAAACACCCAAGATCTCAGCGAAAACCCACCTTGAAGGTGACTTACTCTCGAAAAAGATGATAAGAAGAAAATTAAACACAATTGCGACTATTTCACACAATTTTCACACACTCACACACCAAAAAGCCATGTTACAAATTGTTTCATGGCCGTTTAATGGGATTCTCTTGAGAAGAGATCAACATTTCATATTAGTATTTCCCACCAAAAAGCAGTAAAACACAGTGATCTTCCCTCTGGTGAGATGAGGAGATAAATTGAGCCACTAATTATGTTGATAGAGGCAAAATGTCTTGCAAATTGAATGGAAATTATAACATTAAATTTCACGTATGATTGCAACACAACCATCTCCCCAAAAAAAGTAGAAGCCATAGAAAGTGGCATTATATCGCATTTTGCACTCAATTTGAAGGCCAATTAAAATGCTATTTTATATTGTGCTATCCAGGCAGGGATTTTATGGGCTGAAGAAAGTCTCTTGCAAGAGAGAGAGAGAGGCGACAACTCTTCACAAATTCTCATGATTTGTGTTGCATTGTGACGCGCATTTTTCACATTACAATCCATTCATCCAGTGGAGAGGCAGAGACCTTGTCTGGTGACTGCAATGATTTTCTTGTCTTTTGCATACATCAAAACATTTTCCCTGGGCTTCGCATTCTGGGAAAAAAGCACTGGATAGAGCAAATATAACAAAAAACGTGATCTCTCGGGTGCAACACTAAAGGCATCATTTGGTAAATTGTCCAATTTCACACGTGATCCTTGCACAAATTGGATGAATGTGTGCGATTCCCGCAATTTCTGGCCACTCCGTGGGAGATATTCTGTTACTCTATTCACTGAATATTCATTTAATGATGAGAATCACTTGATTGTTGTCGTAAATTTGTCTTTTTGGCAGTTCCTCTCTTAGCTGCTAACGGTGTGTCCGTTATTGCATTCATCGACAGACAATTTCTGCTTTTATCACATTTAGAAAGGCAAGATTGCACCTTATCAAGTAATTCACTGAATTCCACTCGATAACTCGCGAAGGCCAACAAAAAGTGACCACAAAACCCCCAACATTTTGATTGATAACTGTTTATTTATGCACCAAAAATCACGTCAACGATCTTCACGTTCTTGACCAATTTGGGCAAATGTGTGGCAGCGAAAAAAAACTCATTCACATTGCAAAATCGTGTGTCTTTTCACTTTTCATAAAGTGTCACAGAAAAAATGCATTGTTTCCGAGTGATTTGGAAAAGCTTTTAGTGTTTGCATGGTGCAAAAAAAGTACATTAACTCTCTCGTGACGATCTGCACGTTTGCTATTAATTCAAGTGATTGATCATGATCAACTTTTTTCCATGAATGCACGTGATTTTTAGGAAAATTTCCCACCTCATTTGCTTATCGCGAATTTACTCTCTGCGAATTCCTCAAGTGGAGCTGTTGATAAGAAAGTGTGTCTCTTTCGCAATTGAATACATCTGAAACCACTTCTTTTTCCATTGTCGACATCAAAAGTGTAGACAATCTGCTGGTGTCCACTCAAGTTGTGCGCCTGAAAGTGGAGAGAAGTGAGCGCAAAAGGCGGGAAAATGTGTGAGAAGTGAAGTGAGTCGCGTGGAAATATTTGCATGGACTCTTGTGAAGGAATGAGGATCAGTTTTGGCGACAATTTGCCCTTCCGGATGACGATCGGCACGGGAATCACGTGCGTGATCGGCGTGGTTGGGAGCGCTCTGCTGCTCGTCCAGGGCGCCCGATATTTCAGGTAAGACGACGCTTTTACTGTGATCTTCCGACCGGAACTGCCGGAAATGCTCGCCATTGAACTCTTTTACACGCTTTTTTCCACTTGTCGCTGGAGCACTTCCAGCCGGCCGGTCAGTCACAGTTGAGACACACACAGTGAAGTTCACGCCAAAATGGCAGAGAGCAGAGCATCGAGGATCAGGTCAGATGTGCAAATTAGCCGTCTTATCAGACACACACAATTTCTGTCCCACGGCCCAGAAATAGTTCAGTGAACACAGAGCAATTTGTGAAGCTATCGCGTCTTCAATTGAGCGAGATTCACTGCTCGTCAATTGGATAATCTCGCGCCTCAGCAGCGCCCATAAAATCGATGGCTAAGACCACCTTCCACTCGCTCTTACATCAGCCCAGCAGCATTGCATAATTTCTCCCCGGCGAAATTTATTATTTCTTTATGCTGCGCGCCTCGGACTGGTTTGCCGAAGCATTCGCTTGACACACTCGGCCCTCCTTCACTCTCCAAAATTGTGCAATCCTGCCCAGAGTTGAGCCACAGCGCTGGCATTTCTCCTTCTAGATGACACTCAACTCATCATTAGCGGCAGAAGCGCTAATGCTCGTGTTTCATAACTCATTTTGCATGGCAATTATGTCTCAAATTCAATGTGTTGAGGTGTTTGCAAACAAATTTCAGGTAATTTCCACAAATTTTCCTCCTTCAACATTGGACAAATAAACACGTATGGCTTTCTAATTGGTAAATCCGGTATTAGATGTGATAAACTGTGATTCATAGAGAGATGTAAGCTAACACTGTCATTCGATGGGTGAATCGAAAACTGCAAGAAGTCAATCATTTATGTCTTATATATAAAATCCTATATTCAAAAAAGTTTAAAAAAAATGATTTCTTTCAATTTCTTTGGATAAAATGTTCTCAGTATCGATTTAAAAACAACTTTTGGATGCTAATATTTTCTATTTATCTATTAATTTGGCATATTTCATTCAATATTCCAATAAAATTCACTTAAAAATTCACAAAATAATTATTATAGGGCAAAAATTAACACTTTATCAAACCATTAGCGGATATTTGAGTAAAAATTCAGCAAATTTCGCAGCGAAATAACCGCTCAATTTTCAAATAGCTCTTCTAAAAATTGCAATTTTGACTTTTAATACAGATTTTTATACCCAGAAGGTTTTCAATTTATCTATGCTCTCAGCAACTCTGTGAGCGCCGCAACTGGCGCACTTTTCGCACGTCCAGCTGACCAGTGCAGCCAAGACGGACAATTGCGAGCCCAAAAGAGGCGAATTGTATGCAAAGCGAGCTCCAGTCTTATCACTAATTGCCAATTTGATACTTTCCGCAAAATGGTGGGGAGCCGCTGGCATGGTTCGTTGACCAAGAACTCTTACTTTCAGTTGGTTCGCGGCGCGCGATTAGATCAGTCTCTCTGGGTTTGACACAATTGTGGTTTAGGCTTGAGGATCATCATCCCAAATTGCCGTCGCAAGACTTTCGTCATTCAATTGTTTGCACAATTATCTGACGGCGTGAGGAAAAAAAGTGTGACTTTTAGCAAGTCACAGGTGGTTTTTGCTGCGTCGTGTTGAACTCCTTGAGCTGTTCGAGTGGATGATGTGAGGTTTTTTGCACAGGCTCAGAGAGATTTCTCACTCAAGTCAGTTGACTGATTGTCGTGTGAAAATGTGGTCCATCATCGGGATACTCGGTTTTTCAACCATAACAGCGACACTTGAGCCTCCGATTGGGATGAACGCGGTCAGTTCTGGGACTCAGTCCAATTTGGCGGTCTTCATGGTGCTCTTCATGTTCTGCGCCATGGAAGTGGTGCTGATAAAGATAATTGCCGCCACAGCAACGACGACAGAAGAGTCAGTGGATTTCCACGAGGAAGATCGCCTCAATAACAATCATTTTCCCGCCCAAACTCAGTGAAGCGAAGACGAAGAGAAAGTTGTAAAGAGGATTTTCTGTGATAGGAAAAAAACAGGTCGAGTCTAAAAATACGCCCAAAATGTGACATTATCGGCCTCTAATTGAAATTTCCCTTGCAAATTTCACACTAATTTTCACCTTGCCTTGTCCTTCTTCTCCAGTCAAGTGAGTCAGAGGCGCAATTTGCGAAAGAAGCGTGCCTCGGATGCAAATCAAGAGACCAGCACGCGCTCCTCCTTTTGCTACCTGTGCAACATCCGCGTGGCTCTCGAGGACATCACAACATTCGCCATCTGTCGCGGCTGCGACAGGACAGTGTGCCGCGGAAGGCGCTGCTCAGATTGGGACAGAGGAACCGGATATTGGGAGTGCATTTCCTGCATCCGCAGCAGAGACAGCCAAATCAGGGCCGGCGAGTGGATACTCGATCAGTTGAATCAGCGCTTCAAGAGTCCACGGAGTGACACATCGCGCGATGATCTGTCCTTCAAGGATGCAGAAACACGTGAGAATTCCGCCTATGAAATTCTTGTTGACAGAAATCTGAAAACGATGTGCTTTTGCAGAGTCCGAGGGAAGCTTCCTGGGATCGGCACACTCCATTTCTCTGGAGCAGAAGGAGAAGGTCAGGGAGTTTCTTGAGGACATCATAGCGTCAATGATCGGTGGATCACTGGACAATGTTCCTGTTAATCAAACACACAAGCATCCGAGCTGTGAGTATTTTATCCAACAAGACTTTCCTTTAATTAGAGTTTTTCACGATTTTCGCCCTCCTTAATGTGTTTCCTTATTGGCTGTCATAGATTTTTTTCTAATAATCACACAGACAAGTTGTTCTGTACCCTCTAAATGTCCGCTTGAGACAAAATAAAACTAAAGATTGTTGAGAAGATATTTTAGAGAGACAAAAAACCACAGAAACAATTCCCGATTTTTTGCATGATCGACAGAAGATTGTTTATTACAATCTGGTTTATCTGCAGCCAATGATGAGGTTGTTCTTATAGAGATTCATTTAGAGTCGAAAGAATATAAGAGAATTCTCTCCAAACCGCCTCCATATTCACGCTAAACCCTCTACATTTAGGCGTAATGTTTTCCTTTGAAGATATCCAGATATTCGTGAGATATCACAGAGAATTGAGCGGGCGATTGCTCAAACTGGAAAATGCCATTCAGCGATCAGTCTCAAAGAGTGGTAAGTCGAGTCAGTCTGTGTATTGCACGAAAGGCCACGTCTTTGATCGATTGCACTCTCACTCAGCACTTCTTTTCTCTCTCACCGCAATAATGTAAAGTGCGATTTCAAGCGGCGCATTGCATAACACACTTTTGGGCGGGAAAATTTCCTTTTAATAACTGCCACCGGCAGAAATTGCAGACTCTGTGTCACTGTTAATTGCTCAAGTGGTGCGGAGATTAGCGTCAGGCACACATCTCAAGGTTGACCCGCGCGCGAGGTGAGCAAAAAGAGTCACTGCCAAGACTTCACGTGCCTTTTTGCCTTAGTGATCTCTCCATTTTCGTAATGCGACTCCTCAATTTCGTGTGATGTTTGTTTTTTAGCAGCCGCTCAAATGATTGATTTCAGACACAAAAGCTCCGCTTTTTATTGACACGTGATTGAGCCTGTTTTTTATCATCGTCATTCCGCTATCGCTGCGATAAGAAGTGAAATGCAATTCTCAAGTAGATTTACGTTGAGTCGTAGGATGTGTTATCATCAAATTGTCTCTCTCTCACTCTTTATCAAGAAATGCCATTATTTACAGGTAGTTTTTTTCAGCAACGAATTGTGGAGGAAAAAAATATGTCTATTTATCTTGCAGAGCGAACAAATAACTTCACAGGTGTAAAAGAAACGCTCATAAAGACTTGTAAAATATCTTGATATTGAGAATTATTGGATCATATAAAATTCTACCTTTTTCCCCTTTGGAAAACTTACTGTCTTTTCCAATATTTTCCCAAGCACACTAAATATTTAATCACTTTAATTGATTTTCTCTGTCCACGCGTTCCATTTTCCCCCTGTTTTCGACCTCTCTTCAACTGTGAAATCTCGCAGTCATAAAATCCACGAATATTTTGATAATTATACACTTTTTCTGCATCACATTTTGAGTGTATTTTAAGGTGTATATTTCTCAAAAAACTTTGCTTCTGTGTGTTGGAAAAACACAACCAATAACGGCGATTTGTTGGCCAATTATTATTGCCGCCTTTTCCCACCTGTGAGCTTCCAACATCGTGCTTTTCTTGCCTTTTTCCTCGTCCGTCTATTCCGAGTGAAGCAGTCGTGCTGTCGAGACGCACTTCATATTTCGCTCCACTTCAGAGGACTTCGGCGGAATATCTTAACATTAAGAGACTCTATCTCACAAAAATGTGATCATTCGCCCTCTCGATTTGGTGTCTTATCGCGGGGGAAAAAAATGTTACTGTGTGAAGTGATAAGGGTATATCAGGGCAAAAAGGTGATTATCAGTTGAAATCTCTCGGGCAAAAGCGCGCGCTGATCCGCCTTGAAGCGAAAATGTTGTGAAATATCTTCAAGAGGCCACGGCTGGAAATTTAGTGTGGAAAAGCCAAGTGGACGGTGAAGAAGTGTTATTCCGTGGTCAAGTTTTCCCGAGAGAGTGAGAGAGAGGTGCTTTTCCGTCCAAGACAAACTCAGTCAATTGCCCAGATTAATTGCACAGAGAGTGGAAAATGTGCCGCTTTTTCCCACATTTACAGCGTTAAATAACCGACTGTAAAAGCAGATTTTCTCACCTTGACACTCGGCTATTGTGTTGTGCATCATTCAGTTCGGGAGTTAATGGATTTTTCTAGCTGGCGAATTGAGATTAATGCAATGCAGAAGTGAGAGCTTTTGCCTCTGCCATTGCTTTAAGAATTCCTCCAGCATTTTGCGAAATGGACGCATTCCAAAGTTGCAATCAATTCCATCGGGGTTGTCGAAATGAGGCATTTTTAGATGACTTTCCAACGCCACAAGTGTGACTTACCGAAAGCACATTACGTAATATAAGATATATTAAAATTGTTTTTCAATATTAATCGTTAAGTGTGAGTGTTGAGAAAAGTGAGGTAAAGTTGTACTTATAAAGTGAGAAAGCACGCAGTCAACGTGAAGCTGCGAGACCTTTTTTGGGGTCAACATGATCTCTTAATTGTTTTCACAAGGAAAATAATATACTTAGTCGCTGTGATTGTTTAATAACAGGGTGTACAGAAAGATAAACTTCAAGTTGACTTTTAATGGAGCTTCACTTAAACATCGTGTTTAGTCATGTACGAAAGCAAAAAAGTGGGAAAATCCTGAGTGAAGGGAGTTTTTTCAATGCACTTTTTCGCTCAGAATGCCGTCAATGTGCTTTTCTCTTGAAGGAATAAACGCGATAAAGGAAAGTCAATTAGATTGAAGCTTTAGAAATGAAGCAACGGCGTTGAAACTAGGAAATTGATATGATCAAAGCTTAATAAATATGATTTTTACGGTTTTTACACACCCTGTGACTTCCACAAAAAGTATCTTTATAGATTTTTTCTTTAATGATGTTTATCTATTCCAAGGCCGAAGCCACTCTCTCGATTTTCTGTGCAATTATCTGAAGATTATCCGCTTGTATTGTGCCTCGAAAAATTGCGCATCGCTGAGAAGAAGCAATTTTGATTGAGTGTCTGAGAATTTTGTCTCTGAAGCATCAAACGTGAATTCTCTCTGCAGAGAAAGCGCTAAGATGCTCGAAGTCATTGTGGGACTCCTTGGCATCGTCTTCTCCTGGTACTACGCCTTGGCGGCGTTCGTCCTCTTCGCCCTGGCGTACATCGTGGAGGTGGAGTTAGGTAAAGAGCAAAAAAGGCCAGAGAGAGGAGTACAAAAATCGATTCCCATTACAGCACCAGAGTATAAATAACTTCAGATAGAGCGAAAGCTTTCAATTTTCAACGGAATCATTGCGCCCAGCGATAAGATAAGAGTGACCAGGAATTCTTAAGCGACATGTAATGGGTTTTGTGTTTGGCCGCGAGATACTTTCGACTCTAAATTTGTGTGAATTATTGGAATTATTGCAACCTTCGCACGCTGACTATCTATTTTTTGCCTTTTTTATCACTTGAGCTGGGAAATCTGCGCGAATTCGCGGGATTAATCATCATCATTTTGTGGTCATTTTCAGATCTACCTCTTCAGGATGAGGAAGGCCCAGGCATTGCTCATGTCAATCTCAAGCGATTGATCCAGAAAGTCATCGAAGAGGCACTCAATCTGCCGGATTTGTTCAATTACAGCGGCTTTCCGCCTCGTCCAGAGTCCCATTTGCCCTACTTCAGCAGCAAGAAGTATGAGCAACTGCTCGCCACAGCTGTGCTCAACAAGGTAAGACCGTTGGAACCCCCAAAAGACACCGCCACAGATGATAAGACGCCCACACTTTTGAGGCTTCTGTGCCACATAAAAGCCCCGCAAATTTGCAATTCATTTCCGTTTGGTCTACTTTAAAGGTGGTTGATCACTATCGGAACCCCAAGAACCACCAAGAGAACTCGTCAGGCATCCAGTCGGGCAGTGAATTCGACAGCAATCACAATGCTGTGACCGAGAAGACGGGACTTTTGTCGCCAACAAGCCAGAAAGCGGTATAAAAAGCTCAAATTCTAACCAAGATCGATATTCAACGTGCTCTAGTTTGCTTATATTTGCCGTATTGGAGGCCAAAATCAATGGGCAGAGAGAGGAAGTGATAAAGGAAGCCTTCAATTTGATGAATTATTTCCTCCAGAAACTATTTTGAGGCCAGAAAAGGTCTGAAAACTTGTCAAATTTTCATTTTAATCAAACAAAATACTCATCAAACTAATTCAGAACACCAAAAAGCGCGTTGAATGTCTGGCACGTGGAATGGTAGTTGAGATTCATCAATGTAGTGAAGTGAAATAAAAAAGATAATTCGCTGAATTTAATTCATTCTATAATTCTCGGCCAAAGACACTTTCCCTGGAACACTCACTGGTCCGATGGGCATTCACTGATGAATATGGAGATGAAAAGTGAGAACTTGCGTTCTCAACTGTGACCGTCCATCGTGGCTGTTGCCAGGGAATTGGCCGAGAAGCTCCCCAGAGTGAATTAATGAGGCGTGAACAGAGATAGTGGAGGATTAATGTGACTTTCTTTGCTTCCTGTGTAGCTCGATAAGAGACTCGAGGAGGCTTCCCAAGCGTCGGAATCGAGCCTCAAGACGCGCAGCACTGACAGTGACGAGACATACCTCAGTGACTACATTCAGAAGCACCGGGTGCCGCTGCCGGACTTGTCTGCCGCCTCCTCAGAGGGCACAGTCGAGGACAACAGTTCGGAGATCGCGTCAACAGTGGGAACTGAGGGCACTTGGGAGGAGAATTGGTTGTTCAAGAAGCGCAAAGTCAAGACAGACACAAATTCCACGGCCATCGGGATGCTAGTCCCGTCGCCAACTGAGGAAGTCAAGGCGCTGATAGGCGATAAGAATGTCGATGAAGTCAGTGACTTATCAGAAGCCGGTTCAGACGCCGAAGAGGATCACCAAGAGCGTCCAGCAGCGAAGCTCGTCGAGAGCAAGACAATTATTGGTGGAAAGAATGAGTTGATCTCACTTGAAGACACCTCATCAGCCACTGAGAGTCTCCTCTCCAACCCAGACTCCGGGATTAACGTGACAGAGGCCAGGAATGAGGCGCTTCTCGATCAGGACTTTCCCGAACCCACTGAGGCCATCAATCCCACTGTCAATGGCACAGACGCTCCCATCCCGACGCCCAGGTGAGTTACAAATCCTCTCCTTGGCTAAACAACATCCATTAACTTGTGTTAATGATCTTACAGACAATCCACAGTGACTGAGAATCACGGTAAGTTGCTTTTTGCATTCAAACCTAGACTAACACTCACAGCTCACATTTTAATTGCACGCTAATTTGCATGTTTCTCACGTGAAACCAATTCACACAGTCACTCCCAGAAGTCAAGATCTGTACAGGGAGAATCATCTCAGCCACTTGAAGCCGGACGACCTTCCGGAGGGCAATGGAATTACCAATTCTCCCACTTTCCCGGGTGATTGGGTTCTCATTCAGGGATGTTGGGAAGTCAGCGATCCCAATCAGAGTATCCTAGTCAATTCTGGACAGTACACTTCACCTCTGATCGCTCTGACACCAGAGGAAGAGAAGCTGTCAGCTAATCATCAAGTTCTCTCGCCTGACAGACTCTTTGGCTATAAATTCCTCAACGATATGAAGCCAGATACTCTTCCGTCTCAGAATAAATCCACAGATGTTGGAGTGTCCGCACTGAGAATCTTCAGTTACGGATATCTGAGTGACATGAAACCTGTCGATCCACCGGCACAAGATCCTCTGCCCACGCCAGAAGTGGAACTCTCCAGTACGGATGAGTTTGTCTGCGTGATGAAGTACGATGAGAAGCGACAATTGGTCATTTGTGGATCGCCTCAAGCGCAAAGGAGGGAATTCTTTGAGGAGCAAACAGAGACTGAAGCTTCCAATGATTCTCCTCAAGATTGGGAGCCACAAGTGTGTGAAAAAGTCGAGGAAGAGGCGAAAGAAACTCCACCAGCGGCTGAAGAGATGAAAGATGAGGATGTAAAAGTTCCTGTTCCTCTTCCACGACAGAGAAGTCTGAATAAATCACCGGAAGAGGAAGAGCATCCCTTAGAGATCCGATCAATCATTCAGGAGGACTTGAAAAAAGAACTGCCCGTGGAAGAAGATAATCAAGTTGAGGAATTTGAAAGCAAACTCACTGAAATTCATGTGCGAGTTGAAGAAGTTCAGGAGGAAGTGAAGATTGTGGAAAAAGTGGAGAAAATTGAGCAGGAACATGTGGAAATTCACGTCAGGACAATTGAGGAGCCTGAAAAAGAAGCTGATGACACAGAAAAAGTCACTCAAGACAGTGATAAAGCTCAAGTTGAAGAGAAAAAGGAAGTAGAATCTGTTGAATTGATTGAGTTGGATGAACCTAAAGTTGAGATTCATTTAAGAACAGCCGAAGTACCAGAAATTCACTTGAGGACTGTTGACAATCCTGAAGAGAAGGAAGTAACAAAGCCATTAGTGCTTGAAACTGAGATCTTAACAGAACAGAAGATTGAAGAAAGCAAAGTGTTCTCACAGACAACAGAAACTGAGGAAGAACTCAATGCAAAAATTGCAGAAATCTTGGAAGAAGAAGAACCTGAAGAGCCAGTCAAAACTGAAGATATCATGAGTACAAGTCAGGAAATCAAGGAACAGCTCAAGAAGATCGTCAAGTCAGATGATGAGGAGAAACCGGAAGAAGTCCAGAGGCCAACGACTTTGGCAATTGAGCCTGAAGATGAAACTGTTCATCTTCGCTACAAGAGTCCCATTTTCCAGCAACTCCTCCCCAAAAGCCCTCCTCCTTCGGTCGTAAAACTTTCCACCATTCCGGACGATGATATTCAGAAGCTGATAAGCGTGGCGAATATCATCAAGAGATCCTCGTACAGTCCAGAAGAGATGGAGAGGGAATTTGGTGATGGTAGCACTAATCTTACTAACCGCGAAGAAGCACCCAAAGTCTCAACTAATGCTGAGTCTATTGAAACAGTGTCCAAGCCTAGATTGGGAACGGAATCGCTTACTCCAGAGCCAGACAGTCTTGAGGATGAGCACTTGATTCCTGGTGAGTTTCTCTATTTTAGAAAGTGGGACTGTTTGTAATTGATGTCGTTGCAGGATCCATTGCCGAGAGAGAACATCTGAAGTGGCGACATCCTGACACTGATATGCCAAACAATCCTTATTCCCCTGAAGCCTTGCAGCAGCGCCTCGTTGGGAAGACATATCACAGTCAGAGCTCAGTCACAAGCACGAGTTCTCACATTGAATCCCCACCGAAAACGCCAGAAAGGTCCTTGCAAGTGGTCCTGGGGGAAGAGAGTCCCGACTACAAGAGGTATTTTGAACACATTCCCAAGTGTCCTTCTTGGTGCTTTATCCTCTTGACTTTTTGTGCAGATACGGCAGGGATTATTACATCAACGACGCGAAGAAATCGTCCGGCAGCAGAAAGAAGCAGCCCGAATCGCTGAGTGCATCCGAAGAGGACAAAGTGAGTGTATTTAGTGACAATCCCTTGAATGACTCCTACATCCTCAACAAATTCCTCTCGGGCTCCGGAGGAAGCCTCGACTTAGCCAGAGGCACCAAACTGCGTCGCAGTGTGTCCCTGAAGTCCTTCCGCACGCGGAACCTCCTGGACGATCTGGAGGTGAACTCCGTGGACCGCAGAGTGCGGAAGACGAACTCCTTCAGACCCACACCCAAAGAGTTGGCAAGCTTCGAAGCTCAGATGCTTCACAGCGACCTCAAGAGGAATAGTTTTCGCTCCCTCAGCGGGACCAGTAATTTCGTCCTCAATCCCATTTTTGACGATCCCCACGAGGCTGAGGAGGAAGATCCTCTGCAGAGACTCAAGAGTGCCTCTTCAGTGTCTGTCCTGGACACGCGGGCGAGAGATTCTGATACAGAGAGTGATGTTTCCTGGAGATTTTTCGCTGGGCAGGGAAGTGAATGCGTGGAAACTGTCTTTGATGACCTCAGCTCTTTGCGGAGGCGACCGAAGAAACACGTGAAATCCGTGAAACCCTAAGCGACGTTCCTAAATGTGCCAACATTCCCACGCTTAAGCGTCCTTCGTTTTAATTTAATTCACTATGTGGAAAATGGTTGTAGAAAATTTGTTTCCTCTTCTTCTCTTGCAAATTTAAGCCCTCACGAAAGAAAAGCCAACGAATAACCACAATTTTTATGTACAAATTGATCCTCTTTCTCTCTACTTCTTTTTTTCTTCCTTTCTTCTGTACAAAAAGGCCAACCTATCGAAATGTGCAATGTAGCTTCTATAGTAATCAATATAAGCACTAAATAAATGATAAGCATTTGATAAGATCAATGGAAAAATTGTAAATATTGTCTAATACACTGAAAGGTTTGATAAATAGAAAATTGCAATGAATGCTGATGTTTCTCTCTAGCTCTTAAGAGACACTTGACACAATTTCTAGGGTAAGTCTCTGATATCACTGTACTTAAGCATTTACAAAAAAAACTGAGGGGTGGCTAACCTTCTAGACAGACATTCTCGGCTAATTATGGACTTGATGGCCTATCGAAATGCGCTCTCAAACTAACAAATCATCACAATCGCACTCTTAATTACCGAATTCATTGTGGCTGTGGCATCAAAAGTACCCTTTTTCCTCATATTTCTACTCCGCAGTCGGGACTTTTTGTCGCCACGCCGATCAGAGTGGATGAAACAGAGACAACAGGACTGAGCATTGAGTCCTCAGAGACCAGCAATACGTCCCTCCAACTCACGGACAGCCTCACGCCCAGCGAGGACTCGGACACCACGAGAATCTATGAAATTGAGACGCGCGAGACGCGATTGCTGCGCGAGAGTGTCATTATGAGTTCTAAGAAGGCCGTCGGAAGCACCAGAACCCCTCCCTCGACCCCAACAGAGGAGAACGCCCAGCCGCCGGCCTTTCCCATCTCCCCGCAGGCCATCGAGGAGGAGACCAGAGTGCTGCAGGAGATCGAGGAGAAGCGGACAGTGTCGCCGAGCACAGTCAAGTTCTTTGCGCCCAAGAAGCCTCCAGTCTTCTCCCCAACCACTCCCACTGCCCCCGAACAGCCGGCAGTGAATGGCTCATCGATGGAGAAGAAAGAGGTGAGTTGAAAGCAATGTAATTTGTCCAGGACTAAGTGATTTTCATCTTCTTTTCGTCAGATTAACAATAACAACGAGGAGATGAGCAAGACAGTCATTGAAGAGGAAGTTTTATCTACTCTGCCGTCCGTTAAGAAGTTAATGAGTGCCTTCACGACCGCCGATCAAGCGGAAGAGGCTAATAAACCAGTCCACAGAGCCAGACCAAAAGTAAGTCATACTTAGGCTTAATAAACTCCGAAGGAATGTCATTAAGAAATTCTTGCCTTTAACGCTCTCTCTTTGGATGATCAGATAAAACTGAGAACGGTATTTTCCGCGAAGAAAACCTAGATTTTTAAGATCTACAATTCCTCCTTGTGTGTCTTTTCAGTCCCTGCCCTTGGCGGCTGACCAGGAGCCTTTCAGAGCGACTGAAGGAAAGAAGATTTCTCCCAGCAATGGCAAGTCACCGATCGTGCCCGGCTACAGCATCACAGCCAGGAGTTTGTCGAAGCAATTCCGCGACGAATTGAAACATTCGACGAGCCAGGAAGACGAGACGCCCAGAGAGGAGGAGCGCGGCAAGAGGCACAGCAGCCCAGAGCGTCCGCCGAGTCCTGTACTCGTGCCAGGACGTCTCAAGAGCAACATCGCCTTCTTTGAGAACCTCCGCAATAAATGAAGCGCTTTTGCCCTCTCTCGAACCTTTGAGAGAAAGGCCAAAGGCGCTGTGGAGAGAGCCAGAAAGTGCCATTGTTAGGGAGATTCATCCGTTCATAAGTCTGTAAATACATTGTATATCGAAGGAGTGTCTATTCTATACGTGAAATATTATTATATCCTTTTTGCGAAATCACTTGTTTATTTGCAACAACCCTTAGGCCTAAGTCTTATTGTGTGGGAATTTAGAGATTCATAATGTAATAATCTGGTCAAGAGAGAGAGTGCAGAAAAAAGCCGAAATTTGTGCTTACCAACTTACTTCAAATAATCTGGCCATTTTCCTCGTGATTCCGCATGTGCCTTTGGTATGATATTCGGCATTTGAATTGCTTCCTGCAAATGCGACACACGCACCGAATTCCTCCCTGATGCAATTGCTGAACGTGCTTCTCCAGCGAGACTTTGTAGTCAAACTCCTTGCCACAGTGCGAGCAATCGAAGCGATTCAACTTGTTGGCTTCAGACAGCCGCTCAATCACTTTCTTCCGATGACTGTAGATTCGCGGATGAGCTTGCTGCTGGTGGGTTTTCAAGTGCAACTGACTGTCCAGGCATTTGCCGCACTGGTCACACTTGAAGGCCTCCTGATTCGAGTGATATTCCATGTGATCCAGCATGTAAGTGAGGCGAAAGAGCTTCTTGCCGCAGCACAGAACGAAGCCTTCTTGCTGGTGCATCTCCCTGTAGTGCGCCCGCAGCTCCTTCAGCCGCTCAAAGGCGACGAGGCAGTAAGTACAGGACAAGGCATAGAAAGCTTCCGCCCGGCGAAAGTCTTCATCTGTCTTGTAGCGTCGTCGTGGCACCAGAACAGCTGGCAGAGTCTCTTCTCTCTCCTCCTGAGCAACATATTGCGTACATTGCACTTCCCCACAATCCACTGACAATCTCCGCTGGGCAAATCCATCCTCCGAGTCGTCTATCACTTCGCCATCCTCCAGAATCTCCTGATCTTCAATTATCTCCACACCATCGCTGTCTTCAAAGTCCTGTTGCACTCCACCGGCCACGTCTGTCACGACGAACTCCACAACAGATCCATTGGCTCCGTAGATACCAGTGAAGAGCTTCTCACTCTCCCGGACGCTCCGGACGAACTTTATTGACTCTGTCGCTCTCAGAACACACTTCTGGCAAACACTCTTTGGCCACAAATCCTTTCGCCCAATCTGCAAAGCAGCACATAATTATAATTCAGTTATCTCTTGCTGTATCGCAAATCTCTTTACTTACACTGACACCCAGGAATTCCTCCAGAGATTCATGAAAATTGTCCTGGAATATGGACAAAGTCTCGCCTTCGATGTTTCTGGCACACAATCGGCATAATTCGCCAGCCTCTTGCTCAATTCCCGATTGCACAGACAATATCTTCAGTTCCCTCTCCCTGGACATGCTTTGGACATTGAAGAGATGCAGATTCAAAGCGCCCACGAGCGGTCAGAAATCTCCAAAACAAACGCACCCACGCGAGCTTCAAGTGACAGATCAAAATTTACCACCCTATGGTGAGAGTCGCTGATCGAGTGGGGAATCCGCCGGCGGTTGCAATTCAAATCCCCACCGCGCGGCGAAGCGGGCGAAATGCCATCGGCGAACGCTTGGCCGTGGTGAGTTTGCTGTGGTGCTGCTGCTTCGTGCCGTGTTGATAAAGATTCTGTGAATTTTCAAGTATTTCCCAGCAAAAGGATGGCCGACGGCAGCGAGAAGACGATTGCCGATGAAATCGTGGTGACAAAATACAAGACAGCTGGTGAAATTGTAAATAGTAAGTCGATGAGCGAGCGAATGGAAAGTTTTTGTGGCCACGCGGCGACTTGTCGTGGAAAAAGTCGTCATGCAGGCAAAATGGGTCGCTTCGTGGCACTTCCACGCCGTCGGGGATGATTGGGAGGATGTATTGGAGGTCCTGGGTGGCGAAAGGCGGATGTCTGAGGTGGGAAATTGAGAGAAAGGAAGGGTGAAAATGGGATGGGGTGACATAACCTCAAAAGGGGGTTGTTTTCTGTCATTCAGAGTTTCCCTGATAACATTTCACTTTCTTGCAGGGACTCTCAAGACTCTGCTGGAGCATTGCGTGGCCGGCGCCTCGGTCAAGGAACTATGTGACATGGGCGATAAACTCGTGACGGAGGAGACAGGAAAGGTGAGAAATGCGAAGCGAGGAGGGAAAGTCTTCCGGACGCCCAATGATCGGAACTTTGCGCTCGAGGGAGGTATTTCTCGCTGATGTGGCAACTCACTGAGGTTCATCTGAGTTCTGGGCATCTTTTGGGTGCTCAGCTGTGCCACGGAAATGAGAAATCACCCCGTGACGGTAGAAGATTATGAGATATGAGGGCTTTTCCGGGAAGAACATCAAGTTCTTTGTTCTTTTACTGTCTGGAGTTGTGATTTGATGGGGTTTCCGTCTCTCCCCGGGCAGGTGTACAAGAAGGAGAAGGAGCTGAAGAAAGGCATAGCATTCCCGACGTGTCTCTCGGTGAACAACTGCGTCTGCCACTTCTCGCCCATCAAGAGTGAGCCCGACTACACTCTGAAGGACGCGGACGTGGTGAAGATCGACTTGGGGGCACATATCGATGGCTTCATCGCCGTGGTGGCGTTCACGACGATTGTGGGCGCCACGGCGGACACGCCGGCCACGGGACGCAAGGCGGACGCCGTGCTGGCGGCCTACTGGGCCAGCGAGGCCGCGCTCAGGATCCTGAAGGCCGGGAATGGTAACTACAAGATCACCGAGGGCGTCCAGAAAGTCAGCGAGGCGTTCAAGTGCAAGCCAATCGAGGGCATGCTGAGCCACCAGCTGAAGCAGTTCAAGATTGACGGCGAGAAGACCATCATTCAGAACCCCAACGATGCACAGAAGAAGGAGCACGAGAAGTGCGAGTTCGACGTGCACGAGGTGTACGCCATGGACGTGCTGGTGAGCACGGGCGAGGGTGTGGGCAAGGAGCAGGACACGAAGGTGGCGATCTTCAAGAAGACGGACGAGAATTACCAGCTGAAGCTAAAGGCCTCGCGCGCCTTCCTGTCCGAGGTGAAGAGCAAATTCGGGACGATGCCATTCAACTTGCGACACTTCGAGGAGGAGACCAAGGCTCGGATGGGCGTCGTTGAGTGTGTGTCACACAAAGTCATCGAGCCATTCCAGGTTCTCTACGAAAGACCGAGTGAGTATCGCGCAAAGGATTCCCTCCTGATTGTCCTGTGCAAGGCTAAATTACACTGAATCGCCAGGGATTCAGTGGCCAGACACCTTGCTAGAGCAAACTCTCTCCCGGATGCCCCCACAATTAGCAATGTCCCAGACATTGCTCTTTGGCATCCTGGGATGAACAATCCTGCCACGCAATATCGGGAAGTAATTTGCTGACTTTCTCTTCCTTCTCTTGCAGCCGAATTTGTGGCACAGTTCAAACACACTGTTCTTCTGCTGCCCAACGGCGTGACTCTCGTCACTGGCCTCGACTTTCCGGAGGATCACTACAAGAGTGAGCACAGCGTGACGGATCCGGAGCTCAAGGAGCTGCTGAGCCACGCAGTGAGTAAAGGTGGCAAGAAGAAGAAAAAGAAGGCGGCCGCTGAGGTGAAGGCCCAGGAACCAGTTCCGGATGCCACGGAAGCTGCCAATGCGTAACTCAATCTTCCTTCCCGCGATTGCGATTGTCTCTGGCGCCTTTTGGATACCATCTCTTCTGCCCTGTGTTTTCCTCCATTACAACTGACACACACCCGAACTGTTCCCGTGAGACACTCAGTGACTGGATTGATGACCGTGAATTTCAATAAAGTGAAGAGACAAATCCTCCTTAAGAGCATTTAATCGAGCTACTGCGCGGATTCAGGCTACTTGTCCTTGACCGCTGGCGCCTCCTCGAAGGACGACAGAGCGCCTCCGACGGCATCCTTGGCTTTCTTCGTCCACTGGCCGACGTAGCAGGGAAACCGATGGATGAAGTTGAAGCTGGCTTTCACGCCCTGGTTCCAGTAATACTTCACCACGAAGCACGCCTCGCCGGATGACGGTAGCAGAGGCAGTTCCACCGGTACTTTCTGCCTCACGCCCTGCCAGTGAGGCCTCAAACTCTCTCCCACGTCATTGTACAAGGCTGTCGTCTTCGTGCTGGACGCCCAGACGCCCTGGTCAACGCTGTACTTCACGGCTCCGTACACCAGCCCGGATTTGATGAGCAGCCTTCCGGGAGTTACATAAAAGGTAAGGTTATGATTGCATCCAGTGTTGTGTGTCCAACTCACTTGATCACCATGACTTCTGCTGGGGATTGGAGGCTCGAGGATGGGTTAAGTTTGCTCCCAAAGAGGATTTTCGGGATTTTCAATCCCCTGCTGAGCTCAGAAGCAAAATAAAGTGGTGAGAAACTCAATTCGGGTTGCCTGAGTTGGCCAAGAATGTCTGAAGAGGGACTTGTCTGAGGATTTTCATGCGAATTGGTCAAAAAAGTCCAAGACTTTGAATTTCGCGACATGTCAAGACTTGTGCAATCGCGATTGACTCCTGAAACGGGCGGCAAAAAGCCGAAAAATAATCATTTTTGGCTTCACTAAGTGACCTTCCACTTGTTTGCGCGGAGAAAATGGCTCTTCAGCCTCGAGCTTCTGGTGAATTGATTGTGAAATTGGCGAAACACCTGAAAGTCAATGGATCTGGTGTTGATAAACTCTGCCGGGCTGTTTTGGAAGGACTCAAAAGCAAGGAAATCGACGTAGAGAACTTCTCTCAGCACGAATTCCATCCCAAACCTGAGGATCCGAAGTGTTTGAACTGGTTGTTCCTGATTGACACCCTGAACTTCTGCTTCTGGACGCCGGGAAATGCCACCAAGTGGAGAGTTGAGGGTCAGACCGGCTACTTTGCCCTCTGCGCAGCAATAAATCGCGCCCGGAAAGCCGGCGAGGATATCACGAATCCCGAATACTACGTGAAGCTCGATGTTGAGGATCTGGAGAGGATTTTGAGGTGTGACGATGGGGAGACAAAGGCTCCGCTGATCCAGGAGAGGGTGAAGTGCCTGAAGGAAGTGGGTCAGACGTTGCTGGAGAAGTACGGAGGGAATTTCGAGAATTGCGTGAAGCAGAGCGGAAAATCGGCTGAGAAACTCCTGCAGATGATTGTTGAGGACTTTCCATGCTTCAGGGATGAGGCCAGCTATGAGGGACAGCGCGTGGCGATCTACAAGAGAGCGCAGATCCTGATCGGTGACATCTGGGCGTGCTTCCGAGGAGAGGGAATTGGCGAGTTTCCAGACATTGGAAAGATCACAATGTTCGCCGATTATCGCGTGCCGCAGGTTTTGGTGCACTTTGGCGCTCTGGAGTACAACGAGGATCTGATGAAGCGCCTCAAGAGTGATGAAATTCTGGAGAATGGATCTGAGGCTGAGGTGGAAATCCGCGGAGCGTCGATTTTCATTGTGGAGGAGCTGAAGGACAAAGTTCTGGCGGAGATTCGTGAGAAGAAGCTGGAAATTTCCACGAAGAATGTGAATTCTGTGCTCTTGGATCACTTCCTGTGGGACTACAGACGTCGTCATGCTGCTGAGCTGGAGTACATCCCCTTCCATAAGACCTACAGTGTCTTCTACTGATAGTCAGGCGACAAAATGTAATCTCAGGGATTCTCCACGGGAGAAGCCACGATAATAAACTATTCATTCATTCATTCTCCACGGGAGAAATAAAGAGCATTTGCTTAACACCCTGTGTCTTTAGCACAGCCGCGACGCGAACCACTTCCAATTGAACATCTGGCCTCCACCGGCTGCCCCCCGCGGCTCCTCCCCCTCAAACTGGAAGCGATGTCAAAAGCGGTTCGTGAGTTCAGTCACTCGCTCAAGCCTTTGGTTACTGGGCACGCGGCAAAAACACCTTCATTGTCTGAGTTTTCAGTTTTTTCTCGGCGCCTCAGCAATCAAAAGCAGTCCAAAATGAGCAACGGGAAGCATTTGGCCACAGGTGAGAGCGATCATATGACTTTGCCGGCTGTAATCCTCGATTAAACAGCGGCAGTATTTTTAGAAGTGACGTAATGACCTTGTCACGCCTTTTAGGAGCCCCACTGCCCACACTCCAGGACGACGGCAAGATCAGGCTCTACTCCATGCGCTTCTGTCCTTATGCGCATCGCGTCCACCTCGTCCTGGACGCCAAGGAGATTCCGCACCACTCAATCTACGTGAATTTGAAAGCCAAGCCCGAGTGGCTGTACGAGCGGAGTCCCATGGGCACAGTTCCGGCCGTGGATCTGCCCAATGAGAGCGGCGGTGCTAATCTTTATGAGTCTCTCGTCATCTGTGACTATCTGGACGAGAAGTTCCCCCAGCGACCTCTCTATCCGCGCACGCCGCTGGCGAAAGCCAAGGACCGACTGTTGATCAAGAAGTTCGACACGGTCATAGATGTGATGTACAAGGTTTTCGTCGGTGAACACGTGCCGGGAACTGTGACGGAGATCAGCAATCGCCTGGACTTCTTCGAGAAGGAGCTGCAGACGCGCGGAACGGACTTCTTCTGTGGCAATGCGCCAGGAATGGTGGACTTCATGATCTGGCCGTGGTGCGAGAGAGCCGATATGTTCACCTTCTTGCTGGGCGACAAGTACGTCCTGGATGACGACAGATTCCCCAAACTGGTAAGGAATATTCAAGGATTGTTCATCTCTTCAGGCTCAGACTGTTTTGCAAATAAATTACCGCTCAATCTTCCAGGTTAAATGGCGAGGCCTGATGAAGGAGGACAAGGCGGTCAAAGGATTCGCCATCAGTGGCGAGCTTCATGCGAAATACATGGAATCTCGACAGCAAGGAGTGCCTGACTACGACATGCTCGTGTAAGCGCTGGACAATTGCCATAATTAACACTGCGACTCCAACTAATCACGCCATATCGCTTACCTTTACCCTAAAACTGCCCAGCACATTAATCGAACAAAATGCTCTCAAGTTGCTAGTTTAAGAGTTCCGGATTTTCTTTTGCAGCAATATTGCTAAGAAACAGCGAACATCCTAATGCAAGGCGTGCTTTCATCGCTGTTCTTATGATTTACACACTCTTTAAAATACATTTCACACGCTTGTCACGCGGGTCACGGAGTGCATTTCCACTTAATTTTGATGAGAGAGAGAGAAAAAGAATTTATATATACACACACTCGAAAAAACACACATTTTTCTACAATTGTATTGAATTAAATAAAGATTTTTCCAGAGGCAATTTTTGGTTGCTTTCTTGAGATGTTGAGAAATTGGATTTTCGAGAGTTTTATGCAAAGATATTTGTTTACTCGACCTTCTGTTTGCTTTTTTCTTTAAACCATGGTTGAAGCTTTTGTAATTAATTGTGTAATCATTCATATCTGAATTGCCCAATTTAAAGGGCAACCATGTCAACTTCTGCACTGAAACCACTGAAACACTTCCGTTGTTCTTCTATTTTTCCAGACGTCTCGGAAGGAAGAGAGTCTTCCACCATACAATCGAAAGAATATGAGAGAAAAATGTAGGTTCTAAGCTTCATTTCCTATTTATACTCTTTCTGTGGTTTTGGTTAAAGAGTCCTCAATCCTTGTACACTAAGAAGACAACTCCAAGAATAAAGAATGTGGGCGTTTCATACTTGTGACTTGCGTGGAGATCCTTCTTCGGGTCTTGGAAGAACATCATTGAGCAATGGACGCCCTGCTGAAGCTTGGGAATCACACTCACCAGCGTCACGACTCGAGAGCGTCGCATTCCCACGGATTTGGCGCTCCTCTTGATCTCCTGCGCCAGCAGTTGACAGAGAACTTTGCTCCTCTTCGCATTGTACTTCCTGTAGTCTGAGTAGATGTTGCAGCGATCCTCAAAAGCACTGTTCATCAGGCTCTTCAGCTGATCCGCCACAGTTTGTGGCGTCTTGTAGAAGCGCAACTTCCCATCGCAATTCTCATTGACGTCGAAGCGTGAGTCGCGACGGCGGGTTTTCTGGGTGACGAGGCCAAAGACTAGGGAATTCGTGTAGAGACTGTGATGAACAGGAGCCTTGATGATCGATTGCCTCCTGGAAGTGACAGAGAAAACAGTGGCGCGTTGCCTGTGGATTTATCTTCTGCACAGAGGATTTTACCTCGAGGGACTCCTGGATTGAGGCCTCAGGCTCATTCGCCGCATCATGCTATCCCTCCGGAAATCCATGGCGGAATGACTACCCATGAAACCCTCATCGACTCCAGCAACCCTCATCGACAGGCAATTATCCTGTCAATCATCGCTTGCATGTGAAAGTGATTTTATTATTGTGGATTTATTGTGTACAACATGAGGAAATAGAACTGTCACTTCTTCGCCAGTCCCTCCCATCGATCCGGCACCACCAGGAAGTACCTCTCCATGGCCTCGCTGAAGCGCTGCTTGTACGGCTTCGGCGAGATCACCGTGGGCAGCTTCCCTTGGCCGCCGAGCAGCCCTGTTTGCTTCACCAGCGACTCCAGTCGCTTGTCCAACGTGAAGGTGCGAATGTAGTCAATGATGCCCAGCACGAGCAGCTTCTCCTGCCCATCCAGACCGACCAGCAGAGAGTAATCCATCACATCGTTCTTCTCCAGGAATGACGCATCCCGATGAATAGCTTCGCGCAAAATAGTCCGACTATGCGTGAGAATGTAGAGCGGATTTGACCACGACACTGCAAAGAATTCACAGAAAAATATTTACCTAAATCATAAGAGCTTCGCTAACAATTGATTCACACTCACTTTGAATGAGATTCTGGTCAAGCAGCACAATTTCTCCCTCCTGATTTGTCGGATCCACCAAGCGATTCCTGTCCGATCCCTTGAGATCGAACTTATTGGAGATTTCACGATCGAAGAAGAGATTCTCCATCACCAGCACAGATTTCTCTCGATCGCTGTCCTTCTTCTTCACCACCACCTTGAACACGCCCAGGATCTTGGCCAGAAGCGTCGGCTTGTCGTGCTGCAGGCAATCGTGGATGTAGTCAAAGTAGTTGGGAGCGAAATTCTCAAAAATCGCCACATCCTGCTTCGTCATCTCCTTCAGCACGAAGCGATCGTCGGTGGTCTTGGAGAACTTGGAGCCACTCTTGCCACCCTTCGCCTCCCACTGGATGCTGCGGCACAGGGATCGGGCGAAGGACTGTCGCACCCGCTCAGTCTCCGCCGTGAGATACTCAGGCGGCTTCTGTCCCTGACTTCCCAGACTGTTGCTGCTGCACTTCCGATCGACAGTCGCCTTGGCCACATCCTCAGTCACCTCATCCATCGACTTGGACTCCTTCTCGCCGGAGAATCGTCCAGGCGGTGGGATTAGCACTTTGTTGCGCAGCAGATCAAATTCCCGCGCAAAATAGACTTTGCAGGTGAATTGCGTGGTGGAATCCTGGAAGTGGAGCTCAATGTGATGGGAAGATTTGCTCTTCTCACTCTCACGATCCTCCTTCTCACCCGACGACTCACTCTTCCTCTTCACACTCGGACTGTTGCCACTCTCCGACACCTGTGGCATCGCCATGATCTCCAGACACTTCTTGTAGTCATTCGACATGAGACTGTAGGAAATCATCGAGCTGAGATCCTGATCGTGAACGAGAATCGGAAAAGCACCCAGCGGAAGCGTGTGATGTTCATGCAGTGGCAGCGGTGATTGGAGTGTGTTCACTTGGCCAGAAGACGGAAGCAATTGACTCAGGAGACTCTTCACTGTCTTCTTATCGAAGAAGTCCTTGTTATTCTTCTCACTCTGAATCACATCCACAGCTTGACTCACTCCCTTTCCCGCCACATCATCCCCATCGTCTGTGGATTCACTGCCCTCCTCAACATCCGCCCCGGAATCGACAGATGAGGAATTCTTGGTCTGACTCTCCGCCTCATGAAGACGCGGACCCCAAACTTCAATACTCTCCGCCAAGGCTCTCTTCACCATCAGCATGGCATCATTGATGTCCCTGGAATTCACCTCGCGCTCCGTGAGCAGCGTCTGGACAATCTCCACACGCTGCTTGAAGATCATCTGATCCCGATTCACGAGACTCTTGAGACTCAGCAGCTTCGGCGATTCCACTTCCGTCGAAATCTGCGCCAGTCGATCGTAAATCTTCGCATACACTTCGTATCCCTTCTGCGCGAACATCTTAATGTCCTCCAGCACTTTGTTGCTGTCATACGGCTTGGCACGCCTCAGCTGGATCACCAGCGGCGGCAGGGAAATCTCCCACACCTCAATTGGCGTGTACATGAAACTGGCCACAATTCCCTTGTGGCTGAAGTAGTGAATGTGCTGCCGATGGAGTGAATGATTGCATTTGGCATTATTGTTCTCCTGCTGGACACTCACGTCGCGCCTCTTGTACGCGTGTCCGTGGAAGCGCTGCTCCAGATATTTGGCAAACGACAGACAGTGCGTGTCATTGGAGATGGGAACACTCGGTGTGGACTCTTTGCACACAGAACACCAGGAAGTGATCAGAATACTGCCACCATCGGGACTCCTCTTCTGCTGATCCTCCGCCAGCTGCACTTGGATGCATCCCATCGAGTGCACATACCTCCTCACGTGATCCATCATCGGGCAGTTGCACGAGGGACAAATGTAGGAACTGCGGAAGCAGTAGCGCTCCAGGAAGTGGCCCAGCATGATGTCATTCTGCCCGTAGAACTGCATATTGAGAAAAGAGGGCTGAGCACAGAATGTCGGCTGGTGGCATGAGGATTTCGGACTGTAATTGTAGCTGCAGAACAGCACAGGCAGTCTCTGGTGATTCTCAATGACCAGTGCATCCTTGTAGATGAAGGAATCCAGGCATTTTTGACTCTCCTCCTCACTCTTCTCATCAATCTTCTGCCTCCTCATTTGCCTGGTCTTCAACAGACGACCTCCAGTCGCTCTGAAACTCGCCAAAAGCCCCTGCAAATCCTTACTATCCATCGAACTGGTGATCTTGTGATTAACAAAGTCATGAGACTTCTTCACCATCGCCACATCCTTCTTAATCTCACTTCTCGTCGACTCCTCGAGACTGGGAATCCTCTCGATTGGACTGGAGAATTGCTTTGAGTAGTACAACTCATTAGGAAAGCGTGACCGCAAGTGACACTTCCGCCCAATCTCCGTCTCCAGGAAGGGCAGCGGAAAGGAGACAAATGGCGACACTGAAAGCACCGTCGAACTCAGGGCTGTTCGGAATTTGTTGTCATACAGTGGCTGCACGTGAAGCTCCACAACTGAAGACTCTGGCTCTTGATCGATTGCTGGCGGATTTGTGGCTCTCAGCGGATCTGAGCAATCCGGAACGTGTTCTTTGTGAATTGCCTTATCATCTATGCGACTCTTCAGCGACTTGCTCTTCGTCGTGGCCTCTTCCTCCTCCAGTGGCTTCACCGGTGACTGCTCCTTGGAGTCAAAGATGTTGGGCTTCGGTGATGGTGGTCTGGCGAATTCATCCAGCAGAAATGACATCTCCAGACGCCAATTGTATCTCACGTACAAGAGAAAAGAAGCCACTCTCTTCACTCTCGTCAATTCAGCATTATTCCCACCTCTCAAGAGGACACAGAAAGCCCGCGGAGACGACGGCATCTCGAAGAACATGAGTGTCTTCGTCACTCCTTGCTCATCAGTGAACGTCCGGATGCAAAACATATCACAAACACCAAGTGTCGGACGACCAATGTTGGAATCTATGGATGAAACGACGTCACACTCCAAGTATCTCGACAATCTCTCCAGCACAGACAATTTCACGTCCAGCACGAGAGTGATTCCTCTCTTCCTCAGCATATCCTGGGCAATTCCCGCCACATTCTTATGCACCAGCACCACATTCGGCTCCAGACTTCGAATCCTCGCCGTCACATTGCGCAGATATTCCTCCTCCTGCAGCATGAGAGTCTCCAGACTCACGAACTTCCCCTCCACGCGCTGATAGACAATCGGACACTGCAGCAGAAGTATTCGAGGACGCTCAACTTTTGTGATCATGTCCTTGTGCGCGACATTCTTCGTGAAAGCCACGCCGCCGATGATCTGGGATTCGGTTCTCTTGCCACCAGGGACTTTCTTGAAGTTCACAAAGCCACGGATATCCATGAGATCCGCTCCATACTGGCCAGGCTTAATGGTATTCGACACCCTGGCGCACAAAGGAATGAGAATCTTCGACCACTCCGGATCCAGATTCTCATTGCGCAGCAACTGATGCAGAAGACGCTCCTCGTGCGTGCAGAACGCCTCCAAGAGTGGCTTGGAACCCGCCGTGGACAGAAGATTGTTCTGCAGATCGAAGTCTTTGATGGAACTGATGGAATTGTCCTGGAAATCACCGAAAATGTTTCCCTCCGCAAAGGCAGGACGCGCCACAATGGACACATCGACATTCTGCTGTCCTCCGTGGCGCGAACAGATCTGCGAGGAGAGAATGTCACTCTTCTGGATGGTCTTGTACAGACTGTCCTCCTCAAATTCCGCCTCTTCACTGCCCGGCGGCACGACAAGCAGGAATCCCGCCTCAATCATGGTATTGAGAATGGCTTCGGCTTGCATCCTGTCCGATGACTTCTGATTCGCCATGAGATAGCGCACCAAATCCCCTCCGCGATTGTGCATTGGGAGATTCTTCAGAAACTCCTCGCTGAGCAATTGCAGGGATGTCAATTGCTGCAAAATCGTCTTCCTGTCGCCACTCGTGAGCGTTGTGTTGGGATACGACACCAGCTTCTCCTCCTGATATCCCACTGAGATCTTCCGCCTCAGCGGCGAACTCACAGACAAGTCAGGACTGCTGATATTCGGTCCTTCGGTGGCCAATTTGATGGACAAATCATCCTGCAACGCTTGCAAATCGGACTTCAAGTCGAGCTGAATTTCTGGTGAATTGAGATAGCGCAGAACAATCTTCGAGCAATATGTGCACACTTTCAGTGGCTCAGAGCACTTGATAATCTTTCCGGGAACCACTTGATTGCAGCACTTGGAACAGAAAATCTGCCCACAGAGGCGACAATGGTGCTTCCGACGGAATGTGGAGAACTTCTGTGTGCACTCGTAACACTCCTTGGACTTGGCGTCCGGCATCCAGAATCTCTGCAGCTCCGTGTCTCTGTAGCTCTGCAGGTCGCGATTCCCGAAGGCCACCAAGTTGCTGATCCGTTGCATGATGCTCGTGGGAGTTCTCACCTCTGCCGATTCAGCTATCGAGGCTGAGTCCGTGGGTGTGTTGGCGTAACTGCTCTCACTCACGTCAATGGGAGTCCCTTCCCTCTCCGCGGCGCCGCTGGGCATCGCCGAAGCGCCCTGGAGACTCTCCTCGACGATTGTTGGATGGAGAATCCTGGGCGGATCTGCCGAGGACGTGGAAGGAGCCACATTGACTGAGTTGTAGCTGGCATTGTAGGCATTGGTGATTTTTGTGACAAACTTGGAGAGCAGCGTCTCGGGCTCCTCATCCCAATCTCTGGCGAACTCCGTCAATTTGGTCGGGGAATGTAGATTTCTGTTCATTTTCACAACACTCACACTGCTAACGTCCTTAATCACTGATTCACTGTGCTGGGCGTGGCTCAGATACCACCGATATTCTGGTCAGTGAGCGCCAATTCGGGTGCCAGCGATCCCAGAGCTAGATCATTCCACTTTTGCTCCTGAAACCCAGAAGAAGAAAAACGCAATTATGCGCTGTAGAGAAATGGAAAGTGACCGAGAATCTGTGGAGCGTGGAGGAGAGAGATTGCGTGCTCACCTGTTCCTTGAGCGTTAAATGGGAATCTCCATTGTCCGCCTCCAGATCCGGCAGATTCTCAATTGGCACCGCAATCTGATCGTGCGGAAGCTCGTCTTGGCGCCACTTGTTGTCAATCACTTCCAGCAGATAACCATCACAAGGTGCCTGCGGGTGTTATTTAACATCATTATAAGCCATAATTTTGCTGTTTGCCAAGACAGTTTCGTCACAAACAGAGCACCATTGTTCGCATTGCCCCCACCAATGTGCGAAACGTCTCAATAAACACCCCGAAAACTGCGCTTCTCGCACAGCGTCTGCTGATAAAAATAGCCTATAGCATCTCCCACACCTGCTAACATACCTGACTGTCCATTCTACTTGCGAAATCCGCACTGAAAATGATCTTTTCTCACGGAACGACGCGCTCTTCTCCAAGAAAACACACAACTCATCGAATCAGCTGACGTGCCTCCCCCACTTCATCGACTTCATCGACTCGCGGAGAATTTCCCCCGAAAATCTTTCACATTCCATTTGCCAGCTGCCGATGCAATCGCTGAGTTTCTCTCAGTGTAAAAAGTCCTCACCATCAGTGAAAAGCTTGCGATTTTTCGGGAAAAATCCACATTTAATCCGATAGTCAAATACGTGAAACATATGTGAAACATGGCGTTTCAACGATGTTTTATACGAGTTGCACTGACGTCGTGACATTTGTTTTGTTTTCGTGGTGCAGCTGAAGGCTTTTCCACAATTTTCGTGATTTTGAGGCTTTTCCGTGGGATTTACAATGGATTTGCAAGAGCTGGAACGAGAGGCGAAGGAGTTGGCGATAAGAGATGTGAAAAATATGTTGCCACGCTCTGGGCAACTTGAGAAAGTTGATCAGTATCGCAACAGAATCTCCCGGAAGAAAGCTTCTGTGGAGTCACAACTGAAGACAGCGATGCAGAACCAATTGGACGGTGTGAGAGTGGGTCTGAAGCAATTGGAATCTTGTCTGGCCAACATTGAGGACATTAAAGTTAGGTAAGGGTAAAAAATTGTCCTGATTATGAAGTACAATCTTACGGAGTTTGTCTTGCAGGATGAAAGAAGTGGAGGATCTCCTGTCCACAGTGCCTGAAATCAATGATGCCCTGGATCCGGTGCGAGATGAAAACACAAAGCACTCTCAATATGCCACAGCAATGGAGAATCTGAAACATATCTTCACCGTGCAATCGAGTGTGTCAAAGACAATGCAGTGGATTGAGGAAGATAAGCTCCTCCACGCCCATCAGTGTCTGTCGGACTTGGAGAATTCTCGGGATGATCTTCTCTTTGAACTGCATAAGCTGCCAAAGCAGTATGTGCATGATAAAATCACTCTGAAGCGATACTTTGAAAAGGTGGAGACTGTTTCTCAGGAGCTGGAGAGAAAGATCCGCCTGATTCTCAATCGCGCTTTGAACACCGTTCGGAAGGAACCCACGGTGATTGTCACAGCACTGAGGATTATCGAGCGTGAGGAGAAGAGTGATCAGTTTGCTTTGGCGCAGCAAAAGCAGACGGGATTCTTGCCTCCGGGAAGACCAAAGCAGTGGCGAAAGATGGCCATGGATGTGCTCAACAAGTCTGTGGTGCAGAGAATTGAGGGATCAATGCTGGAGGAGCGCACAGACAACAAGCTGTGGCTGGTGAGGAACCTGGAGATCACTCGTCAATTCATGCTTGAGGATTTGAGAGTTGTTAAGTCGCTTTGCGTGCCGTGCTTTCCGCCGCACTATGACATCTTCAGTGAATACGTGAAGATGTACCATTCTGCTCTCTCCAAGTCACTGGAAGACATCGTGCTGCAAGGATTGGAGGGCAATGAGTACGTTTCGATATTATCCTGGATCACAAATACCTACACAGGTGCAGAACTCATGGCACATCCGGAACTGCGTGTGGATTTGACAATTGTGGGGCCACTTATCAAGCCTGAATTGCTGAAGCAGATGGAAACGGAGTATCTGAAGACTATGGAGAAGAATTACGAGGAGTGGATGACGAAGACGCTGGAGACGGAGAAGCAGGACTGGCAAAATGGATCACCGCCAGATGAGGAGGACCAGGAGAAGTACTATCACACCTCAGCGCCGGTGATCATCTTCCAGATGATAGACCAGAATCTCCAGGTCACCAACACTATTCACTCCGAATTGACCTTCAATGCTCTGGTGCTGAGCATCCAGCAAGTGGTGATCTATGGAAGGAAATATCGAGTGGGCATTTTTGAGTTCAAGGAGGCTCACTTTCGCGATCGCAGTCGGGCTCCATACTTCACACAGCACATGATCACCATCGTGAACAACTGCCAGCAAATGATTGAGCTGGCGCATCAGATGAAGCAGCTGTACTGGCCAAAGGCGCGCACTGATCGCTATGAGCACTTCGAGGAGTTGGTCAGTACATTCCAGCAACTAAGAGATGAGGCGGCGTCGTTCCTCCTCGAGGAGGCCTTCCTGGATCTCGAGGTACACTTCAATGAACTCTTCACGGCCAAGTGGACAGGCTCCAGTGTCACTGTGGAGACAATTTGCGCCACCCTCGCGGACTACTTTAATGACTACAATCATCTGAGAGTCATCAACTTCGAGTATGTGATCCAGGAGGCGCAGAAGATTGTCGTGAAGCGCTACCTTCGCGCCATGTTGTCCAAGAGGATCAGCAAACCGCAACAAGAGTGTCATGTGCTGGCCAAGAAGATCAACGATGAGACAAATCAGCTCAGAGCGCTATTCGATGAAACTGGATGTGGAATTAAGGGTGCAGATTCTCCGATTAAGATCATCTCGACGCTGGCAAATCTCCTGACTTGCGACTTTGAGATGCTCGTGTTGGATTTGCACACGCTTTTTGCAAATTATCCGTCAATCAGTGAGGATCAACTCGTGAGGCTCTTCTACATTCGCAATGACATCAAGATGAACGAAGTGAAGGAGAAGGTCCAGGACGCCATGAGATCTAGGAAGACAACAGTCAGTCACGATAAGCAAGATAGTATTTTCAAAGAGATTGTTTTCTCCGACAGATTGTGGTAATTCAACGAAGAAAAAAACCAATAAGAATAAAAATGGAGTAAAGCAAAGGTTTTTTATTGATCTGAAATAATCTTTAATGGTGGTCATTGAAGATATCGTCAACGTGAATGGGAAAAACCTAAATTGGGTCAATTATTTCAATCCACTTCAAAAGTTTACATATACATAATATATAATGGCTCCTAAATGAAAGTTGAAATGAAGCTTTTTCACTATGATTACTTCATATTGTGCTTTTCAGTGATATAAAGAGACTATATTCTTTTTCAATATACAGATTAATGTGCTGTTTTCCCAGAATTAAGAGAGACACGAGAGAGAGAGACACTATTTTGAGAGAATTAAGTGGGCAAAGAAACACGTTATCTGTGGAATACAGGGAATATTATCTGTTGTCTGATGGTTGGTTATCAGTCGTGCTTCAGAGCTTAAGTGATGCATTTCAAAGGTGGAATTTTTCTGTGTCTCCTCTTCGGAATATTGGCAATTGAATCGGCCAAAGATGAGGCTATTGTGGAACTCCTTAATGGTCCCATTCGAGGAGTGAAACTCCCAAATCTGTACGTCTTCAAAGGGATCCAATATGGAGATTCTCCTGTTGGGGAGAAACGCTTCGAGTCAGTTGGTCTCTTTCGAGAGAAGTGGACTGAAGTGAGAAATGCCACAGAATTCGGTCCAAAATGCATTCAACTTCCTCACTTGGGTGATCCAGACAAAACTGAAGTAGTTGGAGAAGAGGATTGTCTCTTCCTCAATGTCTACACCACCAGTTTGGACACTGAGAAGAATCTCCCAGTCTTCATTCACATCCACGGAGGAGCTTTCATGTACAATACTGCAAATAATTTGGATCCTGAGAGAATTCTTCAACATCAAGAGGCTGTCTTTGTCCTCTTCAACTACCGACTCGGTGCGATGGGATTTCTGAGTACTGAGGACGAAGTTGTGCCTGGAAACATGGGATTGAAGGATCAAGTTGTGGCGCTGGAGTGGATTAAGGAGAATATCAAGGCTTTTGGCGGGAATCCAGATTCAGTAACGATCACTGGACTATCTGCTGGTGGCGCAAGCACGCATCTTCACTACTTCTCACCACTCTCTTCGGGATTGTTTCATCGGGGAATTTCCCAGAGTGGATGCGCCCTCAATCCTTGGGTTTTCGCTGAGCGCTCAAAGAAGAAGGCCAAAATCGTGGCTGAGAAGCTAGATTGTCCAACTGGAAGTGTTAAAGAGATGATTAAATGCTTGAAGAGCAAATCTGCACAGGATATTGTGATGAGCGCAAGACTTTTCCAGCCATGGCTCTACAATCCCTTCTCGCCCTTCGGTGTGGTTGTGGAGAAGAAAGGAGTTCGTCCTTTTCTCACAGATCACCCAGAGGATCTCATAAGAAAGGGAAGAGTGTCTGATCTGCCGTGGATTGTTTCGCTAACGGACTCTGAGGGACTTTATCCAGTTGCAGGTGAGAAGCACTAGTCTAGATTCTAAGATAAGTAATGTCTAATCGGCTGTCCTTTCAGATCTCATCGATCCTCCTTCGAAGATTGAAGAGTTGAACAGCAGATGGGAAGAATTGGCTCCTGCTGTGCTTGATTATGGCGGCTCTGTCTCTCGCCACGATCAGCCAAGTGTGGCGAAAATGCTGAAGAAATTCTACCTCAATAGAGAAGATATCTCTGAAGAGAATTTCGACAAATTCGTAGACATGGTCAGTGATAGACTCTTTGCTGCCGGGATTAGTTTAAGTGCTCGTCTTCATGCTGAATACCTCAAATCTCCTGTTTATCTCATGTACTTCACCTTCCCCGCTCAATATGGAGTGCATCACATTTATGTGCCTGACCATAAATTCAAAGGAGCTGGTCATGGTGATGATATCTTCATGATTTACAAGACTGCCTTCAGAAAGACTCCTCTGAGTGGCGAGGAGCAGCAAATGGTGAAGCTCTACTCAGAAATCTTCACTTCTTTTGCCAATGGAAAGCCTCAAATGGCAGATTTGACGATGATTCCCATCACAAATAAATTAAGGATGCCTTTCCTGCACATCAAATCGCCATCTGACATCTCAATAGAGATCACCGAGGGATTTGGAAATGAGAAATTTTGGTATTCACTCCCAATTGCTGAATTCGCCAAATATAATGCTCCTAAGGCGCCTCCGAAGATCGAGCTGTGAGGCTTATCAGCTGTTATCAATGTCATAAAAAAATGTTGTTGAGCCAGAAGTTCATTTTATCGTAAAAGAATAAATAATAAATGGCTAGACGAATGTAAATTAGAGCAAATACTGATGATTTGTAGGGCATATTTGCACAGTTAGCGCAATATTGTTCTACAATTATTCAGAGTAATTGAGATCACGCAAGATCATTAAAAATTCATGGTGTTATGTCAATCTTCCCGACCATGTGGAAAACCCCTGAAACTAAACCTCACATGGAGATAATGAACAAAGTGAGATAGAAGGCGTTTTCATTGAACTGGTCAGTATAATATCTCGAACCAATCAGTCGTGCCTGATAGCTGAGAGAATGCATTACGCAAGTGTGATCATTTTCTGCCTCCTTTTGGGAGCAATTTCTGTGCACTCCGCCGAAGAGGAGGAGGACGTGATTGTGAATCTCTTCAGTGGACCAATTCGTGGTGAGAAATTCCCTAAATTCTACGCCTTCAAGGGAATCCAGTATGGAGAGTCTCCAGTTGGCGAGAAGCGTTTCGAGCCCGTTAAAGTGTATCGGAAAAAGTGGACAGAAGTGAAAAATGCCACGGAATTTGGTCCATTTTGCGTGCAACTATCTCATATTGGTTACACGGAGGCGGCCAATGTCCAGGGAGAGGAGGATTGCCTCTTCCTCAATGTCTGGACATCTAGTTTGGATAGTGAGAAGAAGCTTCCTGTCTTCATTTACATCCACGGTGGAGCTTTCATGTTCGGCAGCGGATCTTCGTTCACACCTGAAAGAGTTGTTGAGAATCAGGAGATGGTTTTCGTCACGATAAACTACAGAGTAGGAGCGATGGGATTCTTGAGCACTGAAGATGAAGTTGTGCCTGGAAATATGGGATTGAAGGATCAAGTTGTGGCCTTGCAGTGGGTCAAGGAGAACATCCACTTCTTTGGCGGAAATCCCAATTCTGTCACACTTACTGGACTGTCTGCCGGCGGCGCAAGCACGCATCTTCACTACTTCTCACCACTGTCAAGAGGACTCTTCCATCGCGGTGTGTCACAGAGTGGATGTGCCCTCAATCCCTGGGTACTGGCTGAGAATTCCAGGAACAAGGCCATGGCAGTTGCTGCCCATTTGGAGTGTCCGACAGGGAATGCGAAGAAAATGATTATGTGCCTGAAGAAGAAGCCTGCAGAGGAAGTCGTGAGGAGTGCTAAACTCTTCTTTCCGTGGCTGTACAATCCTTTCTCACCTTTCGGAGTGGTCGTGGAGAAGTCAGGATCTCTGCCTTTCCTCACAGAACACCCAGAAGTGCTCTTGAGAACAGGAAAAATAAACCATTTGCCTTGGGTTGTATCTCTAACGGACGCCGAAGGACTCTATCCAGTGGCTGGTAAGAATGAGCTCTAATTTCTCATTATGATTTCTACCAATATTGATATTCTTTCAGATTTCGTCAATCCACCATCAAGACTTGATGAACTGAACAGCAGATGGGAGGAATTGGCTCCTGCTGTTATGGATTATGCTGGAACTGTTGCTCTCAAGGATCAGCCAAGTGTGGCAAAATTCATAAGAAAAGTCTACTTTGAGACGGAAAATATATCAGAGGAGAACCTCGAGAAGGTCGTGAAAATGGTTGGCGATCGACTATTTGATGCTGGGATTAGTTTAAGTGCTCGTCTTCACGCTGAATTCGCTAAAGCACCAGTCTATCTAATCCACTTCACATATCCTTCACTCTTCGGTCTCCAGCGTGTCTTCGCACCATCGTACAAATTCAAAGGAGCTGGACATGCGGAGGAGAATATGATAATCTACAAGACTCCGTTAAGGAAACTTCCTCTTGGGACTCACGAGAAGATAATGGTGCAATTATATTCAGAGTTCTTCATCTCAGTTACCAAAGGCAAGCCACAATTTGGTGAAATGCCTCTGATTCCCGTCACCACCAACAAGCGGATGCCTTATTTGCTCATAAAATCACACAAGGATTTCACCATTGAGATCACCGATGGCTTCGGCAATGAGGACTTCTGGAAAACTCTTCCAATTCATGAAACTCCAAAGGGGAATGACTTCACGAAGACCGAATTATAGAGAACGTCGTCAACAGTGTGTGTGTGTTATCAGATAGTAATAAATCATATTGCAAAAAGCTGAACGAAATATTTTCATTTCTTCTGCTTTAAATAAATATTGGATGTTTTTAACATACATATCATTTTATATCTGTCGCCTTAAACAAGGTCATAAAGATGAAAGTGAATTACCTCGATTGTTGGAAAAAAATAGTTTAATAGGTTGTTGAAACATTCCATTAGATCTAGACTAGATCTAAACGATCCAAATTTCTACAAGTGTATCGAAAAAAATAGTTTCTTCAATGATTTTCATGATCGGATTACAAAATTTAAATTCATATTGCTAATAAAAATTATTTTAGAAGTCAATAATCGCAAAAGTACTGATAAGATTGATAAGCACATTGTACTTGATATGACAATTTTCAATAGCAAATTTTCGGAGTTGCTACAGTAGACAACATTGAGTGCTCTTGACATCATTGACCCTCTAAAATGGTTTTGAGAAGAATTCTCGCAAGTACAGTGACGAAATTTGCCTTCAGGGCAAATGCTGTGAGACGTCTGTCTTATTATCCAATTGACGAAAATCTCTATGGAACAACTAGTGAACAGCAACAGGTGCAGAATTTTCCAAAACTTTCTCTCAAACTCTCTCCTTATTGCGTTTTTCTTATTTTCAGCTGAGACAGGCAGCTTTTAGTTTCTTGCAGAAGGAATTGGCTCCACACGCGCAGGAAATCGATAGACAGGACAACTTCAAAGATTTGAGAGCGTTCTGGAAGAAAATTGGATCCCTCGGATTCTTAGGAATACTGGCTCCAACGGATTATGGAGGTAGTGGAAAAGTTTTCACGAAGAATGGTGCCGAGTTTGCTTATCAAATTCAGTATCAGCATACAAAACTAATGCCATGCAGATAAAATAATCAAATAATCTGGAAAATTCTAGTGAAAAGTAGTTAAGTGAAAGAGAAAGAAGTCTGAATCATATTTTCTTTAAGAATATCAGTGAATGTCACCCAATTAGATTTATGTTCTTAAGTACTTCAACCACCTTATCGTACTTTTCTCTCAATCTGCCGATGGTTTTTTCGGTGCTAGGCAGTGCGGGATCTTACCTGGATCAGATAATCGTTATGGAGGAATTCTTCAGGGCTAGTGGATCATTGGGCCTGTCTTATGGGGCTCATGTGAGTCTCTGTCTCAACCAACTAAAGAGGTTCGGCACTGAAGAGCAGAAGGAGAAATACCTTCCCAAGCTGTGCAGTGGAGAGCACATGGGCGCCCTCGCGATGAGTGAACCCAATTCCGGCAGCGATGTTGTCTCCATGAGCACTTGGGCTGAGAAGAAGGGAGATTATTACATCCTCAACGGCAGCAAGTTCTGGATCACCAACGGTCCTGATGCTGACACCTTAATTGTTTATGCCAAGACTAACTTAAGTGGTCCTGCGAAGCATTGCATCACTGCGTTTATCGTGGAGAAGGATTTACCAGGCTTCAGGACTGGTCGGAAGTTGGACAAGCTGGGAATGAGAGGAAGCAATACTGGAGAATTGATCTTCGAGGACTGCAAAGTTCCAGCAAAGAATATCCTTGGAGAAGAAGGACAAGGTGTTTATGTTCTGATGACAGGATTGGATTATGAACGCCTCCTTTTCGCTGCTGGACCATTAGGAATCATGCAGGCAGCTTGTGACGTTGCTTTTGATTATGCTCACCAGCGCAGAGCTTTCGGCCAAAGGATCGCGGAATTTCAACTCATTCAGGCAAAGATGGCCGATATGTACACCGCTTTGGTATCTTCCAGATGCTATCTTTACAATATTGCTCGTGCTGTAGACAAAGGAGTCGTCAGTGCTAAGGATTGCGCAGCTGTTTTGCTTTTTGGTGGTGAGAATGCAATTAAAGTGGCGCTTGACTGTGTCCAGATCTTGGGTGGGAATGGATACATTAATGATTACCCAGCCGGAAGACTTCTCAGGGACGCTAAAGTGGGTCAGATTGGAGGAGGAACGTCAGAGATTCGCCGTTTGGTGATTGGAAGGAGTCTCAATAAGGAATACAAGTGAAAGGTAAATTCTCTGTTTATTAGCTTCCAACTTTACACATTGATTCCTTTACATTGAATAGCGCAATATTTGCAATATAGACAAAAAAATATTTTACCGCTTGTGTGACAAGTTAATCAACATTCCAAATGAATCAACAAGATTTCCTTATCATACGTATTTTTTTTTACACGAAAAGAGGTGTGAAATAAATTGACTAGATTTTTACACTCGAGAAGAAAAAAATGAACGAAAGATGGTGAATTAAAGTATTGTTTTCAATAAAAATTAGAGTCATAAAATATACAATACAAGGAGACTATAAATAAATTCCTTTTATAAATATAATAATTAAGCAAAATATTTTCGTTTTGTGAATTATTCCCATTTGTTTTAATCATCACACGTAGAATTACACAAATATGCAAGATTTGATTTTAGTGTGAATGGTAAGTTTTGCGATGTGAAAAACATTTTTTTTTCTCTCTCTTTTCTAGAATATTCACTATGTTCAGTAGGACGTGTCGCCCATGACGCTGTACATCAGGCGCTTGAAGGAGCCGCTCTGGTGTATCTCGTTGGGATCTCCGAGAGCGTAGTTAGGCGAAACCGGTGGATAAGTTGCAGTTGGTTTCTGTGTAGTGGATTGAGGAAATAAATCAAGGACACTCAGTCAATTTAGCTGATACACAATTTGAGAACAGTTTTCAGGAACACACCTTTTGAGGAGCTCCACGGTGCGTGGGCTGAAAGACTTTGGTCTGCACCGGCTGGGGCACTTCATGGGGATTGCCTACGTCGTAGGTGTCCTCCTGAATTGCTCTGTATGTTTCACTCTTCAGTGGATCATAGAGGACGGTCTTCTTGTAGCTATTTAGCGGTATTTTTGTTTATTTGATATTTTTTGATATATTTTTTTAATTTTTGATTTGGATGGAGGAGCGACAAGAAAAAAAGAGAAAGAAAAAGGTGCCCAATTGAGTGTTAGAGTTATCAGTGAATTTTCTAACAAGAGAAAAAATCTAAATGAATAATGGGTGATGATCTTAAACAAAAAAATAAAACAGATAACATATTGTAACAACTTTTCTCTGTCATATAGTCTTGTATAAAATTTTCTTCTTTTTTTTCATCCTTAAGATTATTAGTCAACGAGTGATTAACATTGTAACATCACATTACTCAACAACGTTAGGTAACAGTAACGAACAAAAATTTGTTTTGTCTTTGGAATATGTTAGTAGCTTTGGGAACAGTCTGATCGAGGACAAGAATGATTGTGTTAGTGGAGCAAAAAGTTACCATATTGTGAAAGTGTCTTCAAAATATTTGAAGAGTTAATTAAATAACGATGAGTAGTAGTGATCACGTTTGAAAACAGACAGGCAATCCTAATTCTGCGGATAGCTGTAGGGATTGTAGTACGTGGGGATGGTTTTATTTTGGGTATCGTTAGCAGCAGTGAAACCACGATAGAATCGTGATTGTGTAGGATATGATGTGTGTTGAGACACAAATGGTGATGATGGTGATGGTTGCTGATGCTGAAGTTGCTGTTGTTGCTCCAAAATTTTTTGTTTTTGTTTCAGAAAAGAAAGATCGATGAAAATTCTACAATTAATGGTGTAGTCAAGTTCATTTGGCTATTATTCCAATATTGGACATTTTGGTTTTTTTTTTTTCAAACTACAAACTACTTTTTCAGCTTTTGTGACATTGCTAGAGTTAGGAACAGTTTGTTTTTTTTTAGTTCTTGAGATGCATTCTACAAAACATTCACTACAGCTAAGTTTTGAGGGGTTTTTCTTTTTTAGGGGATGCTTTGGGATTCTTAAGCAAGTTCTACGGACACTACGAATGGTTTCTGTTTCTGTATAGATTTTGTGCTTTTTTGCGAGATATAGTGAGAGATTTGCTGTATCGAAAGTGAAGCGGTTTTTTTTCATCTAAAGCAGCAAATACTAAATCCAACTGGTAACCACAATCTCAGTGAAACTCGAAAAGAAATCCAAAAATGGTAGTTTATCTTTTGGATGTGATTTTGAAACATGAGATCATGATTGATTTTGATACAACTCTCATCTGATTACCCTTGAATTTTTGTAGGTTTCGGCCGATCGAGAATAGTATAACCATTCGATCTAAGAGACAAATAATAATACAAGAACTGAATTATTCTCATCAAACTATACAATTTTTGACATTTTTCCCAAAAAAATCAAACGTCCTAAAGTGATCTAGTCGAGAGAGAGGAGGTACATTTTAATCTGAATTACATTCTGATTTAGAAATGATGTGAGAAATGGAAAGGGGAAACGACATTCTACATTTCGACATGGGCGTTCATAAATCAATTTTTTCTTCTAAATGTGTATGGAAAAGGCGAAGAGGTGAGGAAATGTACTTACGGTACAGAATTTGGAGCGGTCTGGTGAATTGTTTTCTCAATATTGTTGTCTGAGTACAGGCCAATCGGTGAGTTGAATTGCTTGTGAACAACCTGAGTGAGAAAAAGTAGTAAAGATTTACTTGTGAGACATTGCTTTTCTTCGGATGTTAAAAATAATTCATAAAAATTTTCTACGAATAAAGCGATAATTTTTGACGGACATTTGAGTCATTTTCCTGTCCCAATTCGTATATTATTTGGTTTGCGAGTGAACTTTGAAAGTAAGAGAAGGAAATTTGAGAGAAATTAGTGGGTGGTTGGGAAATTTACAGCGCAAGGAAGTGTAGAACTTTTCTATTGATACTCAAAGTATACTTTTCATACGCAATGAAGAGTTTACCATTTCATTAAGATCCATCTATAGGACTCATTTTAAGAGAATTATTACATGAATTTCACTACAAGTCCTACACCCCCTGGCAAATGCTACAGATAGAAAATTTGAAGGGTCACTGAAACACATAAGAATGCTCAATTTGTCCACCTTTGATCCATCATCTCCGACAATTCGATGAATAGTATCGGCCACCTTTAAGAGTGCAAGTTTAAAAACATTGACAAGGGCACAATGTATGCATTAATCACGGAAAATGATTACAAGAATTTCTTTTCTCGGGTCATTTACCTTCTGCTTCATGAGCACATCCTGGAAATCATGGTGAGGTGGGCCCCTCATAGCCGGATTCGGGTGGTGCCTCAGGTAGGACTCCGTTGGGCCGGTGTCCTTCTTCACCTTGGCACCGGGCAGGATCAGCGGAGTCGTCCGGTAAGGCTGGTGGGTGAGAAAGAATCAAATTTATTTTTGGCTCACTGACAAAAACATGGATCGCTCAGCCACAAGATCATCACATTCGTCAAGCTATTTATAGTTTGCTTATTATAAAACACTGACGCAGACGGGCTTATGAGTGTGGATTTTTCTCAATTTTCACGCCAAAGTAGCGAGGGTGAGGCGCTAAAGGATATATATTTTGTCTTGAATTTCCCGCCGTAGGAATTTGCCACAAGAGGGACATATTTGTGAGGTTAGACTAGTTCCCGCGCTTTCTGACAGCCACAGTGTTTGTTGTGTTTGAGTTCCTGGAAAGTTTTGACGGATTGCCATGCCTCAGACGCGCAGCAGGAGAGCAAAGGCGTTGGTGAAGGAGGAGGATGAGTCAGAGAGTAGTGGGAGTGTGAAGAAATTCGAGTCGAGAACTCCGCGGAAGCTGAGGAGGCCTTTGGACAGTGATGACGATGAGGAGTCTTCGGGTCAGGCTAGTGAACAGTCAACACCGCCCAAGGTGGGCAAGTTCCAGAGGAAACCCACGAGTGTGGATACACCAAAGAGATTACTCGAGAAGATTACCCTAGAGGATGATGAGGAATCTTGTTCGTCGTCTTATCAGAAGGCCAGAAAGATGCTAAACGGTTCAGCTACAGATAATCTTCCCGGGAGGGAGAAGGAAATTCAGGAACTAACACAAACTCTGCAGAAGGCTCGTGAAGAACAACAATCAGTTAGTATGTACATCAGTGGCCCTCCGGGAACTGGCAAAACAGCCTCCCTGACAAAGATTCTCTCTGATGACGCAATGTCGCGAGCCTTCAAGAAAGTGTATGTTAATTGCACTTCCATCGCCTCTATTGGAGCGGTGTATAAAAGAATCTACAGTGAATTGGACAGTAAGAAGACACCGAAATCCGAAAAGGACTCTCTCCATGCCATAGAAGAGGTGCTCAAGGGAATGCGAGGAAAAATGCTGCTTCTCGTGTTAGATGAAATTGATCAGCTTGTGGGCAATAAACAGGCTGTTCTCTATACTATCTTTGAGTGGCCAAGGAAATTCCCCGACAAGCTAGTTCTCGTGGGCATTGCCAACTCCCTGGATCTCACAGATCGCCTTCTGACACGCCTGCAGAGCCGCTGTGAGCTCCAGCCTCGGCTGATGCACTTCGCAGCGTACACAAAACAGCAAATTGCTGAGATTCTCACTAGTCGTCTCGAGGCAGGAGGAGTTTCTAAGCTCTTCTCTGCAGCCACTGTCCAGCTTCTCGCCGGGAAAGTGGCCGCAATCTCAGGAGATGTGCGCCGGGCACTGGACATTGGCCGGCGGATTGTCGAGGTGGCTGAACAAAACGCCAATTCGAAGAAGACTCTCTGCATGGATGACTTGGGAGTGGATTTCTTGCCGGAAGACACCCCAATCGCACCCAAGCAAGTTCTGGACGTTATGAATACTGTCTACAGCACTTCGCAAACCCTGAACGAGGATCTGGACGATGTTTTCCCGCTGCAGCAGAAAATCCTCATCTGCAGCATTGTGCTGATCCTGAAGAATGACAAAAATCGCGACATCACCCTTGGGAGGCTCCACGAGGTTTACCGGCGCGTGTGTGAGAAGCTGACAATCGTGGCTGTGGACAGGGCGGAATTCATGAGTCTCTGCTCCCTCGTGGAGACGCGCGGCATTGTGCGGATCCAGCGCAAGAAGGAAGTGAAGCTGCACAAGATCACGCTGCAGTGGGACGAGCAGGACGTGACGAATGCCCTCAAAGATAAACAACTCATTGCAACTATTCTCAACTCGACGTCGTGCCTCAAGTGAGCGCGCGGCGGTCAGGACGTGGGCGTGAGGATCCCAAAATAGCATCAAAAGTATCATGAATGACGGCGACATTTTAACAATGTGTATATTTTAGAGTTTAAAGTCACAATCTATTAATTTTATATTGCAAAATCTCTGCACGCATCCTTGGTACACTTTGAGCGGGAGCACAAAATAAATTTGTCCATAGCCTGAATTCTTCTCGTTTTATACTTAGAGAGTGAAATCTACATGCTTTTGTCTGTGGTGCGCTTTCAAAGGGTCGAATTCAGACATTTCCAAGGAACATTTATAACTCGAAATCAACAAATAACCAACCGATAGCGAGTAATATTTCCGACATATCACGATATACTGATCGTATTACGAGGTGCATTGAAACATATAATTGAAAAGTATTTATCAAGACCAGAATTCAACAATTACATGCTCTAAACTTAAAGATAAAAATTTATTTGTCATTACTATGGGTATAAAAGAGAAATTACTGTTTCGATCTACAGTTTTTCCGAATAATTGAATTCAGTTGCTAACACAGATTTTCTTTTGTGAAGAAAATGAAGACACTATTAGCAGCGGTGCTTCTCTTAATGTTTCTGGGCGGAAATCATATGAAAGGTATAAGTTTGTTCAATAGATTTCGACTAGAATTACATGTAAATTATGTCATTCCTCTTTTGGTTGTTATTATAGTTCATGCAACGTCTGTTTATTGTTATCCTGGACGGCCTGGATGTCACGATTGATAGTCAGAATAAGAATAAAATCTTTTGCAATGTCGCTTAAATTGAAGTCATTAATTATGTGTATAAAACAATGATTAACAACGAGTCAAACGCAAAACTATGGACTAACTAAAGCGACATGAATGTTTTTTTTATGAGTTATGCTCAATTGTATCGAAATAATTGAAAAAATTAACAATTTTATGGACCCATAAAATAATGTAATTGATTTTGTAGAGAAAAGTATTAGTTGTTTTCTTATAAAGTAAGATCTTTTCTACATATTCGGCAGTATTTTGTGAACACTGAGGTGAACAATGAAGCTATTTGTAGTAGGTGCTTTCACTGTTATCCTTTTGATATGCCAATTAACTAGATGGCCTGACAAAGGTAAAATATTTCTTTTATTTATGGCCACATCAGCACGATTACCCCTAATAAACTAGTTATATAATTTCTCTTTATTTATGTCTAGATCTCTCAAATTGTAACCTTTGTGGTTAAACTGGAATAACAAATCAAGCCATTGTAATGTTATTCATTGAAATAAATTAGTTAGAAATACAACATAAGTATTTTCTCTACAGCAAGATCTTTGGTGTTGAATTTAGAAATTTTCACAAAGAAATTCACTGAAATACACAAGATTTGTCATTTATTTTCCTCTTGCTTTTTGAAACTCAAACGTTTTTTCCAGCTGGTTTGAGACTGGAATACTGGAAGGGTTTAATTTGACAGATCGTCCAGTGCAAAAAGTCGCAATTGGTAACTTGTTGGAGTGCATCTTTTTCCCCATTTTTACGACCAGCGAGTGGAAAATCTAGTGCAAACTACTGAATTTCTCTCAGTCAAACATATCTGCTTTGCAATATCTGCAAATTTGTTCAATTCCCTCGTTAATTGAGTGCAAAAGGTGCAAAATCAGGAGGTGCAAGAGAATCCATTGAACCTGCATAATCCTCTTGTTTCTGGCCAGGAGAAACAGGGAAACAAGTGTTTGGGTGGTGGAAGGATATTTGGAAGTAGTTCAGAGGATCCTGAAGTACCTCTTCCTGGGGTTTCTGCAGGAAATCCGCCAGGAGAGAGCGCAGAAGAAGGTGTCAGCTGAGTTCGTGTTTTGCGGAGGTGAGAATGCTCGACGAATGACTAATTCTTGAGTGAATGTCAGGGAATTCGTGAATATCTGTGAAGGCAAGTGAGCTGAAAGATGGGCGAGTGGTTGACGGTGCTGAACAGCGCGTGTGGGTGGCCGGGAGATGATGGGTGGAGCGCTTGCGCGCTTTCCCCGTCAGTGGAAAAGGGCTGTTGGGTAAAGTCCTTATCGATTTTGTGCAGTTTTTCACCAGGACGTTCCTCAGGAGTGAGTCACTCGCGTGAAATTATGTAATTTATACGCAGTCTTTGTATTTGCTTGTGGTGGAAATTCCTCCAGAGTGACTTGTGACCACCAGCACTGCCCTTAACGTGCTTTACCGTAGATTTTTCGCTTAGGAAACCCAGAGAAAGTGAACAATGTCGAGGGTCATCAACGACTATAGGATGTAAGAATGTCCTCCAGTTGGCGTCAGTGTGTCTGGGCGGAGCAATTATATGAATACTGAGCAAACTCTCATGGTTGTTTTCCCTCTGTTGCAGTCGAAAGATCGAGTCAATTGGCAAGATGACGCAGATGTCCCAGGATGAGATCATCAGCAACACAAAGACAGTCCTGCAGGGCTTGGAGGCACTCCGTGTGGAGCACTTGACACTGATGTCCAGTCTGGCGGAGGTGAGAGCTGTGAACTCGGACAGAGACAAGTGCGATTTGGTGCAGAGGAACATTGAGAACATCGATTTGGGCCTCGGAGAGGCGCAGATGATCCTCGCGCTGAGCGCTCATCTGCAGAATGTGGAGGCGGAGAAGCAGAAGCTCCGCACGCAGATTCGTCGATTGTGCCAGGAGAATGCCTGGCTGAGAGATGAATTGGCCAACAATCAGCAGAAGTTGCAAGTGTCAGAGCAAATGGTGGCTCAGTTGGAGGAGCAGAAGAAGCATCTGGAGTTTATGGAGTCGGTGAAGCAGTATGATGATAATCAGGAGAGTGTGGAGACGATGGAGAAATCTCGTCGGGATCCCGTGGTTGAGCTCTTCCCTGAGGAGAGCGAGGAGGAGCGCAATGACTCAGACTCCACGTCTGTTCAGTCCGGCGGCGATCTCAACTACAGCCACATGTCGAATGTCACTGGCTACGAAATCCCCGTGCGCCTCAGAACACTCCACAATCTCGTCATTCAGTACGCCTCTCAGGGGCGCTACGAGGTCGCTGTGCCGCTATGCAAGCAAGCCCTTGAGGATCTCGAGAAAACCAGTGGTCGAGATCATCCCGACGTGGCGACAATGCTCAACATTCTGGCACTTGTGTATCGAGACCAGAGCAAGTACAAAGAGGCCGCCAGTCTCTTGAATGACGCCCTGGAGGTGCGACAGAAGACTCTGGGTGAGAATCATCCAGCCGTGGCGGCGACACTCAACAATCTGGCCGTGTTGTATGGCAAACGGGGAAAGTACGCCGATGCGGAGCCACTGTGCAAGCGCGCCCTCGAGATTCGCGAAAAGGTGCTGGGCAAAGATCATCCGGATGTGGCAAAGCAGCTGAACAACTTGGCTCTCCTCTGCCAGAATCAGGTGAGCTTCATTTTTTTATGCCTTCTCAAGGGGAACAATAAGATGTTTTTCTGCTGCTTTTGTCGCGATTCACTTGAGCGGAAAATTGCCAAATGGGAGTGCAACAGTGGCTGTCCGGGTTCCATTTGCAGATCGGAAAATGGCTTTGCTTGCGGTTAGAGTAGATATCTGAGTGTGAAGTGGCTGTAATTCACGCGGCAGGGATTGTTGGGCGCACACGAGACTTGAAGTGCTTCCAAAATGCAAGAACAGCTGAAATGCACTCAACATTCGTGACCTTTGTAATGGGTGAAGAAGCTATGACAAATGGACACCAAAGTTGCTTCGAGCATTGATTAATTGATTTCATCATGTAAAATGCCCGCCAATGTAGAGTTGAACAAAATTTGGCAGCGATCCAAGACTGGGCTGTGTTGGGAAAATGCTTTTTCCGATGGAGAAGAAATCACATCTCGTTCGGGTATTTTCACCATTGAAATTAATGGGCTTCACCCAGAATCTCGGGGGCCACTCAGTGGGTGAGAAATGAATGTCATCGAATGTTTTTCAAGCATAATTCCAACACGCGATCTATTTTTGCGTGTGCTGTTCTTCTGATTCATGTGTATGTTTTGCTGTATTTGCAGGGCAAATACGACGAAGTGGAGATGTACTATCAGCGCGCGTTGAAAATCTATGAGGCAAAATTGGGACCAGATGATCCGAATGTGGCGAAGACGAAGAACAACTTGGCCAGCTGCTTCCTCAAGCAGGGCAAGTACCATGAGGCTGATGCGCTGTACAAGCAAGTGCTGACGCGGGCTCATGAGCGTGAATTTGGAACGGTGGATGCGCAGAATAAGGTCATCTGGCAGATTGCGGAGGAGCGCGAGGAGAACAAGGAGAGGAATCGCGAGAATACACCGTTTGCCGAGCACGAGGCTTGGATGAAGGCGGCCAAAGTGAATTCGCCGACCGTCACGACGACGCTGAAGAATTTGGCTGCGCTGTACAGGCGTCAGGGCAAATATGAGGCCGCCGAGACACTGGAGGATTGTGTGCTGAGGTGCAAGCAAGACGCCATGGAGGCAATGAAGCACCAGAAGGGCGCTCAATTTCCACAATCTCATCACAAGACGGGAAAGAGGGAGAAGAATCCGCCAGCGACCCTCAATGGCAATATGTAAAATCCATCAGGACGCGCGATTGAGGGATCCTTGAGTGTGATTTTCGGTTTTGATGTGCAATAACAATTTTGGGTTTGCTTCCTGTGATTAATCAGAATTTTCGTCAGAATTTCTACCAAAGTACTTAGAAGGTATTTTCCTAAATATTTATAGAAGTGAACAAAGCTTAGAGTATTTTCAGTATAATTACGTAGTATTAGGCTAAATATTCACTGCTTCGCCTTAAATATCCGCCCAAAGACTAAGTAATTCAAGTGCAACGTGTGAAATTTGAAACAATTTCTTGGCTTTAAAGGACAAATTAAAGCACATATTTAGTTATTTTAGCATAAACATAGTGAGATTTGCTCAAAATCACACCCAAAAGCGATTAAGAAGCTCACTTAAGGATTCCTCATGGGCTTTAATTCATGAACAAAAAAGAAATGCTGCAATGAACAATATTCAATATGTGATTTCGTGTGTGCTTTTTTCTCATTTAATCGCGGCAATATCTTAATTTCACTTAATTTAACCATCAATTTGAATTGTAAGAGCATTGAAAGAAAAAAATGATGAAATGAAGAGCTTTTTCGAGTGAATCTTACTTGATATTGAATTGGTGCCTCGAAGTTTTCATCGCCGTGTCTACTAAATCGCTGACCGTGTCTGAAGGGATAGTGTGTGGTCATTTTGGACTGGAGCTAATCCTCAAGTGGACACAGATATTGGAACCTTGGCGGAGGATGAATTTCACAGATTAACAGCCGCGCTGATAACTCACGATATAAATTAGAGGATGATAGAGTTTATAAATACTTTCTCTAATGGTTGACTTTCTTCGCGCTCTTTTTTTTTTATTATATCCGACTTTGAAACTTCCTTTGCTTTGGGATGGGAAATTAAAAAGAGTTTATTTTTGGCGATGACACCACACATGTTATGCAATAAATTTACCAATATAGCCACTGAGAGAAAGCATTTATTGAAAAATCATCGTGATTTTTCCTCTAGTGCGACTCGATTTTTTGTATAATACTTGAAAGAATTCTAGATTGTAGAGAATTTATTACGGAATTTCTGTGTTGATTCCACTGGCGATATATTGTAGCACTACGTGAGATTGCTTCTCGGGGTTTTTTTGGTGGAGAAAGTGTGAAAAATTCTGTCGCTGCGACACCGTGAATTTCCCAAAAGCAACTGAAATTCCGTTGTAATAAAATTTGAGGAGAAACTGGGTGGATTTGCTTGACCCACACACACACATTGCGCACGCAATCGTCTCTCCGTCGTCCAAGGAATGATCGTGATCGGGATCCAAGTGTGAAAAAAGCACAACCGCGAGCCATCAACGTCATCCAGACAAGAATGCTTGGCGGTGAGGCGCCCGAAAGGGGATCACGTAAATTGCATTGAAAGCTTGAAATTTTCCATTAAGCGCCTTTTGTGAGCGTGAACATTTTTATGGACAAAAATGGGAGATAAAAATAAAGTGGAGAATCCAAAATATGTTATAATATTTGTGATGAAAACCACCCAATGGGTGATCGTGAAAAGAAGGTCTGTCGATGTGGAAATTGGGAAAAAAGGTCTTCCACACATCGACAGTGATCAGAATGTTGCGGCACATGTTGGAGTTGAAGAGCACAGATGATTCTGCACGGGACTTTTCCTTTTAATACAACTTCATGGGTGGGTGGAATGAGAAATTTATTGCCGATCTGCCTTCGGGAGCGCCTGGCCACTGTCCAATGTGACAATGTTGTGTGAAAGTTTGCAAATTATTTCTCTTTCCAACGCACAAAGTGATATAACGATGCCACAGGAATGTTATAAATCGCGACTTAAGCTGTTCTCAATTCTAAAGAGTCATTCTTATGGGTCTCTAAGTTATTTTCAAAATTGTTTTCAAACATTAACCCTTGAGTGGTGTTGAATTGTCCGGCAAAATGGCGTAGCGTGAAGTGGTAAGTGCATTGTTATTATGTAGTATTAGGGAATCTGTAGAATTTCGCCCAGTAAATTCACGATTCATCAATCTAATGGAAGTGTAAAAATGCAGAAATGCTTTTTAATTTCACATCATTGTGTGACTACGCCACTGAATTCTGGCGTCGATTAAGAGAAAATAAATTTATTGTACCTGATATTATATGAGTATATAATAGTTTAAGCAATTCATTAACATATGTCGGCTTCTGATGATTTGTCACTAATTGAGCCATTTGGTCTTATTTTAGAATCCTCGTCAGACTCTGCATTTTCACAACACCACTTCTACCCTCTCAGAGATAAGGTGAGTAATTGCGCACCAGAAGCAGTGCAAGATGATCAGAAGGCAAGAGAATCCACACATTTACATAACGTTAATCATCTAACCAGGGGGAATTGCATAAGTCCGACATTCACGAGAGTGAAACACTCGAGAACTATAATGGGGGTGTATTGTGAAATATTGGTTAACTTTTCAAGGGAACGGATTTTCATCCTTAATCTCATGGCATATTTCGAAATGCTCAGTTGTTTATTGCTCACGAATATTTCGTGGTGCCCTCACTCTGTTTTCATAATAAAATGGGTATAAGAATAAGTTCAAACCCGCCATTGAAGCCAGCATTTCTGTTTACGATTCGCATTGGACGCGTGCCAGTGAGGAGTGAAAATAAATTTTACATGATCACGTACTCTCACTTGTTGGATGTAATCATTCATTCGAGGGGGCTGCTGCTGCTCACCTGATTGAGGATCACGCTGGCCTCCTCCTGGGCCTCTGCCTGGTAGTCTCTGGTGAGATGTGGCGAGAAGCTGGCGCTGGACGGTGGCCGCGGCGACAGCTGGGGCGCTTCGTAGCCCCCGTACTCATTGAGACGTGGAAATACTGTTTGGGGCAGCGAGTCGTACGGGGATTGAAGCCTCGCTCCGGCCGGGGACACATGTCTTCATGAGATGCGTCATGAGCCACACACAGCGAGAGATGCGATTTGAGAGGGAGAGAAATGGACACAGATATGATTAGGACGTGATCATGATGGCTGAACGCACCATCGAAAGCCGTGATTGCGTGAATTAAGCGTTAGCATTTTGTTAGATGACGCAGACACTGAGCGGCTGCGTTGGGGGTGGTTTTCTCTACCTGTAAGGCTGGCTGTTTGGAATTGGACTGAGTTGCGACTGTGAGACTGGGCTCAAGGGTGGAACGGTGGATGAGCATCTCGATGATCCATTGCTCAGGCTCTGGTTGGCCACCACATTGTTTCTACAGCATTCAATGGCATTAGTTTGATCGATTAATCCGTGCACTGTGCGTCACGATCTCTACATGAACTCTCTAAACTCATTCGCATGTGGCTGACTCACCTCTGAACGACGACTTTTATCCTGTTTCCGGCATTCTTGAAGAGATGCTGGGCATCCTCGTGCCTCAAGTCGCGACTATCGTAGTCCTGGATTTTTGTTATCATGTCCCCGCGCACGAGTTCGCCATACGCTGGACTTCCCAGTGTGACCTAATGAGAAATTGTACGCATGATTTACGACACGGAGTTGTTTGCTGATCAAATAAATACTTGTGAGGATGTTGAAATTTTATGTATGTAGAAGATGATCAAGAATGCATAGAATTGGGTTAATTGCTTAAGTTCATTTAATTGCCATCCCAAAAATAAATCTTTTTATTAAAACTTCCAGGAAGATTCACCTTTTTCACACACTTTATATTCTTCAGTGCCATTAATCATTGAGGTCATGATCTTCCCGGAACGCGATCATTGTGCCTTAGCAAATGCTTCGAGTCAAAAGACGAGAAAGAAAACATCAAGAGAGAAAAACAACAATTTTTCGGGAGCAATATAACGAAAATGCGGGGAAATTTGAGTCACAATATCACTCGTCGCCTGAGAAGAATTATTGCTCATAGAAGAGATCAACAACACTCTTCGTCGTCGTGATCTTATTTGAGGTTCCTAAAAGAAACATTCTTTTATATCTGTCTCGAAGATCTTTTTTCAGCTATTGTGAGTTACAGAAAAAGATCCACAATCGATCGATTGACGATCGGTGGTCAATGAAAAGCTTTAGCCAAAGTGTACTTCACGATCCATTTGCTGTGTGTGTCTCTAAGTGGGACATTGTTGTAAAATTCTTCTCACAAATTTCGTTCTCTTTTGGCGCATGTGTGCTTGAGATGATGAGAAGCATTGATATTTCGAAAGAATGCCTCTTATTTTGACTAAAAATCACAGTGAAAGTCACACTTTTGACTTTAGTTGCCGAGCCCTCAAGGAAAGAAAAGCGCAATTGGAGCGAAGTCAATTTGCAGAATTGTGCGCCTGAAAGCGTGTCAAGGTGAGTTTTCGAGGATGTTGGCCCAGTTGTAGGGCTGATTCTCAGCATTCGGCGGCTACCTTTGTGATGATCAGCGGTGTGTCCAAGTCACTGCCACCCACGAGACGGATTCCCCATGGAGTTTGGGCGCCGTCTCGCTGCAGAATCACCACAAATTCATTCAATTTGGGACTCATTTGTCCCCTCGACTGTTTTCCTGACTCAAAAGTTTAGAGACGCTAAATTTAGCCACACTTCGACAGACGGCAAATTTTTGGCGAAAATTAATCACTTTTCCACAGCAACTGCCAAAATTGCAACACTTCTTGCAAATTTTCCCGGATAGAGAATGAAGAGAAGAACCAGAAATGAGCGAAGAAAAGAGTTCACTTTTTCAGATATGAGAAGAAGAAAATAAAATTGCACGATCAGAGTGAAAGAAAATTGGTCGAATCGGAAGAAAGTATCAGTTCAAAAGCTGCCAGTGTACTAATTTGAGAATCTTCCCTCTCTGCAACATTCACTCTCTTGATCAGATGAAGAATCCACGTGATTGTCGGACAGAGATGGGACTCACTGAGGAGGCGCACAATTGCATTTCTCACTCCCTCCGTCCCATTTACTCCGTCAGTGGCCAGAAATGCTATGGCAATTTACTATTTCGACTCATCTTTTTAGTGGCAGAAGAGCCAGGAAGTGGCGATCACAGTATTTGTGTCACAGTCTCAGTAAAATACGAGAGGATTTTCGATGTAAACATTTGAACTTTCACTCTTTTTTCACTCGTTTGTGGGATAGAGAAATGTTAGTGCCATAATTTCATTTGATTTATAATCATGCATGATCATGAGTTTTGATATTTGGCAAAGAAGAGAACATCTCACGGATGTTTGAAAGCACCAAATGGGCCAGAGATCAACGTATTCTGCATTTCTTGGAAAATTCTTAACCGAAAAGAATGCCGAGTGGAGAGAAAAATCATTAAATGTTATGGTTTTTCGTTCCACGAATTCTGTGAAAGTCAGAGTTGATAGTGATTAAGAGTGTGATGAAAAATTAATGAAATTATGCGGACTTTATTTAAGAGGGTAAAATAATTTCCATTTTAACATTAACCACGACGAATAGCTAAATCAATCCAATTATTTCCCCCAGTTCTGCCCTCAGTCTGACCTGAAATGGTGTAAATATTGTAAAGAGAAATGGATAATATTGCCGAAAAGTTTACTCTGCACAATATTTTCCGTCAAGATCATAAGCAGAAACACCGCTATTGTTGAGAACTTCATTGTTCGCAATGTGCTATTTAGTGAGAGTCTAAAATGTATCTTTTATACAAAAACCAATAATTGCGAGCGAAATTAGAAATTTAATTACGATTTCACATTGATAAGACTTCTATGTACTGCGAACACTTTAATAAAGTGTAATTTGTAAATTTCATTCTTATTTCCCATTTACATTTGCATGTTTTATCAACTCCACATTTATAGTTCTTTTTCTTATGCTTTTAAACTTCAGTTCAACAACCAAAGCACAAGAAAATTTTGGCATCCAATGTTGAGAAACTCAAAACCCACCCACATTTCATGTTTACAGTGATGGTAGAGTGAAATTCTGGATCAATTTCCCAAACGATCGTTAAATTAATCAATGGACTGGGAAGGCAACCAGGCGCCTCCATTGTCACAACACTTCAACAGCGTCTTCCGGCCATTCTGCCTGCCGTTAGGCGAATTGCGCGCGAATCACGAGTGAACATCGCGTTAGTTGGGGAAAACGTTGGAAAAATTTTTATTGAAAAGTACATTGTGTAAAATTGGGAAAGATCTGCTAAAAATAGTGCCTGAATCGCGCCAGAGATCGGGACAAGTGTTTCAATTGCGGCGTAATTTGAGTTTTTCGGTGGGATCATTTAGAGCATGAAAAGTGAGACAAGGAGAAATTGACATGACTTACGGCCTCATCGACAAATTTCACCCTCTTCTTCTGCGAGCGCGTGCTGAAGATCACCTCACGCGGGTCACTCTTGCTGTGTGGCACACGCCAGAAGGCCGGTCGCTGGTAGGACATTGCTGATGGGGGAGAGACACTAAAAAGGGCTTCACAGCACGAGCAATCAGGATCAACTTGTGGTGAGAATCACTGGGAGTCTGCGGATTGACGCACGTTCAGACGCTCTTCGGGTATGTTTGGGACAACTCACTCGGCCGCTCGAGAGAGTGAATCGTTCTACCACATGACGAAATTTATTGGCAAATCGAAATATTTGTTTTCATTACCGCTACACTGCCAGAAATCTAAGGGTTTTTGCTCAATGAGTGCCTCTTTTGACTCTTTCAGTATCTGCGCATTGATCTTCAATCCCAAAGACCGCATCTGTTCTGCCTATCCTTAATCATCAGGACATTCGCATGGTGTACTGCAAATTTCTTACAGTGTAGGTAACACAATACCATCTCGAGTCTTTGTGCCAGATTTTTACAAACGAAATTTTATCACAAGAAGTGCTGAGGAAAGTATTTTAATTGTTGTCAGGCGAAATGACAAGGCGTAGATATCAAGAAACATGTTTTCTCCCATCTATTTTAAGAGCATCTTCTTCCTCCCAAATGGCTCCACTGACCCCTTCAAAGTGCTCTGCTGAAAAAATGTGTCTCAGACTTTCCAACGTGCTTTTTGATCTCCGCCAGTCGAATTAATTATGCCCAGATAATTGTCCATCAATTCTCTATTTTGAGGCATTTCTCATGTCATTTGCCATGTGGAATGCCAGTCAGGAGGAGGCATAAAAAAAATAAGATAACATGAATGTAAATGAAAGTTTTTTATCTCAATAGTTTTGGCCCACGATTTTGAGAGACAAGCGAGACATTTCGCCACTGTGGGAAAAATCTCACGAGTCTTTCGCATAGTTTTACCCTTAAAAACCACTTTCGCCTCTGCAAGAATATAATTGAGGTATTTTTAGAACGCGAAATCACACCCAATTTACTCATTTTGCTCATCAAAACGATGCCAAAAAGTGCGAAGGCATGTCAAATGGTATTTTGTAATTTGTCGCTTGGCATTCCAAAATATATTCCTTGATATTTCGATAATTTATTGAATGATGAACTTCACATTAAATGCATTGATTTCTACTTCCGCTCCCAAAAAATATCGATTGAACTGAGTGTGTAAATTTAGTGTTTGAATTCATGTATGGACAAATTAAAGTCAATTTTCCGCATCATAAAAAGTCTTTAATGACATATCGTGAATTTATTATTATTACTGTAATTACTTTACACGCATTTATTTGAAGCGTGATTTTTGAAAAATTAACAAAAATATATTGATATAAATGAAGTATAATTACGACAAAAAAAATTCGCAACAAAACAAGCAATAAATTAATATTTACAATATATAAAAAGTAAAATTCTTCTCCAAAACTCCCAGAGCGCCAAATATTTCGTGAATTTCGAATATGTCTTGCGATGAATTTTATCTACAAAATTGCAGGCGTTAAGGATATTTTAAGTGAGTGTTAATTTTAAATTGTTCTATGCTTGGAATTATTTTAAAGTTCATATATTTATGGTAATTGGCGTTAATAAATTTACATTATTTCATGCATCACTCGTTGTAATTATTTTTTATAATTAGTATTAAAATGTAATTTCGTACTTTTGCATATAAACACATTTTTTGTGTGAAATTCCCAGTTTTGTGAGTTTCCTGCTCGCCTCAACAAGAGCTTGTGAATTGATCATAAAATGTGGATTTTCTTTGCAATTTTGAGTATTGCCATAATCATGGCTGCTGGTTAGTCCAAACATAAAGTTTATTTCCCGTTTTCTTCAACTATACTATGTGAAAAAACTTGTTGCAGATCCGCAGGAAGAAAGAGCTTGGACTACAATTTACAATCCCACTAATTGGGGTGATTGATAATTGCTATTTGAATTTGAAAATAAATCTATTTGATTAGTATTATTTTCAAAAATTTTCTTTTTCTGTCGTGAGTTCAGATTTGATGCCCAAGAAGAGAGACTGTAACTCTTCTCTGCCAGGAGGAAGAATAAAAACAATCACTGTGTGTATTTCATTATATTTTATTTGTCGTTTTCGCTGGTTTTTTTTAAATAAAATAATTCAATGGGATAAACAAGAAAATGAGAGATGAAGAAGAGCTAACTTAGGCCATCAATAAATAACTTATTCGTACTGGTAGTGCGTCTTCTGGGCCTGAGGCTGCTTGTAAGACGCCGCTCCGGAGTACTGCTGGTGGTTGTTGTGATGGCGATGATCGCTGAGGTGTGGCGGAGCTGGTGTCTTCACGACAATGTCCGTGGGCTCACGCACGACCTCAGCCTTGAAGCCCTCCTTGGGGTCCGCCGTGTACGTGACAGTGCGGATGAAGCCGTCCGAGTCCACGACGGAGTAGCTCCCCTTGATGACACCGCCATCCCTGATCTCCTTGCGGTTCTGGTAGTTGGTGTACTCGTCGTCTTTCACGTCGAAACCGAACTGGTAGGAAGAGTTGAACTGCAGGGCGGGAGGAAATCAATTTTAGAGCTGGAAGCATTGCACAATTGAGGCGCGACAGATGCCTGATCTCCACCCACCGCGAGATCGAGAAAAAGTGGCCAGGCATAATGTCGCGATCATGTAACGATCTCACGAGACCTGTTTCTGGTCTCTCAATCCACGCAGCGCGCATTTCAATTCAGTGAAAGTCCAGGTTCTCAAGCCCCACTTTGCACAATGTTGTGCTCTGTGTTGGCTTTTTGCAAAGAATTTAACTCTGTGCTGATCTTGGGCGATCTTCTGGTATTGCAAAATATTATGAGGAAAATTCCGCGAACGCGCGATATTGTGAATGAAAGGGAAAGTGATAAATTTATGTAAAAGATCTGGCTGATCAATTAATGAACACGACTCTCCGTGGAAGTTCAATGGTATATTCAAAATATACTCGCGATTGTGGTGTGCAGAAAAAAAACATGGAAAGAAATTAGCATTAAACGCCCGAGCTTGATCACACAGCTGAATTACTTTGCTTTGCCTCCATCGAAAGTGTAAGTCAGTGAGAGTTGAGCGATTTCACGCGAGACGCGCGGGGAGTGATCTTCGGCGGATACTTACATCATGGTCTTCCGGTTCCTCGTCTTGGTAGGATGGACGATGGTGGGAGGTCTTCCCGGATGACTTGTAGCCGCCGCTCTGGGGACTACTCACGTAGTGGAGCTGGAATAGAGATCATTGATCATGTGAGGTGAAAACCAGTTGAGAAAATCTCTGCCGAGTCAATGGCTTTATCGCTTTCCCCGGCGTGATAGCAAGAGTTGACGGTCAACTGCATAATTGCCACCAGGCAAAGGTTAAGGTTTCACTGAGATTACCTGTTGCTGCTGCGGCTGCGACTGCTGCTGATGATACTGCCGGACAGTGGGTGACACATAGGCTGTCTTGGGCTGAAAGAGGGTCAATGTGAGGTTGTATTGCAAAAGGGGAATTCACTCGCATCCCTTACAGCTTGCGAGGGGTGTGAGTAGTGCGGCGAGACGTCCTGGTTCGAGGGTTCGTAGATGGGTGTGGCGTCGCCTGAGGACTCTCCGGCCTGGTTAGCCTGGGCCAGGTGTGCGTAGTACTGTCGCAGATAGGCAGGATCCACTGTGGTCTGGGCCTTTGGCCGTGGTCGACCAGCAACCGTGGCGACAATCACGAGGAACGTGGCGATTTGGAAACTCTTCATTTTCTCACTTTGAGACGCGTTGGCACGATGGAAAACAAAGCACTGGATCCCCAAGAACAACTCACCTAACTTTTATATTGCAAGTTCACACAACCCCCAACAAGGCACGAGCACAGAAAACCGTGTGAGCTTAATCCAATTATCCAGGCGATACTCAAATGTTGAACTGGAACGGTGTCTGTTTTATAGTGGTGGCCACTTTCGACGTTCCACGCGAATCTTGGTGGGGAAAATTGTTACAAGCGCCAAGTCAGCTATCACCGAAGTGGAGAGACCATCGAGAAAAACGGAACACACCCACCTTTTTGGACACTGTCGACGGCTACAGACTCCTCAGCATCCCGCGCAAAGGCCAGCAAAAATCTGCGGCGCATTAGAAGAGGGCCGGAGATTTTCAAGGTGACGCCCAGACAATATGGGCATTCTTCTTAATGCCAAGAGGCCAGAGGAGCCCAAGAAGAGAGAGAAAGATCAATTGCTCAGCTGGATGAGGTTTTGGGGAGCTCTTTGCTGCATGAATGCTTAATTACATAATTTGCAAGCCATTGAATTTTTTCCACCTCAGCCTCAACGTCAATATATTCCCCAAATGCTCCCATGAGAATCGCGTGGAGGAAATAATCATATAACCATCTCTCAATTTTCATATACAGCCAAACTCTAATAAAAATGTGAAAGGTCTTAAACACTTTTCGACGCTATGATCTTGATGAATTTATAAAATAGAGTTTCCCCACTTACCTTTCCTCCATTCTCGCCATTTCTTCTCTCTGGTTGCAATTTTTTTTGTTATTCTGCACACTGACCTTATCAAAAGAGTCCAAGCATTCCGCCACACGAGACCTTTCTTAATAGCTCTGCTGTGCCATGAAACGAGAATTGGCCAATTAAACAAATCTTCCTCAAACTTTCGACACTTTTATTTCCCCAGCAACAAAAAGAAACACAGCATCTGGCCCACATTTCTCCATACAAAGAGACAATGATCTTCCATCTAGAATTACATCAATTCTGTCGTTTTTATGCAACGGTCCAACAAGATAAAATTGACAAAGTGATTTCATTATATAAGACTCGGGTCAGGCGTATCAGTTGGTCATATCTTTTGCATAATGCCTCACCGGCCGGTTTTCTCAGCAGAACATGACCTAGTCTCTGAGGAAAATTCTCTCTGTGTCTCTCTTTTCTCCAAAAATCCGTCAAATTTATGATCATCCAATGCAAATTGACAGAGAGCGCATGAAGAAAGTTGGGTAGAATTTTATAGCTTTGCTTGTAGAACAAAGTACAGTACCGGCCAGGGTAATTACACACAGAACGGTGGTCAACGTCTCTAGAATGCTGATTTCGAAAGGGATTTGAATTACTCCAAAGCATATATCTTTTATTTCAGAAGCATCAGAACAATTTCCATACAATGAAACCAATGAAACCTCTTGAGATGGATGAATTTTGTGAACATCCACTGTATTTACAGACCGCCAAATCCCCAGTAAATTGATGAGCCGTGGAATATTAAAGATGCAAGTTGACCTGAAGATTCGTGAGGTTCAATGTCATGAGGTGGCTTCTTCAGCTGCTTAAATTGCGGACATCGCGGTGCGGTGAAGAGTTGTTTTTATTGCATTTAACAACTCTCAAATATCCACCATTTTTTTTTCCTAGCTCCAAGAGATTGTATAGATCAGTATCGTGTGGATGTTTCTAGGTCAGTTTTCAACGTCTCTCTCTGCGTCGCGACATTTGAGATGGAATCAGGCATTTGTGGTTGATGCAGATCAGAAATTTTTCGGATGCATTTGACGGATGAGTGATTTCTCTGCTGTGGTAATTGAATAATATTGTTATCTCACTAATGGACCTAATTAAGTACTTTCACCTGTGGAGATTTTTCTCTCGCAGATCACTGATTTTGGGCGATTAGGCGTGGCGATACTTGTGACCCACATGGTGGCGAACACCCCACTTGAAGTTGGCATTCTTATCTGTCTTCACGAATGTGAACACCGGTCCAGTCCGTCCGCCGTGCGATTCTGGGAATTGCAATGGAGATTAGCTGGAAAGATCACAGTGCCATTTAGACCAGCGTGATCACCTGCATGATTGCCACAGATTAATACAGCAATGATAATTGCCAACACATAACCAATGAACTTCATCGTGCCCAAACACTTCCGAAGAAATTCCTCGCGCGCCAAGTACTGAAAGGTCTCGAGATCTCCCTCAGCATATTTATACAAATGGTTCTCGTCTGTTTTTTCTTTGTACCTTTCAGTGGGTCTGCAACACTTTCTTCTGCGGTTGACAATTGCCCAACTGCTGAACCATGAATCCAATGATCGTGTGAGATCTGCAATCAACATGACTCTGTATCTCACTTTGGTGGGGACAAATTTTGCTGTTCACAAATGTCCATTGCAAATGCGCCGACAAAAGAGAGAAAAATGCATTGCGCGATTGGAAATCGACATAGACAGACAAGTTGAAAGTTTATTGAACTGTTTAATGGCTAAATTGAAGTGCACGGAAGTTTTTCATACTAATACTTATTGTCTTGCGGTAATTCGTGGCTTTTTCAACGCCCTTTTTGTTACCCCGTCTCGTAATTCACTGCAAAAGGTGTTGAAGAGGAACTCGATTGTCCATTTGGTTTATTCCTCTATAGTGAAACTTTTACATTTTCCCACATAAACATACTGGTTTTCTGTAGATTACTTTAGAGAAATTCAAAACATGAAATGCAGATTTATATATTTTAACCTCGTAACTTAGGTCCTTATGACTTATATTATGGCATAAATTGCAAACTTTCAAGCAAATATTATCTTATACATTCGTGTGAGCATTCTGCGAATCTCACAATGCCTTTCTGTCTTCTCTCACTCTAAATATAATGATATTAATGCGTGAAGTCGCAAGCCATGAAGAAATCCGTGACATTGTGCATTGGAATGCGAAAAACCACCTTTATATTTGGTTAAATCGAATTTACTTTTGTCCATTCTTTTCACCTGACACCGCTTTTCTACCCAATAATTCGCTGCAGCCACAGGAGATCTCATAAATAGGTGATCACACGACACACGAACGTTCAGTTCTTGTGTGGTAGGAGAAGAGAAAATATATCCATTGTATTGTGTGAGGGGGAGGAAAATGATATAAAATTTAATATTTTGCCTGGGGTAAATCAAGCTGATCATCATAAAAATGCCTCACGCGCTGTGGCTAGTGATCTCACTGTCGGTCATTGGAATTGTGACATGCAATCCAACCACTCTGCGTCCACTGTATGGACAGAGGTATGAGGAAGAGGCCCTGCCGCCGATCTACAATAGTTTGAGTGATGTGCAGAAGTATCCACCGAGTGAATACACGGAGCCCATCTTCTTGCCTATTCCCGCCAAAAATTACCACCCCCAGAAGACGCACGAGACCTTAAGCCGGGAGCCGAAAGACTTCAACCCTCTGGACTTCAGTGCTTACACAGTGAGACCCAGTAGAAATTCTAAAGCTGAGGAATCCGAGGAAGTGACTGAGAGTTCCAGGGAAAGTACAGTGACAAATGCTCCGCCAAAGGACTTCCCAATGCCCAGTTATGTGACGTTTTATGGCAAAATATTGCCTCGAATTGAGAAACTACCGGATAACAGACCTCAGCCTTTGATAGCTCCTCGGCCAAAGCCTCGACGCTCTATGAATCAATTCCTGGGAAATCCTACAGCCATTCCGCTAAGGCTGAAGAATGATGAATTGAGAGCCAATAAGCAGACAAAGTTCAGGGATGTAGAATTTATCCATCCGACAGTTGGCAGGGCTCGAGATGTGGACAAAGCTCGTCTGATTCAATTTGAAGACACCACGGAGAAAAATCAAGATTTAGAAGGTGAGAAGTTTTCAATAGAAAATGCATTTTTTTTTAAACTAAACCCTCAATTTCAGTTGAGAGAGAATTGACAAAGAAAATCCTCTACGACGATGTATTTTACCATCCGGAAAGCAAGAGAAAACATAAGAGAAAGACACCCAAGTTGGCATCTTATAAGAATCCCAAGAATAAGCCTAATGACGGAGATTTCTCATTTATTGTCTTCACCGGTGACAAAAATGGGGGCAAGAGCTTGGACAAGAGTGCAAAGCTCAGGAGTCCTTTGAAGAATTTTCCGGGAAAGAAACGAGAGCGAGGAATTATCACTAACACGACTAAAGTGTATTATAACTTTGAGCACACTCACAAGCCGAATAAGCAACAGGCGCAGGCGTCGGATCACTACGAAACAACCCTTCCCAATCCTGAACTCTCAGACGCCACTGAGAGATATTCTTCCAAATATCGCACACCAGATTGGGAAATCCTCTCGGATGAGAAGGAATACTCTGGCCAACAGCGACCACCCTTTCTTCCCACTGTTCTCACACCACTGGTGAGAATTGAGAAGCCCCAAACTGATGACTACCTTGACGATCAAAAGGAGGCAAATAGTGATAAGTCTGAGAAGCAGAAGAACAGAGATTCAGACGATGTTCAGCAATACTTTCAGTGAGTATATGTGGGCAGTTTCAGCCTCAGTCATCATGTGTTCCCTTCCCACTCTGTCCAGGGATCTTTTCCGCTTCCAACTGGAGCCTGATGCCATTGAATTTGGGCATGTGATGGAAAATCCTCGTCACTGGGAGGAGCGTTATGAGCGAAATGACATGAAAAAGCATCGGCATCAGGGAAAAGTTTGTTAACTTTTCTCAATACTTATCCTTTTTCCCACCTTCACTTTTCTCCACCTTTTGAATGTAGCAAAAACACCGTAGAACAATTAATTCTTGTGACTAATGAAGCAAATATTCTCTTTTTGCATGAAATCACATCAAGATTCGTTAATGTACTAGGACATGATGGTAGTTATAATGCTGGTGCACGGAAAGGAAATGATAATCACTTTGTAGAATCTTTTGAGCGCAAGGGAAAGGGGAAATTTCAGAGAAAAGTATTTAATCTTGGTTTAGAAATAAGATGCTTGTGACCATTCTTGATTAACGTGAATTCTTCTCTTCCCCTTTTTCACAGGTTCGCTGGGGCGACAAGGAGGGTGGCTACGGCGAACACGTCTGGGATCTGAATCATCACAAGGAAGCAAAGTCCGCCTGAGAGAGAGACAAGAGTGATCTTAGAGTAGAGAATTTTATATACACACACACGTAGGGACAATTAAAGAAGAATGATGAAAAGTGTTTGGATTGTGTTTGATTTTGGCGCGAAGGGTGATTCCGGAAGGCCCCTATGCGTCTACCTGTCATGGTCAACATACCGGTCAGACCGGTTTCCAGGATGCCGGATCACATGAGGGTATTTTGCGTCCGAGAGAGTGATAAACAATCTCGTGATGTCTTTCCCATGAAAAGGGGTGACCCGGGAATGATCAAAATGTGTCACATTGACCCTTTGTGTAGACAAAAACCGGTTGTGACCATTCTCAGTGGACCCTCTTCCCCGGGGCCGAAGGGTCGTCGGTCATGGGAATCTCCTCTAGACTCAATAAATAACTCTGGTCATTCCCATCCGAGACACTCTCTCGGGTCAATAGCAATCTTCTTCTATGCTAATAGAAGACCCTCACAGAGGGAGAGGGTTGAAAACCGGACTGGCCAGTTTCGTCGCGTGAGAATTGACGAGAACAGGACTTAAATGCACTTGAAGGATATGCAAATGAGGATTCACGGAAGGGTATTTTGCTAATCTCACATTCCTATGAATTCCATGCCAGCAGTCATCATCATTTCTCTAAATCTCTCCGCATTCGCTCAACTCACGATCGGACAAGGGGATGCGCTCAGGAGTCTAAAGGACACGCAATTGCCATTAAGAGTTTGACTATCACGACCATTGACACTGATGAGAGAGTGGAAAATTATTTTCTCAGACGCGTGTAGAGGAGATGCACGATGTACACGTTATCAGTGTAATTAGAGATAGACCTGAATTATTATCATTTCAGCAATACCAGATGGATTACCTGAACAGAGGCGAATTTATGGAAAAACATCGGTGAAATAATAATAAATAAAATTTGTTTCTGGAAGTCTTCATGTGGCATTTTAGCACGTTTTAGTCTTAGTCTAGCACAATGTGCTTGGGCAAATTTTTCTTAGACAAATAATTTCTTGCTTTAGTGATCATACTTTTTCTATACGTAATTTACCTGCCAATCAATAAAACAAGTGGATTCCAATGGATGAAATTGATTATCCATTCATTCTTACGATTAATGTGGCTTTTGTGCATGCTATTTCGTCAATAAAGCTAGCGAAAAACGACTATAAAAATTACGAAATCTCCGCTTAGTTACGAACAATTGTGCAAAATAAATTCATGAGCTCTTTTTACCCGCCACTTTAACATCACACTCTTTGCCCATACGCAATATCTGTAAATTGTGCATTATATTGTTCAAATAACAATTAACACAGCAAATTAATGGCTATACTTTCTTACCCATTAATTTGCCATTGAGACTGACGACTGATAAGAGAATCTCTATTACCCAAGTCCAGCTCTTTTGGCTTCTGAAGACGATCCGTTAAGCCATAGTGATAATTTCGTCTCTGTGGCTCAGTTGAAAATTGGCATTTGACGAGAGTTTTGTGCAGTTCTGTCTCTGTTGACTGTCTTTTAGCCCTGTGATTGCAATCCTAGAATGGCTTTTCACTTTAGTAAATCAATTACAGTGTTTATGTGCATGTCCCTGTCACTTTTGGTTTCTGCACAACTTTTTCCAGTCTCAATTATCCACCTCAACGATTTTCACGCACGGTGAGTGTGCATGAGAGAAATACACTTCCGCTTCGCAATTATAGCGGCAAATTCGCGAAAACATCTCCTTGACCTTCACCAGGTTCGAAGAAGTCAACAGTAATTCCGGCACGTGCAAGCCCGAGGAGGGGGAGGTGTGCATTGGGGGCTATGGCAGGGTCGTGACCACCGTGAAGAGACTGTTGGAGGAGAAGAAGGACTTGAATCCCATCTACTTGAATGCCGGCGATAACTTTCAGGGCACTCTGTGGTACAACATTCACCGATGGAATGTCACCAGCTACTTCCTCAATCTCCTGCCCGCGGACGCCATCACGCTGGGCAATCACGAGTTTGACCATCAAGTCGCGGGCGCCGTGCCATTCCTGGAGACCATCAATTCGCCTGTTCTCGTGGCCAATGTGGACGCTTCGGAGGAGCCGACTTTCGATGGGAAATTCAGAAAATCTCTAGTCATTGATAAGTATGAGAGGAAGATTGGCATTATCGGCGTAATGCTACAGACAACTCCGGTAAGTCTAAATCACCCTTATCTCCATGGATTCTCACTGTCATGCTTTATCTGGACGAAGTGTGAGAGATATAAGCTTTTGGGATATTATTGATTGATGAGTGAAGATCGTGGACGGTTTTGTTGATATTTTTGTGTGAACTTGAGGGGCTAATCACTTCATTTGACGGAACATTTTCCACTCACTGATTTTCATGTCCAATAAATTCCAATAAATTGGAATTAATATGTATTGCCGCTTGAGTAATTATTTAATTCGAAAGTTTCATACTTGTTAAACCATCTCTCTGCAGAATATCGCCAGCACCGGAAGATTGAAGTTCACGGATGAAGCCACTGCGGTGCGAGAGGAGGCGGCGAAGCTCAAGAGCGAGGGCGTTGATATTATCATTGTCCTGTCGCACTCCGGACTGGATGTTGATATCAGGATCGCTGAGAACGGAGGCCCGGATATCGATGTGATCGTCGGAGGACACAGTCACACATTCCTGTGGACAGGAGATGAATCTCCTGGTCCTGATTTCCCCCGCGGAGAGTATCCAACCATCGTGCAGCAATCCCAGCACGGAAATAGAAGAGTCCTGATTGTTCAGGCGTCAGCATATACGAAATATTTGGGAGACATCACGGTGTATTTCGACGAGGCTGGAGAAATCGCAGACTATAGGGGAGCGCCTATTTATTTGGGTCCCGAAATCCAGCCTGATCCTGTGATTCAGGCGGAATTGATCCCCTGGAAGACGGTCGTGGATGAGGCGGGATTGAAGGTTGTTGGCTACTCAAAGATTGAGATCACGAAGCAAGGATGCAGCGATGGAGAATGCAATTCTGGAAATCTCATCACTGATGCTTACGTGCATTCCTACGTGACTCACTATCCCAAGCCCGAAAATGGCTGGATTCGCGCTGCCCTCAGCGTCACAAACACTGGAGGAATTCGATCTCTGCCCTCAACTCCTGGCCCTCTAAACTACGGAGATCTCGTGGCCATTATCCCGTTCGAGAACACGCTGGATTCACTGGAACTCCGTGGCAATTTTGTCAAGGATATGCTCGAGTTTGCCGCCACACAGTCGCTCACGTGGCTCCAAGTTTCCGGGATGCGGATCGTCTTCAACATGACAATGCCAGTGGGCGAAAGAGTTTCCTCCCTGCATCTCCTCTGTGCCGACTGCAGCGTTCCCAAGTATGAACCACTGGAAATGGACAAGATGTATCGGTTTATAATGCCATCCTTCCTGGCCGGTGGCGGCGATGGATTCTACGTGGTGTCGGAGAATAAGCAAAACCATGTCGTTGGCCATATTGATATTGATGCCTTCGAAGAGTACGTGGCCAAGATGTCACCCCTAATCAACCCCGTCACTGGTCGGATAACCGTTGTAACGTGAGGAAAAGTCGTTGGAAAGCTGTGCGGAAATTATATGAAGAATTTTTAACACCTGGAAGTCTGTTTATCCCCGAAGAGACTGTTAGAAATGCAAAAAATAATTTCCAACGATGCCTTTCCTTCATGCTCAAGACACTCTCCTTGACATCCTTGTTGACATCCCATTGGTGGAAGGAATACATAAGGGTTCCCCGCTCACAATGAAAACACCTTTCAGGGGTGGAGAATAGTCCTTTTAAACTTTAAATGGCCACCGAAGCCGGCATTTAAATGCCTTGAAGATCGCAGTCTCACAGCGACCTTCACCTTTGATAGTTTAAATATCCTTTTTCCCGTGTGTGCCTTCGAACTCAGTCAAGATTCTGTATCCATACAAGAGATCCATCAAGAGGTGTAAGTAAAAACCCATGCCATTCAACCCAAAAAGGACACTTTATTGAGCACACAATTTGGATTGGAAGCTTCTTTCTGTAAAATCAAAATCAATTGGGCAGGGATTGGATGGGGTTATGCAGCATTTCTTTTTTAAGCTTAAATACTCCATTCGCTTTTTCAAGCAAATGAAGTTCGTTCGTTCTTCTGGAGATTTCATGTCTTTCTTTTTATTTCAATTGCAATTTCTTGATTTACTCTGGTTCATTCATACGGAGTCGGGCAAAGTCTTCGAAGACAATATTGTCATCATCATCGGCATAGTGAGAGTTTTCATAGCGATGACGCTCGATGGACTTCATTTTCTTCATGGCATTCACGCGCTCCTTCTCAATGGTCCCTGTGGAATTGGAGGTGTTAGTAGAGTTGGTTTTTAGTGAACACATGCTTGAGAATTCTTACCTGGGGCCGGGTTAAGAAGTTTGAAAGGCACATCGGTGACAAGCTCGCCTCCGAGGCTTCCAGCACTGACTTTGACGCGCAGAGAGTAAGAGATGACGATGCCCATGGCGTCTGAGGGACTCTTGCCCTCGCAAATCAGCGTGGATGAAGCCAAGTTCACGTCGTCATCCTTGAGATGGCCATCAAGAGCGATTCCACGGCGATCCTTGTTGCTGGACGCCAGAGGAACGAGGTAGAAGGTCTTGGTGAAGCTGGCTCCGGGCGTGATGGGGCATCCCTCGCGGGTCTCCAGCGAGGCGACATGCTTGCTGAACTGAGCATTCACCATTGTCACTTCGCAATGCTGCACCACGAACACCTTGATGTTCTTCACCGCCTTGCGGGAGTTGTTGGTGATCAGCACGTTGGCGGCAATCTTCTCGCCATGATAGTAAGTCTCGCGGTCCAGCGTCACTTCCAGATTTATCTTGCCCTGGGAGAACGTAAATCCCTTGCTAACGAGCGAGCTGGGCAAGCGACGGCCACGAGTTGGCGGAGCGAATTGCAGCTTCTTCACCACGAGTCCCACTTGGCTCCTCTTGTGGTGCTTGTCATCCTCATTGTCGCCCACATAGCAGCGGATGGCATACTCGACACCCAGAGGCTTGCCTTGATCCTCCTCGCCAGCCTGGAGAGTGACTGAGCAGGGAGAGTTGTTGGGGAATTGGAAGGTGAAGGGGAAGGCGTTCGAGCCCAGCTTCTTCACAAGACGCTCCTGCGTGGGCGTCATCTCCATCTTCTGATTCACCATTGGCACAATCTGCTCCTTGGCAATCACCATCTCCTTGGAGAACTTCACTCCCATCACCTCATCCTCCTCGCGGCCGTAGCGATAGGTCGTGGTGAGCTGGCCGTAAATCTTCCGACCGCGCAAGTAGTCACTCTCCACCACTACGACACCGTCGATGGGATCGCAATAGTCCAGGTGATCGATGAAGTCGCGCTTCCCGAGGTACACCGTCATCTTCCCATTTGGGGCGGTTTTCTTAAACACTTTCACCGCAACAACCATATTTGCTTGATCTTCTATTTTTCACTGGCTTTAGAGAACTTTTAAGACGCTTTATGAAGGCTGGGGAGTTTCAACGTTGAAACACTGAAATCACCAGAAGTATGACACCATTCGGTTGGACTGCTCCTTATATACTACCCGACTTTGGCAACTTTTGGGGCTTCTCTTACGTGGAAAATCGATGGGGTTGATTTAATTTGCCTTCCTTGTTTTTACACACCTCACGGATTCCAAATGAGATTATTTCGTCACCAGAAAAAAACACACACCACGAATAAGGGTTGAATAATCGGCAGGCAACAGTCCAATTTATTGATTTTCCATGAAGGGCGTCAAGTGGAAAATTCTTTCACATCATCACCCACAGAAGCTTTGCAATTAGGTCGATTAAAGTAATATTGAACAGATTGAAGGGGACAATATTTAAGTAACTCATAGGGAAATCACAAAAAGTCCGTTATTCAGAGGCATTTCAAAATCTCATCTTAATTGGAATTTTACACACCACACAACAGGTGGCGCAACAGCAGTGACGTTCATCTGCTGAAAAATCCCACTTGAAAATAGAGATTCTGCATCAATATGCAAGGTTTTCCTGTGGTTACTCCTCAGCATTCCACTTAATTTTCACTGAATTACCACCTAAACTCGCCGTGCAATGCATAGGGAATAGATTTGTGCAATTACATCAAGTGGTAAGGCTGATTTTCCTCTTGCATTCTGGGCACTCTGATTTTCGCCTATCACACCCCAATTGCGTGGCTTTTTTATCACTCACCTGAGCAATTCTGCCACGGCAGATCATCCAGATTGCTAATCTGACGCCCTTGGGGTCTGTCATGTGGCCGGGTGGCTCGGGTGAGGCGGCAAAGTGGCCGCAGCAGGGCCACGAGTCGTGGTCAGTTTGTTTATGAAATCTCCATTTGGGGTGGCCTCTTCACTGTCTCTTTCTCTCGCATGTTCCGGCGCGGGACAACGCATAATTATCCAGTTGCCATGCCAACCTACTTGACCCCCAACCGGCATGGATACAGCGTGCGCTTCTCCAGGTTCAACGCCGACCGCCTCGCCGTGGCCACGAGTCAGTTCTTCGGGCTGGCCGGCGGTGGGACGCTGTTCATCCTGGAGCTGACGCCAGACGGAGGCATCCAGGAAGTGCAGTCCTTTCAGTGGAGCGACGGACTCTTCGACGTGGTGAGTAGAGAGGATGCTCATAATTTCCGCACAACTTGACTTACAGATAAAACTATTTATTATTAACTAAAATCGACCCGTAATCTATCGATTTGACCAGGAAATTCGACTGTGAAACTATTCTAATGGGCTAACTTTGCAGGTTTGGTCAGAAAGTCCGAGCGCGGTGATCACAGCATCCGGCGATGGCGGGCTGCAGCTGTGGAATGCCGACGTGGAAGGTCGCTCAACGGTGCCCCAGAGTTGCTACTCTGAACACCGGAAAGAGGTGTACAGCGTGGACTGGAGCCGGACGCGCCAGGAGCAGTTGATGCTGAGCGCCAGCTGGGACTGCACAATCAAGCTGTGGGATCCGCAACGGAGTGCCTCGCTGAGCACATTCCTGGGCCACTCGGAACTCGCGTACAGTGCCATGTTCTCCAGCCACATTCCCAACACCTTCGCCAGCGTGGGCGGCGATGGGTATCTGAAGGTGTGGAACACCCTGGGCCACCAGCGTCCCACGGCCGTGGTGAAGGCGCACGACGCCGAAGTGCTGTCGTGCGACTGGGCGAGATACGAGCAGAATCTGCTGGCCACGGGCGGCTCAGACGGATTAATCAGAGGCTTTGACCTGAGAAACTTCTCACTGCCGCTGTTCGAGCTGCAAGGGTGTGAATACGCTGTGCGGAGGATCAGATTCTCACCCTTCCAGCCGAACATCCTCGCGGCGGTGTCTTACGACTTCACGACGCGCATCTGGGACTTTCAGCGCACTCCTGAGGCCATCGAGACAATCCGGCACCACTCGGAATTCAACTATGGACTGGACTGGAACGCCTTGCGGTGCAACCAATTGGCGGACTGCGGCTGGGACTCGCTAGTGCACGTCTTCACGCCGCGATGCCTGAGTGGGGCGGCTTGAGTAAGTGTTAATTTGTATTGTGATGCCGGGAGGATGACCTCCCCAAGACATTCCTATTGCATGACACCGCGTGGTCAAGTGGACAAACGGTTTTTATTTATAGACGGTATCCTTTCTCCTCTAGAGTATCGTGAAGGGCAATAAAATATTTTCTCGAACCATGGTGATTGCTTCCTCGCGTGGCTCACGTGAGGGTTCAATGGAATTTCGTGGTGAGTCTGTGAACACCTCCCAAGACACTCGGGGACACTCCTTCAGGGAAATTTCCATTAACTCTGGCGCTCTGTCGACAATGTCCAACAGAGCCTCCGTGCTCAGTCCCGGACAGTTGATCATGCTGAGGCTTTGAAGGGTTCGCAGCCAAAGGTGGTGAGTGAGGAAGTCGTAGGAGAGATTCATGAAGCTGTTCAGCGTGAGCCGAGGCAGATTCCTCATCTTGGCCATGGTTCTCTGTGCTCGTGGTGTTAAGGTCGTGTCCTTGCTGCACTTCAGTTGTAATTCCTTGAGTTTCTTGCGTCTCAGCAGTTCAGCAATGGCTTGGAAGAGACTTTCGAAGCTCTTGTTCTTCAGATTCTCAAGTTTCAGCTCTTGCAGAGAGGTGAGATTGACCAATGACGAGCAGAACACGTGGTAGTTCTCATAATCTCCGTCCGGAAGGATGAGATGGACTCTCTGGAGAGTGGAATTGGCGCTGAAGCATTTGGAAATGTTAAGAAATCCGTCTCCAATTAAGTTTATGCTCAGATCCTGGACAGTTGTGAGAGCAATTAGGTAGTCGTGCGTAATGAAGCGACCGTAGATAATGATTGGACGCCCTATGCGGAGCTTCTTGAGATTTTCGGCGCACAGAATGAGACAGGAGAAGTCGCTGGCGATGGTTTCAGAGTGAGTGAGATATTCATCCACTTCCAGACACTCAATACTGCTCAAGAGTGGCAACATTCGGTACACTAGACTCAAGCTTACAGATACTTGATGCAGCTTGAGGCACTTCACGCTCAAACAGTGATCTGCGATGATCCTGAAGCACTCCTGATCACTGTTTCCCATCCCGAAGTACGTTATCTCACGAAGATGAGGACCGATGCGACGGAAGACATCCTCTTTGGTGCCTCCCAGAGATTTTTGCCACACAAACTTACGGATGAATCTATAAGCGTACAGTGCAATGTCATGGAAGCGCTGGCAAACCTTCTCCAGCGCCATAAGATCACGAATGGAGCAGCGAGAGAAGATCTCAAGGAGACAATCGTCGTTGAGAGTGAGAATGGACATGGCTCGCGCGTGAAAACTGCATCACAAAGACACCTCCCTCAGTTATATCACCGCCCAATCGATTGTTTATCTGACATTGATAAAAATAAATTAATTAGATTAATTGCATCAAGTTCATCGGCCATCGACATCGTTAGAATTCTTCTGTAAAGTGTGATTTTTGAATCGCATCCGCGCCTGAAGGTATGCAGAACTGGGCGTATAACAGTTTAAATGGCAATGTTGACAATTTGTGTGCTAAATGTATTGTTTTGGAAAGTCTTATCACCCTTTTCACCGTGATTTCCCAAAAATTCTCACCTGATTCTTCTCTTTATCGCAACCCGAATTGATCTCGCACAAGAAGGTGAGAAATTCTTTCTATAAATGAATGTTTATTGCTTATATTGATGTAAAAGTGCGCCAATATGCTTTTGAGGTTATATTTGTCCGGGAACCTTAATTGGAATTTACCCGGAGGAGAGTTTTTCTCTGGATTTTCGCAATTCCTTCTAGAGAATTGAACAAAATTCGGACTTCTGATTTCCTCTGTGAGTTTTTCCAGCCTTCTGAGCATCTGTCACTGAAATATAAAGGGAATTTATATGGTTGATATTCTGAATGCTGAATTTTGGAAATTAAATACTCACTTTCTTCCTCAATTCTGTCCACATTCTTGCAGGAAAACTCCTTCTTTGCATTCTTCAGGTCCTGCAGAACCTGCTTCATAAATCCCGGAGGTTTCTCGTCAAGCTTCTGAATCTCCTCGTCGTCTGGCTTGGAAGTCAGTGATGCTGTTGTTTCCTCATCTTCTGCGTCCTTTTCCGGGATTGGTGTTTTCCTCTGAATGGTCTCCACCATTCCCTTGAGATACTCCATCGTTTTGTCCTTCTCGTCTGACATTTTCCTGAGAGAGCGATCCTCCAGGCGCTCACCAAGGAGACTATCCACGAGACTGCCCTTGCGCTGCTGCTCAGCCGTGGTTTTATCCACGCCATTGTCTATGAAGCGAATCTGACCCTTGATGAAGTTCTCAACAGTCTCACCATTATTCCGGATGCACTGATAAATTTCTCCCTCGATGGGATCAATAATCTTCACCACTTTTATGTTCTCATCCTTGGCAAGTTCTTGCTCAACTTGTCGCTCTCTGGCCTTCTTTCGGTCTTCAGGGGTTTTCTTGGGCTCTGATTTGTGACTGGAATTTGAATCTTCCGATATAGAGTCTTTCTTCGACTGCACTTCCTCGTCTTTCTCGAGATTGCTCACGAAATCTTTGGAATCCAACTTTGTGAAGGTTTTGTTGAGATTATTGAGATTGTGGTCAGTATCGCCATTTGTCAGGGTGTCTGGGATTCTTTGTCTGGTGACAAAAGCCTTCTTTTCGTTCTTCACAGCATGAATAAGCATGTGATGGAGTCCTGAGGAGATCGCCAGGATGTCCATGGGCTTGAATTTTGTCAGTTCTCTGAAAGCCGACTCCTTTCGAATGTCTCTCGGCGAGGCCATGGTGGTGAAAAATCTCTGATCGTCTGTGAGGAAAGACATGGAATCCGCTCCAGTGGTCAGGAGCTTCATGTTCTCCCCATTGGGTGCCAAAGTGATCCTTTCGAAGAACAACTCTCTGAGTTGGGAGCACTTGTAGAGGAAATTGCAGCCTGTCAGCAGGAATATTTCATCCCTCGGTGAAATATGAATGGAAGTAATTCTGCATTCGGGCTGGAAATCCCTCAGTTGCGTCAATTCTATGTATGTCTTGCCACCAAAGTGTCCAACAATGTAGACAATGGACGTGTTACTGTTTCCTGCTGGTGAGGAGAGAGTTTGGACAAATATTTGTTATGAGAATTCTCACGCAGTGACGAGAAGTGTGTTTTCTCACCTGTGACGAGGAGGGTGAATGTTGAGCCACATTCCAGGATATATGGCTTAAACTTTTCATTAAGTTCAAAGGTTTTGAGGTCGCCAGGTGGTGTCTCAGTGAAATTCCCACAGATTAATAATTTGTCGCTGCCTAGAAGAAAGTGGGAAGTGAGAAAGAGAGAGAATCAGTCGTCCTCCTTTTCCCAATGAATTCACTGTTTGATTTGTGGCAAATTCCTCATTTAATATTGAGAAGCTCGACTTGATACACTTTGATGTCACAAACGTTCAAGCGAAGGAAGGATGTGTATGTCTATATATGGGGCAAAGGGAGGCATTTAGCTACTATTTAGATACATGATTTTCTCGGAAATTCACGTAATTTGTCACCACTAATGGATCCTTGTGCATAAACAAATAAAAAGTTGTCCCCTTGTGCTGAGTATTTGGCACGTGAAATGTTAATTATTTCAATATCTTTCATACATTAATATTCCTGAAGGGGTGTTTTAATTTAAGGATGGAAAAATTAGAGCTTGACGTTAAAGGTCATGCCTTATTGACGATAATATGTACCTAGAGTGCTTACTTTTCTTGAATTAAACTGTTTAATGAGTTCAGTGGCTTTTGAGTTCATCAGATAATGTCACAGAGTGAAAAATGTTCTTGAAATCTTCATTAGTTTGCGCATAAATACAAACTATTTAAGCATAAAATTTAACTGGATGATATTTTGTAGTCTTTCTGCAGTGAACAGAATCAATATTCTAGTGAAATACTTTGGTGATATCCAATGAAGTGTCCGCCTTTTTATTAAAACTAATGGAATGGAATTTGATACCCTTGAATTAGGGCTCATTTCGGGAGATTGATATGACCCTAATTAGAGGCAAAATAATTTTTTATGCTCGTCATCCACAAAGGAAAGTGGATATGCTTCATGTGCAAAAGGTTTTTCATTTAATTAATGGTGCTATTTTGGTTGCTTTTTGATGTATAAAATTGGTTTGACTTTCACCTGTTATCACTGCAAAATGTGACGTTCCAGCCGTGAGATGACTCACTTCCGATAAGTCGCTGTTCATGTCCTCAGTCATGGATAACGGGGTGTAAAAGTGGGCGTGAGGAGACTCTTTGAGGCTGCACAGGAAGTTCGTGGGCAGGAGATTTCGGCCACAGAAGAAGAGTCTGTTGTCCCGTGTTGCGATGACTGAGAAACCCTTCCCGAACACCATTCGCACGACTTTGTGACCCAGGTTTTTGATGTCCTTGATGCAGGTGGGCTTTGTGATGATAATTTCCTTGCTCTGTCCAACGCCCAGTTCTCCAAACTCATTGGCGCCCCACACAAAGCATCGGCCAGATTGGCAAATAACAGCGCTCTGGCCATATCGACCGGCGTTGACGGTGACGATGGCGTCGTTCCGGATGAAGAAGAAGTGTTGATGGTCGTCGGACAGGTGTGACTGTCCCAGAGTGAACACTGCCCCTGTCTCTGCGGGTGAGTGTGGACGATAAAAGGGGTTAGAATGTGTGTTGGCGCTCTTCTTGGGTTTATTGGCCGGCAAAGAGGGCGAATATTCGCAATTGTGGCCGGTTCGAGTGGTTGTCCGGATGTGGTGTGAGGATTTTCATTTTGTGAACGGCAGAGAAGCCAGGAGGAAGTCACTCCCCATCGCGAGTGGCCTACTTTGAACTTAGGGAGCTTAGCCGAAAGTCAGGAAAATTGTCAGGAGGCAAAGAGAGAGGGAAATTCCATTTGAAATTGTGTAATATTCTCAACTTGTGGTCTCTTTGAGGACTTCTTTGTCACTTCCGGCGTTTGTATTCTTTTGCAAAGCAGAAATATTTCTTCATGGATATATTTCATGCAAATTGTTAATGTAAAAGATACAATTTGAATGAAATTAGATAATTTTCTCACCAGGAATTTCCATTTGTGTCCGCAAAAGTCCTTCAATTGCCACTCAAATCCACAACAATGTCATAAAAAAAACGTAAAAATCCGTCCTTAATACGTGTTAATTTCAATTTTTTCCAACACCAGAAATCACTGATTTCCTTCCTTAAATCAATTGTTCCACATTCTTAAGTTAGGCACAATAGTAGATTAATTTTCACGTGTTATTCTTCAAGTATATTCGGAAATAATCACGATAGAGTGGAAAAAATTCACATTAATAACGCGTTCATTGTGGGTCACGTTAATATTTCACGTCTGGAACTAATGATGAATTGGGTCGATGGAATCCCAACGTGTGTTCCATTTTTTCGTAGCTAGACAAATGCTGAAGCGCTGGAGGGGTGGAAAGAAGGAATATTGCTCCCTGTTTTCTTGTGTGGGAAACCAGCACCGCTTAATGTGGTCAGTTCGCCGGGCAACGATCGACTGACTGTGTGGTGTGCTTTGTAGTCCTTTTGACCATTCATTGAGGCTTTTTTCCGGCGGGACTTCGTGCATATGTTGTAAAGACAGGGTGTGCCACATTCATCCATTTATTTGTGGCTCAGCCCACGCTGTAGAGCTTCTTTAGGGCACTTGTTCAGGTGGTGAAGCGTGTTTTGAGAACGTGGAAATGAAGTTAGACGAAAACATTGTCAAGTGAATCCCTACTTTCACATGTCATGTGATTAACTTGAAAGTGTATACTTGAATTGCGACCAATAAAAGTAAAGTGTGGGTTGATTCTGTGTAAAGTGACTAACCTGGCACACAAAGTAGTGTTTGAGCTTCATGGAAAGTCGTGTGAAAGAATAATTTGGGCAATTTTTTTCGGGATGGAAGGTGAAAAAGAAGGGAAGGTGGAAAGGTGGAGGAACGGAAAAAAATCAGATGTTGAAGTGTAAAAGCACGTGAAGAAATAATTTAGTAAATCAATGTAATTTAATCAGATATTAAAATAACTGTTGTGAGGTGAAAGGCAAGTTCTACGCCCTGAGCATTAGCATTTAAATACAGTTGAAACTCCATAATCAACTGCTCGTTTGGCGACGTAAAAAAAAATGTCCCATGAAGGGAAAAAGCTCAACCTTTTGCTACTCTTGAAACAGCACAATCAATATAGTTTGATTTTATCAGTCACTCTGTGAAATTGAAAAGATAGCTAAGAGTATAGGATAATGGTCTCTGCATTGGGTTATTGAAATGAATTTTGCGTGACGCGGATTTCCGTCCATTATGAATTTTTATTTGCGTTGTATTGACAGATTTCAATGGAGTGTGACAAATTATAATCTAGAGTTGTTTTAAATGAAAACTCGCATTAATTTGAAACAGATCGCTTCTAATTGTTGCAGAAGAATGTGAATTTATTTTAAAGTAAATAGTTTATATTATTAAAATTTCATCAGAACTAATTTGTTTCATCCATTCTCCATTTTGATTGTTGCCTTCATAGAGATTTCATTTTACTCAAAGACTGAATTCAGATCAGTTTTACTATTTTAGTGACTTTTTCCTATGTTTCACTGCGCAATTTTGCTCGTAATTCAATCCTAATGTTGTTATTCAAATGAATGGAGAATATTATGGTCAGTGATTCAAAAGTGTGTTAGTTTCGAATGTAATTAATACGGAAACATGATATGGTTGGTAGTAATTTTGGCTATTTCAATGGTCAAATTTCAGGCTGTCTCTCTGTCACATCTCAGCATGTCCGGAGTCGACGAGGAGACGGTCGACGCTGGGGCGGAGGAAGTGCCCAAGGGGGAGGCAAATGAGGTTGTTTCCGCTGAGCCGGCAAAAGCTGTGAATAGTGAGGAGCAAAGTGAGTGGTGTGACTTCGAGTGCGGCAGAAGTATTGAGTGCTTCGACGGATTTGGGTGGGAAGAAGACAATGAGTGTGGAGTACGCTAAGCACGTTGTGAGGGATGAAAGTGGGGCGGCAATTTACGTGGATCCCAGCACAAAGTTGAAATATCGCTGGTGCGAGGAGGCAAATGAGTGGGTGATGCAAGCGGCGACGGAGACGGAGCACTATTGCTGGTGTGCTGAAGGAGGAGCGGCTTGAGAATGAGTTCTACACGTGGTCGAGTGAGAGGGGTGAGTGGGTGCCCAAGGCGGGGGAAAAAATGGGGAATATGTGGACAAGGACGGCGTGCGGTATGCTTGGGATGCGGAAAAGAGCGCCTGGTTCCCTGCAATCGATGAGGATTTTATGGCACACTACCAGATGAATTATGGATTTGTCGAGAATACGGGTGAGGTGTCGAAGGGGGTGGAGCAGCCGGTGGGGTGGCCAAGCCGGAGACTCCGGCCAGTGAGCCGAACTGTGGGATGAAGAAGAAAACACCGCAGGAACCACCGAAATGGTTTGATTTACCACCAGAGCAAAACACTAAAGTTTACGTGTCGAATTTGCCGGAGGACATCACGGAGGAGGATGAGTTTGTGAGTGTCATGTCCAAGTGTGGCATGATTATGCGGGATATTCAGACGCAAAAGCTCAAAGTGAAATTGTACATGGAGACAGATGGGCAGCTTAAGGGTGACGGATTATGTGACTATATTAAGGTGAGTCCTTTTTATACACAAATCTCTACACATTCTCTTACAATGTATCTGGGTTAAATGTGACATAGTGAACTAATAAGAAAAAAATCCAGTCGATGGTTTTATCATATAAAATTCATGTTTTGTTTCCTGAGAAAGATTACTATGAAGTGATTCTTGGGATTCTTAATGTGGTATTGATTTGAGGGCTGGCATGGGCGTAACTTGCTCTGGTTTTCTTACAAATCAGAGTAAATGGTTATTGACTTACCTGCTGAAATCTTTATGGATAAATACGAAAGCGACAATTGAGACAATATGTTTTTCCAGCTTAGAATGAGAAGACGCTTTTCTAACGGCTCTCTGTCTGTGTCAAATCGATAAAAGAGCAGTTTATTTATTGTAATGCATCCGGTATAAATGATGCAATGACAGAGAAGAAACCTTGAGGAGTCTATAATGATTTTTCAGCATAATTTGTGTTGAAATGCGGGGTGTTTCTACGACACTTTATTAATGAAATAAATGCGTCGTTAGATTATCGCATTGATTTCGCAATATTTAAATTGGAAATATATCATTGACAATTCTACACAGAATTAATTATATGTAGGAATATAACTATAACTGCGATTGTATATTTTTTCCTTCTGTATTCGGCCCTAAAACGGTGACTGTTTTTTTTTTATCTTTTCTATTAATGGAAAAAAGCATTACACGCTAAAGAGAATTACATGAATTATATAGGAATAATATTCACAACAGAGGAATAACTCCTAAACAACAAATGTACATATAAATATTTTTAGACAGAAAAGTAACTTTTCATTTCTTTTTTTTTCTAAAGAAAAAAAGTATAAAAAAGCTATCCATCTCTTTCTCGCATCCTAAATAATACTTTGTATTAAAATGACCAAATATTTGATTGATTCTTTCATTTCTCCCTTCAAAAGCTATAAAAAAAGAGACATTTAAATTAAATACAAGCTAAGAAAAAAGATGGCACAACATACTTGTTTCTCACTGTGCGCTCTTATTGTATAAAAAGCTCCTATGAGAGAACTATATAGTAAAAAGGACTTTAATGGTAAAAGTGTCATTGTCAAATTAGATATGGATAACTTATGCGGTTTCATTTCTCATTTTCTCCTTCTGCTGAAGCTTCTTCTTGCGCATCAAAATATACTGTCGTTGCTTCTCAGGTGATAAGCTACTCAGACGGCGGCGCAATTCGTCACGACGGAGCTTCTTCTCAGCTTCAGATAGTTTCCTCGCGTTTGCTTCGTTGTCCTCTGTTGTTGTTGTTGTGGTTGATGTTGTCGTGACATCGTAGACTTGGCTGTACTCTTTCTGATTCCGATGGTGGCCGTGGTGATGCTCTCGATGGTGATGATGACGATGGTGGTGGTCTAGGTCAACGGGTTGCTCATCGATGTTGTTAGATCGATCGGTTGTCGTTGTTCTGGGAGTTGTTGTAGTTGTCGTTGTTGTTGTAGTTGGTGTTGGACGTGGTCTTTCATACGGATTCAGACCTGGCGGAAGAGTGACTATTCTGTAGTCGAGCGTTGAGGGTGTGGTTGATGTGGTTGTTGTCGTTGGTTGACGCTGATGATGATGTCTGGGATTGTAGGGTTTCTCGAATCTCTGCCTATGCTTGGCCTGTTGTCGTCGGTTGTCGAGTCGGATTTCAACAAGGGGATCTGGCGCATAGGACACAATTGGACGTCCAATGTCAACAATCTGTGGTCTTCTGCGATGCGGATTCCTCAAGTGATCCGTGCGACCTTGTCGATTGAGTCGCTGTTGTGACCTTGACACACCCTCCTGATTGAGATTGTCGACGCTTGGCACACTGTTTATGTGATATCCTCGCCGGTTGACTGATCTGTGGCGAATGTTTGATGACTGGTTGTTCGGATTCGATGTCACGATGACTTCAATCTCATTGGCCAATTCATTGGGGAATGTTTCGTTCCACTTTGCATACACTCGCTGACGATTGCGCTCACTGACGAAGGGCATTCGGTGCTGACAAATGAAATTATGCTGTTCCACACATGGCTTTGCCGACCACCTAAAAGTTCATTGATTGCCAAATTAAAATATACAGTTCTAATTACCACAAATAGACTAGAATTGTACATTCTAATTTGCAATTTTTAGCAACTTAAGTTTATTTTCTGCCTCTTTACATACATCGTGACAAGTTAATAAAGTGTTTGGTATGAATTTAGCGAAAGAGAGAGAGAGAATTTCTCAGAATAGCGCACTGCATATTCTTCTTATCTTATGGACAAAGTCATAAAGATTATGCGTTATTGCTCAGAGGTGATGATATAATGTACTGTAGAATTTCCCGTTCAAGTGTAACGAAAAAAATATTTGCATGGAATACAATATAAGAGATGATTGCATTACAATGTTAATTAATTTTCCAAATGTTCACGCGCGCGCGGCAGAAATAAAGCAATGCATCGTGCATGAAAGTTAATTAAATTGTGTCTCCTTATGGCCAAGTAAATCATCTGCATTAAAAGCCACGATGGAGGCTGATTGGAGGAGAGGTTGGCGAAAGAGTGCAGTGAGAATTTAATTTGCAATTACCTGAATTTCAAGGTGGGATTCATCATGGAACAGTGAAATTTCATGTCTTCGGTGCTCCTGCAAAAAAAAAACAAGCGTACACGAGTAATTTCTTGTTAATTTTTTAATTTTTTTTAATCACGAGATAACAAGAAAGTATCAGTCGATAAATTGTTGTCAAGCTTTTTAGCATAAATTAGTTAATAATTGCAATTACCCTGGTTTCATTTGACTGAATGCCTGGTACTTCATGGCACGTCCATTGTAGCCCCACTGCCATGTCTTGCGCTCCCAGTTGTAAATGCCACCAATCCACTTGGGTGTCCTCTCTGCAAGAGTGGATGGTTATATAGAGCGTGTGTGCTTCCCTTAATCCTGCACCGCATAATCTTCTTTACCTGTTTCTGCGCGCAAGAGATGCTTTCTCAGGCGATAGTCTTCGAATTTGAATGGCTCCGCGAGTTTGCTGTTGCGATCTTTGCACTCAAAGTGTGCATCCAGCCAGCTGGCCTTCTCGCTGGAGAAGTAATAGCATTCATTGCCGAGTCGGACGAATTTTGGCGGGCACATGGCATACATTCGTTTGGTGCGACGACCACTCACTGGACCACAACTGATCAGAATAGCTGGGCAGAAATGATATTTCCATAAATGGACAGATATTTGCATGCCACGAGAGAGGAAACATTCTTTTTCAATTTTTCAAATTGTTTAGCGGATGGAATAAAAGGGAGAGAAATGCTGGTTGGACATTTGCGGTAAATCACTCAGAATTAATCTCTATTTTTTGGCCAAAATACATTTTCGCGGATTATTTTTAAGCTTCAAACTTACAGAAGAGTGTGACGATAAGGAAGAATCTTGGGAACACCATTTTGTATGTTTTTTGTGTGTGTATCTCTTGAAATATTCTAAAGTGCTTCTTGTGATATATTAATGTGTTGAATGATCCGGATCCTGATTACAGCATCTCCAGTCGCTTAAGAGGAATCACAGATGTTCTGCCTCCCATTGGTAACTCACCCAGTGAATTAACACCATTTATGTCTGTAAGAAAAAAACGGACAAATGAAAATGGTGCCATTGTTGGGCATTTTATGGATAAGGTGACACTTGTGATCTGAAAATATTGGCATTGTATTTTATGAGTTTCTGTGCTAGATTCTCTCCAGTGAATATTCCCCATTCTTTCTCAGCACCGCAACAAGGGAATTTTCAATGTACGGTGTGTTTATATACATCTCTTGCGCACCGACAATAAGACAGCAATTCATAACGAGAGCGCTCGATAAGATTTACAAGGAGATGGTGTAATTGAAAATGAAAACAATAAGGCAGGAAATTCTCTCTAGAGCGATACTTCAAGAGTGTTTGGCATAAGACGTGATGTAAATTCACCTATTTATTCACCAATAATGAGATACTGCTTCTCGTCCAAGTAAATTTAACAATATATATTGTGTGATACAAAATGCAGAACATGTGATAAAGGAGAAAGCCTTAAATGTCGATTGGGAGAGACCTTAAAGTCTTGGTCAGATTGGGTCACGACGTGACACAGCGACAGAAACTGGCTGGAGAGCGTCTTGTTTTGGAAACTTGATCAATTCACACAATTCAACAGTTAAATGTTGGTGGAAAAAAAGTATCAAATTGTCGTTCATTTTTGGCAAAGACGAGAATGTGGGAAACATTAACTGCATGGCTCAATTCTTCCTTCCTTGTCTGAGAATTTATTTATTGTACAAATAGTTGAAATTTATGGGAAACAGATTGACTCTTGCCTGTTGAGCATTTTTCTCAATGGCTCTTGTGCTCAAATGTGATTTACGGATGGGAAGATGGTGTGCAATAACATGAGCAATTGAACTAATTAAATAGACATAAAATAAATTAAATGGCTAACAGGGAAATTAGTTGCATTTCTTCACTGCATAATTACTGTAATGCCGAGATTGTAAGCTGAGTAGGGGAGATTTAGAGAGTTTTAGCCACTAATGTGATGATTTGTGTTCATGACTAAATGTGTGACTAAAAACCTATTTTAAAGAAAATCAATTCAGAGGACTAACATCATCGGTTAAATCATTCATGAGTCTGTATGAGTTGTTATCCATTGGATACGTTGAATTGAGTTCCGATCGATAAAAGAACATCTTGTCTTGACTATGATATTTTTTTTTAGTATTTCTCAAATCATACACAGAATCTATATATTTGTTCCCAAACGATCAATTTAGATTGTTCAATAATGTCGAGAGAAGAATATAGTGAGGCTGCGTGATGAGAAAAATGATATTAGCATTTATTTTGGCAATTGAACGCGCCGGTCCGGCTTTCATTTGTGCTAATTTATGAAATGATATGCATATGTTTGATGGTATGACAAGACATTTGCATAAATTTGACATAAATATTTAAATGTAAATTGTGCAGAATTCTCACTGTTTCATTCACAAGATGGGCGTAAACCGGAGGAGTGTGACTCAGTGAAGAAGTCACATTGCGGAAAGTCGAGAAAAAATTCCATATTCATAATTATATTGGAGACTGTTGGTGTGGTTTTGCTTGTCCATTTTCTCAGGTTTGTTCTGTCTGTTCAGTTGACCTCTTGTACATTTGCTATATATATGTTGATTGTGCGTAATAAGTGAAACCTGAACTATAAATCATATATTTCGTGGAAATATAATTCTCCATCAGGAGTTGGCGTTCCATGCTTACGCATATAATTATAAAAGTTTAGACATTTGAATTTTGGCGCAGAAGCTGTACGGGGAATTTATGGTTCTTCTTGGTAAAGGGGTAAGAGTGCTTCCAATATGAGGTCTAACACAAATATAATTGAATGTGGCGGTATTTAGCATAATTTATGCGTCTAAGGAGTTTCGCACGGTTTGAGAATTCACCCATTAATTTGTTTATTTATTGGCTGGTGTGCCTGTGATACAGATTTTCGCAAAAAGCCAAGAGTGAGAGACACTTTAATATGGGAGAATTTGCGGCTTCACATTGTGCCAGTGGCAGTGATTTTCATCAGAAAGTCACGTTTGCCCATTTTCAATATTCGCCAAACTGTGTGTTCATGCAAAAAGGGATACAATTCTGGGCACAACCAGAGGCAATTGGTTTGAGGATGTCTGATTGGCATTTTGCAGCACAGTGAGCAGAAGAGAAGGGAAGAGGGGGAAAAGAGAGGGTGGAAAATTTTCAGCAATTTCCAATACTCTGGCGTCGCATAATTAACTTTTAAGAGGGAACAACATAAATTCAGTTCCAGTGTGTTGTAAATCAATTTGACCTCTTCCGTGAAAAATTTGGCCATTAATTCTAGTGATTAGGGTGGTTAAAAATTCAAATATTACAACTTGATTGTTTTATTGGATTTCTCTGTGTTCCTAATTGGTGGCCATAAAAGTTAGATTCTTTGGCCACAAGGAGCAGAGGCGATGATGGTATAATGTGTGCCTTCGCGAACTCATATACAAGAAGAGATGTGAATAGAAAATGTGGTTCAGATATTGACCTTGATGTCTGTGCCATCATGTGAAGTCAATTAGCAAAATATGTGTCACAAAGTCTCACTTAGAAGTGCGTCTTGTTCTTGTGGCCTTTTGCATATACAACAATCTTCCATGCTTTTCCACTTCACTCTCTCGTCTGCAAGATGGAAAGTGAGTCTTTGTGTGGTTGCACAACGCGTGGGTTTATCTGAATTTTGAGCATTATAAACTTTTTTTGAGGTTCTTTTCACATGAAAATATGAAATACGTGATGATGCTGGAATTTTATGCCTTTCTTCGGCAAAGAAGGGATGATTAATTGTCCTGACAGCACTTATCATAAAACTTGTGGATTTCATTGATGGTTAAAACATAAATTCATGCGCTCTGTGCTGTTGTTTACAAGAATATATGAGATTTGCAAATATTCTCTCTCATCGTAACATTAGCAATGTGATCTCCAAATATCACGATATTTATGAAGGATTTTTATGGCTTTTTTTCAGCTCCACACACTCTTATTTACGCTTTGTGGTGATTTCTTTCGCGGCATCGCGTTCACACATTAGCGGAAAGATCACATTTCGAGCATGATGGAAAAAGTGCGATGACTGTTATTGGAGATACTGCCATTAATGAAAATCAACCAGAGAATTTATGCACAAACCACTCATAGTTGTGAATTCAATGGGATTGCGCAACTATATGTCTTCCCTGGAGATTGCAAATGTAGAGCAAAGTTTTCCTATCGTTCCACTGGGGGAATGGGTTGAATTGATAGAACAGCACCTCATCGCATGGGAGAGAATTAAAATGTAATAACTTCTTGAGCTTCAATTATAACAACAAACACTTGGAGCCTAATAGCTCTTGATTTTCTCGTGTGGCGTCTGAAGAACTCACATAAATCGTATTGTGATTACCATATTTTGAAGATGGAGTCAAATGTACAATTTGCTCCTTAACTGTCACTTAATCAAATATATATAAAGTCTGTCTGGCGATGGTTTTTACACACACGCAGTGCTAGGAAGAGAGATAGAATGTTGGAATTGGTGAAGAACTTCCAGAGGATATAAATAGATGATGATAAGAGGTCTGTGTTTATCTGAAGAATTTTCCTAAAACACTCAATGGATTAGTTGATCAAATATTTGCTGGGAAAATACTTAATATTCCACCAATTCCTCCTTGTTTCTGCACAACTTTTTAACTGTATGTCTTGATTGCAAACGCTAAATCTGTCATGTGAGTACTTTTGTGTCTTCATCTTGACCACAAAGTTAATTTCTTCTGTCTCGAGACGCATGTCATAAATCTCAAGTGATGTATGGGTTAATTTACTAGATTTGAGATCAAATCACTTGCAAAGTTGTGCACTTTACTGGGCTATTTACTCAAGATTGTCGATAGTGTGTACTTCAATGTGCATGATTTTCCTGGACTGCGCGAGGTAAATGGAATGGCCATGCGATATTTTTCTTATTGCTCATCTATAAATCCTATTTCACCTGCAGAACGGCATATTTGCCTCTTATCAGGTGTGTCAAGTGGTGTGTGGAGGGGAATTAAGAATACCTAAATGAGATGATACATACATAAATGTGTGAATTTCAACAACTATACAATATTTGATCAAGATAAGCTGATATATTTTGTAGAGAAAACTCAACAGTTTTGCGTTTACACAGTGAGACATTGTGGACAATTCGTGGTTTTTTTTCATGTTCTCCCTAAGTAACAGCAATATTCTTGAGAATGTGGAAAATTTCGCAGAATTTCCAATCACTAGAAAGCATAGTTCTTGACCTACAAGAAAATCCGCACGTCTCCAATAGATAAAAGGCGAGTCTATCTGAATGTTAAAAATTCAATCAACCTTTCCGAAAAAGCTGGTGTTGGTTAATTAGAATTTAATACACTATAAATCGATGATAAAATTGGAGTTGAACGAAGAGTTTAGCTATAAATACATCCCAAATAAAGAGAGTGTGAGAGAGAGATAAAGCATGACGAAGGAATAAAACTACGATGTGTGACTTTCACATTTTATCAACAAAAATAAACTTTTGTCAATTGCGTAAAGGGTTCTTGGCAAATGGAATTTGAGAAATGCCTGAGGGTAATTTATTGGAAGAGATGTTGATAATATGTATAGTGTGAAAAGGGAGAATTTGTCCTTCCTCAGCCAGAGAAAATACACGATGAAATATTTAAGATAGAGGAAATTGAAAGCATCAAAATGCAGTACACACAATGTACAAAACTTCTTCATGTACACTTTTATATATAGTTATCGAATTCTCAAGGGACGGGGGGAAATTGGGGGTGGGTGAAAAGGTGGGAGAGAAAGAGAGATTATTCAACAAGTTCACTCTGGATAGACTGATAAAGAATTCATGAATTACAAACGAGTTCTGCATTGCATGTATTTTACATGATTCAGAGTTCCCTGTGTGCTAAATTTTGTGTTTTCATGCAATTTCCATGTTGCAGGCTGGATAGTGTGAAAAATTCTAATGCTTTTTGTCTTGCAAAATCACAGACAATAATTCTCATGAATTTGCACAGTGTTTGAGAGTTGGTGGACGTTTTTTTTAGGGGCTTTTTCACTGCAATTTTTCTGCACAGTCAGTTAAAAACTTTCTTTTCACTGAGGACGGTAAAATGCACTGAATAAGATTAAATTTCATCTTACATTGTTCACTGTGATTGAACGACAGTGTCCAATTTTTTGGTGAATTCCTTCTGTGTTTGAGCAGTAAAGTAATCCCTCTTAATCACAACTCTATTCACACTTATTCACTTGTGGACACGAAAAGGGGAGGCAAAAGTCTCTGATTCACACTGTCCGGCGAGAGATTCGGAGCACTGACGCCCGTGATGCTTCACCGTTGAGGAGCAAATCGCAACTGAAAGTTGGATGAATTGATGTGTGACTGGGACCAAGTGGCAAGTAAAGCTGAATGCCAGTAGTATATGTAGATGTTGGGTTTATCTCACAGCGCCGCTCAATTGCTAACATCATCAGTGCAAGAGTGAGAGAGAGAGAGAAGGAGTATTATGTGCTGGTGTTGCTCTTGCAAATATGCTGGCACAGTGCGGGGAGAGTTAGGAACTTTTTCACTGCGAGGGGGTGGCATTAGTTTATGGGATGAGGAGTCACAATTTAAAATAGTGCGCAAAGGATTCTGGGCAGTGTCAATGTGTGGGAGATTTTCAATATTAAATGTCTGTCTTACATTGAAAGTGGGTGGTGGAAAATGGAAGGAAGAGCGAGTGAGAATGAGGAAATCAGTGACGATCGCTGCGGATTTTCATGAATGAATTCTGGGTGAATGTTTATGAACCAAGAGATGGTGATGAGTGTGAAGATTTCACAGAAATTCATGGTAAGAAACATCAGATAAGCTTTTGCTTAGTAAGGAATTGAATTTCTTGAGTTAATTAATCAGTCAAATAATTCCACACGTTATTGAGAAATCTTCTAATGAAATCAATGTCCAGTGGTGAATATGAGTGCATTTGAGAACGAATAAAAAAACGACAAAAATGAGTAAACCTACGGATTTATTGAGAATAATAACTACTCAATGTGTGATTCAAGTTCTTTATCAATAAATTTTATATAATGAATCAAATTGATCATTATATCATGTGAAATACAATGAATGTTTCGCTGAGTGATATTTATTAATAGTCTTTACTCATATATAGATTACAAACATTGATAAAATTTATGTTTTTTTATGTTTAAAAAAAATTTAATATCGCGAGTAAGAGGATAAATTTGTAGTTGAAACACCGAAAAATACAAAATCGTATTCCGAGACTGAGTTCAGCTTTTGCGATTTCGCACACAGTTTAAGCTATCAAAATAACTTTGATTCCGTGGCACTGAATTTTTGCTAATTCACATTAGTTTGGATGAAATATCAGCAGTTCTTTTCCGATATTCCATTAGATTGTAGCAAACATTTTCGTCTGTTGATCGAGGATAATGGGTTAAGGCGGTGGCGCGAAAAGACGAACTCGATGACTTTGATCACATTTCATCGCATTCAACTGAATGTTTAGTAGAAGAGAAGAAGAAGAGAGGAAAAAAAATCAAAGACGCAACATTTCTTTCACGTCGATTAATTAACACTGAAGCTCTTTTTCTCAGACGCTGTGCGTAGGTGATGTGGATGCAGACTATGTCTTACATTGGAGAGCCATAATTCAGTTCCTTTTAGCTCTGCGATTTCGAAGGCGAAATTGACATCATTGTCAGAATTTTGAGATCATGACACACACAGGCGAGTGTGTAATTGTGTTTCGGGCGAAAATCGTGGCTGGCTCATAAAATTTCGCACAATAAATATCCCTCATGTCGTCATTTGGGCACGGTGAATTTGCCACCCAGCGGTGAGATGCCTCATTTGCATGCAAGACACGCGGTGAACTTCTCAATGAATTGTAGAGTGAGTCGTCAAGTGAATAAACGATTTATCATATTTATGATACACCGTCCTGCGGTTACTTGCATGATGTTGTCTTCCAACATTAACTTGCTGTCTCATATCTCAGATATGTGGCTCGGCTCTGTTTTCATACTCTCTTTTCAGTGTACGAACGTCAAATGGGAAATCAATTAAGATTGCCGTATCGTGGAAAAATTCCTGTGAATTTGGGATTAATACAATTCAGGGAAAGGAATATCTTCATTAGATTACGTGAGGAATATTTTTAGACAAGCATCGCTCGTTCATAGCGCCATGTGTCCAGCTTATACAGACATAATCATATCTTAGCTCAGAGTTCTGGTGATGCAAAGATTGTTATATTGGCCGGTGGAGGAGGCGGAAGAACTAAAAGGGAGGATAAAAATATTTATGGATTTATTCTGCGGGAGAGAGAAAAGGTGGAGTTAACTCCTCCAGCATGAGATAGTATCGCATTTTTAGTAATCGTGCATAATTTTTCCACCATAAAATGTGTGTGCATAATAAATTTTCAGCAAAGAGCACCAAGTCATCCCGCACATGTGGGGCTTAAAGTGTATATGTATGGAAAAGGCAATTTGCAGAATTGCAATTTTTACGTGACTCTCCTGGACAAGTGGTAATTAGTTCACAGTGTGTATTTGCACAGTACAATTGCTGATTTCCAAGGCGGTTCATTGTTGTGTCTTCGGGGATTTAGGAGATTCTTTCACGTGATTGTCGGCATGGAATGATAAATAGCTAAATTCCTCCTTTGGTTTCGGATTTAAGGAAAAATACTCTGTCTGTTGTCTATGATTGTTGGTGATAGAAGTTTTGAAGACACGCATTTCGCGCACGAGAGGTGAATTTTCAAACTGTTAATCGCCGAGGTCGAAGATCTCTTCTAGAAAGATTTTTATTTTAGATTTCTTTTCGCGGCTAATAGTGTAAATTTGCAAACTTCCATCTGCATGCTAAACAAAAGAGGTGGAGAAGAAGAAAAATGAGCAGAGCAGGAAATGAAAGCGGTGAAATGCTATTTTTGGATAAACATCATATGCCAAAAATTACATGATAAGCTCATGTTGTAGCTATATATATACTTTAATCAACATTTTTCGTGGCATGATTTATTATAAATAATTGTGTTTGCCAAATTCCAATATCATCAATATCAATAGACGTCATCGTGCACGTCCACATTGTAACTCTTCCAGTAAATTTACATTTACCACAAAAATGTTTATCCAGATATAAACCTGTACTGGAAAACACATGTTAATTGCTACCGTATATTTTCCCCACATCAACCTCATTCCAGACTTTAACAAATTTGATTTGCTCAGTTTTTCACGCTGCTTCACATTTTCCGCCTCACTACGATATAATTTCATATTCATTCACAATATTAAATAACTGTGTAAATATTTGATTTTGTTTGCACGACCACACATATATAAAAATATAACAAGTGTTCCTTGAAAGAGAAAAGTCATGTTATTGTGCGATGTACTTTATTGTATTGATATTTTGTATCATATGACAGAATAACAGATCCAAAAAATTACATTTTCGCATCTGAATTTTGTGCTTTTAATTGGATTTTCCCAGAAACCTTTCTATTCAATTGTTATTATATGATATTCATCATAAATTTCAATTCAAACTTTGAAAATTAAGCTATGAGTGATGTGGGAAGTGGTAAACATTAAATATGTATGCCATTATACGTATCGCTAAATGATGAATATTTGCAGAAATGAAAGTTTAAGTCAATTGTCATATATCTTGTGCATAAGTGAAGCATTGTGAGTTTAAAGCAAACTGGCGGCTTCTGTGTAATTCGGATGAGACACACGTTACTGGCTTTGAGGCTTCACTAAAGTGATGAATTATCAATAATTGCATTGTCGTGGCAAATTCGTGATATATTATGTGTGTTCCACTGCTGGCACGTGATGTGGGCATAAATCGTCACGGAAAGATAGTAAAGACTAGCTTGGAAATACCTCTAATTTTGTGAGTTTCAATTAGTGAAATGCAAAACTTTTTGATCATTGATGCTGAAGTTCATGCTCAGCGTTAATTTTCCCTATATCTTCTCTTTCATTTCGCCCAGCATATCGCTATATGCTGTCCAAATTATGCGCCAAAACATGTAATCAGTGTGAAATGTTTCAATTAAATTCCAGCAATATGGACACGAATGTGGCTTTTTTGTGTTTTGGGAAGGGGAATTTTATGAGTAGAAGCGAGCACAGCAAAATGCCACACAGCATCCAGGGAGAATTTCATTCCATGTGGCGAAAGTGACCCCATTTTGCATGGTGTGACAGAATGTCCAGAATTCCTCAGTTCCCCAGTGCTAATTGGTGTGTAAAAAATGTGCAAAATGAAATTGTCATAAATCTAATTGGTATTTGAAGAGTTTTCCACAGAGAAAATATGATGTTCTTTATGAGTTCCGCTGTGCTAGATGTTAAAGAGACATGAGACAGACGCTTGTCTCATCTTGGCGCGGGAAAAGATTTGTTCGCTCATAAACCTATTTATTAATTGACAATCTTGCGTGGTGTATTTGTATTTTGGTGACGAACGGACACTTGTGGTTCCTTCAATCTCATATCGAGTGATCTTCGTTTGTGAATTTTGATAAGAATTGATCAATTTCACAATATATCGCAGTCGCAGTTGCATTATTTCTGTCCTAATTGAATCTTCATGAAACATGATTTCAGTTTTTAGTAAATCTACTTAATTTATACCTCGAGAAGTGCTCAATATGTTGGAAAGTGTGCTGCTCAAATTTTCCACTTACTCTCTTTTCCATTATTCCACTCAATTTTCTCACTCTATTTGGCTTCCACGGGAAAATTGTCTCTGTCATCTTCTGTATCTAACTACTGTTCTATAGGCAAATCTGTATCTATGCTAACATCGTTATCTGAAAAATCTGTCCTGTTTGTTAGAAAAGTTGGCGATGAAAATAACTTGGATTGACTCAAGTTCTGCAGTGCATGCTAAACTTGTTGTTCTTAGAAGGGATACTTAAATACATGTATATATAAATACACTTTAAATTAAACTCATTTTCACGGTCAGCAGACCATTTTCAATTATTGATTTTTACTGGTCGTTTTACTGCATTTCGCCTGTGTGTTTTCTCAGTGTGACAATTTTCCCAGAAAATGAGAGAAAGCAATCCACAGAAATTCAATTAGGCGCTCTTCTCAGGAATTTCCAGCTGAATTTAGGATTCAATTGAAATATTTTTCAATGAATTGTTGATAAAGACTGAACTTCTTAGGAATCCTTGTTTGGCATATTTGTGAATTAGTTCCTCATGGTAGATTCTGCATGCCTGCCGCTAATTAGGATCATGAATTGAGACGTGCAGACTCTTTTGGCAAACGCAAGAGAGTGGAGGAAAAAAATTCACTTTGTAAAATAAATATATATGAAAATCTTTTGTCTGTTCACAGTGT